AAGTCAAGCTCTGAACTATAAAAAAAAAAAAAAAAAAAAAGTAAAAAAAAAAAGAAAAAAACACTATAAACTATTACAAATACCAAACCTAAGCCAATGTGTACATTCTTCCTTCATGTTACTCTTCCCTTTCATCTTCCTTAATCATATGCTCTTCGCTGTTTACCCATCTTTCTACATTCTCGTGATACTTTTTCCCCTCCAAATCATTATATTTGCTTCTAAACTCGTCAATAATATCAATGTACCATTTATCCAAATCTTCTTCACTCTTCTCAGCTTCACTCATTTCCTCCTCACGTTCCAATTCTTCCTCTACAAATTTAGTCTTGTTAACTTCAAACAGTTCACCTGCATTAATGCACTTGACATAAATTTGAATCATATCTCTCTGTTCATAATCATCCAATTCTTGCCATGTGACAGGCTCGTAAACTGTCTTGTAATGATTTAATCTTCTCTTAAAATCCAGTATTGCTAATTGGTTGCTCTTGTTTTGATAATCTTGGTTATTCACTTTACCCTTGACTATATTATAATTGATCAAATTTGTGTCTGTGCACTGGACATCAAGAATCATTGTACGGAGCTTATAGCCTGTTTGTGCCGAGTGTACTGATTCTAGCATCCGATTTCTTCTTTCCTGAGTAGTGTTTGTTGCATCTAGGAAACCGATATCAACAATGTCATTAGTCATATCTGAAATGAGATGGTTTAATGTGATGGTAGCGTATAATTCCCGATCCTGTCTTGCTTGGTTATTTTTCGGATCGAAAAAAGTTGAGTCATTAAAAACACCAAACGATTTCCTCCTTCGTACATCGCCGGCGTTGTATATCTCACTGCGGTATGATGTTGTTTCGCCAATGTAGTTTTTGAATTGGTTACAAATGGTTGATTTGCCACTTGCTGGTAGTCCCACTAACAACACTACTAATTTTGTAGCATGACAATGGCGATGAAAATGTTGAGTTGGTATGGATTTAGATTTAGCTAGTTCTGCTTGTTGTTGCCGCTGTTGCCACTGTTGCCACTGTTGCTGCTGCTGCTGTTGTTGTTTCTGCTGCTGCTGCTTTAACTTCGAGTCTAGTTTAGAAGTAAACTCATCGGGCGACGTTAGGAGTTGCAATGCAGGAGTCATGTGTTTAAATTTCATCGAATCATTTCTCGATAAAATAGGAGTTACTGTAGTTGTATATAGTTGTTGTCTCGAGTATAGCGATGATGGTAAATCAAATAGCGAGCTAATTGACGATGACGAGTTGGTTGTGAATATATCATTATCTGATAACTCGTTGTCATCTCGAAGTTTCACTAATAAATCTTTACTTTCTACGCTTCCCATATCTAGTGGATACCTATTAGTTATAGTAGTTTCTTGATTGTTATAAGTAGTGGTGGCGATGGTGGTGGTAGTAGTAGAATTAGTGGTAATGGAATTGTTATCAAATAGGTCAAATATTGCTCTTTTATTACTTGTTGCGTTGTCGCTTGTATGTGACATACTTAAAAAGTCTGAAACACTTAACCCTAGTATTGAATGACGTCTTTTACACTAAGAAACAATCAAACAAGGAAGAAAAAAAAATTATTCATCTACAAAAGTATTTATATCCATTCCATTATAAAGAAATAAATATCTAAATACCTAAACTGAAAGGAGTAAGAAATGAGAAAGAATGTAAGCTTTTGCTTTTGCTTTTCTTTTTTATTTTTCTTTTTCTTTTTCTTTTTCTTTTTCTATTTTTATTTTTATTTTTATTTTTGACCTTACAATAGTCGATTTGAGATTTGCCATTTGTTATTTGCTATTTTCCTATTTGCATACATTAGGCCAAATGGACAACCGGCATCGGAACAATGGTGACTGATAAGAAGTCAAAAATTGGTGGTGTTTGGTATTCATGAATTACGCCCCATCAATATGCAGATCTGAAAATAAGAACTCAAATATTTGTTCGTTGGTAGTCAAGTCAGTCGGTCAGCCGGACTACTTAGTCGGCTAAGTCAATCAATCAGTCAACCAGTTAAGCAATCCGCCAAGTTTATTAGTCAGAAAAGGTTAGATTTTGCATCCAGTGGTTTGTAAATACTGTAGTATAGTATAGAAAAAAGTTTTTCCTCAATTGGGTATTACATAATAGAAAAAAAAAAAACTAAGTCATATAATTTATCCGGAAAAAAAAAAAAAAAAAAAAAAAAAAAAAAGACTTCGTAAATTCCCGTTTGTCCTAAATGAGCATTGGTAAATCCAAAGACACTGATAAAATTAAAGGCAAATCAAACCCGTATGTGAACAACAATAGCGGTCTGAACAATAATAGCGGTCTGAATAGTAATAGATTGGGATTTGAAAGTTAGTGGACATAGCCCACTATATTTCCAAAAAAAAAAAACCAGAAGAAAAAAGCACCCATGACAGTCCTCACTTCTTCCCATTACCTAGTGGAGTGATGTTAGCTATGCTTTTGACTTGAAACGCCAAATTACAAATTCGAGATGGACGATTGGTATCCATTACATAAATAGATCCAAACATCAATACATTGTTTTCAGACCCGCTCTAAAATAGAAAATAAAAAGAAATTATCAAGGGAAAAAAAGAAAAAGAAAAAGAAAAATAGTAAAAGAGGGGAATGAAAAATGTTTTGGGCGTAAAGGACCACATGGCTAACGTACTTTAAATTAGACGTGCACGTGCCGTACGCCCGTCCAAATGCGCCTGGACAAACTGCATTTTAGATTAGTGTTCTCGTCCTAAAGAAATTCTTTACTACATCCGTCTATGCCTTATTGCTTACACTTGGTGAACTGGCATAATAGATACCTTCGAAAAGCAGAGTTTTCCACAAAGTGTGAGCTGAAAGCTGAGAGCAAGTTATCATTTATTTTCCGTGTAAATATTGACTAAAAACTACTTTATTGGCAGTTGATGTCTTTGACTAATACAGCGAAAAAAAAAAAAGTTCCTTCCGTATCACCATGATTAGACGGTAGCGCTTGGTACTGTGTAGCTTTCATTTTTAGAGTAAGTGATATTTGGCAAGTCAAGAAATTATGAAAACAAGTTTTTTTGTTTTTTTTTTAACTAAACAAGTGTCACCCCAGCTTTCTGTTCACGCAAGTGTGTGTCTTTGCTATCACGATAAGACCTTCTTTGATCCTATCAAATGAGTTCCTTTCATCCGGTTGAATTTCCCCCATGGTTTCAGAGAATGTATTTATTTTTACTGTAACATCAAAATAAATGAATAAAAAAAAATACAAGTTTTCTTGGAGAATTTTGAGGTGTTCTTAGTAGTTTTGTTTTAAGGGCCAAAATTTTGAATGATTGATTTCACTACATTCACAATCTAATTCGATGATGCTGGTTTGACTTTGTTGCTCCATTTGTCACTCACTCTTGCCTCCTTAATTTAATAACATATTTGGGTCAAAATTCGTATACCATAAATGCTCCTAACTCACAACATGCGGTTAGCCATTCTACAATTGGAAATTACGGTAAAATATCTAGACTCAAATGTTGCCATTTAGCATTCGATATTGATGAGATATGGCTGCAAAAAAAAAAAAAAAAAAAAAAAGAGGAGAAAAAAAAAAAAAGCGCTTTTGCATTCAAAATTGGCTGTGGAGTTAAGATGAAGAAAGAACACACGAGCTTAATATTTGATTGATCTACCCAACTGAGCTATTGAAACAACATTGATACTTTTTCGAGTTGAATTTGATTTCGTTTTCTCAAAAATTCTTAGTCGCTACACCAATTCAATAAATAGTAGCTATTCAAAAATAGCATCATTTGCGCATTTTCATGCAAAAAGCCAGTCGACAAGAAAAGAAATGATAACAAAGTATAAAGGCAATTAATGTGAATCAAGATGTAGATTTAAATGAATATGACTCACTTGAACAGAGTTGCTTATCGTGATGATACCTTTTCATTAATGTTTTTCACATTTTTCAAGAATAGATTAATACAATTTTCTAAACATTTCTATATCCATTGCAAATGAAGAAAAAAATTAAAAAAAAAATTTTAAAAAAAAAATTCAATCTTTTTCGATCAACATCCCTTCTTTATAGGTTTGTAACTTTGAATTTTGCATCCACTTTATCAGCATGTCTTTTCAGTAATTCTTTGCAAAAGGTTACCAGAACACTTTCTTCTCACTTATTCACCATATAGCTCTTATCCAATACATCCTTAGCTTCATTAATCTTCTGACTCAAGTATACACTACCATTCTTATCGGGATGGTTTAATATCATCAATTTTCTGTATCGATCTCGTATCATCGCCTTGTTAACGTTCAAAATATCATCTCCCTCGATCCCCAATATGAATAATGCCTCTTGTTCAGTCATGGGGCTTAAAAAGTTCCTATTAGGATATTTCAGTCGGAGGAACTTATAATGCCTATACCTTGGATCCAGTTTACTAATCTTCAGTAAATGATCATTGGTATGAGTTAATTTAATGCCATTCAAACTAGCAATCATTTGTGGAGTCAAATTGATATATTGCTTATATGACTTGATTGATGCTTTTACTGTTAATGCAATTATAGTTACTCCCAATCCTCCTACTATAGGTAGCACCATCTGGATGACAAATAGGATTTGATAAAAGAGAAGAACTTATAGGCTATATTCATTACTCTCTGCTCTGAGCAAAACTCTCACCTACAAAAGAGAGTGAAAAAAAAAAATCAGTACAAGCGAAGATGGAGATTATCGTCGCGACAAAAAACCATCAAGAACATCGCGACACTAAACTCGGACCGTCCTTTTTTTTTTTTCTCTCAAATCGGGAATAATTTTCGAAACAAGAGTCTGAACATAAAAAAGTGTTAGTTTCACCCTTGCAGCATGGAAAGAATGGAAATAAGGCAGGATTCGTCTTCTCTCATCTATCTACACTAACTGTCACTGTCACTATCAAGAAATCTTTTTAAATGCTTTACTTTAATTTTCTCAAAAGGGTAGTAAGTTCTAGCAAAGCCCGTTTTGAGAGAATTAAATGACATCTACTTATTTAGCGACACTATCGAGCGAAGCGAGATAGTGGAGCAGTACTGTATGTGTGGCTAATACATGTAAATCTACAAGTGTCAGCACTTATTGCACCGAAGAAATTGTATGAATCTACTTGTCATATCTACTATTCTAAAAGCATACCTCTTGAGCGGATCGATACACTTTTCCCAAATAAAACTCATTGCATTTAGGTATCGGGAGTCTTTTGAAACTCATTGCATTTAGGTATCGGGAGTCTTTTGAAACTCATTGCATTTAGGTATCGGGAGTCTTTTGAAACTCATTGCATTTAGGTATCGGGAGTCTTTTGAAACTCATTTAACTAGTTTTCAACTCTTCGGCCAATTGTTGATCGTAGCATACATACGATGAGACAAAAAAAAAATTATTTGCATCAATTATCAAGTAACAGTTTCATTTTATTCGATAGAGCGATGCAAAAAAAAAGCTTGGGATATATTGGTATTGGTATATTGTTCTAGAGTTGGCCTCACTATGCAATATACCTCCCTTAGATGTATACTCTCTAAGTAAGCTGTAATTCAATTGACGTTTTTGCAATCATCACGTGGGTAGCACCATAACCCAATATTGTTGTTGTATTTTTCCCCTTCTGCTCTCTTGATTTTCCATTTCTAGCGCATTCGGCTCACATTGCTACGGACTTGTTTTTTTTTTTTTTTTTTTTTTTTTCTTTTTTTTTTCAACTACAACAAAGATCCATTTGTTCAGGTATTTAACCTTTGCTATTTTCCCAATTGATGTAAATTTTTTTTTCTCCTTTTGAGAAGGTAGATAGCTTGTTTGTTTGGAATCAAGTTAGTTTTCTTTTTCTGTAAGTTGCTTGCTTAGTTGAGAAAATCTTTGTAGAAGGAACAAACAAATTTCTTTTAACAATGTCGCACTCATCGTTATCTTGGTTATCTAATTTAAACACGGATCAAACTCCTCATAAATATTTGAGAAGATCTTCGATTATTGGTACAATTGGTCCAAAAACAAACAATGTTGACGTATTGGTTAAATTGAGAAAAGCCGGTTTAAACATTGTGAGAATGAACTTTTCTCATGGTTCTTATGAGTACCATCAGTCAGTTATTGACAATGCCAGAAAATCCGAGGAAGTTTACAAGGGAAGACCATTGGCTATTGCCTTGGATACTAAAGGTCCAGAAATCAGAACAGGTACCACTGTTGAAGAAAAGGACTGGCCAATCCCACCTAATCACGAAATGGTCTTCACCACCGATGATGCTTACAAGACTAAATGTGATGACAAAATCATGTACATTGACTATAAAAACATTACCAAGGTTATTCAACCAGGTAAGATCATATATATTGATGATGGTGTCTTGTCATTTGAAGTTCAAGCTATTGTAGATGACCACACTTTGAAAGTCAAATCTATTAATGCTGGTAAGATTTCTTCACACAAGGGTGTCAATTTACCAGGTACAGATGTTGATTTACCACCATTATCAGAAAAGGATATTGCTGATATCAAGTTTGGTGTTAAAAACAAGGTACACATGATTTTCGCTTCTTTCATTAGAGCCGCAGACGATATCAAGCACATTAGAAGAGTTCTTGGTGAAGAAGGTAAAGAAATCCAAATTATTGCCAAGATTGAAAATCAACAAGGTGTTAACAACTTTGACGAAATTTTGGAAGCTACCGATGGTGTCATGGTTGCAAGAGGTGATTTGGGTATTGAAATTCCAGCTCCTCAAGTGTTTATCGTACAAAAGAAAATGATTGCTAAATGTAACTTGGCTGCTAAACCAGTTGTTTGTGCTACCCAAATGTTGGAGTCGATGACCTACAACCCAAGACCAACCAGAGCCGAGGTTTCCGATGTTGGTAATGCTATTTTGGATGGTGCAGATTGTGTTATGTTGTCAGGTGAAACCGCCAAAGGTGACTACCCATGCGAAGCTGTTTCTATGATGCACAACACCTGTCTTATTGCTGAAAAGGCCATCTCTTATCAACAATTGTTCAACGAGTTGAGATCATTAGCAGTCAAACCAACAGCAACCACTGAAACCTGTGCTTGTGCTGCTGTTGCCGCTGCTTATGAACAAGATGCCAAAGCAATTGTAGTCTTATCAACAACCGGATACTCAGCAAGATACGTGTCCAAATATAAGCCAGACGTTCCAATTTTGATGGTTACCAGAAACGAAGATTGTGCTAAATACTCACATTTGTACAGAGGTGTTTATCCATTTATCTACAAAAATGAATCATTACCAAACTGGCAAGAAGATGTTGAAAACAGATTGAGATGGGCTGTTTCAGAAGCAGTTGAGTTAGGAATCATTACCAAGGGTGACTCAATTGTTACTGTGCAAGGATGGACTAGAGGTTCAGGTCACTCCAACACTGTTAGAATTGTCCAAGCTTAAAGTAATAGATTGTTTAGTTAAGATGTAAAGATTTTTTTTTTAATACACTAGATATCTCTATAGGTGGTTTTCTTTTATACGTTGTGAAACAGCGACACTATCGAGCAGAGCGAGATAGTGGAGCACACTAGCCTCGCTCGAGAATGTCGCGATGGTGTCGCGATGGTGCCCCTACTGTAGATAGAGTCAGTGCTGCTACTGTAGATAGAGTGCTGCTATAGTAGATAGAGTGCTGCTCCACCATCTCGCTTTGCTCGATAGTGTCTCGATAGTGTCGCTATTGCAGATAGAGTGCTGCTCCACCATCTCGCTTCGCTCGATGGTGTCTCGATGGTGTCTCGATGGTGTCTCGATGGTGTCGCGATGGTGTCGCGATAGAATTGTTAAACAAAAAAGATTTATTACTGGTAACAACTTTTCTTTTCTTTTTTCACTTGCTACTACGGAAAATATTGTTTTTACTTGACTAGTATAAGTGGGGCTGGTTTAGGAGTAACACATATTTCTTTTGGCATAAGTAGTGAAAGTGCTCTTGGTTTAATGGTTCACCACTCGATGACAAGAATTGTTTTCAGGTCAATTACAAGACCACTTGGATTAGTTGCATCTCGTACTGCAGGTATTCGATATTACACAGCAGGTGCATCAACAACAACACCACCACCAACAACAAAAATAGGCAAACCATCACCTGAAAATGATACGACCCATTTTGGATTCAAACAAGTGAATAGGTCAGAAAAGGAGAATTTAGTTGGAGGCGTGTTCTCCTCAGTTGCCTCAAATTATGATTTAATGAATGATGTTATGTCTATGGGTGTACACAGATTATGGAAAAACCACTTTATAGAGCGGTTAGATGCAGGTATGAGACCAAGTTCAACTGAACCTTTAGAGTTTCTTGATGTTGCCGGGGGTACAGGAGACATTGCATTTGGCTTATTGGAGCACGCAGCTAACAAGTATGGAGATTATCTGAGTAAAGTGACTGTAGCAGATATTAACCCCGATATGTTAAGAGAGGGACAGAACCGCTATTTACAAACAAAGTGGGCTCATGAAGATGGACCTAGCCGTGTTGAATTTTTGGTTCAAAATGGGGAAACAATGGATGCAATTCCCGATAACTCAAAGGATATTTATACTATTGCATTTGGTATTAGAAACTTTACAAATATTCAAAAAGGGTTGGATACAGCTTACAGAGTTTTAAAACCCGGCGGAATCTTTGCATGCTTGGAATTTTCCCAAGTTGAAAATCCAGTGCTTGACTATGCTTATCAAGCATACTCATTTTCATTATTGCCATTGATGGGCCAATTGATTGCTGACGATAGAGAGCTGTATCAATACCTTGTTGAAAGTATTCAAAAATTCCCAAAACAAGAAGAGTTTAAATCAATGATTGAAAAAGCCGGTTTCTATGTTCCTGAACCAGGTTATGAAAATTTGACCTTTGGTGTTGCAAGTATACACATTGGAATAAAATTGTAAATAAAAAAAGAAAAACTAAGAACTAAGAACCAAGAAACAAGAAACAAGAAACAAGGAACAAAAAGAACCTCTTTGATTGTATTGTAAATAGTAATACTAAAGATGGTAATACAATTCCTGGTTGTTCTGTCTTTTCAAACAACCGTTACTTTCTAGAAACTCACTGCTTTATTGAGTTCAAGTTTTTTTTTCAAATTTGATTTTTTTTTATCTTTTTTTTTTTTCACTTCACAATTGACTAAACAGTTTATAATCTTGAACTACGCTTCTCTTCTCCCTCCACCCACTTTAGATGTCAGCTTTAACTCCAGAAATACAGTCGCTATTGGACACAGTTGTGTTCAGCCTCAAACGACATCAGATTGACGATGAGAAAGAGATGGCATTGACAATAGCGCATATGTTAATGAAGGTGATATCAGCAGCAAGATGGTCAAGTACTTATGAATTGATAAGTTTGATTAGACTGGTAGGAACGGTTATCCACAAGGCGTACCCTAGAAGAGTAGTACCGGGTAACATTATACGGAGAGTTCTTGCTCTTATACGGGAAGAAATAGAAACGACGGATGGTGAGAGCAATAATGTGCCAATGATGAGCTCAATGTTTAGTTTATTAACCACTACAAACAAACAAGAAGCCAAAGCAGACAAAACCTCGCAAACAAAGAAGCAAAATAGCGATATGAGGAGTATAATTATACAAGGTATAAGAGATTTAGTGGACGAAATTACCAATGTTAACGAGGGTATAGAGATCATGTCGGCAGATTTGATCCACGATAACGAAGTTCTTTTAACTCCGACCCCAACATCAGACACAGTTTTGCATTTTTTATTGAAGGCTAAAAGTAAAAGAAAATTCACAGTTTTGGTCACTGAGAATTTCCCAAACAATTTGAAAAGGGCGCAACTTTTTGCAAAAAAGTTAGCTGAACATGATATAGAAACTATATTGATTCCCGATTCAACGACTTACGCAGTAATGTCAAGAGTCGGCAAAGTCATAATTGGTTCAAATACCGTGTTTGCCAATGGCGGCTGCTTGTCACTGAGTGGTGTCGCTAGTGTTGTTGAGTGTGCTAAAGAACATAAAACTCCTGTTTTTGCCGTTGCCGGACTATATAAATTATCGCCCTTGTATCCGTTCACAAGAAACGATTTGATTGAAGTTGGAAACTCGGGCAAAGTATTGAGTCACGATGATTTTGAATTGGTCGATAATGTTGATGTTACCAATCCACTAGAAGATTATATCCCACCCGAACATATAGATATCTTCATTACAAATATTGGTGGATTTGCTCCAAGTTTCATATATAGAATAGTTTTGGATAACTACAAGACTGAAGATAATAAATTGGATTAAAAATGAACAAAGAGAAAAAAAATAAAGATTAATACTTTTACTTGAGCTTGGTGTTCATCTCTTCTTCTTCAGCTTGGTGTTCATCTCTTCTTCTTCAGCTTGGTGTTCATTTCGTCTTCTTCTTGATGACTCTTATCTGTCTTGATGATTTCTTCACTGATGCAAATAGAGAATTCACACTGTTAAACAGGTGATCCTGTGGGTTGGAAGGGTACCGATTGATGTTGTAGTGCGCTTCCCATTTCCGTTGAAAGTTTGTGCTTTGTATACTCGATATGGTAGCAAATTGTATTGAACTTTCAGTATCTTCTGGTATACTTTTGGCGTTGCTATTTTGAGCTATCTCTTCAATCTCCTTATTAATAATCGAGCATAAATCGTCAATTGAGTATTGTGTCGTTTTTGCACCTGTTTTTGTTTCAGACATAATGGCAGCATTAGCATCAGCAGCATCAGCTACATCAGCAACAGTAGTAGTTGGTGGCCTTTGATCAAAAAATGGTTTATTCTCTGGAGACGTATGGAAATCAGGGCTATCAATTGGAGCTGTGAAACTATTCAAATCGTTTGGGTCGAAATCTGAACTTGAGGAATCTTTGAAAAATTTGAATCTTCGTAAACAATCGTCAAACGAAGGTGAAGCTGATAAGGTTGTAATGTGGAAATGATCAGACATTGCGGCATTACGTCTCTGTAATAAACGATATACTCTGGACTTGATTTCATGTATTCGACCTGGCATGGTAAGCACTAATCCTTTTTTTCCCCAACTTAAAGCATTTATCCCTGAGTTTCCTATTATGCCTATATGTGCCGTGAAAGAATGTCACATACACACACACACACACACTTTTTGATCCTTTTTGTAGTAGTCGTGCCTCTTTTTTTTTTGCAATCATTACTTTGTAATACTGCTTTTTCTTTTTGCAGCAAACACAAAAAGAAAAAGTGCATAGGCTTGTTGCAAAGCACGCCTTCAAGAACGTGGAAAATGGGTGGCCATTGGCCGCAAAAGCGAGCTAATGTGAGTACAGTGATATTGACTGTGAGAGCTATACCCAGGAAAATAACCAAATACAAAAGAAGTGGTACGAAATGGTAGAACTGATTGCACTACTGCAGCTGTTCCCTAGTATTGATAACAGAACTACTATATCCATATTATAAAATCTATAAAAAAATAACCTATATAGGCATTTTCAACTAATTGCATTTTCAAGGTATACCAATATATGAAAAGATCTATAGAAGCAACTAGTGTTTAGGAGCGCAGTTTTGTACTTTATTAAATACTTTGAGCAAAACCTACAAACCATATATATGTAATAAAACATTTTTAAAAAAAAATCAAAGTCCCTGGACTACCCCAGTAGAATCAGGCCTTGCTTTTAATGGGAATATTATGAAGACGCTCACTATCAGCAACTTCCTTTGGTAACACCAAATTAAGACCATTTTTATCAATTTCGGCTTCAATTTTGTCAACTTTAATAGGCTTGCTAAACTTGACACTACTTTCATAAGACTTGTAACTTGAACTTTTTTCATCAGCTTCCTTGTGGTTCATATTGATCACCAATTCGTTGTTTTCCTTGTCAAAGTCAATCTTAACATCCTCACTATTCAATCCCGGCTCTTTATAGTTGACAATATACTTATCGTTCTCTTCGTCGGTGTGCAATGAGTCATCAAATCCAACAAAATATCTTCCTGAACTGAGCTTGTCCCAAAACTCATCTACAAACCAGTTGTCTCTATCCCACAATGCAGGGACAAACGCGCCTCTCGATCTTTCCAATTGTGAAGAGGGGTGCGAAGATTCAACATACTTTCTTGGATTGTACTTCTTTGGCATAATGTGCGTGTATTTGCGAGGTCTCAGCATAGCGCCGTCAAAATCTCTATTGTATGATTTCAGAGCTCCAGCCATTTTTAAAAGTTTTTAGTTTCTGTGGTTTACTTAGAAGATGGGATCTGAGTTTGAAGGGTTGGGGTCAGAGATATCTCAATTTATACAGTCTCAATCTCTCTCTTGGGTGCAGTCATATATATGCAAAAGCAAATTTGAGACATAAATTGCGCTAGCTAGCAGTGATCAAGATTACACATATACATATACCTATACATATACATATACATATACATACAAATTCAATTATATACTTGTATATATGTATAAATATGCATAAAAATAATTTTGACATTTTTATTCCGAAAACTCCTTCACATCATGAATGTATAAATGTCGCATCTATTTTATTCAACGAATGGCCTAGATACAACTTCAATTTTCTTCTATATGACGTGGGGTTATCTTTTTGAATAGGATTGCCTTCAAAGTAAACACACTCTAAATCTGGTAAATTGCCCAACTGGTCAGCAACATTTTCAAAGCTCAGTATTTGATTATACGAGCACCAGAAATCTGTCAATTTTTTCAATTGTTTTAATCCAGACAACTCTTTTAATTTATTTGACGTGACATCCAAAACTTGAAGGTTTGTGTTATTTTCCAATCCTTCAATTTTTTCAATACCGTTATGTGATAAGTACAATTCTTCTAGATTCTTCAAGTTTTCTAATCCTTCAATCTTTATTATTCTGTTGGATTGAATGGAAAGCACCCTTAAATTAACCAAGGTGTCCAAGTTTTGAAATTTACGGATTCTGTTTTTACCAAGCCATAATTGGGTTATATTGACTAGTTTCTCAATATTCTCAATAACCTCAATTTTGTTCCCGCCCAACTCCAAGTTTTTGATCTTGGTTAAATTGTCTAAATTTCTAATTTCTCGAATGTTGTTGGCAACAAAGTACAAGTTCTCTAGCTCGGTTAAAGTCTCTAAATTCTTGATATTCTTTATCTTGTTGAACGATAAATCTAGGTTTTGCAATTTTGTCAAATGTTTAATTGAACTGGAAATATGATTTATCCTATTGTCATAAAAATCCAACTCCTGTAAAGTGGGTGATAAATCTTTTACCCCTGAAATTGAGGGTATAAGGTTTTGTCTTAAGCACAATGCTTCCAACTTTTGAAATCGGGAAAGGTTCAAGTCTTCTAGCGAGCTAATCTTCAAATGTACAAGATCGATATATTCTGTATCAAGGGGCAAATCAGCTGTTAGGTCAAAATCAGCATCAATCTCGTCACGATTCGTGTCGGGAAGGATCCTCGTGGAAGGATATTCTACCGCGCCAGCATCTTCATCTCCCTTACCCTCCCCTTCCTCCTCCTTTTCCTCCCCTTCCTCTTCCTCTTCCTCTTCCTCTTCCTCCGTATGTGAATCATTTACTCCAGGGTTGACTTTTGACTCATCGTGTTTCAAACAAGCGTCCTGAACATCTTCCTTGTCTTCTACCACCTGCATATTTAAACAAACTTTGCTTCCTATAGTGCAATCTTTCTCAACTTAAGCCCGATGTGTATAACCAGCGTGATTATATATTTCCCCTTGTCTCTTCTTCTTGTACTGTTTGTGCGTGTGTGTGCGGCCCATTAAGCAATTTTTGGTCTAACCAATTATTCTACTACGAAAAAAAAGTTACAAGTGCCTACTGGAAGAGAGATATTGGACCAAAAGAGTTCGTTTTAGGGAGGTTACAAGTTTGCAATATCTCTATCCTTTCCCAACTAATATATATATATATATTTACATTAACCATAAAACTGGGCTTCTAAACACGAATTGACTACAAGAATTTTGTTCTTTTTTTTTTTTTTTTTTAATTTGAAAAAAAGAAGGGGTGTTTTTGCATGCAGTTTTCTTCTTATTCCTTCTGCTCTTCTTTGAGTATATAGTCAACAGCTTCGCCAACGGTTTTGATCTCATCGGCAATTTTGTCCGGGATTTCCAAATCAAATTCTTCCTCTAAAGCAACTAAGGCTTCAACGGTATCTAATGAGTCTAATCCCAAATCCTTTTGAAAGGAACTTTCCAACGAAAGTTTGGATTCCTGTAATGCGGCAACTGTCTTTAATGCTTCAAAAGCACGGTTGACTACTTCGTCCCTTGTGATTGGTGGAGATACGTAAAAACGAATTGGCTGTGCCAACGATACCCTTTGTACTGGCAATCTAGCCACACGTGCAATATGTTTGGAACTGAATCTGAACATCCTATAAAGTTTTATCTCTCTTATTTTTATACTTTGAATATATGCTGAAGCTCAACAATGGAGAAGGGTCGAGGGGGGCAGGGAAAATCACAGATGGGGAGGGTTGTGTTCTTCTTTTTTGTCTTTGACTTTTTTTTTTCAACTTCTTCATAGAGTTCATTTGGTAGCTCAATTTTCATTTTTGTTTGTTTGTTTGTATGTTTCAGTTCATATAAGAGAATCTAATCTTCTATAAACGAATAAATGTGAATAATAAAGTTCTGAAAACATCGTCTACATTACTTTAGGGGAGGGTATTATGTAAAGCTCAAGGATGGTACCAAATCCAATAGTCTTTTTCTTTCTCTTATTCTTGCTTCTTGCTTCTTGCTTATTCTCTTGCTTTTCTTTTGGCTTATTCTTTTGCTTGTTCTTTTACCAATCACCGTTAAGCGCGGTGACCTTTTTCTTGCTACTAATACTAGTTTTGTTTTGTTGTTGCCCGCTGCTACTGCTGATACTAACGTGCATTGACATTCCATTAGTAGCAACGCTTCTGCTGGCTAATCCTGAAAACTGAGAATAGCCTGCGGTGGTGCTAACAAAACCACTCGTGGTTGAATGCCCACCACCAGCATATTCAGATATTGTACCAGATCTGCTTCCAGATCCAGACATACCTGAATGCATAGACGATTTAGTGATCGTCCTGTTTAAGCGATCGTTACCGGCTCTCAAAGAAGAGCCCATAGATGGTGCATAAGTCGAGGAATTCTGAACAAAAGAACTTCTTTCGCTGGATGAAGAAATACCTGATCTTTTTTCTTGGAATATGCTTACTTTTGATGCCGGAATCATTGGTTCATTTTTCCTACCTAATTGCAAAAAGTCAATCTCGGCCTTGAAATTGCTTTGGAATAAATCTAACAATGCCTCATGTGCCATCTTCATACTTGGTGCAATCAATTTACCATGTAAAACCAAACAACGATTCAATATGATGGCTAACTCATTAAATGCTTTATTCAACAACATCGCCTTTTTACTATCCTCCTCGCTTTCCAAATACTTTGGATCCGTAAAAAATAATCGATACTGCCCCACACCTCCATTGACTGGAGAGTCAACAGTTCCGCTTAATTGTCTTGATAAATCATTAAAGTGGTTGGAATAATCGTTTTTGTCCTTAATGTCAGCGTTGATCAAACTCTCAAGCAAAATGAGATCATCGTTTTTCCTACTGATTGTTCGAATGGCATTATCCAAGGGTGATAATCTAATAGTCTTGGCGTCTTTGATGAAACTTCTGTTGAACAATGTTGGAAACGACAACCAGGTCTCATATGTTGTTTGCTCTGTCCAAAGATCAAACACAGAGGTCGAGCCGGGTATTCTTTTTAAACTAGAAAAACATTTCAAGTCCTTGTTCCTAGCATATTGACGAACACCTAGTGAGGCATTGAATAATTTATCTGAAAACTCCCACATTGGCTCAACAGCTTTGATATGCAAATATCTTCCCGTTGGTTCCTCTTCCTTTAATTTTTGTGCTTCAGCATCTTCATTCACTATGATTGCTCCTGGGAACATCTTTAGCAATCTTTCATGAATAGATGTGATATGTTCATATGGTAAACCTTGGTATATTTGTGATATCATTCTCATATACATAGGGAACCCTGTTCCAATTGCTTCAACTCTGAAATAAGATGGCTCTAATTTGTCAGACGACTCTAAATCCAAATAAAGTTGAGCCAACTTGCTATGAACAAGCGCAAAACTCTTCAAGTCATAAGTATGCTCATTGTATGCATCCAATAATTCATTGAATGTGTCTGCTGCCTTCTCAAGACTATTACCCTTGATAAAATTAGAAGCTATCATCTTGTACAATATTTCCTTCCTATCAAATGACGATTGTTGAGGAAATTTTAGTCTAAAACTTGCAGGGACCACTTTATGGTGACTCCATACATAGGTTGATGCCAACAACTCCAAACTCAATGCCGCTTGAACAAAATCTTCCTTACGCACATGATCATCATACATGGAACTGACAAATGCATTGAAATACTCTGGTTTACCTGCTGCTTTGATCTGTGCTCTCAATTTGATCTGATGGAACATCCTATCCTCATCAAATTCTGGACCAACAGGAACACTGATGTAATAGTTCAATGTTGCGAAAAAAGTAGAAAGATTCTGAATGAATCCATAAAAAACACCAAATGCAACATCTTCACGATCTATCCTAATTGTAAGTTTCATTCTTTTGATAAAATTATCTTGGTCTTCTTTTGATGGTTTATATGAAAATTTTTGGAAAATTTCAAATAGCCCAATTAGGCACTCCTTTTCAACTTCCTCTAAGCTATCATTGAGTATATATTCCGCTATTAAAAGTGACCAAAGAATCTTAACTGCAACGCCTTGACATTGATAATTTCTTTGCAATCCAAACATCATCAACTCAGGCAAGATTCCAAACTCATCGTTTATGAATTCTACTTGGTAACCACCGAATTTATCAAGGTTGAATCTAATCATATCTTCTTCAGTTGCTTCCCACGATAACGAGTCCCAAGCTTCGTTAAGAAGAACAGCAGCTCTATCCCTGATATCTCTAGTGATATCAACACAAGCTCTTCTTGGTGCTCTAGATAAATGTTCAACAGCAACTGGTGGCAAAACGGCTATTTTCAACAACGATTTAATGTAGTTTCCCCACAATACCCTGTCAAACAAATCAGATTCATTAATAAGTGGCAACTGGTAGGAAACAATCAACGGTCTGATTAACTCCAAAGCACACATGCAACCTTCAATGATAACCGCAAACAAAGATACCCATCTCTCTTCAGCAAAATACTTCCCTAAACGGAAGTATCTAATTCCCGAAAGAACAGTTAAAAGATCTTCGCTTTCAAACACTGCAGCCAAATATTTACTAGCATCAAAGAAATCATTTTCAAGTTTCGTATTCAAAATTTTCTCGTAACCCTCGTCTCCAGCAGTAGCTTTTCCTATTCTTGCGATAAAGGCAAAACATGTAGTAAGTTCAATCAAGATTTCAACCAAGGTTTCGTCATTGGCATTTTGATCAATAGAAAACGTTTTAAAGGGGTACGCTGTTGGGAATAACTGAGTGAAAACTCGCTTAGACTTGAAAAGACCATTGCCTCTAATGAATTTGTTATACTTGATAAACGTTCTTGCCATTGTTGGTAGGAACTTGGCTAACGAATAACACATTTCTATATCTAAAGGATTTCCCAATGGAATAACTTTTTCCCACAATATTGTACAAACACTGTTAATAATACTGCAACCTAATCTAGTAGCTTCGACATCGGTGAGTCCCACAAATATCTCCATGACCCATTGAATTGACTTGGCAATAAAAGTACGTCGGTTCTCTTCGTCGTCCATTAAAGGAGTATGCAACAATCTCAAAATCAACAACATTTTACTAATAATCACTTTGTGAGACTTATTTGCTCTTTTTGTAGTAGTATCCTGATTCAATTCATCAGCGCCTGCACCTCTAAGACCAATTGAATTAATGAAAGTAATCATTAGTTGTAAAACTTTGCGATTCTCCATATTCACTTGGAAAACATAGACATAATCTACAATGTCTAATATCAAGATTTGGTCATCAATCAAAAGTTGTGAATCAATCGAAAGGAATAATGTGATAGACTTGTATAAATCATTTAACAATATGATATAATCCTCACGAAGTTTCGATCCAACAGGCGGTACAATGGCTAACCTCATCAAGATAAACATTACACGACAAACAGATCTTGAAAGAGAATTCCAGACTGCTTCAGATCTTCTAAAAACTTCTCTTAATTTGTCCAATAAGTAGATTCCAATTTGATCCAGACGTTTGTATTGAAATGTGAATTCCTCAACAAGATACAGATACTGATCTTGTTTACCAAAGATGTTATCCAACAAATGAATAATTGCCTTGAATACGTTCTCCTCTAAAATTTCAACACTTGGTCCTGTATGTCGAAATGATGTTTCAATAATTCCATATAGGGAAGTAAGTAGCTCGGGGAAATATTTAATCAACTGACGAACTTCTAGTCTGCAGAACGTCGCTAACGAGTTGGACAACTCATCAACTCCCTTGGGACCTTGCTGGAAAAAGCTTTCATATTGAAAGATATTATCAATTGAGACATCTGAATTGTAGATTTTACCAACGTACTCGGTGCTCAACTCAATATGTGCCATTGGTGCATGATTGATAACTGACATGATTTCAATGGAGTGTTGTTTTTTCTTGTTAAATTCAACTAATCTGTTACCCGATCTGTACAAAAGTTTACCTTCACCAGCCAAAACACCATTGACGTACAACGATAAGATTATATGGTCATCATTTAGCAGCTTCTTGACTCCTCCTTTCAAAGCAATACCGTTAACTTTAGCAATTTCTCCAATTGATTCACCAGAAAAAACTGAAATGAATTGCCAAAATCGTTTTTCTTGTTGGTTAGAAGCTTTGGCAAAAGTAATGAGTTCATTATTTGGCGTGCTGACTTCAATCGTCAATAAATCGTCCTTGGCCTTCTCATTGATCAATGATATTTTACCTAATTTTAAATAAATTCGCTCATAATTTTCAGCCAAAGGATCAAAGAAAATTGGCTTGATTCTTGAAATTGGAGCACTCGACGAAATATAGTTGGAATTTTGATCGTTCAATTGATGCTTAAACTCCTTAACAGTAACAATCAATCTTTCAGCTCGTGGGTTTACAGCGATTCCATATCCCGATCCTGAAATTATTCTATCTACTACTTCACCCCATCCGCTACTATCATCTGCCGTTTCTGCTCTCTTTGATGAAACTTTCTTATTCACATAAGACCCAAACAATTTGATTGAAAAACGATGTGCTTCTCCAGATACCAACGAGCCTTCGTTGTGAGAGAAAATTCTCGTTATATCAGCTACACCTGCAGCTACACCCTTTTTAACTTTTTTAAGCAGAGGCAATTGTGTCGTTGTTGATTTTAAGTTGAGTTCTACTTCTTCTGTAAGAACAGCAACAAGAAAGACCCTGTTATTTACAATCTCGCTCGATGGAAGATTTTTGAACAAAGCAGCACTTATTTTCTCGACATGGACCAACTCGTGAACTGATTCAGTATGAATAGCAAAAGCCTCTGTTAATCTTTTGTCATTATTTCGAAGATACAAGTATGCGGTAGTTCCAGAATAACCAGGTGGTTGATAAGCTGACGAGCCGGAAACAGACTTGAAATCAACCAAGATATGTGATGGTGGGTCATGTTGAAACTTTTTGTTTGGAGGTGGTTCCAAAGTAAAACGGTGTGGATTGTTGTGCACATTTATAGGATAATTTGTCACAAGTGCTGCAAGCTCACTATTTAATGCAACTAAGGATGGAGTAGAATTTTTCAAGTTGAGTAGTTCACCACTATTTGAATCACGAGCCAAAATAGTCTTGTAACCGGAAACATCTGTATAATCGTTATCCAAATCAAAAGACCTGGTATTTATTCGCAAGCTCCTTGAGGCCAATTTTTTGGAAATTTCATTTAATAAAAAAGTGGCTGTTTCAATAGCTATCTTATGTTCTTCTTCGGTTAACAAGTTAAATGTTAGTTTAATCGTTGTCTCTTGTAAGGCTCGATAAATAAATGATAATTTGTCATATAGCTTGAATTCTCCAATGGCATATAATGCAAATATGTGACAAGTAAGAAGTTCCAAAGTGTGCTTGATTTCCTCGCAAATATTACTGTTTGATGCATTATTATTGGGCATTGATGGAATTGCTTGTCTTGTATCCTTTGCTTTGTCAGTGCCATCGACTGCCTCCTTGTGATCATTCTCTGACTGGTAAATTGAAGGAACACCGTGGGTATCAACAACACTATCAAACTCTTGACTGGTTTTCGATTTAGGAAAGGGAATTTCCGATATGACTTTGACATACCGCAAGGGGAACACTACTACAATGTACTGTTCAACTGGTAAATCATCCAAATTTGCAGATGTGGCAAGAAAATCTTGAGGCATTGGCCTCACTAACACGTAACCTCTCGCCCATTTATCGTCCTTAACTTCAAAAATGAAAACCTGGTCCCCTGGGTACAAATTCTTCAAATTCGGGTTCTTCAATTTGGGATGCTTATCATTAGGCAAAAACGGTTTCAAAATCTTACCGTTGAGAAAGGCCTCGGTTGAAACCCAAGTCATTATCCCTTGCCTTCCAAAACGATGAAAAAAAAGGTTTCTACAAAAGAAAACTCTGACAAAAAAAAAAAGAAGGAAAGAAAAAGAGAGAGAGAGAGCTGAACTTGAACTGGAAAAAATAAAAAAGTCAAAATTGTTACCTAGTGGTTATTATTTGGTCTTGAATAATCGAGTGGTTTGGATTTCTTGATAAAATTGTTCTTTATTGTGAACGCCTTATAGTTTTTTTTATACCACAAAAAATATACCACATAGTATACAGCATAATATACTACAGCATAATATACTACACAATATACTACACAATATACTACATAATATACTACACAATATACGACACAATATACCACAAAATATACCACAAAATATATAGCACAATATCATGGAAAATCTACAAACCTATTCTTAATTTCGGGCCAATAAGTAAATAAGGTTCTGGCTTTCTAAAGATTCAACCCTGCAAGACGAATTAGTTTTGTAGATTTCCCATGATTCAAGGGGAATTTGTAGACCCATTCTAGAAGTCATGAGACCTAAATCCGCATACTAAGAACTTAAAAAAAAAGAAGAAAAAAAGAAAAGTCAAGTTCTCTCACTATATCAAGCCTCTAAAAGGAAGGTAGTGTGCTCCACTCGATATGGTTGATCAGAGGTAGTGTGCTCCACTCGATATGGTTGATCAGAGGTAGTGTGCTCCACTCGATATGGTTGATCAGAGGTAGTGTGCTCCACTCGATATGGTTGATCAGAGGTAGTGTGCTCCACTCGATATGGTTGATCAGAGGTAGTGTGCTCCACTCGATATGGTTGATCAGAGGTAGTGTGCTCCACTATCTCGCTTCGCTCGATAGTGTTGTAATGTGAGAACATGGAGGAAACTAAAATAAAAGGAATTAACATAAAGTCTACTTTAATTTTTTTTTTCTCGTCTACCAATAGTTAATTTAACTTGTACATACTAAAGTTACATTTTTGTTGAAACAAATTGATATAAGACGATGAGGAGAGAAAAAAAAAGTTTCACCACCTCATCCTCATTTACTCTTTTTGAGTTTATGTATGTAGTTCTTTCTAACAATTTCTTCTTTTTTTTTTCTTCTTCTTCTTCAAGCTATACTAAGAATGATATCCACTTGTACAAGACCTCTTTAAAGTTTCTCTTATTGTAGTCAGTTCCCCCATCCCAGATATATCGATCCATTTCAGTCCTTCCTGAATCGAAATCCAATTGGTCCAAACTTGGTATCGATGTTCCCTTGATAACTCTATAACCAGCATAGAGTGCCGCAAAGACCATTAAAGGTCCATAGCTTGAAAAAAAAAACATTGTGTCCCACTCTTTCTTCAAAAACACGACGAATCCCATAGACAATATTATAAGCGCCGTAAAAACCATACCACAAATGGCACTATATGGCTGGAACGGAGATCGATAAGGATATGACTTGTGGTTTCTTCCAATTATATCCGGTCGTCTTCTCAACCCGTAATAAAAACGCACAAATGTGAGGCACATTGCAAACCAAACAAAGATCCCTGTCGAAGAAATAACACTGTTCAAGTTTTGGAAAACAATTGTTGCCGATTGCGAAACACACGTATATGAAAATAACCCAAAAGATCCTGCAAACAACACAGCATTATAAGGAATTCCCTTCTTGTTGCAATATGTTAAAAACCTGGGTGCTTTGCGTTGCAAGGCCAAAGCATAAATTGTTCTTGAACTCACATATAATTGTGCATTGCCACAACTAACTGCAAAAAACACCAAAAAGATACTAGCAGCAGTACTAAAGCTACATAACCCAGCACTTTGAAAGGCTACTACCCAAGGACTTTGAGCGCCACTACCATAGCCAGCAAGGATCGTAGAGTCAAAATCACAATGGGTGCCGCCAACAGATTGAATTGCAATATTAGTTGCAAACTCCTCTTGCAGAATCCCCGTTGTGCCCAGATAGTATCGCAACAACCTGGGATCTCCCGCGTAAATATTTAATGTCACTAAAAATGCTGATAGACAGTAAAATATAACAATTCTCCAAAAAACTCTCTTTGTAGCAGAAGGAAGGGCTTTTCTGGGGTTTTTAGCTTCGCAAGCTGCAATGCACACAATTTCAGTACCACTGTATGCGTAGCTTACAACTAAGATAGCAGTAAGTAGTGATAGGAACCTACCTGTATTCCCACCTATACCATCCGATGGAGGGCTTGTACCTTTATCATGCAAGTTAAAAGATGGCCGAAATAATCCATAAATGATATTATTCTCAAAGTCCGACTTCAGACGATCCCAATACTTGAATCCAATCACTGGTCCACCAAACCCACCACGATTTAAAATAATCATCACAATCATCATCACCACGATCCATATCAACTTAATCAAACTTGAAACGAATTCAATCTCACCATAAACTCTGATATCAATGAGATTACTGAGAAGCACTGATGCAAGAAATAGAGTAACAAACCCAGTGGTTGCACCTTTGTTAGACATTGTCTGCAAATTAGGAAAATACGACAACATTATCACTCCAGCAACCACCTCGCCTGTTACACCAAATGCAAAACTAAAGAAATATAACCAACCAGTGGCAAAACCAAACGCATCATCGACAAACCTCGAGCTTAATCCAGAAACACCATCAATTACCGAAACGAACGTTACCATTTCACAAAAGGACATCATTGTGCACAATACGACCAAGCCAACAATACCAAACGCTAGTACTGCTCCAAACCCACCGGCAATGTTTATAGCTTTTCCTGAATTTAGAAATAACCCAACACCAACGGTTCCACCAAGCGATATCATTTGTAAGTGTCGTACGCTCAATCGTCGTTGTAGTAATTGTGAAGAAGCGCCATTGTCATCATCATCATCATCATCATTATTATCATCGTCGTCGTCGTAGTCGTCTTGTGTTTTTGAGGAATTCGATCTGGAAAAGAACAACTCTTCATCATCACTTTTCGTCACGTACTCTGTTATTGCTGCTGCTTCCTGCTCCTTTTTGAAATTGTGTTTCAAGAATCTTTTCTTGGTTCCTTTTGTCAATGATGTGTCATGGCCACCGTAAAAATTATTGGCAAGGTCCAGCTCTTTAACAATCTTTAAAGTGTTCTTTTCTTCTTTTGGATTTATTGGTAGTAGTTTCAGAAAAACTTGACCTTGAATCTTGTCACTCAAAGCCGTTTCTTTAACAAACTTTTCAAAATCGTTTAGTTTAGATAGTTCAAAAACTGAAGAGCTGTTTGATCTCATGATTTGTAAGGGTATGTCTTCATTGCCTTTCATTTTGTCAAGAATGATCCTTGCTTTATTTCTCTTTGACTTTTCTTTTGCCAATTTTTCATACATTCTGACAAATTTGAATCTTCCCGGTTCGTCCATTTCATTGTTTCTTGCCAAATCATCTATCACACTTGAGTCCAACGATGGAAGATCGTCATTCGACCCCTCCTCTTCCTCCTTCTCCTCCTCATAAAGTGCTGCTGTGCCTACACGCGATGGTGGCAGATAATTAGACAAGTCAACTTCATTCATCTCCAAATCTAGCCAAGAAGCATGCTGTTTTCTTGGATTGAAAACTTTCCTCAACGTGTTTACTGACTCATTGTCAGAATCAGCTGCTAATGGTGATGATGATGTCGAGGGGGAAGAGGAGGAGGGGACCTTGTTTTTATTGTTATTGTTCAAACCATGTCGACTATACATGCTAGGAAATAACCCATTGTTTTGTATAAACGTATCTGATTCCTCATCAGAACCCAAAGGGCTCTTCATCTCTTCTTAACAAGAAGGAGTTCCTTTCAAAGCAATTCTATGAGTATCTAACGGGAGTTCCTTTCAAAGCGATTCTATGAGTGTATCTTACGTAGAGTTACCTCAAGGCTTAACATATACCTAAAAAATTGTAAACACCCAAGGGGCTAATATAATCATGACTTAAAGTTCTTTTTATTTTCTTTATAGTCTTTTTTTCCCTTCTACTATGAAACCATTTTGTAAGAGTTAAACTATAAAGATTAAGCATCTACTTGCTAAGCTATAAAATTAAAACTTTTCAAACAAACTTTTAATCAAAGTCTATGATTCCAAACAAAAAACACACATGGCACACATTGTGTTCTACATTGCATTTGGAATACACAGATTTCTTCAACTAAAAATGGGTGTGAAAAGTCGATTTTTCAGTTTCGCGTCAGAAGCCGATATTGATTAGTATAGTGGCAACGACACTGTGTAGATTGATTATGAGCAAGCCCATTTAAAATCAAAACCTACTGAGTTTTTCCAAAAATAACTTAATATTGTAACATATTAAAGTCATCAATGATGACATTTCAGCTGTTACACTGAAAAGAACAGATACTACACTGGATCTAAGCCAAATGGCAAAGAGATTTGGTGTTCAGAAAAAGGGAGACTAGGGAAACTGCTAGTATTTATAGTAAAATTTTAGGGTCGTGTAAGGGTGACCCGAAAAATACCTATAACAAAAAAAAAAGGCTCATCTCTTCTCATCGCAAAAAAAAAAAAAAAAAAAAAAAAAAAAGATTTACTGAGTGCGTAATACTTTTCATTGAGTGCATAATACTTTTCATTGAGTAGTTTTCATTTTTTTAGTGCGTACTCTTCAAATTTTTAGTGCGTACTCTTCAAATTTTTAGTGCGTAGTGCTCTTCAAATTTTTAGGGCGTAGTGCTCTTCAAATTTTTCACTCATCTCTATATCCAATTTTTTTTCTCTTTCATATTCTTTACTTTACTTTATTTTTCATATCACCACATTAGTTATTAAAAAATGGTATGTTTTTTGGATGTCTCAAGACTGAGATAATTGCTGGAACAACATCCTTCTTGTTTGTCACAATAATCTTATACTCTTCACCATACCAGATTTTGTGCATCTAGAAGTGATGGTTACTTTGTTTGTTTGTTTTTAGTAAGAAGGAAAGGGAAGAAAATGAGTTTTTCTTTTTTTCAACCAATACTTTTAACCTTGTTATTGGTAAAGAAAGAGGATTAGAAAGTCTTTATTTCTTTTTCTTCCCCCATCTTTTTTATTTATTTCGATATGTGCCATCACTTCTTTGATGCACAGGCTGAGTATCCTTGTTATGGATACTGTAGAGTTTAAGTGAAAAAAAAAAAAGGAAGGAATACATCTCTTTCTTGAGAACCTTTTTATTAACTTTTACTCAATGACACAGCCTTCTTCTAAGAAAGTTGCTCCAGCTCCATTTGCTACTAAAGCAAAAGGTCCTATTAAACCAAAGAACCCTTTAATTGAATCTAGTCCTAAGAATTTCGGTCTTGGACAATCGATCCAACCAAAGAGAAACTTATCTAGATTTGTTAAATGGCCAGAATATGTTAGATTACAAAGACAAAAGAAGGTTTTGTCTTTGAGATTGAAAGTTCCACCATCTATTGCACAATTTAGCCAAACCTTGGACAAGAACACTGCAGCCCAAACTTTCAAATTGTTCAATAAATATAGACCAGAGACTGCTTCTGAGAAAAAGGAAAGATTAACCAAGGAAGCTGCAGCTGTAGCTGAAGGTAAATCCGCCAAGGACGTTTCACCAAAACCAATCAATGTCAAATATGGTTTGAACCATGTTGTTTCTTTAATAGAGAACAAAAAGGCAAAATTAGTTTTGATTGCAAATGATGTTGATCCAATCGAATTGGTTATTTTCTTACCAGCCTTGTGTAAAAAGATGGGTGTTCCATATGCTATCGTTAAGGGTAAAGCCAGATTAGGAACTTTGGTGCACAAGAAGACTTCCGCAGTAGCTGCATTAACTGAAGTTTCATCTGCTGATGAATCTGAATTGACTAAATTGATATCGACTATTGATGCTAATTACTTGCAGAAATACGAAGAGAACAAGAAACACTGGGGTGGTGGTATAATGGGCTCAAAGGCTAATGATAAAATCGCTAAGAAGCGAAAGGCTATTGCCAATGCTGCATCTACAAGTAGTAATTAAAAGCTATTGCCAATGCCGCATCTATAAGTAGTAATTAAAAGCCTTTATTGTATTTATTTTCGATCCATCTGTATAAATGTATGAATGTAAAAGAGAACCGTTGTTACTATTATGATGTTATTAAATCATCAATCGGTGATACGAAATCAATTTCTTCTCAAGTATTTGTCACGTGTATGTTAGGGCTATAAGCATTCACCTGAACAGAGAGTTTAGTTTTTTTCCATTTAATACTGGTGTCTGGATGTGCAACATACTATCGGGGGAAAAAAACATTGGACATGTACTTTGAAAAATATTCAGATAATCATTAGAACATTCAAAAGTACATCCTTTACCTCGATATACACAAGCAAAAGTATGTTTCTAGTGGTTGTTTACAGATATGGGTTAGAGCAATGACTGGCAAAAGAAAGTGAGGATCATGTTTACATTACACGTTATAATGGAGGAACCGCCTAATATTCATTTTTTCCACTAATTTAGTTAGTTACAGATTGGGCAAGAATGAAATTGAACGTTTTTATTATTTCACTTGAACTAAGGGAACAGGGGCAACGTATATCAAGATGACCTAACAAGATCAGTGTTTGCTACTACTGCTTGTCAATCAGCATATAGTCTTCCCTTTTGGAATCAAGGTTGGGAATGGAAAAACTTTACAATTATATGCGACATACAAATATAACACTTTTGGCAATAAACCTGTTTTCACTTTCCCCTTGTTCTCCTTACAGTTTGTCCTGTCATTGTTGCTTCCTTAATCTTTTTATTCTTATCAATTTGTTACTAACTTTTCTTTTTTTTTTTTTTCAAAAGATGGCTAAAAGTAAGAATCATACCAACCACAACCAGACTAGAAAAGCTCACAGAAACGGTATTAAAAAGGCAAAAACTTTTAAATACCCTTCATTGAACGGTGTTGACTCAAAATTCAGAAGAAACCACAGATACGCTTTACACGGTACTGCTAAAGCATTGGCTAAAGCAAAAGCTGAAGAATCCAAATAAGTTGTTTGTTGAAGCTCTTTGTAACTGTGACTTTGAAGCTTACAGAAGAGATAATCAAGACATGCATATATATGGGTGAATTTTGAATAGCACATCAAACTGATAGATGATATCAAGATTTTTTTATTCAATGTACATTATATCTTTGTAATTGAATGGGTTGTAGAAGGAGGACAGAGCACTTTGATTGAAGAGTGTTTTATATTTTTTTCTCTTACACTATCGACACTATCGAGCGAAGCGAGATAGTGGAACAACACTAAATACACCGCGATACTATCGAGCAAATATACACCGCGACACTATTAAGCAACACTGACTACCGACACTAAAAGAAGAATACATTACACACGGGGTTAATTACAAGAAATCGTTTGAAATTTAGATGATTGGCAAAGTAATGACCCATTTCTAGACGTTTGAATCTCTGGACCAAACTCGAATGAGTTTATCCAAGAATCAGTTTGCATGGTTTTGGGGAAATGGATCAATACCAAAGATATTTTGAACAAAATGCTCTCTTGATAAAAGTGAGAAAAGAGAGAGATAACGTCCTTGTAGTATCCTCTAAACCAAATCAAATCTAACAAAGCAGTGATTGCAAATGTTGCTACTCTCTACTGTATTGCTCCACTAGGGAGCGAAGCGAACTGGTGTTGCTACTCTCTACTGTATTGCTCCACTAGGGAGCGAAGCGAACTGGTGTTGCTACTCTCTACTGTATTGCTCCACTAGGGAGCGAAGCGAACTGGTGTTGCTACTCTCTACTGTATTGCTCCACTAGGGAGCGAAGCGAACTGGTGTTGCTACTCTCTACTGTACCGCTCCACTAGGGAGCGAAGCGAACTAGTGTTGCTACTCTCTACTGTACCGCTCCACTAGCTCGCTTTGCTCACTAGTTTCGCTACAACTCATCAAATCTACATTGTAAAAGAGGATGTTTGCTTTTTTCTTTGTCTCTTTACCAGCTATCAATGGATAAATCAGCATTACTTCTATAAAGGCAAAAGAAGAAGATATTGTACCGCTTCACTAGCTCGCTTTGTTCCCTAGTGTTGCTACTGTCGCTGTCGCAGTTTTGGCATCAAAATCAATTGAAAAGTTTTTTGCAACAACTTTCTACAAAAAAACCCCCCTTTTCACTTTAAATCTTTCCTACCGCTTAAAGAATAGAACAGAAGTATAACCCAGAAATATCCTCAAATGTCGACACACCAGCCAGTTCATTATAGGATCTATATCAAAAATTTGGATTATCTTACAACCGATGAAGATTTACAGATATTGTTGGACAAATATGAACCGTGAGTTGTTTTCTTCAATTAATCTATTCCATTGCCGCCCCTTAATATTTGTTTGCAGCAACCCCCCTTGTAATACTAACTATAATTTCATTTGCATTATTTAGGATCAATATCTTGATTCCAAGCTATACTATGCGCTTCAGTAGAAAGGGTAAACATAGACCCTTGGGGATTGCCTATGCTGAGTTTAAAACTCAAGAGCAAGCTCAGCTTGCTATTAAAGATTTCGACGGTGCTTTGGTTAATGGGAAAAGGATAACAATCAAGACTTCTAATCCGTATACACCACGCACTCACCGATTAAATTTTATCTGGAAACCAAGATCAAAAAAAGCTGTAAAGCCTGGTCCGTTATTTGAAGAAGATTTCCAGTCTTTAGCTGAAAACAACAACAACAACAACAACAACAACAACAACAACAATACTAATAATATTAATAACAATAATGCAGAGACAACCTCCTTCTCCGAGTCTGTTGGCGAGTCGTCGCAAACAAACTCAAACTCAAACTCAAACTCAAACGTGTTGCCAAATACAATCCTTATTCCAAAAGCTCGAGGAGTAGTCTCAGAAGGTACAGTTCAAGAATTTTTCAAAGACTATTCCCCCAGTAAAATCACCATTCTCAATAATAAGAAATCTAGAATAAATCCAATTAATCTTACTGGGTCCTCTGTAAGTGTTTTGGCTAGGTTCGATTCTTCTGACTTCCATTTGGATGACGTTATTGCAAAATTAAAGTTGCAAAAATTGAACGGAAAACGCGTTGAATTAAAGTCTGTTAATAGGACAAAAGCTGAGGAATTGGAAAGAGCTGCTATCAAGTTAACAACACTTTCCAAATTATCTGATGCAAGCACCACCAACAGAAACTTATTGGCTGCAAACATTGATGATGATGATGATGATGATGATGATGATGCTGCTGCTGCTGCTGCTGCTACCACGTCAAATATTTCAAGAAGAGATGGATCAGAAATAGTATCAGCAGAACAGAGAAGCCAAGAGGATGACATTGGTCACGTTCAAGATCTTACAAGTAGTTCAAACTTTACAGAGCCAATCGTGTCTTCCAATCCTGCTACACCCATTTGCTAACTAAAGTAAGTCTATTTCAATACCTTTTTGTCTTTGTCTTTCCTTTTTTATCTCTTATAATATATTAAAATAAAAACTTACCCCAAAAACTATTTAACCATGCATTCTTTTTTTTAATTGTACAAAGTATTTTTAATGTTGAAATTAAACAATTTTAATCAGAAGTTTTTTGTGTACCACGTAACAAACCAGTTCTTCTAGCAGCAATCAAACCAGCCTTTTGACCTGAAACAGCACCTCTAGAAATGGTAGAAGCTTTACCAATGTGTTGATGGTTACCACCACCGTGAGGGTGATCAACTGGGTTCATAGCAACACCTCTGGTCTTTGGCCATGAGTTTCTCTTTACCTTGTATTTATGGAAAGCTCTTCCAGCCTTCAATAATGGTTTATCAATTCTACCACCACCTGCAACAACACCAATAACACCTCTAGCATCTGAAGAGATAACCTTTTTAGCACCAGATGGTAATTTGACCCTGGTTTTGTTTTCATCTGGATTGTGTCCAATGATGATGACATAGTTACCTGAGGTTCTACCTAATGCACCTCTGTCACCAGTTTTTTCTTCAACATTTGAAACAATAGTACCTTCTGGGCATGCACCTAAAGGCAAAATGTTACCTACATTCAAGGAAGCTTTCTTACCAGCATAAATGAATTGACCAGTGTAAACACCTTCGTTGGCAATAAAAGTTTCTTCTCTTAATTTGTATCTGTATGGGTCTCTGAAAACAACTTTGGCCAATGGAGCACCTCTACCTGGATCGTGGATAATTTGTTTAACAACACCACGGATGTAACCATGACGTTCAGCGTAATCCAAGGTTCTCAACTTGGCAGCACCTTTTCTTAATCTGGTGTGCGAGGTGAAAATGGAACCAGCACCTTTTCTTTGATTACGAATGACTCTACCTGTGATAAAAAAAAATTTAAATGTTAGTATATAATTGTCACTAATAATAATAATTTTCAACTCGTCAAGATCAAGGTATCAAACTGTTGTTCATCAAGAATTGATCGTTTTCTTTGTTAGATTAAAAAAAAGTAGTTGTTGATTAAATATCATCAAATCACAGGGGAGAGGGGAGGAGAGGAAACCCAGTCTTTCTTGTGACATGTGGTTCTCAAAATCATCAAACCCGTGTGATTCCCCTAATCACTTTTTGTCCTAAAATCTGTTTCCTTCTAGTACGAAATGAAAAGCTGATAACCATTTGCTGCTTGTAAATGTAAAGTTTCGCTCATTAGACATCGATGACGACGAGTGTAATACCCTCTTTATATCTCTATATCACATACCCATTGTTTATTACTTGGACTTGGATTTGGTTTGATAGCCAATTTTTCAAAAGGACTTGAACTTTTTTTTCACTTAATTCCTCAGAGTTGGTGAGAAGGACCCAATACTGCGCGAAAAAGAAAAAATGGCTGAGATTTGAAGAAGAGGTAGTGGGATGTGAACAAATATGAAATACTAGGGCTTAGACCTACAACTATATCTTATTCTTATTTTTGTTTTTTTTGTTGCCACATAATATGTATTGACCACAACACTATCAAGCAAAGCGAGATACAAGTGGAGCAGTACTGACTATGTATTGCCACATTGAAAACTAATATTCTCCCATTAGTTTTCGACACTATCTGCCACAGACACTATATATTACCATCTTACTTCCTCTATAGAGTAGTTGCTGTATACTGTACCATCTTACTTCCTTTATAGAGTAGTTGCTGTATACTGTACCGTCTTACTTCAAGTTTTTATGGAAGGTTTCAAGCTGGGCACTTTTTTACTACTAATCTAATTCTACTAGTATAAGAGTTTGTTGTTTATCAAAGCAATGAGCATTAGCCATTTGCAGATATTATTTTTCTACATTTTGTGCCGTTATTGATGACTGGCATTTCATCTATGCCTAGTTTGCCCACCCGCCCGCCTCCTCTGTCAAAAACCCCATTTTGATGATTTTACATTAACGGCAATGACCGCGACACTAAATCGCTTCGCTCGATAGTGGAGCAATACTGACTATGTATTGTACATTGAAAACTAATATACTCCCATGTAAAGCTTGAGCTTGTGCCACCTCTACCACCTTTAGAATCGTTATCTTCTTGATACCAGGTGTGTTTAACATTGTTCAACATTGACAGTTGAATTGAAACAGGAGTTTAAGTTTTATTGAAAAATTATCCTGTATACAAGTAAATTTTTATCTAGATATACGGGCATCGCAAATAGAGATGCAAGGGTTGATATACGCCATGTTTCATGGACAAAACCACAAATGTTACTTAGACCTAACACAGGGAACATCAGCTTCAAATACCACAGATGCATTCATATAACTACAAATTGTTACAATAAGCTGGCGACAGATTCATTATATAACCGAGTAAGTAAAAATCTCCCTCTCGCGGTAAATGAGCACATTGGGAAACCCGATTCACCTAATGTGAAGCAGCGGCATCACCAGGAGAGAGAAACAGTTTCTCTTGATAGAAGACCACTCATCAATAGACTACTACATATTAGAAATGGCCGCAAGAAGTTGCAATTTAGGAATGGAAAAGTATCATCATCATCATCATCATCATCATCATCATCATCCTCTTCTTCTTCTTCTTCTTCTGCTTTCAGTCACTTCACCTCGGAAAATACACCCGAGACCCCAATACGCCAGTGTATTGCACCAGATCAGGATACAATACCTCAACTAGCACATAATTTGGATCGCGTGTTGTTCTCCCCGGGTGTTCATTTTCTCCAAGATCCAAGAACACGCGTATACAACTTTTCACCCTTTTTGAAGGATATCATACATTACAAAGACTTTAATTTTGACGCAATAGAAAAGTTCATCCCTGCATCGAAACACAAGGAGTTATTGAAGAATGCAGAGAAGTTCAAGATGCAGTTTTACTCAAGTACATCTTCCATGACTTCAATGTTGAGCAAGTTTTATTTGCTATTGAACAACTATAATTCTAATAGAGTAGACAGGTTTGGGAAAATCCCCTTTCGTGGATTGAGCTTTCGTTTACCAACGAGCATGTTTGTGGAACCTCAAAAGATTCTTGATAAGAACAAGGGTGCAATATATTCAATACTGAGTGATAAGTCATATGACACGGAAATCTTACTAAGTGCCATGGGTTTGTGCATGGAAACATTATTGACAAACCCCAAGGAAGAGTTTGCCAAATACAGAAAGGATAGCGAAGAGAAAATAACAACACCACCACCAAACTCGTATAATTATTCATCATTCAAGAGCTTTTTGATGCGATCTCAATTGGATTGTTACGATGAAAGACTTCCAGGAAATGGTACGTTTGACTTAAAAACAAGAGCCTCAACAAACGTTCGATATAACTCTCGTGATCCTAATGTTGGAGAAGCCGACTATCAAATTTTCAAGCTAAGCGGTCCATACGAGAGTTATGAGAAGGAGTTTATAGATATGGTTCACACAGGAGCCTTGCTCAAGTATATGTTTCAAGCAAGAATTGGGCAGATGGACGGCATTTTTGTGGCATACCATAACATTAACTCCATGTTTGGTTTTCAATACTTACCGCTTGAGGACTTGGATGCAATTTTTTATTCCCACCAAGCTAATGAAAGATATATACTTCCTGATTCCAATGAAGAGGAACTTGAAGAATACCGTTCGCGAGACTTTCTCCCTTCATTTATAGCCGAGACCCAATTCAAGTTTTCTATTGAAATTTGGGAAGTTTTGCTACAACAGTACGTTTTAGAGGATATGAAAAGGGCAGGTCTTGAGAACACACCTTTTAGACTCGTTGCGCGAACATTTAAAAAGCCTGACCGTATTGGTCTTCTGCTAGAAGTCTTGGTGATACCAACATCTCCCAAGGAAATTAAGCATTTTCAACTGTTTTTTGCCAGATTTCCAACGGGGTTTAAGAAGGATTTAACCCACGAGCAGAGAAACAGTAATGTTGAAAATCACGCAAAAGAGTTGATGAAGTACAATACTGAAACCATCAAGAATAAAATATTGTTTTCTTATGCTATCACAATGCAGAAAAGTGTGATTGATGGAGAAGATAAGCCTTTCAATATGTTTCCAAAGAAGATAACAAATTCTTGGAAATTAAAGTACATGATTAAGAGAATGAAGCGCCCAACTGTTGAGTACCTTGAGAAGATATTGAATGAGCAACTTGAAAGCTTAACTCTGTCTCTGGTTGCCGCAAAAGGGATATCGAAAGCAATATTGAATATTCAAAAGAGGAATAAAGCATACGAAAAATTAGGAACACTTCGAAAAAAGCACTGGGCTTTAAAGGAAAAGAAACAACTAGTCTATAGACCAAAGTATCCTTTTTGATAGAGACTACCATAAAGTGTATATATGTATGTATATATTTGTTAATGCATACTGGCAAAAAGTATTTAAAGAATCTAGTTTTTCCATTAAACATGGCCATTTCCGTTCAAGGATACTGTTCCATTTATCAAGTCCTCTTCATTGACTACTATTGCACCATTTGGAATATCGTTTTTGTGAATTGCAGAGCCGTGATTGTCATATTGCGGTAATTGCAGTTGCAGTTGCAGTTGCAGTTGCAACTCCAGCTCCAGCTCCAGCCCCAGCATCTGCTTTGCCTTTTCCTTTCCACCTTCAAAGTTTTCTCTCACTCGAAGATAATGTTGCAATTCTTCTGCGGAAACTGAAGGTATTAATTCGCTTTGAGCTTTGATAAAGTCTTCCATCTTGACAGCAACGGCAGTATCCTCTTTTTTGGCAATGTTATCAAACCACCATCTTGAATTAACCTCCTTTTTACCTTCCTTGACTTGCATTTCATTAAATGTTTTGATTTTGACATCAACCTCGTTGGCCACTCTTGTCATAGCATTCAACATGGAATCTGAACATAATGCATAAAAGTCTGCACCTGTATAGGTAAACGAACATTTTTCTGCTATTTTTCCTAAATCAACATCATCGTCCAATTGAAACTTTCTTGTCAAGGCTTCCATTATCTTTGTTTGCTTATCATTTGTGTCTGAAATTCCAAGATAAAGCATCTTATCAAACCTACCAGGTCTAAGCAAAGCTTCATCCAACAAATCAGGTCTGTTGGTAGCACCAACAACGAATACGCCATCACCCCCATCACTGCTCATACCATCTAGTTCTGCTAGTAATTGAGATACAATTCTATCCATAACACCACCAGAGTCCCCCTGATTTCCTCTCTTGGGAGCAACAGAATCCAATTCATCAAAGAAAATAACACACGGCTTTGCATCTCTTGCTCTTTGAAACACTCGACGAACATTTGCTTCAGACTCTCCAATGTACATGTTCAATAACTCGGGACCCTTAACTGAAAAAAAGTTTAGCGAAAAGTTTGTAGCAATTGCCTTTGCCAATAAAGTTTTACCTGTACCAGGGGGACCATAGAATAGGATACCACTTCTTTTCTTCAAACCATTATTAAATAGTTCTGGATGTTTCAATGGCATGTCGATTGTGTCTAAAATTTCATCCTTTACTAAATCTAAACCACCAATATCCTCCCATTTCACGTTAGGAATACGCGGAGCTCCAATAGAGTCACTGAATTGACTTCTTGCCTCATTTATAGCAGTCTCGAAGTCTGATGGGATCCAATTAATGACTCCTCCATTCCCAATACTTATTAAATTTTCATATGGTACTTTGATTTCACGTGATAATTTATAAAGCCTCTTGATGGCTAGCTTTTTAGACTTTTTCACAATAGAGATCAAATCCCTTGGAGTTAACCCGGCCGATTGTAAAGCCAAAGTTTTGAAACTGATATCTTTTCTTATCGTAAATGGGTATGATGTGGATTCGTTACAATGAGAAATTTTCGATTTTTCGTTTCCAATTAAATACTTGAAAATTTCTAATCTTTCATTTTCAGTGGGAACGGTGAGTTCAATGGTAAACTTGACGAGCGACTTTAACCCATCGTCAACTTTATCATAGTCATTACAGCTCATTACAATAACGAGGTTTGGATATTTCTGTAAATAATCATTCAACATTTGTATGATTTTCAAAGTAAGCGATGTAAACACATTCGAGTTTTGGTCATTTTCATCTGTCTTTGGACACAAGTTCTCAACGTGCTTCAAGTAAATGACATGAAATGTAGTGGTATTTTCAGACGTGGAAAGGATTAAATTGTCAATCTTCCCACCAATTTGCCCAATCGTCCTAAGCTCTTGGCCAGGATTCAAAAAATCAAGACAATCAAGCTCAATTAGGTTCAACCCCAAATCCAAACAAATACTTCTCACCAAAGTTGTTTTGCCAATACCCCGGCTCATGGACGTTAAAAGTACAGTTGTCTTCAAATTGAATTTTGCTGACATACAAGTTGACATTATCCTTCTAAACTCTTGCGCATATTTAAAGTCTTTTTCGGTTTCCGAATAGTTAAAGATTGGCGGCAAATTCAAATACTGATACCATCCTGTACCTACATTTACTGGCAATTTAGTGCTTTCGACACCAGACGATACTAGCATTGTCTTTGCTGGATCAATTTGAAATTGGTTTGTGCCAATATTATTTACACCCTTGATTTCAGTAATTTTGAACCAAGCTACGGCATCTGGATTTCCAATAGGTATAACGTTATAGCTCCCATCGTTATTATTATTATTATTATTAGTATTATTATTACTATTGTTGTTGTTGTTGTTGTTGTTGTTGTTGTTGTTGTTGTTGTTGTTGTTGTTGTTACTATTATTATTATTGTTGTTGTTGTTGTTGTTGTTGTTGTTGTTGTTATTGTTATTGTGTTCACTCTCGTTCGTAGTGTCAGTTGTTGAATTATCAAACATGATTTTGGCCAATACCGTGTCTATCACTACTGGGAAATAATCTCCTTCTTGAACACATTTACGATGTTCGCTAAGTATAGTCTTTAAACTTGAGAAAAAACTTTGTTGGTAAGTCTTGTCCATTGTTATTTGAGAACTCACTCTGGAGATGGTTGCGACCTCGGCAACAGGTATCACATCAATAAGCGAGTCACCATCACCAACGTTCACTTGTTCAAATTCCACCTTGGTATCCTTTGCAAGTTGTAAATTCACCAATAATATCGGAGAGACGTATATTGCACCTGCAGGGAAAGAACACTGTGGTTCAGTAAATGAAAAAAGTCGAACAATGACTCTTTTTGTCAGACAACTTTTCATTCTAACTAAATCTCCATTATAAATTGGAAATCCCATTTTCAAAAAGTCTGAATTGTTGATGTATGCAAATAGTTCGGTATCTTCCTTTGACCATTTCGAAGGGATCTCGGCTATGTTAATCTTCTCAGGTATTGGCTTAACATAAAACTGGGACGTTTTTGTTTGGGTGCCATGCTTATTGAACGCAAGATTTGAAGATAGGTAAGTGGATATGTCAAACTGTTCGAGTGCGTGATCATCGCTATCACCATTATTATCCATATCGTCGTAATCAGCATCAATTTCTTCAACTTCAACCAAGTCTGCATCTCTTTTTCCTGGTAGAGTCTTTGATGGTTGATCATTTTCATTTATCAAGACAAAAGTAGTTGTGGAGTCAACCATTCCTTGGGAGACTGGTTCGCACAAGTTCGCTTTTCCGTTTATCGACCTTATACAGTCTCCTTCATTGATAATATTCCGATTATCATTTAAGAACTGAGTTGTAAATAGGTGCTTTATTGTCTGTAAAGATTTTCCTTGTAGAAGACGGTATATCTCGTTTGGCACAGAAATAAATACCCGTGTTAGCTTAGGGATTTCACTTTTGTCCACGGACTTTACTATTGCTTTATTCAAGGTCAACATATCATTATCAAATTTGACCAAATTAGAGTTATTTATAAATGCAATAGAATCGGTCATGCTCGTTGAAATTTTGTCGATTTTGTATAGTTGACATTTGTCAAAGTAATCTGGAGCCCCCAATAGCTGGATAAGCACAAAACAATCTTGTGGAGAAGCCATCTCTTTCTCGGACATATGAGAAAACAAGCTCAAAAACACATCTTGGGAGATTTCTAGTGTATCGTAATTGTTGAGTTTAGTATCATTGACAATATTAACATTGACAACTGCTGAAACGGGTCTAATTCCAGATTGCTTCTGGAAAATTTCAACCAGCGGCATTTTCCTCTATATAGCTTCCACCTTTCACAGCAAAAAAAAGACCAAAGGCAAATAGTCAAAGACCCAAAGGCAAATAGTTATAGCTGTCCTTACAAATTCAGCACCAATCTCACTAATGTATTCTCTTGTAATAGGAATTTGCTTTTAAAAGAAGATGAATTTTTCATGTGGGGGAGAGGGGGGGAAGAACTACCAAGTGTACAATATTAAGTAGACGTTGTATTTAGTAGTAAGTAGAGTGACTACGATATTGGTGAGTAAATTGGAAAGGAGTAAATTGAAAAGGAGTAGATTGAATGAGGTATATTAGATGGGGACAAACTGAATGGTGTAGTTTGAATGCAGACAAATTGAATGGAGTAGATTGGGATGCAATCAATCCAAAACCTCGGTACCTGGGTCCCCTCCATAATTATTTTTCCATTGTGCGCCAACGGTTTTGTATACAATCGACACTAGCTGCCACCGACACTATCGACACTATCGAGAAGAGCGAGATAGTGGAGCAACACTAGCTGCCACCGACTCGATAGTGGAGCTACACTTAGTGGCAACACTATCGACACTATCTCGCTCTGATCCCTAGTTGTCTGCTCCCTATTGCTCTGCTCCCTAGTGGAGCACTGACTAGCGACACTATAGAAAAAAGAGTTTACTTTAAAATCAATAGAGTCTATATAAATCTATATCAAGTAAAATCTATATATATAAATCAAGACAATCTAATATAGTAAAAGATTATCAAACTTAATAAGAATATACGTATTCCTGCAATGTATGCTAATTACCTATATCATCGTTTGGTCCGTCTCATAAACATTAGCTTCTTCCCTTTATATCGGTTCCATTTATGTAAGATTCTTCCCTTTTTGTTGGCTTCTTCCATTTTTCATTTTCAATTGAGCGCGATGGGCTTGAAAAAAAAAAAAAAAACTACTACAACTACTACTACAACCACTATTTTTTCTTTTCATGAGTAGAAACATATTTTAATTATATCCTCTTGTACACATTAGATGGTATGTTATTTATGAAACCGAATTTGGATATTGTTTCATATGATGATAGCTTTCTTTTCAGTTTATTTCGTACCGGTTAAGAGCCGTATTTAACGGTCATTTTTGTTTTTATCGTTTTGATAAATTCGACCATTTGGCAATGATATGGTACATTATAGTCATAGTTACACTGAGAAACATATCCAATGAGGATTTAGAATCAATTACTAACAAGCATGTAGTGTTTATGTACGATCTAGACTTGGTGAGGGGAGAAGAAAAGGGAGAAGAGTAGGGCGGATGGGCGACTTTACAAGTTGACTAGCTTACTCTGATTGCATCTCTGACACTAACTCTGTATCGAGCCAAGTAAAATAGTGCTACTGGAGCTGCTACTGACACCGACTTGCAATTTGAATGCTCCACTATCGAGCAAAGCGAGATAGTGTCATTGGTCAATGTGCTCCACTATTGAGCAAAGCGATATAGTGCCATTGGTAAATGTGCTCGACAGCGTCGCAGTGCTACTGACACCAACTCTGTATCGAGCGAGGTAAAACAGTGCTATTAGAGCTGCCACCGACACTGTCAGTAGCAGCTGGTGTGCTCCACTATCAAGCAGAGCGAGATAGTGTTGTGACAAGCTACTAAGTATTGCTCCACTATCGAGCAGAGCAATGTTGGTGTATTGGTGTAATCTATGTGCTCCACTATCTCGCTTCGCTCGATAGTGTCGGCTCAATAGTGTCGTACTACAAAATGTTGTTTCTCGATTTTATGTTATTATACAAACTATTAACCCGTGACTATCCTCTACCATTGAATTGATGCCTAAAATTACATACATAATTTCAAAAAATCAAATTTACTCTTCATCTTCCACAACAACGGTATGTAATCCTTTGGTTGTTGGTACAATCACTGGTTCAACATAAGCAAACAATTTTTCCTTAGCGTTTTCTTCGTCGTTTCTTTTTCTCGAGATTCTCAATCTGACTCTGTGTTCAACACCCTGTACACCTCTTTTCCATAATGCAACATTCAACTTAGGGTCTAATCTGACATCAGTGGTTCCCATATGTAATGTGGCAAACTTCCTGATTTCTTTAACAGCCTTTGGAGCTCTTTTCTTGAAGTGAACACCATGTAACTAAAAAAAAAAGAGGGTTGTTAGTATTTTTTTTTTCAAAGACTAAAGTCAAAGACCTATATGAGCTTTGGGAATGTAATATTATATTGGATCAACTGTGCAAATATTTGTTACATATAACTTGTGGGAGAACCTGGTTTTCTGGTCACTCTGGTTCAAATTAAAATGAGCTTGAGTAGATATGAAGCTCCTGCCAGCGGGTTTCCATTACCTCGTCTATAAAGCGGGTTTCCATTACCTTGTCTATAAAGTAATATCCTTTTTTTCATATATATATCCAAATGGGCTCCTCCTCTCCAAACCCTCATGTTGTGGCCTTTTCCCACGGTCTTCTTCTCAAAAATATTATGGAACATACTCTTTTATGCAAGTTAATGGTATATTCTCTAGTAACGACGTCTTGTAAAGCCATTGTGATTGATTAAATAAAGTGGTGTCTTGTTAATAGTTTTGGTATAACTGTTCCAATAATCTGAAATTTTTTTTTTTTCACCCACTCATAGTGAGAGAGTAAGAGCGAGAGAGTGTGTGAGTGTGAAAGTGTGAGCACTACTAACAAAAGCGAAGATTGCATTTGTTACACAAAACAAAACGATACAGCGAGGGATGGAAAATGTTATGTAAGCAGTTGAAAGAAAACAACAAAATCTTTGAAAGTCGCAGTAACGGCGCTACCTATTGAATAGGTTTGTAGCCCTATTACAGAAGGAAGCGAGAGGAGAAAAAAAAAAAGAGATTGAACTGCAATGAAGTAAGACAAGGGAACAGTGATAAGGTAGAGATTGAATTGATGGTAACATTGTATATTAAGAGAAAAGTAACCGAACCTAGCGACACTATCGAGCGACACTATCGAGCGACACTATTGAGCGACACTATTGAGCGACACTATTGAGCGACACTATTGAGCGACACTATCGAGCGACACTATCGAGCGACACTATCGAGCAGAGCGAGATAGTGGAGTAACACTTTGTAGCTTGTTGGAACACTATAGAGCGACATTATCTCGCTCTGCTCGACAGTGGAGCACATGACATTATCTCGCTCTACTCGATAGTGAGCACTTTATAACATAGTACTGCTCGATAGTGTCTATTTTATGCCAAATCGCGTGCTTTTAAAACTTAGCTATCTCATTTTGATTATCCCATTTGAATGTAGATTTTTCCACGTATCTTTTCAAACTCAACGTTTAATTAATACTCTTTGCTGATGATTTGAAGAGCACAAGCAAGTACAAACAAGTACAACAAGCACAATTGTGAGCACAATCTCTTCCCAATTCAAGCACAATTGTGAGCACAATCTCTTCCCAATCCAAGTACCATACGTCTAATCACTTACTACATAACTTCAATAGTGTGAAATTCACATCAAAGTTCTCTTTATCAAAACCTCCAAATACATTGTGTAATTCTCGTGACAGCTTGTGTCATCATCAATAATATCTTTAAATAGATCCTCAAGCCTAATACTCTGCTCCTCCCTTCCCCCCCCCTCCTCAATCAAGCAATGTCGTCTACGTCGCATACAAATATGCTCCAGCAAGCAAAAGCCACACAATTACAAGACTTGAAACAATCACATTATTATTCAAAACAACTACAATCAATATTCACAAACCTCATCGATTCCAACTCCAATTCCACTGATATAAACTCACCGCTACTAGACAAGATAACAACTATACATGAACTCAATGATGATATCGATAGGTTTCTCAACAAGGATATCGCTGAGAATTTCCATTTGTTGATGAAACAAAAGAGAAAATTGGAGAAAGTAGTTAGAAAATGTAATGAAAAGATGAAAAGGGTCGAAAAGGGGAGATTGGACGGTGATGGAGCGGAAACAGTAATGCTGAGCTCTAAAGGTGAGGAGAGAAGGGGAATCGGTGGTGATCATGGTGGAAATGTGAATGAAAATTATGTGGATTTGTTACAAAGGAGGTGTGAATTGATTGATCAAAATCTACGAATTTTAGAACAAACTTTGAAGAATATTGAAAAGAGCTAGCGAGTTGAAACACTATCGAGCGAAGCGAGATAGTGGAGCACACTGACTAGAGATACTGACTAGAGATACTGACTAGAGATACTGACTAGAGATACTGACTAATCACTACTATCAATGATTTTTGCAAGTAGAAGATCAAATAGATAAGAAAATGTTTTTATAAAAACACGCGCAGTGTGTCATTTTTGCTTTTTACCAGGCTTGTTGGATTATCGTATACTAAAAAGTTACTACAAATATAAATACTTCCTTGTGACTCAGCAATTAATTATTATCTATTATAAGAGCTTATAGTGTAGTTATACATACAGTCATTATCTCCAATTTTAGTCATGCAGGTTTTTAGAAAATAAAAATCCTCCTCTCGAATAACTTGCAATCAACTCGTTTCTAAGATAAAATCCAAAAAAATTCAAACAAAACATGATAATCTCTAGAATAAAACATGATAATCTCTAGAATAAAACATCATAAACTTTAGAACAAAAAACATCATAATCTTTCAAACAAAACAACGTAAACTTTCGTAAGATGGGTCCAAGTCCTGTTCAAGCTATACCACGAGCAGCTCTTTCCCATTTTTCTTCAGCAATCCATCCTGCATTAATCACGCTGATCAAATCACTCAAATTCAAATGTTTATCGGTTTTTAAACACTTGTTTTTTTCAATCAAATTATTATATATCTTGGCATATGATTCTTCAGGGATATGAGATATCGAATTTCGATTTATTCGTTCTCTAATTTTGCGTGGATTGTTTGTGCACTGCAACCATTTTTTACGCCTGTAATCCCATAATGTTGACCCTATATTGATGTTGGGTGCTATCACCTGCAGTGGTTGCGTTTTTGCAAAAGTTAATCTTGAATTTACGTCTGAGTCTGATGTGTTGGTGTTGGTATTGGTGTTGGCTGATTTTGGGTTTGTTGATGAAACCATGGCTTCAAATTCCTTTCGTAACAATATAAAATCAATATCATTATACACAATTTCGTTTGTGATTGTTGACGTCGCTGTGTCTGCATTATCGTCTAAAGGCATCGAGCCTTCAACTTCAGAACCTCCTTCTTCTTCTTCATCCAGATTGAACTCATCAATATTTTGATACTGATAAAGATTAATGGCTGTCGTAGAAGTAGATTGATTTCTTATAACATCTTGCAAAGTGGTTCTAATTTTATAGCTTAGTGGGTCTGACACCACCGTTGTTGAACTTCCGACATCATAGTTGTTGATCAATGTGCTGCTGTTATTATTATTATTATTATTATTACTAGTGGCAGCGATGGTAGTAGTGGACACCTCATTGATTCCACCGCCATTATTATCATTGTAATGAGCATACATTTGATCCAAACTTTTAAACCGTTTGTAATCTTGTAGAAATTTTTCTTCTGTTGAATTGTAACCTCTTGAAGAACGCAATAGTCTATCCAACAGCGTATGGTCGTCTGAATCTGTCTCGATAAATAAATTATCAACAATGTCCTCGGGATTGAAGACCTCTTCCGAGATAGATTTTAATCTCCTTAAAAGGGAGTTCCATTCGCTTGATATTTTTTTGAAAAAACTTGAACCTGATTCTGTACTCGCACTCGCACTCACACTTGTAGAAATAGCGGAAGCGGTACCTGTAGATGACGGAGGACATACTGTAGACAAACTCTGTAGTGATTTCTTCCTACTTCTATTCCTTTTCTTGTCCTTGTTCTTGCTCTTACCCAGATATGTACTAGATGTCACTGTTGTTGAGGTTGAAGTTACCGGTTCTGAGGTTGTTGGTTGTGTCGTATTATTATAGTTTCCAGGAGGGGTCGATGATGATGGCGATGGCGACGGCAATGCTATTCTTTGGGTATCAGATGTTTTCTTCTTCTTCAAAGGAATAAGTTGATGGCGGTGGTTGTGGGGATGATGATGATGGTGGGTATGGTGAAGGTAAAAATGAAGGTGATTCTGCTGTTCCTGAGTATCCAACGTATTTTGAGTATTTTGAGTAATTTGGGTGATTCTTAGTTTCGAAGTAGACTGTGCTTTCCTTAGCTTGGTAAATGCAGATCTTTTTAGCTTTGAAGTGGGGTGTTCTGGGTGTAAGTCGTGATTATGTATCAAGTCGGCATTAAGACTGCGAACCTCACTATTCATTGATGAAAAAGTGGGAAAGAATACGGGTGAGTCAAAATAGCGAGTTGTAGAAGAGGTGGGAGGAGACGAGGTGACGGTTCTTGTTAAAGTCTTGTTAAATGAATAACAAGTGTGGGTGCTGAGGTGATTCTTTTTTTTTTTTTTTCTTTTAGTAGTCGATGTCAATAAGCTATGAATGATAGCTGGTGAAAGTGGTTTACCACTTTGTCAGTCAACCTTGTTGGTATTGTTTGATAAAAAAACGTTTTGAGAAATATTTTTGATATACCCACCTACGGTTTCAATTTTTTTTTACTTCTCTCTCTTAATTTTATGTGCTTGAGTTGAGTTGAGTTGAGTTGAGTTGAGTTGAGTTGTGTTGTGTTGGCTCAGCCAATGTACTTAAAGGGCGGAGATTAAAATGCTCAGACAAATTGTGCGAAAGAGAAAGAAGCAGAAGCAGGAGGAGATAGCTAGGGTGAGAAGGAGATAGTGCGAAGAGGAAGAAAGTGCAAAGAGAATGAGAGTGCGAAGAAGAAGAGAGTGCTAAGAAGAGAAAGAGAGTGCGAAGAAGAGAAAGAGAGTGCGAAGAAGAGAAAGAGATAGTGTAAAGGAGAAAGAAGTGGGGTTTGTATGAGGGTGAGTCTTGTGATAGGTAATGTAAATACTGTAATGAGTAAAATGACCCAATAGCTAGCTACTCACCAAGACAAAATAGAGAAAAGGATTAAAAAGAAACAAAGCCAAAACAGTAAAGAACCAAGACAGAAAACTTTAAAGACAACCAAATGAAGAAAAAAAACAATGAAAAGAAACGAAATTGGCTAATAACGGAGAATATAGGGATTACAAAGACGGTAGATGCCGATAAACCTTTTGACACTATTGACCAGACACTATCGAGCAGAGCAAGATAGTGGACCAGCACTGACTGACACTGATTGACGCTGACTGACACTGACTGACACTGACTGACACTGACTGACACTGACTGACGCTGACCGACACTGACTGACACTATCGAGCAGAGCACGTTATTAATATACTAATAACGTGTATAATAGTGTTGTAGTTTGTAGGGAGTTACACGGATAGAGTATCAACAATAGACTAACTTGTTGAAATCTAAATATCGTAGTTAATAGTAGTTACTTATTAATGGTAACTATGAAGCGTTATGATAATTTAATTATAAACATTAAAAGGCTTACGGCTTTTTTTTTTCTATGCCGCGTATAAAATTGGTTCAAATTAGGTCAAAATCTTGTCTTGTTTGAGTAGAAAGAGAAGATAGTATAGCCGCTATAACGGCGTTTTACTTATTGACTATACTTATTAGCTCTATTGGCTCTATTGGCTCTACTGGCTCTACTGGCTCTACTGGCTCTACTGGCTCTACTGGCTCTACTGGCTCTACTGGCTCTACTGGCTCTACTGGCTCTACTGGCTTTACTTATTGACTCTACTTACTAGCGCTCTTGCTAATTTCATCCTTCTTCTACAAGTAAACTGTCATATACTTTATTATTTCTATACATTTTGCAATCTCCATCTATAAAGCGAGATGTTGGAGCACATTGACTAGTGACACTATGTCGCTTTGCTCGATAGTGGAGCACATTGACTAGTGACACTATGTCGCTCTGCTCGATAGTGGAGCACATTGACTAGTGACACTATGTCGCTCTGCTCGATAGTGGAGCACATTGACTAGTGACACTATGTCGCTCTGCTCGATAGTGGAGCATTGACTATTTGCTCGGTAGTGGAGCATTGACTATTTGCTCGGTAGTGGAGCATTGTACATTGACTAGTGACACTATCTCGCTTTGCTCGATAGTGTTATTTGCAATACAAGTACAGTCCACTATCCATGAATCCTTTTAAATGTCTTATAATCAAACAACCAGCCATTCAGGTGCTTAATTAGATTTTCATTTTCCTGATAATCTCGTTGCATTTCATCAAAGCAGGCTTGTTTCAACTGACTAAATTGAAGATAACTACCTCTCCTTAACCATCGGATATTGTATACTACATAACTCAACCCTGAATGTTCCTGTTGTTTAGCGTCATTGTGTTTTGCAACATTCCAAGATCTCGCATTTATCCCGTTTTGAAAATAGCCAATGTATTGTGGTAGTGGAGGCAACAACAAAATCTCAACTGATAAATCGCCATATACATCATCATCTACTTGTTCCTTTTCTTTTGCTTCTTCGCTTGTACTACCATCATCATTATCACTATGCATCACATATCGAGGCTTAATTATGTCTTCTCGTGTCCATGTTTTGTTCCATTGACTTAAATCCACCGAATCATTGAATAATCCCATATGTAATAGCACGTGCAAAATATCAGAATCGTCAGTATATATGCCCAGTGTTCCACCCCATAATTCTCTTTCTTTACTAACTATTTCATTTCTAAAATCTTGTTTGAATTCAATAATGTGACGAAATGGGATGATAACTTCAATAATCGAGTTGATATATTCAAGCGGTAGTGGAGGTATACATGGTATATACCTTGTCTCGATCTTAAAGTCACCTTCAGCACATCTATCTCTATAGTTTTGTTTACTCTTCTGGAACGTTCTTTGTAGATCCTGTTTCAAACCATAAAGGTATTGAGTTTGTAGTGTGTCCCATGTTGTTGTTGGATTATATATTATTGTCCCGAGGAATTGTCTCTTTGGGAAAAGTTCCGAAATAAGCTGCACAATCGGTTCAATGTTTAGTTTTGGTGTGTTTTGTTTACGTCGCTTGGAGAGTTTGTCATTATTAGTACTACAGCTGATCCTCAATAAAAGGTTTCTCTCCTCTTCCTCCTCTTCCTCCCTCTCCTCCCTCTTCTCCCTCTTTTCCCTCTTTTCTCTCTCCCTTTCATCCTCTTCCTTCCTCTTCTTTGTCTTCCCTCTGTCTTGCTCTATTTTCTCATTGATCTTCAAATGCAACTGCTGTGGACTAGGTTGGTTATCCTGACCAAGTCCGTTGGTTTGCCTTTGAGGACGATGATGGTGATGATGATGATGATGATGGTGAAGTGGAAGTGGCTGTGGCTGTTGAATAATATGATGGTGGTGGTGTGGATTAGACGGGTTTACATGGTGGTGTGAACTTAATTGGTGTGAGCTCAATTGGTGTGAGCTTAATTGGTTTACATGGTGATGATGTACAAATCGATGATGGTGATGGTGATGACCATGCAGATTCTGAGAAGGAGACGATGACGCAGCATTCGTCGTGCTTGCCTCAATAGTGAGTGATTTCTCGTTTGGCTGCGGTGGTGTTAATGAGTTATTGCTCAAAATCGACCCCACTGAACTCTCTTTCAGCATGCTTTTTTATTTCTATATTCAATGTAAACTTTATTCTTTAGAAACCAAAAGTATGGCTCTATTGACAAGAGTTGAAAAAAAAAATATATCTATATCTATATATAAATACTTGTTGAAAATACAACGGTTTCTGTGCGTCAATGATACAATTTGGTAAGAATTACTCTTGCACCCCCCTATCTTTATAGTCTTGGATTAATGGAGTATTAACTTGATAGTCCTAGCTTAGTAGTCCTATACTATTGCACTCCAAGGGTATAGCAATCATAACAGAAAATGGTCCTTGAGAGAAGAAGAGAGAAAAAAAGAATAAAATTCAACTCATACCAATTCTTCTCGCCGAAAATGGTTTCTCCAGCTCTCATCTCGCCCCACAACTTTTGACGGGCATTTTAGACAATCAGGCTACTTTATTTCCTGGTTTAAATTCTGTGGTTTTTGGCTAATTTTGTCTTAGGGGGTGGGGATTCTACGCCCCGACACTATCGACACTATCGAGCAGAGCGAGATAGTGGAGCACACTAGATGCCACCGACCCTATCAACTCTATCGACACTATCGAGCAGAGCGAGATAGTGGAGCACACTAGATGCCACCGACTCTATCGACACTATCGACACTATCTCGCTCTGCTCGATAGTGGAGCACACTAGATGCCACCGACTCTATTGACACTATCGAGCAACACGTTGTACCTTGATGCCTTCTTCTTATTCTATGGCTGGAGAGCTATCTACCATAGTCTTTTTCTACAATCTTCTAAAACTGTCTTCTACTATAGTCTTCTGTAACAGTCTTTCTCTACAGTTGCCTTCTACTATAGTCTTTCTCTACAGTTGCCTTCAGCCCTAATCTTTTTCTACAGTTGCCTTCAGCCCTAATCTTTCTCTACAATTTTCTACAATTGTTTTCATCTACTATCTTCTACAACTATCCTCTACTATAGTTTTCTACAACTGTCTTCTACTATAGTTTTCTACAACTGTCCTCTACTATAGTCTTTTGCAATAGCATTTCTCTACAGTTTTACCATAATCTTTCTCTACTATAGTCTTTCTCTACTATAGTCTTTCTCTACTATAGTCTTTCTCTACTATAGTCTTTCTCTACTATAGTCTTTCTTTACAATCTTCTCACTTTGTATGAGGGACGAGAATAGAATAAAATATTACAAGTTGAGTCAGATTATCATTAACGGAAAGGAGTTAGGGGTTAGGGGTTAGGGGGCAGAGAGACAGGGAATTAGTATTTTGAATTATATAGGACACTATCGAGCAAAGCGAGCAAAGCAAGAGAGTGTTGGGAGCATCTAGTTAGTGTCGCTACTAAGTATTGCTTTTGTTTGATAGTGTTGGTTTTTTCGCTAGTCAGTGTGCTCCACTATCGAGCAGCACTATCGAGCAGAGCGAGATAGTGTTGTAACAAGCTACAAAGGGTTGCTCCACTATCTCGCTCTGCTTGATAGTGTTGGTGGCAGCTAGTGTTGGTGGCAGCTAGTGTTGGTGGCAGCTAGTGTTGGTGGCAGATAGTGTGCTCCACTATCTCGCTTCGCTCGATAGTGTCGCTCGATAGTGTCTTCTTATTGTTGTTGTTTGCGTAAACGTTGAGCACAACCATAGTGTACTATATCAGAATCATCCGTAACAGTTAAAATACTATATCCCAATTTCTCCCGGCAAACAGGGCACAATGTCTTGCTTGAATTAATCTTGTATGAATCATCCTGTAGCTTAATGATCTTATCCTTCAAATTGATAGATCCAACTTTATAAAGCTGGGAGTTGATTCGTGTATCATCTACTTTATTCTTTACTGCTGCAACTTGTTGCTTCAAATAGTTTGCAATTTTATATAATGGGAACGAAGCAGGTAGAATATCAAACACAAAATCAACTGACATTTTCAAACCTTGTTCCAGAAGCAACTTTGATATCAAATCAATGTTCTCAACATAGTTGATTAGCAAATCCCCCAATAGTTTATGGAATAGTCCACGACCAATTGTTGTTCCGTTTGGCTGCTTGTATATTGCTAAGCAGTACAAAATTGCCTCATCCAAATCGTTCAACTGGTTGAATAACACATCTACCGCTTTTTCGTGTTCTTGCAATTTCCTATAAACAAACACAGTTAATCTCAAAAACTTGTCTTCATTGGTAGGTATCTCTTTAAGAATAGGCCAAGGATCAAATGTCTCACTAGTAGACAATAAGTTTTTCAAATTGGAATAATATTCGTCCTCTTTAGGTGACCCGTCCTGCTCCTTGATTTGCCTTAAATACAATATGCAAAGTTTTGTTTCAAATCTCCCAAACTGTTTATTATTCTTCAATTTCGCAATCAAATCACTTTTAAATAAGAGCCACTCCAAGTAAGTAATCGCCAAATCAATATTCTTTCTGTTTAAAAAAAATTGGAGGACCTTTGAATTATCAAGACTCTCACACTCATACGAATCATTCATAAACAAAATTTTACTATTTTCCTCATTAGCAGATATCGCCCATTTAGCATACTCCAATATCAAATCCAAGTTGTCATTAGTCAACTTCAGTAAATATCTCACCGTTAGTCCTGGACCTTTGATAAAATCATCATATGCATTATCTTCCTCGTTTGAGTGAACAACTTTCAGTTGTTCGTCGCCATGCGCGAGTTTATACAACATTTCTAGTGCTTCCCTATGCAAATTCCTTCCATAATAAAAGTCCAACAACTCCTTGATATAATTTGGCTGTTTGAAATTTCTTTGTTGAGCGTGATTATGGATATTGCTCATTAAACATTCATTAACAATTTTAGAATCACACTTGTTATTTGGTAGTCTTAACAATGGACCAAGTAACATCGGCTTCACGTAAAAATAGCAAAGAAACAATGAAGTGTCTATTATCGTGGAAACTTTGATTAGTTGGTTATCAATAGGTGGATAAATATCATTAGGTTCAAGAAGAACGTGCTTCCAATTAATGGCCGATTTATCAAAAAACAGTAAAAGAATGCGCCTTTGCTCAGTTAAATATATTATCAAGTTATTAACAGCTTTAGTGAATTTCCTAATACTTTGAGATTTAACGTTGTTTTTGGTTGTTGCTGTTGTTGCTGTTGTTCCTGTTGTTGCTGTTGTTGTTGTTGACGACAATGTGGCGGCTGTATACTTTCGAGCTGTATTATCAGTTTCGTAGTCAGATTCAGATATGGGGTTCAGCTCCAAGTCTTCTTTTGTAATTCTTTTGACCGCGCTACTTGAATGTGGCGATCTGATCTGCTCCTCCTCAGCAACTTTGCCCTGTGCATCAACACTCTTTTTACTAAGCAAATACTCCCCATTCAAAAAATCCGGAAACAATGATAAAACATCATGGTAAGAAATCAACCACTCGGAAGCAATGTCCACTAAGGATTCGTGATACTTAGAGTAAGATTCAAATAAACTAATTGCTTTCAATGTATATAATTCACGTAATCTCAACTGCTTTGACTTTTCAGTCGTGAATATTTCATTTTCTTCCGTTGGTTTCAAGTCAGAAACTAGATTAATAGCATTCTCCAAACCAACTAATCTCAAGTCGTTATTAGGATCCCTAGCATTTCCAAAGTGTGTTTTGCCGCTTATGCTAAGAAATTGTGTAACTTGTTTTTGAAGCGGCACTATTGAAAACTGAAACACATCCAGCCCTGATGCTAGACAAAGTACATTTTCTTCAATCTGGCAACATATTTGATTCGAGTTGATATAATGCAGGAATTTTTGTATTAGAATACCGTTATGTATCTCCATAATCTCAATTTTTTTAGGATAGATTGCAGCTAAATACATTGGATGAATGAAAAGTACATTTAGAGGTACAGCTGTCAATTTGATTGGCGACGGCGAAATCTTGACGCTTTTGCTCTTTTCCAATTGAATAACAGTCGTGTCTTTAATCAACAACACAGAGTCTTCACTCGTGGGGATAGTCCAAATCAATGGACCAGACGATGATAGCCCGAAATATTTGAAAGACGCACCTTGACTGAAAATATCCGTGTCGTCATTTGTGGCAAATGTAGATAGCTTATAACTGAGTATGTTCATCATCAAGTAGTCACTTTCTACACCAACAATTACATGATCTTCGCTATACATATTGATGGTTCGCACTTTATCTTTGAGCGGTATTTCCTTGATCAATGTAAACTGCAAGACGTTTCTCGACTTGTTAGTAACGTGATAAACCAATATTCTTCTCTTGACACCAATTAGCAATAGTCGCTTATCACTGTGATCAATGTATAATGCATCTGCACAACGCACCTCGTCAAGTGAAAATATGAGATTAGTATGGCTTCCAACGATTTCGTAAATTTTGACCAAAGTGGGACTGATCATGAGCATTAGCTTTTTGTTTATTGCAGCTGAATCATTGGGGAGCAACTTCAACTTGACTATGCTCGAATTATCCACTGTTAGGTTCTTGAAAATGTTCTGTAATGTGTAGTTGTGATTTTCCCCAAAGAGACGTCTTGTATCTTGATAAGATCGGAATGATCTTATTGACTGAGGGACCACGGACTTAATTGTTACACCTTGTGAACTCTTGATGGAAGACTCTTGCTCAAAAGCGGTCTGTTGAGCAGCAGCAGCAGCAGTAGTAGTAGTAGGTGCCTGACTTAATGATGCTGATTGTGACAATGTCTGGGTATATACTACTAAATCACCTCGACTTGTCCCTACAAACAAACAATCTCCACTGTGAAGAAAAGACGAAACATAATTGCTGGTGCCATGTAGATACGGTATTCGAATCCTACTTGAAGGCTCAATTATATCTATGTTCATCTCGTGTCTTGATGGATTTATTGAAACCTCTCCGTCTCTTTAAAAGAATACAAGAATCATTTACAATAAAAAAAAAAGGGCCAAAACAATCTAGCCGGGTAAAAGAAAATGAGCCGGGTAAAACAAGCTAAGAAAGATAAGCTGGGTAAAGCTACAGACCACCACCACCACCCCCTCCTCCTCACGGTATATATACGCTCTATCTAATAAAGTTGATAATTCCTGAACAATACTTTATCGCTTGATCCATTTTTTCATTCTTTTCCTCACTAACTTGTGAAAACTTGGCCAAAATATCTTGTAAATCAAATGTGTCGTCGTCTTCGTACTGATGTAAGACATCGCCATGGACTTTTAAAAACATCGAAAAGATTGTCTCTATTAATTCAAAATTTTTGTTACTTTGCAAGCCAGCAAGTAGTGCTCGGATAAAGTTTGTTAGCTCAGTCAATGGTGGTTGCGTATTGAGGGATCTGATTTCCAAATCTATAGCAGATGGCGCAAGGTTGACCAAGTACTTGTTGAACTCTTCAAATTGACTCGTCTCACCAGAATTTCTCAATAGCGTGGTAAACTCGCTTTCAAAAGCAGTAGTAGCACCACCGTCGCCGCCACTAGATCTATTTTGGAAGTTGTACTGTAATAATTTACTCTTCTCTTCTTGTTCTTGTTTTTGTTCTTGTTTAGCATCAATAATTTTTTCTTTGGCACCCTCAGCAACAGAGGCCCTATCGCCAACAGCTTCTCCAGTTAGCCCTATAAAGAATGGCGTTTTCTCGGGTTTCTTGGGTGGTTCAATAGGTTTATTTCTCTGCTTGATAGTATCCAAATAAAGTAAAGTGTTGAATTTTGTTCTTGGTCCAGTCGATAAAGTGATTAGATCTGAGTCAATTTGATCGCTGGAGACAAATTTGCCAATATCAAATTCAGCTGTATCTTGCTCCTCCTCTTCATCTAAAGCACCGTCTAGGATAATTGAGCCACCGTCTCCAGAGGCGTTTGGCAATAAAATCGTTGAAAACTCTTCCTCTTCAACGTGTCTTGTCGATACTGGCTTGAATTGTGCTCGGTTTGTCCATAACGAAATTCCGTTTCCTGAAACATGAGTTGTAGCAATGACGTCCCCTAGTGGAGAGAATTTCACCGAGGTCGCAACAATGGGTAAAAATACACCATCAATACACCCTCCTGTAGGTAGATCCCAAGTGCGTAACGTTGAGTCTAAACCAACAGATACTATCCATCTTCCATTTGGAGAAAAATCTATTCCTGAGATTCTGTTGGAATGGCCGTATAGCACCCTAACAACTTTTTGCGTGGTTACATCAATAACGATAATCGATAAGTCATCTAGGGCACAAGCGACCAAATCTGATTGATTGTGATAAACCATTGATGTGATAGGTGCACTCAATTGTAGTTTTCCTAGATATTTTGATTTTCCAAAGTCATAAAATCCAACAACTCCATCTAATCCACAACTAACCATTTTTCTATTCATCCCATCAATAGCCAACCCGGTCACAACTTGCTTATGCAATAGATATTTCCTCCTCAAGAGGCCTGATTGTAAATTATACACCCCAATGCCACCAAGGGATGAACCTACAAGACCAAAATTTCCACATTGTGATATACAAATGGATTTACAGATTCCTTGATCAACCGTGTTGAGAATATGCTTACCAACTCTTTTCGTTGAAGAATCCCACGTCCTTGCAAAAGGTTCATCCTTGTGTGCAGTGAGAATATTATCCCATTCACCTGTTCGAGCATGTGATGTAGCAATAGCAATAATCTCTGGAAACTTTTCTTTCAAAGAAGCAACTTGTCCTGCTTGTCGCTTACCATCCTTAGACTTGTGCATTCTTTGTGAAAACTCTTGTGCTTGAGCATCTTTTCTTAATGAAAAACTCCAGAATGATCGATCTCTGGATGCACTAAACAAAAAGTGTGATTTGTCTTCATCAGGGAATTGTATAGCTACGGGTGGTGCAGAATGGCCCCCTCTTGATCTGAGATGACGCGGAGGTGCAATAATAGAAGTGTTTGTTGCACTTAAACTTGGATCAAAAACAAACTCCTTGAGGTGGTTATCTCCTCCATTTGTTAAAAGAATTGGTTGTCCGTTTAAAAATTGTACTTTCGATACACCTCCATGGGCCTCCTTGTGAGCATTTCGCAAAACGTGGATACGTGTGTTTTTGTTTAAATTATGAAAATACAAATCTCCGTTGTTCAACGCGGCGACTAAATGTGGTGACCCGTCAGTCCTGAATGATATTGAAGTGACTTTGCTAGAGGTTTCCGATCCCGAGGTGGTTATTTTCTCACCAAGAACAGATCCTTTCCTTAAATTGTAAATGTAGACATTTCCTGAAGCTGTTCCAACACCAACCACATCGAGAACGGGCGCGGACTCAATGCTCGACAACAGCTCTTCTCCAAACTGTTGTTGCTGAGACCTGTATAATACTTTACCTGAACGAACATTGATAATCACAATTGAGCTAGTAGTGGCAACTACAACTTTGTTCAAGTAAGTAGGTGGATGGATCACACCAACTATCTCTCCATCCACATCTATGTTTACTGCTCTTATCACTGAGTACAACTCAGTAGGAAATTTCAAGCCATCTGCTGCTGTTCTTCTAAATACAAATAATTCACCTCGTGAAGAAGTTGCAATAAGGTACTCTCCAAAGTGGCAAAGATGCGTAATTATACCATTTGTCTCGCATGTTAAGGTAAATTCTAGTTTTCCTCTTTTATATATCCCAACTTTATGTCCACTCCCAACAAATATATAATGGTGGTGTGTTGTAAAACAGGTTATTTTACTCTTGGTTTGAGTTTGGGAAACAAACAACAAGTGTAAAGTTGCCAAGTCATAAATCTGAAAGCTTTTGCCTACTGAAGTAACTGCATAAAAAGTCGATCCTAATGTACCAATTGCAAATGGAGTGGCATCGGTGACATTCCCCAAAACTCGAAACGGGCTAAAAATTTTTGAAGGCTTGCGAACTCGGACTGGTGCTACACCACCACCACCACCACTACCACTACCGTTCACCAGATCTACTTTCCTTTTCTTTTCCAGAAGGACAACCATATCGATGGAAAAAGATGGCTTTTTTTTTGAAAGAATGAGAGAAAGGTGAGATGAGATGAGATGAGATGAGATGAGATGAGCCGCGATAAAAAAAATTGAAAAATTTGAAAAATTTGAAAAATGATAAGAAATTGAATTTTTCTAAATGAGATGCCCCCCCCATAAATTCCCAATTGCTTGCTTTACTCATACATTGATGACTGTGCCAGAGAAAAGATTACATGAAGATGGAGATGGAGACGGAGATGGAAGTGGAGCTAATGATACGACTGCCTTAGAGGAGAAGAGACAGAATACTCAACCGTATATCAAGGGCATTGCTGGTATAAAGCCAGAGTTTCTTGCCCCAATATCCTCTTTGTCTAGTACGTACACAGAATACAACGATGATGAAGCTGAAGGAGGAGATAGGGATAAAAATGGACTGCAAAATGGTAATGGTGACAAAAGGAGAAAGAAGGAACGTGGTCAAAACCAAAAACGTGATTTAAAGCAAAAGAGAGATACAGTTCGATTATGTGTTTCGTTGATTGATCCCGAGGATGAAAGTACCCCTTGTGTTGCTGGAGATGAAGAGAAATGCAAGTATTCTCACAACTTGGAAGAGTACTTGGCAAGTAAACCAAAAGATATTGATGGGATGTGTCCCGTATTTGAAGCTTTGGGATATTGTCCAACGGGCATGAAGTGTAGATGGTTACACTCGCATTTCAACAAGGAGACTAAAAAACTAATCAAGGATTTGGGAAAACTAGAAACTGAAAAGGACAAGAGCTTTGAAGTTAATTTGATTGATAGAGAAAGCAAGATTGCATTACAAAGGAAAAAGTATAAATACGAAATTTCAGAACAAGTGATTAAGTACTTGGATTCTAAAGTTCAGCGAAACGATAGTCATCAAGAAAATAGAAAGGAAAATGAGGCAACTTACGTTGAACAGCCTTTCAAGATTGCAGAAAAGAAGAAAATTGACCTAAGAGGTGCCAAAATTGTTTCACCTTTAACAACAGTTGGTAATTTACCGTTTCGTCGACTTATGAAAACTTTGGGAGCTGATGTCACATATTCTGAAATGGCACTCTCGGTGCCTTTGATACAGGGGCATCAACCAGAATGGGCTTTGCCTAAAGCACACATAAGCGAGCATCCAGGATTTGGTGTTCAAATAGCCAGCTCGAAACACTGGGCAGCTGCAAAAGCAGCTGAGGTTATCTATAGAACCACTCAACATGTTAGCGAGTTGAATCTAAACTGTGGCTGTCCAATTGACTTGCTATACAAACTGGGACAAGGTTCAGCGTTATTGGATCAAACTCCGAGACTATTGCGTATAGTGAAAGCCATGAACGGATCATCGGGCGATATTCCTGTTACGATCAAGATTCGAACAGGTGTGAAGGAAAACAAAAACACGGCGGCACATCTTGTGGATAGGGTGTTAAACGAGACCCAAGTTGCAGCAATCACCTTACATGGAAGATCGAGGCAACAAAGGTATACTAAGGAAGCCGATTGGGACTACATAGAAGAAGTAGGTAAAGTTGTTAAGAATTGGAATGAGAAGAGAGAAGAAGATAAGGAAGGTAGAGACACAAACCCAACCTGGTTTGTTGGCAATGGAGATGTTTATACATATGAGGACTGGTATAACGGAGTTGCAAGAGAAGGCGTGGACTCGGTAATGGTGGCGAGAGGAGCATTGATCAAGCCATGGCTTTTTGAAGAAGTTGAAGCACAACAATATTTGGACAAATCCTCAAGCGAAAGGTTATCCATGTTGGATAAGTTTGCAAAATTTGCAATTGAACATTGGGGATCTGATGAGTATGGTGTCAATAGTGCTCGGAGATTTATGTGTGAGTTTCTCAGTTTTACACATAGGTATATACCAGTAGGCATTATGGAGAGACTACCACCGAAATTGAATGAAAGGTCGCCCAAATTTGTGGGCAGAAATGAGATGGAGACATTGCTTTCATCATCAGACTACAAAGACTGGATAAAGATTACAGAGATGTTTTTGGGCAAAGCTGGTGAAGATTTCCAGTTTGTACCCAAGCATAAGAGCAATGCCTATGAAAATACTGAGAACAGATAGATAGTATCATTGAGTTAATAGTAGTAGTAGTAATCAAACCCGAGCGAAGCGAGATAGTGGAGCAGCGCCGACTACTGACACTATCTCGCTTCCTTTAATAGTGGAGCAGCGCCGACTACTGACACTATCTCGTTTCCCTTGATAGTGGAGCAGCGCCGACTACTGACACTATCTCGCTTCCTTTAATAGTGGAGCAGCGCCGACTACTGACACTATCTCGTTTCCCTTGATAGTGGAGCAGCGCCGACTACTGACACTATCTCGCTTCTCTCGATAGTGTCCCTACGAGGTTTGCGTAGCTTCCTTTTATGCTCTACTTTTCAATTCAGTAATGTCTTTGTGTTTTTCACTGTTTGAACCAGTTGCTTTTTCACCTTTTAACACAGTAGCTTCGTCATACTCTTTGTTCAAGCTGGCGGCTTGATTTTTCAACAACTCCAAAGCTGCATCCTTTTCAGCCAATTCGTTTTTCAATTTGGTAATTTCCTTGCTTTCAAAAGACTTGTCCTTCACACCACCAGCACCTAGATCGCCTTTATCACCAGCAGCACCAAGATCGCCTTTCTTCAATTCGTCAACTTTATCCTTGGTCACAATCAACTCAACCACCAAGTTATAAGTTCTGGTCAAGATCAAGGTCAAGAACAAAGTGAAACCACAAAGGTACATATTTCTTTGTGCATAAAATCTTCTTGCTTGAATTTCCGACCTATCGTTCATCACCGAAGAACCTGGATGTGCTTGAGTTGCCGAGTGCAATTCCGAAGTTACCGCATATACTCTATTTACAGAATCAATGAATAAAACAAATACGAATCCCAAGACACATTTTAATGCTATTTGGAATTGTTCGTTTTTAAATGGTGCAGATATCGTTTGTAAAACGGTTCTTCTAACTCTTCTGGGGTATGGTAATGAAAGTATTCCAAAGAATACCATTTCAATTACCAACAATACAAATACCAAATTGTAGTACAAGGCCATGACTATAATTTTCCAATGCGTATTCAATTACCAGCGTGTATCAAAAGAGTTTCAAGGTTTAAACGAAAAGCTGAAAATATTTTCACTCCTATACCAATTGATAAAACTCCTAAAGTAATTGGAAAAGTAAAAGTTTGTTAAACTTTAAACTTGTGAACAATGTCAAAGATTAAATGTATGTATGTATATGGCAGCGCCTGTCTACAAAAGCAATTTGCTTCTTAAATTGCTACTTACACTAAACGAAAACTGCACTAAAACGCTCTCCCACTATCGAGCAAAGCAAAACCACTATCGAGCAAAGCAAACCCACTATCGAGCAAAGCGAGATAGTGGTGTAACAAGCTAATTAAGAAACCACTATCGAGCAAAGCGAGATAGTGGTGTAACAAGGTAGTTAGAGGAGAACAACCTAGTTACATTTTTGTGTAGGTGACAGTCAATGCTCTACTATCGAGCGAAGCGAGTCAATGCTCTACTATCGTGCGAAGGGAGTCAATGCTCCTCTATCTCGCTTTACTCGATAATGTCGTTATGTGACAGTCAATGCGCTCCACTATCTCGCTTCGCTCGATAGTGGGGCATTGACTGGTTATATGTAATTATTGTCTAATTTTATTCTATAAAAGTCTGTATATCTTTCCCCCCCCCCCTCCAAATTATAACGACATTGATACTTTCATTGAAAAAGTAATTAGAAATGGTAAAGAAATCCATAGGACTGCGTATTGACTAATTAAACAGACAGCAAGACAATCCATTTGCAAATGCTCGTCACTCAACGGGTCGGTATAAAAAGCGGTAAAATAAACCAAGCTTGTAGCATTGGGTAAACCAAACTCTAAAACGCTCACAAATCTAACTAACCGATCTGTTCCATACCATCCTCCTTTGTACATACCTGTTGTGAGACCAACGCCAAAAATCGGTAAAAGAACCATTCTCGTGATTGTCACCATAAGTGCTGTTTTCCAAAAACCAGGAGGCATCTTCTTGACTTGCAATCTTGCCAACGTAGCCCCCAACAAAAGCAAACCAAGCGGCACTGAAGCTGCACCAACATAACTAGTCAAATCGATCAAAAACGATAATGGAGGTTGTTCATCTGGCGCATTGGGCATGTAAAATGAAGTAGGTACAAACAAAGCTTTCAATGGCGGCGACATACATATAGCAATTGAAAGCAATAAAGAAACCGAACTTGGCTGTATTAAATTTTTAAACATTGTCCTTCCGAATTCTTTGAATTTCGATTCCTTCTTAACCGACTTGGGGTCGCTTTGTAGTGACTTGGTTTTTTCAATCTCGCTATTACGTAAACTGTCAAACTCTGAATACTCGTTTATAACATCATTTACATTCTGTGATGGTAGTCGTCTAAGATCAGCATTTCTTGATGCTACCAACTCAAGAGTATTTGAGTCTGCATTTGATGTAGCTCTTGAAGTTCTACGGACTGATGATGTATTTCTAGTTTTTGTTGTTGCAGGAATGGTAACAGAGTCATTGTTCATGTTACCCGTTGAATGTGCTTTTAAGAATTCGCTATGTTGCACATCTTCGTCTCGATTGCTTAATCGTTGGGATAGGATTGATTCACTAGAAATCGACTCTGTATTTGTTGAGCTTGCTTCGGATCTTGATGGAGATGATGACGGTTCCAATTCGTTGCTAACCATTAATTGTTCTGCACTATCATCATGATTATTTTTGGCTGCTGCTGCTTCCGTTTCATATGAAGTCAATTTTTCATTTGAGTGTTTATCCTTCTCAACATTCTCCTTCTCCTCCTCTAATGTTGCACTGCCTGAAGAAGCTTGTTTCTCCAAATCTCCTTCAACTTTCAACTCATCTCTGAAATCCCATTGAATCAATCTAAACAACCCAAACAGGAACTGAAACAAAATCATAGCAAAAAGGAAAAGACAAACATAAGCAACTCCTTTGTCACCTTCTGCCGGCGTGAAAATTGTCCCCGTCTTGGTAAATGTCTGGAGATAGGCAATGGGTAAATCTGAAATATTTGGGAAAATTCCTACTGATATCAATCCACCGAGCCATCTCTTTGGTGATCTGGTGATGTAATGAGTAGCAAGAGTCAATAATCCACCAACTAAAAACAATAGACAAGCAGTAAACATAATTATACCGAAATTTTTTATATCTGAAGATTTCAAGTACGAAACCATATTATCGAAAATCAAACAGGGCATAATTGCACTAACGACTGTATCTGATATATCTCTACACGTTGATACTGTGAGTATGTTTTTCTTGGCCAAGATGAATCCCATGGCCATAATGAAGTATATCTTGTAGATAGGCTTGACCGAGCTATAAATGACCAAGCCTATCAGCAATTTCTCTGTAGAGTCCGACATAACTTAATCTGTGGACCTGAGAAACTTAACCTCTGACCTGAAAAACTCAACCTCTGACCCGAGAAACTTAACCTCTGACCTGAGAAACTTAACCTCTAACCCGAGAAACTTAACCTCTGACCTGAGAAAACCCTACCTTGTATTTCTAAGTTATAAGTTGCGCAATCCTTTCTTTTTTTATATATACATATATTTTTCAAAGCACCAAAATCTGCAAATTATAACTTCATTCTCTTATAATGCGACAAGAGAAAAAAGAAAAGAAAAGAGGAAGAAGAAGAAGAAGAAGAAATAGTCTGCATTAAACTCTACAAGAGCTAAACAAGTAATAGTTTGAAATCGTTATTAGCCATCGAATTATTTAGCTCATTTTAATTTCTTTATTTTATTGTCATGTTAATGCCTTGTTTTCTTTTCCTCTTGAAAAAATTTTTTTTTTGGCCTCTCATCCCGTCGTAAATTTTTCTTTTTAGGCCTGGTTGATGCAACTGATCCGACCCATGTATAGTGGCGCGGAATGGTGAATGGTTTCTTTTTTTCCTTCCCATATTCACACAATTTAACCATGACAGCGGGAAAAATGACACACGGATTATGCAAGGAACAATAACGAATTACAGGTATGTCGAATTTTTAAGCCCAAATATATGCACTTTAACATTTAGATTACAAGAGTCACTATCAAGCAAAACGAGATAGTGGAAGTTTCTTTGCTCTCTATAATACAGGAAGTGGGCAATATATGAAATTCGGTAATATAAGATTTCCTGAGTAAAAAAAAAGGTATCGTTAAATTGTTCCCCTTTTTACAATCTAGCAACCAACTTCCGACCAACACGAAAGCTAGGTGAAATCACACAAGGATGTCGCAACAATTTAGTTCAATCTGTTTTTTTTTTTTTTCCTTCTCACTTCCGGTTGGCTGTATTCCACTTTTGTGTGTTCTTAGCTCGGAATTGAATGTCGCAAATTAAACAGTTTAAATACTCGGTTTTGGTTTTATCACCGAAGTAACTAATTGATATAATTCAATTTTATGCGCCAAAGAGACCTAAAGCATAATTTCTGTGTCATTGTTAGGGTCTTTAATCTCGTTCTACAAAAACAGCTCTCTACTTTATTCATTTCTTCCAACCAAAAATGGACGCCTTTTTTGGCAATCCCCTTTTGGGTATTGGCTTAGTTTACCATAAACAAATATCGAGACCATAAACACGGGTTGGTTTCAGCTGTTTTTCAAAAAGCAAATTCGTGTCTTACTCTGAACAATTATCTAAACAACTGAAGAAATGTCTGTTTATTATTTTGTTCATTTTATAGACTCAAAAGGCGTTCATTTGCGTTTCAATAGGTAAATTTCCAAAAGAGTTTTAAATGCGATATTTAAATTCATCGAGTACACTATCGAGCAAAGCGAGATAGTGGAGCACACTATCTGCCAGACCACTATCTACCAGAACACTATCTACCAGAACACTATCTACCAGCACACTAACTGCCAACTTTGTTTCTACTAACGATAATAATTGAATAAAACTCAAATAGTAAAGCTTTTACCTGCAGCAGAGATAACGCATCTCGTGTATCTTTTTTTTTATCAGTATTTAGCGGACCACAGCTGGAATTTTTTTTTTTTTTTTTTTGCTCAAAATAAAAAAATTGATTGTTTCAATTGAGCCCTTCCTCTACTCCTGAGATCGGTAATGGGCGGCACATGTCAACCGCGGGGGTAGACAAAAAAAGCCACTTATATCACTACACAAAAAAGATTGCAAAAATGGCTCCATATGAGTTATGAATACATGTGGAAAGGCGATATCACAAAAAAGTGGCACGAACCCCTTTACACATCTTGCCCTATAAAAGTTTAGCTATTCGATCTTAAAAGCCTTGAAAGTTTAACTGTTCTATTTTAAAGCCTACTCTCTACACCTACATTTTTGAAACTATTAAAGAAAGATGCGATTCATACACTCTATATATAGATATATAATTATATAGGTATGTAAAACCCTATCCAAACGAAAACTAATTCATATTCACTGGAAACCAAATCAAAAAAAATGTTTGTGTGTGCATTCAAAACTCTTAACATCACCAATAAATCAACTCTCCAAAGTCACTCAATTACTTTAAAAGACCAAAAGAAAAAAAAACAACGTCAAAACTTCCCCTTCCTCCAATTGTGTACATGACGCAAGGCTTAAATGCTACTACCCCGGTGATGATCATTACAATACGATTTCCGTGTTGCGCCCATATCTATTAGCGATAAGCGTTTGGATTTATCATAGGTAACAACCTCAGCAATCTTGACTATCTCGACACTATTCAAGTCAACTAATATAGCATCCAACTCTTCTTCATCCATATCAAAATCCCCCCAATCTTCATCATCATCATCTTCTTCATAATACTTCCCCTTGACCTCAGTTTTGACTTGGTATTTCGATGTTGTCACTTTCTCAGAAGCTATTTTTAGTGAAGGAAGCGTATCTTGAGCATTCTCTGGGCAGGAGTATACTGAAACGCTATCAGAATTAGATGACACAGAACGTTTAATGTGGTTCCTATCACTAAACAACGAATGACCCTCATCGTCCTCTTCTTCAATAGAGCTCCGAGATTCAGCTATTGACAAGGGTGACAATGGCAAGTTGTTTGTTTGCTCTTCACCCTTCCCTTTACTAGCTTTTGTTTCAATGCCTTTTGGTCTTTTAAAAATTGATTTAGTACTAGTAATGAAATGGTTTAATTCAATGTGACTTGAGTGGTGACTATTCTTGAAGATTGGAGAGGGCAATGATTTCAAATCTTTAAACAGAATCCTGGCTGGTGATCGTCTTGGTATTGATAAATCATTTCCTAGTTTCCCACCCGTATCGGTGCCCCTTTCAAATAGTGATGGTGGTTGTAGTGGTGATAAAAGAAGTGGCATTGCTGAGGCAGCTACACCTACGTCTAAATTCAATAACATGTTTGAATCGTCGTTGTTAATTTCAACAAAGTTGATAACAGTAGCAGTCCCTTTGGTAAAGAAAGCGGACTTATTACTGCAGATTGAGATGGTTGAATAAAACCAAGGTAGTCGCGAGAATCACTTGGATTGGCACTAGACTTATTACTCAGTTACGGCTAACTAAGAAACAACTTGAAAAACGTGGAAAGAATAAGTAATGAGGTTGGTCCTTTCTAAAATATAAAAAAAAAAAAAAATTGCAGAAATCAGTGAATCCTATATCCCTTGGCTGTTTCCTTTGTATGTTTCCCTTTTTGGACTTGTTTTTTTTCAAAATCTTTCACAATCTTTCTGTTCTAGGGATAAGTTACAAGAATGTTCCCCTGTGTCAATAAAATTTTGGTGATAAGTTGTCTTTGAGTTTAAGCTTAAAAACTGGAAATGTAAAAAAAAACAAAAAAACAAACCCCAGTTAAGTAGTTCAAATTGAAATTGTCCAAAGTAGACTTGGTACTGTAATAAGAGGGGAAAACAACAGTGGTTAAATTGAATGAAAACTTTTTGAAATGATTCTCAAGGAGAAGAGTTTTCTTCAATAGGAAATGTTCTGATAATTTTATATAAAACTTTAAAGTTAAATATACATGAAATATGGGTGTGAAAAAAAAAACCCAGAAAAAATAGAAAGAAAGAGGAAGACATATATACAAGGAATGTAGAAAAGTAAAGGGAGTGTCTCTTTATCATCGTAGACTGGTCATCTGTGTGTTAAACTAAGAAAAGGAATGATGACTGAAGTTGTTATATGGTGCTGGTTATATTTCCTAAATTATGCAAGGATCAACTGCAAAAAAATATCAAAAAGAAAATAACTAGAAGAAGATCATTTTTGTGTCAAGACGTTTCTGACACAGATTAGAAATAGATTTACAACTGCACTAAAAAAAAAAAAAGAAAAGCCATCATGAGATTCTCTTACATGGCCAATACAAAAAGTAACCTAGGTTTGCAAAGTATGCCATATTTAGTAGTAGTTGAGTTAACTAGGGTTTTCTTTTTGACTGTGGAGAATGGTTAAAAAGTTTAATATTCAAGCCAAAAAAGGGACTTGTATGGTAATGTTGCAAATCCCTCCTTTTTTTTTTTTATTTTATTCATGTTGATTTGGGGTTACATATTGTCTCCTAGGCAAGGCTGTGTTGTCAACTGTATAATCATGAAAAACCAACAAAAAGTGTTTCTCTTTGTAATATATACTTTACCACATCTGCTCTGTCCATTTGATTCAAAAAACCAGTTTTCCTTTCTTAGATTAAAAAAACAAGATTAAAGTTTAGAATGCTTTGTTTAACGAAAGATGAATAATTCAAAGACTAAAATAGGATATAGAATTTTTGAGAACTGTGACTGATTACATCATAGTGACACTATCGAGCAGAGCAAAACAGTGGAGCAGCGCACTGACTAGTTTGTTACTACTATGAGCTATATCTCAAGGTACAGGCTTTTTCTACTATACATTGTCAATCAAATATAAATCTATAGCACCTACAAATGGTATACCAGGCGCAAAACAAAAAAGTATATACAATTGGGCCAAGCAAAATCATGATATCATAGATATATAAAAAAAGTGATTTATTAGTTAGTACTAACGAAACTAAGTGTAGCTCTTTCTCTCTCTCTTTCTCTCTCTCTTTCTCTCTCTCTTTCTCTAAGATTGCAAAAATCCAATTATCTACTGTTAGGATTTTTCCACCATTACAATATTAGATACTGCGACCCAATTGCAGGCATTTCAGTAAGGCATTTGATCTCCACAAAAAACAATAGAAAAGAAAACAAAGGAACAAAAATGGATTTGTCATTACACCCCCGGACACTTTGAAGGAGAAGAAAAAAAAAAAAAAAGAAAGAGAAAGAGAAAAGAGAAGATAAGAAAAAGTGTCTTGGTAAATGGGACTCTATTACAACGACACAGGGAAGAAAGGGTTGAAGGAAATTAATTTCTTTATTGCTTGTTTGAGCATTATATAAGTAATAAAACTTTAGCTTTAATTTTAACCCGGCCTAAGTTTTTACTAATCTCTAGATTGATGTGGGTCCATCATTGCAAAATAGTTGATGTTACATTCATCGCTGTCTGGAGGTGCTAAAGAAAAAAAAGAAACAAAATCTGGGGAAGGAAAGAGAATCGGTTTCAAACTATATGCTTTTCTCTAAAAAAAAAAGAAAGCGTTGAAAAGTCATCAAAGGAAGTTTTTCTTGACATCTAAGTTCGTAGCCATTTTGCATGTTTAGCTGGAATTGCTTTTTATCTTGAATCTGTTATTGGCTAAACTCGTAAATGAGAACTCTCAATTTTTATTGACTTCCACCCCCCACTCTCTATGTATTTAATGACTTTTCATAATCTACAAAAAGAATGCAAAATAAAAGGTAAAACCTCCCCTCTTGAATGACAAATTTGCTTTGTCTGAGTTTGCAATTTGCAACTCTTTATTTTACCCATCAACAGAATAATAATAAAATATAACATGGATAATAACACACTATACTCGGTATACGACTAAAGAAATGTTAGCATACTTAATACACAATTTAAGGGTGCCTCTTAGTTCTTGGCTTTCTTTTTTGGGGGTCTATTGTCATCACCACCATCCGCTGGAGATGCTTCTTCTTCGCTACCTGATTCAGATTCGGCCGCACTATCAAACTCTTCGGCAACATCAGAGTCTGAACCTGATTTAAAGTCTACGTCCTCTTCCTCATCTTCTTCACCGGCACTTCCCATATCCACATCACCGTCCTCTTCATCCAGATCAGCTTCTTGTTCCAACGCTTTAGCCAATCTTTGTTTAGCAAGCTTTTCTTCATTTTTAACCTTGACTCCCTTTTCCCTACAGAATCTTTCAATGTTCTCTTGCTCTTCTCTATCAATACTTCCAAACACATGTTTTTGACTTGATCCAATTACGTTTATTTCCAAATCAAATGTTCTTGACGCTGATACTCCACCTCCGGTTCTTGACATAACAACATTGCTTATTTCGCTATATGGAATATAAAGCGTTGGTTTTGTTACAAATAAGAAACATCTATCCAAAGGATACAAGTAACCTTCTGAGGCTTTTAAAGAGCATGATATGCCTGGCTGCAAGAATCTCGATTGGAACGAACCCGGCGTGAATAATCTCTTTTCCGTTAGTCCTCTAAGACAGTGAGCCATTACAATATATGTAGGAGCATCATATGATTTCTTTAATCGGTCCTTATATTTAGCTTCAAACTCTTCGTCGCTTAAATTTAGTTCCAATTCTGTTTCTTCGTCTTTAACAAACTGCAATACCAAAAACGGGTATCTCGTTTGTCCCTGTCTCAAGGGAGGATCAATTTGTATAATGATCAAATGATGCACCTCATCCGGTTTGGGTAATGAAAATATACGTTCAATTTGTTTATACTGTATCTTGTAGTCATATGTTTTACCTCTCAATCTCAATGAGGTTGAGTACATATCAATATCATAACGGCCTCTGGGTGTGAGGAACAATGCGTCACCAAACGACACAATTGCTTCTCCAGCAATTTGACCGATATCTGCTTTTTCCTTCAATTGCTCATAAAATGCTTGTGCTGCATTTTGTTCAGTTTCAATAGTATCTACCACTACTTCCTCTTCATCTTCACCGGTCTCTTCATTTTTGATCCTTGTGGTTTCTTGTTCCACGACATTACCAGGAACATAGAATCTCATTTCAACGACTTCGTCTCCGACTTTGTTGCTGTTGCCATCAAGATTGAATTCCAAGGCAACTTCATTTTTCCCCGTTAAATTCGAGTTGGATATAGCATCATAAGGAATTTCAAATGCCGGTTTGTTATTCACGTTAAAAACCAACTCGTTTCTTGCCAAGTCGGCTTTACCCCAGTTCCATCCTCTCAAAGAGTGTTCTCGATGCTCTAAATTTAACTGGAAATTTCTACTCAATTCTTGCTTCAATTGTGCAAAATCATCAACGTGGAATCCATCGAGAGCAACTACTCCGTTATTCTTGGTTTGAACTCTCAATTCGTACCCTTTGGCGCCTCTTGACCATGTGGCTAGAATGATCTCTTCTCTCGGTAATAAGAAGGGCTGCTGTTGCTGCTGTTGCTGTTGTTGATCCCCCGAACCGTTTGGTTGATTAATACTAGCTTTCCAACCAAGCCCAGAATCTGCAATACGCAAGCGTCCAGTGGGTTTCTGTTGGTTTAAAAAAATTCTCTCGAAATCCGTATTCACCATGATGAATACTGCAAGTGTTGTTTCTCTATAAATGTATTTTTGAAGAAAGTAAATGCAAAACTTCAATGGATTTGAATAAAATCGCGTTCTTTGTTAACAAAGTGAAAAATAAAATTAAAAAAATAGAGAAGAGCGCGTGCTACCATATGCTGCCCACTAGACTATCGAGCAGAGCGAGATAGTCTGTATTCACTCTCTCTATAGACTATCCGCATCTACTATCGAGGAGCAGCACTGAGACTAGACTATCGAGCAGAGCGAGATAGTCTGTATTCACTCTCTCTATAGACTATCCGCATCTACTATCGAGGAGCAGCACTGACTAATTTGTTGCTACTATGAGTTATATCTCAAGGTATAGTCTACCATAGTCTTTCTCTACAATTGTCTTTCCTTACAATCTTCTGCAATTGTCTTCTACCATAATCTTTCTCTGCAATCTTCTAAAATTGTCTTTTGCATTCAACTAGTCGAGCAGAGCGAGACTAGTCTAAGAAGCATAGACATCTCTGCTCAACTAGTTTCTACACCTCCGCTATTCAACTAGTCTCAGAAGCATAGACATCTATGCTCAACTAGTTTCTACACCTCCGCTATTCAACTAGTCTCAGAAGCATAGACATCTATGCTCAACTAGTTTCTACACCTCCGCTATTCAACTAGTCTCAGAAGCATAGACATCTATGCTCAACTAGTTTCTACACCTCCGCTATTCAACTAGTCTCAGAAGCATAGACATCTATGCTCAACTAGTTTCTACACCTCCGCTATTCAACTAGTCTCAGAAGCATAGACATCTATGCTCAACTAGTTTCTACACCTCCGCTATTCAACTAGTCTCGCTCTGCTCGACTAGTCTCAGAAGCATAGAGGTCAAGTCTTCTTTTCTTTTCTTTTTTCTTTATTAATTTCGCAAGAGTCATTTTTTTCTATGCATAAAACAATTTTTCAAAATATTCCAAATTACAAAACGCTGGGTATATTCTAAGCTGAGATATCAAGTATTATTATTATTACTCACACTCTTTTTTTGTAAGTAAACAATGGTCAAGAAAGCAGGAGTATTGGGAGCAACTGGTTCCGTTGGTCAAAGGTTTATACTCTTGTTGTCACAACATCCCGATTTTGAAATACATGCTTTAGGAGCATCATCAAGATCAGCTGGAAAAGCATACAAGGATGCAGTAAACTGGAAACAAACAGATGTATTACCGGCTTCAGTACAAGGTGTGGTTGTACAAGAGTGTAAGCCAGAAGGAAGCTTCAAAGAATGTGACATTGTCTTTTCAGGTTTGGATGCTGATGTAGCTGGCGAAGTTGAAAAAGCATTTGTAGACGCTGGATTAGCAGTTATTTCAAATGCCAAAAACTATAGAAGACATAAAGAAGTCCCCTTGGTTGTTCCAATTGTTAATCCCGAACATATTGATATTGTTGAATCAAAAGTGAAGAAGGCTAAAGCCGAAGGTAAGGAGAAAACAGGGTTCATTATTTGTATTTCAAATTGTTCTACTGCTGGTTTAGTTGCACCTTTAAAGCCCTTGGTTGAAAAGTTTGGTCCAATTGATGCATTGACCACAACAACATTACAGGCCATTTCAGGAGCTGGGTTTTCGCCAGGGGTTTCAGGTATGGACATTTTGGACAATATTGTGCCATTCATTAGTGGAGAAGAAGAAAAATTGGAATGGGAGACAAAGAAAATACTCGGTACTTTAAATGAAGATGGCACAGAAGTGGTAAATATCCCAGAAGAGAAGATGAAGGTAAGTGCACAGTGTAATCGTGTGCCAGTGATTGATGGACATACCGAGTGTATTTCATTTAGGTTTGCCAATAGACCACCACCATCAACTGAAGACGTGAAGAGAACATTGAGCGACTATGTTTGTGAGGCTTCTAAATTACATTGTCATTCTGCTCCAAAACAAACTATACACGTACTAGAAGAACAGGATAGACCACAGCCTAGATTGGATAGAGAAAGAGATAATGGATTCGGTGTTTCTGTTGGAAGAATTAGACAAGATTCCTTATTGGATTTTAAAATGGTTGTTTTATCACACAACACAATCATTGGAGCAGCGGGTTCTGGTATTTTGATTGCCGAAATATTAAGTGCAAAGGGATTAATCTAACCTATTTACTTGTTGTTTTATTTGTCTTTTTTGTATAGAGGTTTCTCTGTATAGAAGATAAAATGTGTAAAGGTTTTTCTATTGAAAAAAAATGATTGCAAATAAAACAAAAAAAAAATATAGTAGATAAAGATGTCAATGGTGATTTTTACATTGGCGATATCTAGATGGTTTACTTGGATGTATATCCTGACTCTGCTTGAATGCTTGATGGAAGATAATATAGATGGAGCATCTATTTGGTCTATGCTCCAAAAACAGGGCGAGAAGGTTATTTGGGGGAATTCGTTAATATCCATTTAGATGAAAAGTCAAGTTGCAAATCTAATAGTCAATTTCGTAATTGATAAAAAAAAAAGGGAGGGTACCAATAGCACCATGGGGTTTGTATTTTTGATGATCAACTGTTTTCCATTGCTAATTGGCTGTTATCCAAGATTTGTCCATTTAGAATACCTCTGTCAAACATGGTTTGTTGAAACTCGGAGCAGGATATAGATGGACACTATCGAGCGAAGCGAGATAGAGCACATTAGCTGCCACCAACAATTTGCACCTTAATTACAGCATTGACACTATCGAGCGAAGCACACTAGTTGCCACCGACAATTTGCACCTCAATTACAGCGTCGACACTGGTCGCTCTGCCCGATAGTGGAGCACACTAGCTGCCGCTGACACTACAAATAGCCAAGGGATGGCATTTGGAAAACATGTAGTGGTATCGCACTACATTCTTATCGAGTTTAACTGGGGGAGAATATCGCTCTGGATTATTATCTCGCTTTGCTCGATAGTGGAGCAAACATGTCGTATTGTTTGTACGAAATGTGGAGCATTGTCATCAAGGACAAGTAAACTGATGTTGGTGACAGTAAATTCGAAAGATTCAACAACAATTGAAATTGATATGGTATAAAGATTTTCCATACCGGCTATAGAGCTCCAGGTCAACCCTACTCAGTCAATGATCTACAAGAATGGAGAGGAGTTAAAGTTTACCGCTTTAGACTAGCGTCTAGTCGTAGACTCCAATGGAACACTATCGAGCAGAGCGAGATAGTGTTGTAACAAGCTACTCGGTGCTGTAACAAGCTACATAGTGCTGTAACAAGCTACTCGGTGTTGTAACAAGCTACTCGGTGCTGTAACAAGCTACATAGTGCTGTAACAAGCTACTCGGTGTTGTAACAAGCTACTCAGTGCTGTAACAAGCTACTTAGTGTTGCTCGATAGTGTTAGTCAGTTTTGCTCCAGCTTTACTAGAAACTGCCTTTTACACGCAAATATCTAAATAATGCCTGTCTCATCCTCCTCCTTCAATATGGTTATCATATCTAAACTACACCTGTCTCATCCTCCTCCTTCAATGTGGTTTTCCTTTTCTATGCAGATGAGCGATACTTGAAATATTTGATCTTTTCAACTTCCAGGGAAAAAAAAAAAAACCATAAAAAAAATCAAAGTTGTAGGCTTCACTTTTAATCAAGATCCTTTCTGTATAGTGGACACCACGTATTATCGTGATTTCGCTAACATTTTAACAACGTCCACTAACATATTTGCATTATCAATGAACTAGAGTTAACAAAATCGAATTTTTTTGCCCTTGTATATATGAAAAAAAACAAGAATTGGATATGTCATTTCAGTTTCAGTTTGGTACATCGAATGCATCTAATAGCAACAACTCCACTAGCAATAGCCGATCCACGCCTTTTTTTAACTTTACTTCCAACAATAAAACCGCATTCAATGCTCTACCGAGTAACTCGGCGAAAAATAATGCTGTTGCTTCATCTACGAACAACAGCGCAGCGTCATTGGACAAACAGTTGAAACGTTCCAAAAAAGTGGATGGTAACAGTAACAGACATGATACTGAACTGAAAAACGAGAATTCCGCCATGATAGACAACCTAGATGAACCTAAGCGAATAATACAAAAACAAAAGCCGGACGAAATTCAAACTTTCACACAGGAAGACATAGCACTCACGGGCACTCTTTTTACAAATCCAGAGGCGCTTGGGTTTCGAAAGCAAAATAAACATATACCGTCAAGACCAATACCGAAATTCTTTTTCACACAACCCAAATACTTGACAACAGTGCCGTTTACGCAGAATGAGTGGGACAAGCAAAATCAGATTAAGATGGAACAAATGGAGGCAGCAAATCAAGGAAAGGATTACCAGGGATTGTATGAGGAGCTACAGAAACTCCGTGAAGTTGAAAGAAAAGAAATGGAGAAACTTGGATTAGTTGATGCCGAAAATATTGCAAAGAGCTTAAATGATGCAATTGCATTTCGGGGTTCGTGTTTGGACATGTGTCCCGTTTTTGAAAGAGTGCGGCGTCAATTAGAAAACAACGTTAAGAACTTGGAGAAAGATCCACAAACAAACAAGATCTCAAAGGAAAGAGCCATTAAAGCATTTTCAAGACCTGCTGCAGGACAGCCGCCCCCACTTCCATCCGAAGTTCGTCCTCCTCACGTTCTTGTAGAAACTTTGGACTATTTGATTGAAGAAATAGTAAACAAATTACCGGATGCACATTCTTTTCTCTGGGACAGAACTAGATCAATTAGACAGGACTTTACCTATCAGAATAGTTTTGGCCCAGAGGCTGTGGATTGTAATGAAAAGATTGTGAGAATCCATTTGCTATCTCTACATATAATGGCAGGTAGTGATGTGGAATACTCTCAGCAACAAGAGTTGGAACAGTTCAACAAAGCCCTCCAAACATTGATGGAAATTTACCAAGATGTAAGAAATAATGGTGGTAAATGTGCTAATGAAGCCGAGTTTAGGGCCTACCATTTATTGAGTCACATACGTGATCCTGATTTAGAGAGACAAATACAAAATCTACCAAATGAAATATATAATGCTAGTCACGTTCAAATAGCACTACAGTTGCGGAAACTTGCATCGCAGAACAACGTAGTGGAAAGAGGTGTGAAAAACTTGGTTGGTGCTTTGAACATGTATGTGGAGTTTTTCAGAACTGTTTATAACGAACAAACTCCTTTGTTGATTGCTTGCTTATTGGAAACCCAGTTCAGCGAGATAAGATTTTATGCATTAAAAGCGATGGCTAGGAGTTTCCATTCAAAAGGCAAAGGATACCTGCTACTTATGTTACAAGACGCTTTAGGATTTGACTCATCGGAAAAGTTGTTAGCCTTTTTGAAGTATTATGAAATAGAGACAATTGAACAGAATGGGGAAGTGTTGGTAGACTTGTTTAATCAAGAGAAGCTTAAACTACAATACAAATTAAACTCATTTCAAGAAAAACCAAAATATCCCCCTGTGTACTCCCGACAAATTGATCAAAAGATAAATGGACATGATCTCAAGCATTTTATTACTAGTGGATTTCCAAATACTACATTCAACTTGAATAGTGATTCCAAAAAGGCTGTACAACCATATCCATTTGAACATGATTTCAAGCCTTCGCCTCTGATAACACCAACAACAAAAATAACAGCAGCAGCAGTAGCAGCAACAGCAAAGACCCCTGCTACTTTTCAGTCAATTAGTAGATCCAATGGTGCATTTCAACCAAACAAAATCATGTTCCAGCAGCCATTGCAAACAACCACTCCACAATCGGCAAGTGCTTTCCAATTTGGGGGTGTTGGAGGTTCGAGAACAACAGCACAAGAAAAGAAACAGAACCCTTTGGTAACGACAGCAACAGCAGCAGCAGCAGCAGCATCTGCTACTCCAATTTTGACTAAACCAGTAACAATGATCACACTGGATAAACCCGCACCTACAAAAGTTGACTTTCTGTCGTTTTCCAAATCGTTACCTGGGAAGAGCGAAGACATGTTTGCCTCAAAAAAGGTGACATTTAACTCGATACCCGAGGTTAAGATAATCTCATCTGGAGGAAGTGAAGGTATTCCTAGTTCTACTTCTTCTTCCCCTCCTCCCCCTCCTCCTCCTTCTCATCTTTCTGCACAAGAATCAGGCTTGATAACAGCAGCATCCATTCAAAAATCACTGGCAGCTGTACCACCTGTCAAGAAAAAGACTCTCATTGAAAATTCACAGTTTCCCAAAGCTCTTCGAGACTATACTGAAGAGATATCTAAAAACATTGCTGATTCCGAATTAGAGACATTTTTGAGAAAAATTTTTTTTAGTTATAAGGCACAAGTTGAGCGACGAAGCACTATTAAAGCTTTAAGTAGCGACTTATATTTGGCATTTCTTTCCGAGGTCATATATGAATGCACACTGGAGGTAATTGCAAGGGAGTTTAGCGATAACTTATCAAAAAAACACACACTTGAGAAAATCGTGAGAAATGCAAGAAGGTGTGTTGAATCTTATCGTCAAAGAAAACTAAAGGGACAGGAATTTAGCGCAGTTTCATTCACGCGTGGCTCCAAAAGAAGAGTTTCTTCTTCTTCTGTGGTTCTGAGCCACACAGAAGATTCGATAATCAAAAAGAGGCGCCAAATGTCTAGACCTATATCTAATCTTGATATAAGCAAGAAACGAAAGGAAATGAAGGAACTTTGGTCGCCATTGGATTTAAAAAAATTCATTGATGCTTGTGCAGATGGTATTCAATTGAAGATTGATGAAGATAATTTAGAGTTGACATGTTTGTTGGTTGTTGAAGACTGGCAGTCTCTGTATTCTCAATGGTTGAATTCCAAATTCTCCTTAAGAGCCAATATGAAATCTTTAGTATACGAGGGTCACGCTAACAATGACAAAATCGAACTTTCAATCACTAGCTTACCTGGTAAGAAACAGTTTAACAAAGAATTTTTCAGCAAATGTTCGTTTATCCTTTTTGAATTTGGATTAACGACATTTGATTCCGGGAAAAAAACTATTCATGAGAAGTTGGCATTGGATTACAAGGTGCTAAAAAATATACTTTCATGGGTTGATAAATACAGCTACTACAAGGTTCATATTATTATCTTGCTCTGGGATATCAGTGACTCGGGCATTTCAAGTGCTGAGGCAATATCTGAATTAAAATTGACAAAGTTCTTGGGTTCTCGAAATGTAAAAGATGTTGTGTTTTGCAACATGTCATCTGAAAAAGGAACCATTAACGATATTTTCTCTCAGGCATGGTATAAGATTGCTCACGACTTCAATGCTGAGTTGACATTACGGGGCCAAAGACATACGGACAAGTTGCGAAAACTCAAGAATATAAACCTAGAAGAAGAACATCAACGCCAAAGAAGGAGGGAAGAAATATCTGGATCCAACAATATTAAGCAATTAGAATCGGAGATGCTAAATCGCGCCAAAAGACTCCGCGCATTTGAAAATCTAACTTCTACGGCAGGAACAAGACCAAGACCAAGCCTAAACCCAAGCCTAAACCCAAGCGCAAACCCACTACCAAGACGAGCCTCAAATCAACTTTCCAATTCAAGCGCAATAGTAAACAAGTCAATTGCACAAATAATAAGTCAGCGAAACAATAGATCAAATGTGACTCTGGCAAGCAGCAACTCGACATTCTTCAACACAACTATGATCAATAGTGCGAATGGGTCTATATTAAATGGCTTTGGTCGAGGAGTAGTTGAAGAAAGCACTCCGATAAATTCTCCTAAAAGGAACTCTAACTCAACACTTGATTTAAATCTCTCTTCCAAAGAAAGAAGAGAAAAATTGAGAGAAACAGTGGCTCTGATCAAGAACAAATACAAACGGTCGACTCTTCTGAAAGAAGGAGATTCTACAGGATAGTAAATTACTACAAAACAATCTACTATGAAACAACTCTAATTTTACTTTAAGAAGAATTAGAAGATAATGTAATAGATATTTTTTTTTTTTCTGTATAAAAAAAGTCTTTTGAAGAGAGAAGCACCCGTTGCAAGGAAACACCATAGCATACTCTCGGCCCCCTTATCAAGGCTTGGTCCGTTTTCATATATATTGTCGTCTTCATTGTTATCGGTTCCCGGTAGATACTTCTTTTCTGCGATATTTTAATAATCCCGCCAGTTGTTTAATTCTTCCCTTTTTTCTCTCTCTCTCTCTCTCTCTCTCTCTCCACTGATGGGATTTTTTAATTTTTCATCTTCCAGTCTTTTGCTTTTGGACAAGAGCGAAACAATAGGAAAAGAGAACAAGTATTAAAAGCAAGGTTCTTCAGCTTTAGCAAGTCGTATACCACGCTTTTGAAAATTCGATATCGACTTAAGATCCAATATAGAGATTTCAAGCTAATTAGGGTTATTTGGGTTTAAAAGGCGCTGATAGAAGCTACGTTTATTAGAGGAAAAAACCTAGAGGATATAAAGGGATGGATCTTTTGAAAGACGCAGCTAAAAACCTCAACCTCTATGAGGTCAAGGCTTATGTTCGTAAGGCACAGAATGGTATGTTATAATTGCAGAAATGTGAAGTTTGTTGTTCCACGGTGGTACTAACTTGTGTGTTTTTTTCCCTCTTGCAGTTGCTATGAACTTAACTGAAATTGAATCAAAGGTGCGTGAGGCCACAAATAATGAACCATGGGGAGCGCCAACTTCCTTGATGGCACAAATAGCTTCGGCTACTTACAACTATAGAGAAAGAGAAGAGATTGTTGCGTTTATTTTCCGTAGATTTACTGAAAAGGCGGCCAATGAGTGGAGACAGGTGTACAAGTCGTTACAATTGTTGGACTACTTGATCAAAAACGGTAGTGAAAGGATAATTGATGATGTAAGATCAAATATATCCTTGATACAAATGTTGAAATCGTTTCATTACATTGATTCAAAAGGAAGGGACCAAGGAATCAATGTTCGAAACAAAACAAAGAATTTGCTCAACTTGTTAAATGACGATAGCCAAATTAGAAGTGAGCGTAAAAAGGCAAGAGCAAATCAGAAAAAGTTTGGTGGTATCTCCTCGGCTGCCTATGGCGGAGCTTCATCAATTGGCACTAGTTTCGGCAATTCCGCCTCAAGCTTTGCCGATGTTGATGACGATGAGTTTTCAAATAGGGTTTATGGTGACGGTGGTGTATATGGTGAGAGATACGATGACCCAGCATCCTCGTACAACAATGGGGCTACGGGAACTAGTGGTGATCAATTTGAGGAGTACGAAGCTCATCCAACTTCCAAATCTGCAGCTGCCAAATCTACAACTGGGGCATCAAAAATCAATGCGAAAGCTTTCAATTCTGCCAAGTCCAAACCTCAACCAAAAGAACCACAAGATGATTTGCTTGGAGACCTCTTAGCCTTTGATAAGGAGCCAGCAGCAGCAGCAGCTCCAGCCAATGGCGGTGACGATGACGATGATGAGTTTGACGATTTTCAAGCTGCACCTTCCCAACCACAAAAGCCAAATAACTTGTCAAATAACTTGTCCTCTAATTTGTCAACCTTGTACCATCCACAACAACAACAACAACAGCAGAAGCAAGCATTTACCCATACCAACTTTTTTGCTTCAAGCACTGTATCTACGCCAACCAACACAGTTTCGTCATTCACAACCTCAACTGGGCCTGCCAAATCAAGTACTACTAATGATGCTTTTTCTTCGTTATTTGTAAGTGCTAAATCCAAGAACAGCGACTCAAAGAATGGACCATCAAAAGCAACCGCCAACACAACAACATCCAAATCTCAATCTACAGGTGGTGCAGGTATTGGCGATGATTTATTTAGCAGCAGCAGCAATACTTTTTCCAAAAACCAACCTGCTGCAGGTAACGGTACAAACAACAAAGAAGGCGAGATTGATCTATTAAGTTTTTAACAATGGAGACAGGAGAATACAGAAAGAAGTGCTGAAAGAATACAGAGAGTGGTGTATACGTGAGGGAGAAAGAGTTGTGTGTGTGTGTGTGTATGAGAAAGAAAAGGTCATCCGGCTTATAGATGTTTTATCTTTTTCTTTACTTTCTAAAATAGATATAATTTTGAGTGTTATTCAATGTCTACCCCAAAAGTAATTCACAAAAAGGGCGGTGCCTTTAGCGTAAAGTTTTTGATTTCTACTCCAAGCGCAAAGATCAAAAAAAAAATGGAAAAAAAAAAATCAAACTCTACAAACATACCTTGAGGATCAATTCGATTTAAGTTTAGACTATGTTTAGGACATCATTAACCAAGGCCAACGGCTTTTCAAAAGCCAATGGCTTATTTTCAAGAGCTTTTTCAACTACTCCAAGAGCTTTGGGTACAAAAGTATTTCTTCAAACCTCAATCGACGGTGAGGTTCAACCACCAATTAGATTTGAATTATACGATGATGTTGTTCCCAAGACAGTCGAAAATTTCAAAGTTTTAGCCAGTGGTGAAAAAGATGTTAGTTACAAGGGGTCTACTATCCACAGAATTATTCCTCAGTTTATGATACAAGGAGGTGATTTTGAAACCGGGAAGGGGTACGGTGGGTATTCGCCAATTTGGGGAAAGCATTTTCCAGATGAAAACTTTACCAAAAAACACGATAGGCCAGGTTTGTTATCCATGGCTAATGCCGGTCCAAACACCAATGGCTCGCAATTTTTCATCACTACTATTCCTACTCCATGGTTAGATGGCTATCATGTTGTTTTTGGCGAAGTCATTGATGGCTACGATGTGGTTAAAAAGATTGAAAGTTACGGTAGTGAACATGGGGAACCAACCGCCAGAATTGTAATTGAGGATTCTGGAGTTGAAGAGGAAAAGAAGTAAAGCATATCAAGAGAAGAAACAAAGATATATAGAGAGAGCTTTGGAAATATAAGTCTTTTCCAACAAAAAAAAAAAAAAACAGTCCTTTGTTAACGCCCTTCTCTGTCTAGTTGTAGTATGTTTTGACTTAAAGAATAGGATATAAATAAAAAGGAGAAAAAAAAAGTCTCTTAGTATTTAAACACTGGATCTTCGTTCAACTTGATCAAATCTTGAGGTAATTTCTTCTTCAATTGTGCCAACTTGTCGTAATCACCAGCCAAAATCCTTGCTATGACCAACTCATCTCTTTCTCTTATTTCCTTCTTAGATTTGTTTTCATTACTCAAGAACTCCTTGGCTTTGGCAGTATCACCGTGGAAGTAATCTTCCATGGCTCTCAATCTTAATTCCTTTTCTGCCCAATCTGGACCTTCGACTTCCCTTGCTTTGGTTTGAGCAGTGTATTTCACATAAAGAATATATGCAAAAACTGGCAACACTATATAGAAATATGGGATTTCCCAGCCTTCAGCTTTAGGTGTTTCTCTAATGATCTTCCACTTCAATGTACCTGTTTGTTCGTCCTTATAAGGGATCTTGTCAACTATTTTACCTGCGTTCTTGGTAACAAATTGAAAATGGGCCAAGTCCTGCGAATTGTCTTCAAACAACTTCAAGTGATCTTTGGGAATTCCAGGCAAAATGTAGTTCCAATCTGAACAATTCCTTTTATAGTACATGTTTTGTAATTCTGCAATGGTCTTGAACTCTTCATCGCTTGGCACGCGCGGTGTCCCATCGGGGTTTGTATAAATCCTCGTCACCGATGGCAAAGAGTCTAATTTATTGCGTATTTCCTGCTCTAAGCTGTAGCTAAACTTGCTTGGTTTATACTTGAAAACACTTGCAAGTGGGAACTTGAACGTGAATTTCATGATACCAAATTTGGTCTTGAGTATCTTGGCAAAAAAAAAAAAATTAAAGGTTTTGCCCAACTGATGTTCCTGATAAACTATAAAACGAGAAATAGGTCCTACGAAGCAGTATTATGGCGGGTACCAGCTAAGTTGCACCTTATAACTCAACGATGGATAAAGATTAACCTAACTTGTAAATCAATAAATTTTCAATGAAATGTTATTGGCTCAGGAAAAAAAAGAAAAACTTGTTAGCGAGAGAGAGAGAGAGAGAGAGAGAGAAAAAAAAGATCTTCTTACTTTACAAGCTCATACAAGGATTGGAACGACAATTGAGTTAGTCAATCATCATTCTGAGCTATTAGTTCAACTTGGTTCACCGTTTCCAACTACATAATTCTCTTGGTTTAGCCGTTTTCGTTGTTTCTGAGTTTGCCTTTTTTCAGCTAATCGATGCTACTCCACTATCTCGCTCTGCTCGATACTGAGCTATTTGTTCAACTTGGTGGTCCCGAAATTTGTAAATCCCATAGTTTGACTTATTGAGTCATCCGCTTCACCGTTTCCAACTACATAATTCTCTTGGTTTAGCCGTTTTCGTTGTTTCTGAGTTTGTCTTTTTTCAGCCCTTTTCTTCCTCTTCTTTTCTTCAAATTCTTTTCGTCGTTGTAGACGTTCTGTAAAAGATATTCCATTATTACCAGTCATGTTTGATCTCGCTGCAATCTGGCGAGCAATTAGTTTCTCCATAGTCGATACAACCTCTGATAATGTAGCTCTTCGTATACCTCCTTGCAAAATTTCCGCAACAATCTCAGTCTCGCCATCTTTTGCACTATGTAGCAGCAGCAGCAGCAGCAGCAGCGCAATCACTTTAGTAGCATGTTGAGGTGAGTTCAAATGATCAATTAAGGCCAAATTATCACGAAATGATAAATCGCAAACTGGACAAAAAAAGCCAAACCTCTTGTTTGTACCATAAGTAGTTGAGTTTGATTTATCTGGATTTATCAAATTAAAAGTCTTGACAGCTCCGAGTGATTCATTAAGTAGGTTATTTCTATGGCTGATATATGCCAGAGAAGTATCATTCTTCAACGTATATTGTGATGGTTGGGAAACTTCATCCCGTTTCCTCTTCTTGTTCTTAGCTTCTTGTAGATACAACTCCTTATTCCATTTCTGTCGTCCGTACTGGTCGATGACTATTTTCTCCTCATCAGCCATCTTCAATAATGCCCTAATCTACAAGACTCCCCTCCGTATTTTTACTGATTGATGTGATTGAAAAATGGAGAAGAAAGAAAAAGAAAAAAAGACTCCTATATTTAGACATCTCAGTAAATATGCAAGAGAGATGAGCTAAGGAGATAAGCTCGATAAACAAGATGGCTATCGACATAACCACGATGATTGGCAAACCTATGGTTAAGAAAGCAGAATTGGGCAAGTCAAGACCATTTACAACAGCTAGCCCGACAAACGTCATTGCCGACAAACTCAATGAGGACCTAGTAGGTGACACATTCAAATATCAGTGGGTCACAATTGGAACACATCTTATTCAAAATGTACCTCGAGTCACCAATTCCTCCGATTCCAAAGTGAATATTGCAGCTTTTGACTTAGATGATACATTGATCAATACCAAATCCGGAATGAAGTTTTCGAGAGGTCCCAATGATTGGAAGTGGTGGAGACAATCAGTACCAGAAACATTATCAAAATTATATAAACAAGGATATCTAATTGCAATTTTCACAAATCAAGGAGCAGTCGTAACATTAGGTGGTAAGAACTCATTTTCAAATTTTAAACAGAAACTAGAAGCAATACAAAGTTCATTGGCAAAGAGGTATAAAGTTAAAGAGCTTTATGTTTTTGCGTCACCCAAGAAACCAGCAAAAGTATCAATTTCAAGCGACAAACAGCACAAGTCTATGAGGAAGCCGGAGATTGGAATGTGGAATGCATTGGTGTCTATTTTACAAGAACGAGGCATTAGCGTGGATTTGGAAAATAGTTTTTTTGTAGGAGACGCAGCTGGTAGGCCCAAAGACTTTCTGGATAGTGATTTACAATTTGCCAAAAGTGCCAATTTAACGTTTAAGATTCCAGAAGAAATGTTCATTAATGAGAATAGTATCGAGCAGAGCGAGACACTGGAGCAACACTTTGTAGACACTATTGAGCAGAGCGAGGCACTGGAGCAACACTTTGTAGACACTATTGAGCAGAGCGAGACACTGGAGCAACACTTTGTAGACACTATTGAGCAGAGCGAGACACTGGAGCAACACTTTGTAGACACTATTGAGCAGAGCGAGACACTGGAGCAACACTTTGTAGACACTATCGAGCGACAACGTGTTTAACTTTTATTTACATGTTGTTGTTTTACTTTATAGACGTTTGGGCTATTTGTACATGTGCTCTAACAAACTTTATTTCAACTTTGTTGTTATTCATAAATCTTCCAACATTATTTCCTCAAATTTTTCGTCCATGATATCAAATTTAGAGACCATCCTTTGGCACTTTCCAACAGAATCAAAGTACCCATCTACATTTTGAATGTTTCGCACTTGCTCGTCATTTTTGTGCTGAGGTAACTCATTTATCGTATCGAAATGCATAATTAGGCACTTGTCAATATCACCCACATCATTTTCAAACTTTATAGCTTCGCTTGTTGTTTGTGGGTAATTGATGATTATAAAGTTTGTCTCAAAAGTGCCTTCTCTGGTGTTTATAAAGAATCTAATGTGTTCTTTGATGATTGCCGTTATTAGCCCTGGAGGGTAAGGTTTGCGCAATGCATCGAGTTCATTTAATAATGCAGAGTACCTCAAACCTTCATCTTGTTTCTCCTGAGAGATTAGCTTTACAGGATCAATAACAATGTTTTTTCTACTTGGATCAGCCTTTCTCAAGGATTCTTCAACTTTTTGCAATAGGTTTTCAGTGTAAATGTAAGGAATGACATAAAATTTATACTTGTCCTTAATATCTGATCCTATAAGCTTATGCCTTCTTTTTATACCCGTACTCTCTTCAAATTTTCTGAAATCGCTTTCTGTCATTGATTGCATTGGTTTCTTTTTGTCGACTCTGCCTGAAACAAACCATACTCCGGCCCAGGATAAAGCAATCATATACAATATATATCTAACTCTTGGTTGTTGTTCACTATTTTTAATACTTGCATAGTTTCGTTGGATATTTAATGAGCCTGGTTTCCTTTTGAGAGTAGCTGCCGAGGATACTATTCTACGTGAGAAATGCTGCTTGCTCCACTGCTGGAGCCTAAACATCTTTTTGGTGCTAGTGCCTAAAAAATCTTTAGTAGTAACATTATAACGGTTTTTTTTTTCTTCTGGTTATTACTTTTTCTTTGGAAAAGAAAGTTATACGATTGGTTTGACGAGAAACCTGGTGCAACAAATGTTATTAGTTAGGGACCTCCCAAAAACACATTTGTAGAGATAAACGTTTGCAGAACCAAAAAAGGTCACAAACTATAAGACACTAAAAAACAGTTATAAATGGTGTATTCAGAGACACCCAATATTAAGAGACATTTGATAGGTGTATTAGAAAGCGCTGAATGGAAGTGTTTAATGGTTTACAAAAAGGTACTGAACAAGGTGGCACTAAAAGCTAGTTTACAGATGTTTTTGAAGGAAAAAATTACTATGGAAACTTTTCTTGAATTATTGATTTGGTGATTTTTTTCTCTCTATAAAACTCTACTCTATGAAACTACTCACCATAAAACTCTACTCTATGAAACTATACTCTATGAAACTACTCACCATAAAACTCTACTCTATGAAACTACTCACCATAAAACTCTACTCACCCTAAAAAATTTTACTCACTAGGAATATTCTTTCTCTATGAAGTCCTTTTACTCACTACGAAACTCTACTCACTATGAAACTTTTTACTCACTATGAAACTTTTTACTCACTATAAAATTATTCTTTCTCTATGGAGTCTTTTTTTCACTCTACACTATTATGAACTTTTTTTTCTCTACACTCTATAGATTCTTTTTCTTCCCTATGGATTCTTTTTCTCGCCCTATGGATTCTTTTTCTCGCCCTATGGATTCTTTGATTCTTTTTCTCAGTCTACGAGATTTATTATTTTCTCTCTATGTATTTCCCTAATGAGATTTTTCAATGGGATTCTTTAATGGGATCTTTTTTTTTTTTCAATCCTTTTACCAGGATATATTCACTCAACAAATGACAGCTTCACTAGTCACATTGTCGCATTTCTGTGCTCATATAAAGAATTGTCTTAATATAAATTTGGCCAAGACGGCAGTACCATACACAAGAACTAATTTACAAGCTGCATTACAGTTATATAACCAAGGTTTCATATCAGGTATACAAAGAGGTTCAACAACTGGACCAGATTTAATACCGACGGATGCAACGCCAGATAACATTAGTACAAGAAGATTATGGATAGATTTAAAATACAGAAATAATGCTCCAGTCATATCCAGCTTGGAAATGGTCTCTAAACCAAGTAAAAAAATTTACTTGAGTGCCGATGACATCAAAGCATTAGCCTCAAGCTTGAAAGTTCGAAGAGTTGACCCAATACAACCAGCCGAATGCTTATTTATTGAACACAAGCAAGACATTTACGAAGTCAATGAAGCCGCTGAGAAGGGATTATCTGGTAGAGCCTTGTTCCGTGTGAGATAAGAGAAATTGGTGTACCTTTTCTTTTTTTTGTTTGTATATATTTAGGTGACAGAATTAGAGGACTATTTGTGTAACTGGGTTGCTCCACTCTCTCATGTCAACTTGCCAACCTTTCCAAACCATAAGTTTTTCTCGAAAATCTTCAGTAGAACTGGATTTATTCAAGTTTTGTTGAGATATTGTCGCGTATTCGTTAGTTGTGATAGCTTGCATGGCCACGGTGATGGGATGCGAGTAGACTGGCGCTGCCGGCCTTGCTTCCCCGCTCGAAACAGCCACCGTTGCCTTAGATTCGATCTTTTTCAACTGTTCGTTCTCGAGCTTCAAGTCACTTATTTGATCATCAAGTTCCATCTTTGATAATTTGATATTCTTTATCTCGTCCTTTAGTGCTTGTATTGTTTTCTCTTGGTCCTCAATGATTTTCTTCAAATCTTCAACTGAAACACTTTCGGACTTTGATAAATCTTGACCTGTAGAATGCAATAAATCTTTTGATTGTTCAATTGGATCCAGCTGAATATCACCGACGACAACGTCGTGACCATCGTTATCATCATCACTAGTTGTCTCTTTTGGTATAGGTTCGTCTCGCGTACCAGGTTTTGTTTCCATATTGGCCTCTGTTTGTTTCTTTGAGATATCTTCTCCTTTATTACTTGAGGTGTCTTCCCTTTCACTTTTTTCCTTAACGGTTTCCTTTTCTCCTTCTTCTTCTTCTCCTCCTCCTCCTCCTCCAGTCTCTGTATCTGTATTCTTTGATTTCTTCTTCTTATCTTTCTTCTTTTTCTTTTTCATCTCCTCAAACTTTTTACGAGCTGCTTCTAATCTTTGTTCTTTAGTCATCTCCTCATTCTCAGGTACATTTTCCATGGTATTGGCTTCGGTGTCTGACATTTTATCTATAACCAATGTAATAGAAAAAGAATTGAGCTATCAACTCCTGTTCTTATTTTTTTCTTGAACATCTTTTGTACTAGCGCTACTTCTACAAAATAGCATACAAAACTTGTACTGTAATCCAAACCAACAACAAAATGTTTAAATAGTTTGCTTTTCAAGCGTCAAAAGCCAAAATTATTAGCCAAAAAGAGATGTAGCTGCAAATTTAATCTATATAAACACACCCATAGAGTATTTTTTCACCAAACACACTTGCAGTGTTCTTTGATTTTCGCAATTGATAACTATTAAAATGAGAATAAGAAAACAGACCATTTTCATGAATTGTTCGGGGTATCAATAATAAGGTTTGTCAAACTTTTGCCAACATTACTAACTATTATTAATACGCTTGTTTTCTCATCACGATTACTAATAGAAATCTACGGTTTGTTTATCGGTAGATTAGAAACACCCCCTAAAAACTACTTACATACTACCCTAAAGCGGGCAAGAAATGTATTTCTCAAAACTCCGCACTTCTGGTCCGCTTTAAAAAATGTCATCAATCCACAAAGTAGAAGACGACAACGAGTTTTATCCTTCTTGCGACACTATCGAGCGAAGAGAGATAGTGTTAGTAGTCAGTCCTGCTCCACTATCTCAATAGTCAATGCTGCTCCACTATCTTGCTTCGCTCGGTAGTTTTCTAGTCATTGCACTCCTCCGCAAAATGTTTTCATTAGTGGGGGGGAAGGGGGAAACAAAAAAAAAAGAAACTCTCCAAATTTGAAAATCAAGATACCTTACCCCAACAGTTTTCCCAAAGCTATGAATAAAGATCTTGATATGGAACTACAATTGCATATACAGCATATATGTCTTTGTTACTCTTGGGGGTCCGTCTATAACAATTTATATTTTCTCCACCGAAAAGCGCAAAATAAATATTTTGCGCCTTTTTTTTTTTTCAAAGATCGGGATCTTCTTTCCGATATGTCAAGTATATATTCCATCATGAAAACGACGATTAGCAAAGAACCAAATACCTCCACATACTAATGAGTTCTAGTTCGTCGACATGCACGGTATTGACGCAACCGCAGCAAGTTTTCTTGTCTTCACCTTCACAGCCGACAGATTTGCATCAACATTATTCTCAAGAAATTGCCAATACTAACGATGTCGATGTGATTAGCTTGAAAAATTTGACAGGGCAAGATGATTTAACAGAATCGCAGTATGAGCCAGCGTTAAACAACTCTGATGCAAATACATCAAATATTATGCATCGACGACATGGGGCCACTAAATCACCACCATCATCATCGTCGCAGTCATCATTGCATTTAATGTACGGTAGTGAAAATGACCCCGACAATTTTCCCGAAGGTGGAAAAGATGCTTACCTCGTTATGCTTGGGTCATTTATTGGACTAATTGCTGATTTCGGGATTCCTAACTCCTTAGGAGCTATTGAGTCTTATATTTCCAAAAATCAATTAAAAGATATCTCAAACGCACAAGTAGGGTGGGTTTTCTCACTCAATTTGAGTGTAATGTGGCTTGGTGGTGTATTTTTTGGCGAGTTGTTTGATAAATATGGCGCAAGAAAGCCATTGTTGGCAGGAACAATACTTATGTGTCTTGGGTTAGTTTTAACTGCAGAATGCACAAAGTTGTACCAGTTCATATTGAGTTTCTCCATTTTGACTGCTTTGGGGACTTCCATTGCAATGTCTCCATTGATAGGAGTGTTGAGTCATTGGTTCTTGAGAAGGCGAGCTTTGGCTTGCTCTATTGCAACTGTTGGTGGCTTGATTGGTGCTTCTTGTTTCACAATTATGTTGCAGCAGTTATATGGCAAAATTGGTTACAAGAATGCCATTAGAGTTTTGGCATGTATTTGTTTTGCGTGTATGAGTGTTCTGATTGTTTTAGTCAAGAGTAGGAAAAAAGAAGAGCCAGCTGCAGGGATGATAGAAAGGACTATTATAGAAGTTGACGCATCGGTTGATTTGGAAAATGAGGCAACTGTGTCAACAAAATTGAAACATTATTTTAGGGGGGTTTTTGACATTACGGTTTTGAAAGACATGAAGTTTGTATACTTGGCGGTAGCTGTATCATTAGCTGAAATTGTATCTGTTACCACGTTGACTTATCTTGGCTCCTATGCATTAGCATTTGATGTCAATGAGACTTCTTCGTATTTGTTATTGACCATAGTCAATGTTTGCGGTATACCATCACGTTTATTATCGGGGGTGATTGCTGATAAATACGGACGGTTCAACGTTATGCTTGGAACGTCTATATTAACAACGATTTTTATTTTCGCATTGTGGTACCCTGGAAAACACATATTGCTTCTATATGTGTTTGGAGTCTTTTTTGGAATATCAACATCTGCAGTTTTAGCATTGATCCCAGCATGTGCTGGACAAATATGTTCTTCAGAATCTTTTGGGAAAGTTTATGGCAACATTTACTTTATTCTTGGAGTGTTGAATTTATTGGGGATGTATTTTGCATCCTTGATCATATCCAATGGTTCGCAAAAGAGTTATAGTCAATTTGTTTTATTTGAAGGTGGCTTAAGTGCTGCATCCATAATTGCATGGCTTTTTGCCAGATCAATCGCCGTAGGTTGGAAGTGGTGTAAATTCTAACTATCGAGGAGAGCGAGATAGTAGAGCCAGCACTGACTACCGAGATTATGGAGCACTGACTACCGAGATTATGGAGCACTGACTACTGAGATTATGAAGCACTGACTACTGAGATTATGGAGTAGCACTGACTACTAACACTATCTCGCTTTGCTAGATAGTGTCTCGATAAAAAATAGAGAGAAAGAAACATCTATAACCAAATATACCTGTCTCACATTTTAGACAATTCGGAGGAAAAGACAAACTCCATAAGAATTATTAATGTAGCCTCAAGAAGATAATACATGGGGTTTGATTATTCACAATAAATTTACATACTTTTGTGAGAAATGACAATGCTTCAACTTTTATCTTTTTTTTTCTCTTTTTTTTCAGCAAATGCGCTTTACGACTCAATCTGTGTACTATATTTTTTTATGTACTTAATTCAGAAGCCTCAAGTCTCTTAACCTTCAAAACTTATAAGGGATAGCTTCAATATTAATTGGTTTTGGAAAGGGAAAAAAAATGCTTTTTATAAGATTTCTAACCATCACCAAATTAACTTCTTTTGCAGAACTACTGGATCTTTTTATATATTAATGAAATGTAGTTTACCAGTGTAGTTGCCAAACTTAAAAAATGACTATACTGTTTGCATAACCATCAAGGTGATTTTTTTTTTTTTTCATTTTTTGCGAGTACAACAGTAATGTTAGTTTTTTGTATTAAATATATGCAAAATTTTCAAGACCAATATGAGCCCTTATTGACTATATATAACTACTATAGTTTTATATTTTTTAGACCAATTTAGTCAGCATCTTCCCCCCCCCTTGGCTACAGAGTTTAAGATAAGTACCAGCTAGAAGAAGCATTTTGTGAAAAAGTGTGAAGGAAAAAAATAGGCATTTACTGAGGTGGTTCTACTAACTATTGTACTATTTTTCTTGAAGAAAAGGTTGAACCAAAAGTTTAAAGCATTATCTGTCAACGATATAGCTTTAAAGTAGACCAGGACTATAAAGGTAAATATAAACTTTGTACTTGCAACACCACTGATTTGGAAACCTGAGATCAAGAGATTTTGTCACAACAATTTTTTTTTTTTTTTTGTAGTTGTGAAAAAGTAGTAATATGGATCAGCAAAGCGGAATATCTCAATTGCTTGAATATTTGAATAAAAGAGATGAGTGTCCAACCTCGAACGATTACAATGGGGAAAACTTTGGTGCTCGTATATCGTCCATCTTTGTGATTATGGCAACCTCGGCGATTGGTACATTTTTTCCCTTGTTATCATCAAAATATTCATTTATAAGATTGCCTTGGTGGTGCTTTTTTGGTGCCAAATATTTCGGTAGCGGTGTTATTGTGGCTACTGCATTTGTGCATTTATTAGAACCTGCATCGGATTCCTTAACTGCTGAGTGCTTGACTGGTCCAATTACCGAGTACCCGTGGGCTTTTGGTATTTGTCTAATGACTTTATTTTTGTTGTTCTTTTTCGAATTGGTTGCTTATCGTATCATTGACAGAAAGATCGAGTCATTTGGTCAAGATGGAGAAGAGGAAATTGGAGGACATTCTCACTCCCACTTTGGCGATGAGTCAATGTATGTTAAAAGGGGTACTGAGAAGAGAAAGGACAAAAATGAGCAAGAGGAAGTTGAAGTTGAAGAGGAAGATAAGGATGAGAAATACGAAACAGTTTCTGAGCATCCAATTACTGCCAAAAGTAATGATAATCCATATCCAAACCATTTCCAACATGCTTTTGAACATCAAGATCCGGAAGTCGTAGGAACACCAGTGAATGATCACAGTAGAGAGCAATACTATGGACAATTATTAAACGTGTTTGTATTGGAATTTGGTATTATTTTTCACTCGGTTTTCATTGGTTTGTCATTGGCTGTAGCTGGTGATGAGTTCAAAAGTCTTTATATTGTTCTTGTTTTCCACCAAATGTTTGAAGGTTTGGGTTTAGGTACAAGAATTGCGGCAACAAATTGGGAATCGAAAAAGTATACTCCGTGGCTTTTGGCTTTGGCATACACCGTATGTACTCCCATTGCAATAGCAATCGGCTTGGGTGTTAGGCACTCCTACCCACCAGGTTCAAGAAAAGCATTGATTACAAACGGAGTCTTTGATTCTATTTCTGCTGGTATTTTGATATACACAGGTCTTGTTGAATTAATGGCCCATGAGTTTTTGTATAGCGGCGAATTTAAAGGACCTTCAGGTTTCAAGAAAATGATGATTGCTTATTTTATCATGTGCTGGGGTGCCGGATTAATGGCATTATTAGGTAAATGGGCCTGATTCTATCGCCTTTTTTCGTTGTTTTGGAAATATACATATGTTATTGATATATTCCAACAAAGGTTCGGTCATTTATATATATATATGCATTAGTTGATTAATCATTGTCTAATAGATTCATGTAATATTCAAAGAAGAAGAAAAAAAAAAATCGCTACAAAACAAGTCTTTTAAAAACACTTTGCGGGTTGATTCAATTCGTATACAAATTGAACCATCTCGCCAAATTACGCACAACTTCAGTTGCCCAATTCCTTTACACGTTATTTGCCTCTTGACTCAATCAGTCGGTTTCAACAGATTTTTTGCAACTTTTTTTCTTGATGTCCGTGCGGCGGCTTTTCCTTAAAAAAAAAAGGCAAAAAAAAAAAAAATCTTCATCAAAGTGAACTGATATCGTTATCACTTCAACTTCAACCCTATATATTATTCACTTGAATGCTTTCAAATTTACTTAAACGCTCTACTGTTGGAGTTTCTGTTTACCGAAACAAACAAATATTTCCAAAACTGGCATTCTCGTTTCGATGCTATTCGCCACCTTCAAAGAAGTTTGGACAGTCCTATCAAGGACCTCCAAAGCTTCCCAAGGAGGAACAAGAAGAATTTGAAAGGTTGCAAAATATAGCACAGTCGCAGATTGCGATAGAGGAATATAACGATCTGGTTAAGGCTGGACAGGCAGCAGAAGGGGAAGTGTTTGCTGGAAAGGAAACACCTCCAGTAGTTGCCGTGGACGCTAACCTGGATATTGGATCCTTTGCTTATTTAAAGACAATTCCAGAATTTGAGGGAGATGTCAATCCAGTAACAGGCGAAAAAGGTGGACCCAAGCAAGATCCGTTGAAAACTGGAGATGAATGGACTTTCAATGGAAGAACCATAGACTTTTGAGTTAATCAAAAGAAGAAGAGAGAAAAAAAAAAAGGAAAGAAGCTTTCTTTCTTTTGCAATAGAGATATTTCGGTCAAACTATAGAAGAAATATTGGGATTAGGATTGGTATTGATGTTGTTGTTGTTGTTGTTGTGTTGTGTAGGTTCCTTATAGTGGATGGATCCTCTCATCTCTTATCTCCTGCACACAGACAAATTTTATATGCGAGTTGAAAAATTTATCTCATCTTGAACGAATCTGAAAATCTCATGGTTGGGTACCTTGAAGAGGATGAATTTTGATACACAGTCTACCTGTGTGGAGCTGCCATTGAACAATGAGGTGGCTGATACTGAAAAAGGGCTGCAGTTGAATGTTGCAAGTAATAATTATTGCTGCGGAAAGAAAAACCCGGAAAGTAATGATGATGATGATGATGATGAAGAAGAAGAAGACTTAATACAACCACTTCATATGCTTGATTTCCCGATTCTACGACTTCAGCCACCATATGAAGTGTTGTCTACCATCTTGAAACTATTGTCTCCCGAAGAAACTATAAATTTTGGTGTCTTTGCCAATCGAGATCAACACTTTATCGTAGATGAAGACGAATGGTCAGTGTTTAAAAACCATAACGTCTCAGCATTAGAGCTCAAGGATGCTGTATCATGGCTCAAACTTTACAGCATCAGACTCAACACATCTAAGAAGTTAGCACGTTTGCCTTTACTAGCAAATTCTTTGAGAATAAATTTTGCAAATGAATACAATGCATATTTGACACGAATCATTTCAAACGATCTATCCTGGATTAGTACTCAAGCTAAGAGAGAAGAAATACACGCAATGACCAGTCTTCGGTTGAGTGAAAACTGTGGTCGTATGGCTCAACCGGATAGTATTCGCAAGATCCAATTACCAGGTCTTGAAAGATTAACATCCCCGTCTGTGAAATCGATTGTTTTAAAAGAACCATCAATAACAAATGATAACCTTGGGTTAAAGACTTGGGGAAGTTCTCTAATTCTAAGTCTGCGATTGTTGAGAAGCCAAAGAAACAGATATTTGCATGGCTTGGTACTTGAATTAGGGTCAGGTACTGGACTTGTAGGTATCTGTTGCTGTATTTTAAAATTTGATACGACATTGACCGATTTGCCTCAGATAGTGCCCAATTTGGAATCTAATTTGAAGCTCAATAACTTGCTAGGGTCTAGTGAAAATTGGCAAGGTCCAAAAATAAGGGCTGAACAGTTAGACTGGTCTAACCCTCACACTTCGCCTATTTATGGTGAGAAGTTTGACACTATTGTTTTAAGTGACCCCATCTATTCAAGTCACCACCCACAATGGGTAGTCAATGTACTTGATTTGTTTTTAAGAAATGACGAGAATAGCAGTAGTGTTTCTGTATTGATTGAAATTCCACTTCGGCCAAAGTTTGAAAAGGAAAGACAAGTACTTTGGGACTTGATGAGTGAAAAGTATGAGGAAATAGAGTGTGAAATTGAAGATGGATTTGATGATTTTGGTGAGATGAAGTTTTGTTTCAAGAAATATACAAGAAAATGAGAGAAAGAAAGAAGGGGGGAGAGAGATACCTCTATTGATGAAAAAAAAATATTACATCTATCAAAAAGTCTAAACTTCTAAATATACTATAAATAATCTTTCAACATGGCCAACTTTTTTACGGCTTCCTCCAATATAGTATCATCTTTACAAACTGCAAATCTGATGCAGTTTTCCAATCCATTACCAACTCGATTTTTCTCAATTACAAACTCGGTTGGTGGAATTCCAACAACTCCAATCTCTTTGATCAACCAATAAGCTAATTTAAAATCTAAAGTGCCTCTACTTAAAATATCTTCGGGAAACTCATAATCATTTGGCATTTTCACTTTGGACAAGTTGACTAACAAAAAGTAGCCACCATCCGCAATAGTGTAAGGTAATCCCAAATCATCAAATACTTTGACAAAAAGCTCATACTTCCTCGCATAGTCCTTCCTGGTATTTTCAAAATAGTTCAACTTGTCTGCTTGGGGAAATGCTTGAGCAACTGCTTGCTGTAACGGTGCTGGCGTTGAGAAGCATATTCTGGTATGCGCTGCAGTCACGTACTTGATCAAAGATGCTGGTCCTTGGATGTATCCCACTCTCCAACCAGTTGCAGCAAAAGACTTACCAGCTGAGCCAACGGTTAATGTGCGTTCACGCAATTCCGGTAAGCTTTCCAAAGTTGCAGGTCTAGGGAACTCGCTTGTATAAAATAAATTTTCATAAACTTCATCACTAACGAGAATTAAGTTATGCTTAATCACCAATTCGCCTAGTCTATGCAACTCTTGTTTATTAAATATTTTCCCAATTGGGTTGTGGGGAGTATTGATAACAACCATTTTAACTTTATCACTTATACTCAGCTCCAACGATTCCCAGTCAATTTCCCAGTCTTCGCCATTTACTGTTTCAGTATTCAACTTTTCAGGATACCTGATTTTGACATATTTGACTTTTGCACCGGTCATTTCAATATTCGGTATATACTGATCAAAAAAGGGTTCAAATACGATGACCTCATCGCCGGGAGTCAAAAAGCCAAAAAAGACAGAAAACATTCCTTCGTTTGCACCCGTGGTGATTTGGACTTCTTCAATAGGAACTTCGCGACCATAGCTCTTGGAATAATGGTTGGCAATTTGTTTTAATAAATTAATATTACCTCTTGCTGGCGCGTACTGGTTAAATTGTGTTTGGTGCAACGCTTCGTCGACTGCTTGAATTGCAAATTCTGGAGGGTTATATGAGAAAAATCCTTGACCCAAGTTGACAATCTTGGTATTTGGGTCATCAGCTTGCGCTTTTGCAGCTGTCTCATTGATCAATGTCCAGATATCCTTCTGTCCTGGCTTTAGATTGAAGTAAGGATTGTGTAAAGAAGCTGGATCTTTCCTATCACTACGAGACATTGTTGTTGAAAAAGGCCTTTTATATTGAGTACTATGTTGGAAAACCCGCTTTAGCATGTAAAAAGAAAAGGAAAAGAAAACCACAAACAAGGCAGAAACAGAGTGCGCTGAAAAGCAAATAGTCGCAACTGAGAAGAAACCAATCTTGTCTAAAGAGAGAAGACTTATAAGAAATCCTTATCCAAACTGGGTTCTATGTGCTGATAAAGGGAAATGAAAATTGTGAAAAAAAAAAAAAAACTGTGGCGGCAAAATGTTCCTCCCAAAAAGGTAATTCATTCCATTGCACTGAAAAAAGAAATTACATAAAAATTTCAGTGGTGCTTAAGCGGAAATGTTGCATTTAGATAAGCGAGGCTGAATATAACCGCTTAGAGGAAGTATAGAATAACGTCCTGGGACCTCAGGGGAAAAAAAAAATAAAAACACTATCAAGCGACACTGTCGAGTAAAGCGAGAGAGTGGAGCACATTGATTAATGACGAGAGCTAGTCACTATGGTAAAGGCTAGCTCATCTCGCTTCGCTCGAGAGTGGAGCGCATTGATTACATCGACACCGACACTATCTCGCTCTGCTCGATAGTGTCCAAGTGTTGTAATTTATTAAATAAATAAACAAGTCTTTATGCAACTAACAATTTAGATATATCAAAGCCGCATTCAAATCCTTCTTCAACCTTTGTAGTTTCTTCAGCTAGTTGCTTATAAATAACATTACATGCATACCCTGTGACCAAAAGTCCTGGAGGTCTCGAGCCACACGTTTCAACAGCCTCTGCAACCTTTTCCAAAGTAGTGCGTATAACTCTCTGGTCTGGACAGCTAGCGCGTTCAATTATCGCTACAGGTAAATCTCTCACCCATCCTTTCTGCTCAATCAACAACGGAATCAAGTCAACGATTCTGTGCAATGCCATAAGAAAAATAGTAGTTCTGCTAGGTTCAAAAAAAGGTAAGTTTGGTACAGCGCCTTTCCTTCCAGTACCAGTGCATATCAAAACTTGATCAGCTACATCTCTATGGGTCATGGGAATTTGGGCTAGTACTGGTGCAGCCAAAGCTGATGAGATCCCAGGAACAACAGTTGGCTCGTATCCTCTTTCTTGGAAAAATGTATACTCCTCACCACCACGACCAAATATGTAAGGATCTCCCTGCTTCAATCGCAATACAAACTGATTTTGCTTTAAGCCATCTAACGCCATAGCCAATAGCTCTTCTTGAGCTTTTTCGGCGTTTCCTGGAAACTTGCGTGCAATAAAAAGTTTTGGACCGTGGGTTTTGGGTATAAGATCGAGCACTTGTTGCGGTACCAACTTATCTGCGAGAATCAAATCAGCTTGGTTAATGGCTTGAAGTGCTCCTACAGTAAGCAAAGACACCGAACCCGGTCCACTTCCAACAAGTGTAATTTTACCTTTCTTGGACAAATGAGCTACGTTTTCTTGTGCAATAGTGTCTTTCAAACTCGATTCTTTATAAATGGTTTTCAAATCTTTTATAGACAAGTCGGCTAGTTTTGATAGTGGATAGTATTCAACAATTTGAGAGAGCCACCTGTTTCTTCTAAGTTTTATTTCCTCTTGGGTTTGGTCAAATTCATGTACAAGGGAGTTGAATTTATGGCTTGTTATTGAATCATCATCGTGTTCTCCTACTTCCAACTCCTCTAAAAGTATTTTGTCTTGTTCTTGGATCTGCTTACGCAAATCACCTACTTTGTCACAGATCTTATCCACGTTTGGTGGTAAATGACTTACCAATTCTCGCCTTAATCTTGAGGCTAGCTTACAACCTTTGCCATTTGTGGTCACACCCATTTGGAAATCTCCCTGGCTGTGAGTCGAAAGTAAAGTGAATGTGCAGAGTTCTGGACAATCGGTGGTATTAATCGGAATCCGTAATGCGCGGCATTGTCGGTAGATGTACTGTTTGGTTTCTAGTTGCGCTTGCAGGAGAGTGACAAAGACTTTATCGACAATTTTATTCACCTCTGACCGTCCTAGCGTTGTGAGATGCTTGCGAATATTCGACTCTGAAAAATCGTTATCAATGAGTATTTTGAGCTTTTCTTCGTTGCAATGTGTCGTTATACTTGGTGATAGTTTTGATCCTTCTGGCACAATCAATATTGGGATTGCTTTTGCATTGATAATAGACGTTACTCGCAGGTTTGTGATGTTTGAATAGCCAATTAGTAAGTGTATCTCATCGGCAGAGTTTAGAGATGCTAGTAGATTTACCATTGGACAAAGTCGCTGCTGTTGTCGCTGTCGCTGTTGCTGTTGCTGTTGCTGTTGCGCCTACATCTCAAATCAAAAAGTTGCAAAAACTTTTTCAAAATCTCAAAAGGGTATAGGTGAAATTTTGCAGATTGAATCTGAACGTGTGCAATTACGCAATAAGCATGGATTATGTAAGCGCTATCTCGTAAAAAAAAAAAACAATATTTGTAGCTGGGAAAAAAAAAAGGTCTCGCTACCATATGTTGTCTCAGCTTGTCTCTTTTTTTTTTTTTTTTTTTTGGCAACAACGTTCTTGGCTACCATCTGTCAGAATTTTTCCGAGCGATGGAGAAGAGATGGGCCTTCGTCCGAAATTTTTCAGTTGATGAGGCCATTTTTTCCTTTTTGTAAAAAGAAAAATAATGCAAAAAAAGTGAAAAATAAGGTGGGGCTTACCATTACTCACGATAGGAAAATGGTTAAAAGAACTTTAGGATTAGGTAATCTTGCAAAGGTAAAGAAGCAGAAGTTGAAGGAGGAAAAAAGAGCTGCTGCTGCTGCTGCTTCGAAAGAGGAAGAAAAAGAAGTAGAGGATAACGATGCAAATCAATTGAGTGTTGCACTTCCAGAGGAAGTGGATGCAAATGATGAAATAGCTCAGCTTAAGGGACTTTTCAAAACTTATATTAATTCAGAGCGAGACGATGAGTTGATATTGAACGGAATAATACATGAGTGTGATAGACTTTTGCGTAAACAGGATGAGGAAAAAGATGACAAGAATAAAAATGCATTAGGACCAGATTTTTATAAAATTTATGCCATTGCTCTAAGTGAATTGGCCAATTTCCACACGGACGATATCAAACAAGTTGGGGAATTTTTTGAAGCAGGTATCGAGAGAGTTGAAGACGGATTGGCAAAACATCCAGATAATATAGACTTGCAATTTACATTAGCTAAAATTTCCATCAATCAAATCGTGTTGCAGTATATTTCGCAGTTAAGCTTGGAAAGTAAACTTGAGGGTAATGATATCAAACGTAAGCTTGATAAGGCATTGCAAGTTTATGAATCGGCTGAAGCAAAAGCAAAAGAATCAAATAACTTTGAGGCGTTTGGCAATGAGGAGTATTTTGATATCTTGGAAGCGGTAGATGATTTATTGGACATTGTTGACAATTTTGGTAAAGATGTAGAGGACGAAGAGGATGAAAAGAAATCAAAGGAAGTTACAGAAGAAACAGAAGAAGATGATGAGGAGGAGGAGGAGAAGGAGGAGAAGAAAGAAGAAGAAGATGATGATGATGAGGAGGAAGTTGAACTTGCAGAAACACACCCTCTTTATGCCATCAAGAATACTGATGAGTATAATCAATGGTGGAGAGACCATACTATTACATACTTGGAGAATTTAGATAAATTGGCTACACCTTCCCCAACTTTGCGCAAACAATTAAACCACCGCTTAGGACAGTCCTATTTGAAAGAAGCAGAAATCCCATGTAACGTATACACAACCTTGAAATACGACGAAGATTATCAAGGTATTGAGGAATTGCAAGGGTTGACTTTAAAAGAGTCTAAGAAAATTGCTCAGGATTTGATGCACACGGCTTTGGAATATCTCAAGCAAGCAGAGAACAAAGAGGAACCTGAAAGTTGGGTCGATATAGCTGAGGCAATGATTTCCTTGGCCAATTTATACGATTTGGAGAGTGAAGAACAAGAGCTGCTTTATAAAGATGCTGAAAAATTGTTGAACAAAGCTAATAATGCTACAAATGGGAAGTACCAAGATGTATTGGATAATTTTTTGCAATAAAAAAAAACTACAAAAAGGCACCATCAAGTGTTTTTGAAGTAAAGTGATAAAAAAATATGAATAAAATATGGTACATAAAGGAAAGGAGAAAGAAAAGAAGTTTCGTTATAATATAGCTCTTGAAAAGTCAGGTATTTATATGATGAGTAAGGGAGTATGTGAGATGGTGGGATGGTGAGGATGGTGGGAATGGGGACTTTGCGTGAGCTTTGTTTCGTAAAACTAATGGCTAAACTCTGCTAGCAATTGTGCTCTCACTGTGTAATTTCATAGCGTTCTTTTCATGAGCATTGTCTTTACAAAATTGCAATCCAACGCACATATGGTCTTCCAATAGTCTATGCTTTGCACAAAATTTTCCTTTGCAGTGAGAGCATGTACCCACCATTCGTAACGGCGCCGAAGCACAAGATTTCAAACTACATCTGTTCTTCTTTTTGGTCTTTTTTATGGCTGTTACGGCGGTACCAGTAGCGGACAACTGTGTTGCATTTTCCGCTGATGGTTGTGGTGATATTGATATTGGAGGAGTGTCGCTTCCATTTGACATCAATATGACATTTATCGAATCCTTTTCCGGTAAGATACCAAATGCTGATAATGATTTACTATATGGTTCCAATTTCACACCATTATAAATGAGCTTAAAATCTTTTGGAATTGTGTTGGTTGTGCCAACCTTGGCACCGTTTCTCAAATCTTCCACCGTCGAGTTATCCGGTATGGTTATTTGGAATGAAGACTCTGTAGACAATCTAACTGTTACCTTCATTTTTTTGTCTGCTTGTTGGAACTTGAGTGAATATTAGGTGGAGGGGAAAAAAAAAAAAAAGGCGGGCGAGCTGGCGAGTTGAGTTAGGCGACCAGGGGAAAGGTTTACTGATAAGACCAAGTTTCAAGACGAGCTGGCGAGCAGTTTGGGGAAAAGTTTATTGATAAAAACCTAGTTTTAAGACTAGTTTTATTCTCAAGTTGTTTGGTAAAAGCTAAAGCTTTGTGGTTTCGTGATAAAAGTGAAATCACAAACTATAGATTGAGAAATTCCAAAGAAATTTGGTGGCAACTATTATTGTCTCATCATCAGAAACAAAAGAAAAAGAAAAAAAAGAAACGTAAATTGGTCACGTGGTACCATCGTCTTTTACAACTCCCTTCAAGCGAATGTTCACACTGGGCTCACCGGGGGAGCTCGTAATTAAACATTTGGTAGCTTTTAAGTATGATCATTTACTCATTTTAGCAATACAAGACTAATAATAGTTGGTATATATAATATAGATAATAATAGTTAGTATATAATATAGATAATAATAGTTAGTAAATATAGATAATAATAGTTAGTATATAATATAAAAATACTTTTTTTTCTTTTTAGTTACGGCTTGAAAGGGATTTTTTTATGGAGTAAAATAAAGTCACTATTTTATTTTTTCGGTCAAGATTCTAATGATTAAAACAGTATATAATAACGACGTCTCACGTGATTTTTAGAGTGCGGGTTTTATTTCTGGTTTAGACTTGATTTCGACACTACACTATCGACACTACACTGTCGAGCAGAGCGAGATAGTGGAGCATTACTATCTGACATCGACGCTATCGACACTATCGACACTATCGAGCAGAGCGAGATAGTGGAGCATTACTATCTGACATCGACGCTATTGACACTATTGAGCAGAGCAATATAACTGCTCTATATTTTGGGTTCAATACTAGCTGACACCGACATTATCAACACTAGCTGCCACTGACAATACAATGTCTTCGCTGTCACCGGCATTGTCCTATAAGAAACCTCGAAAAGATCACATATCGTCATCTTCTTCTACACCTACAACGCCAATCTTGAATACTAGCTCCCCCAACTTGTCTATTGCTTCCTCGACTGATTCAGCGGTGACAGATGCACGACATCCGCATCTGGTACAGCAAAACACACATCGCAAAATTTCAAATAGGCGCAAAGCTTTACAAGAGTTTTATCACTTACAGCTGAATAAACAACAAGAAACTGATGCAGGGTCTGGAACAGGGTTAGGAACAGGGGAGAATAATTCTTCCACCCTCAAAAGTCCAGCATTACGCTCTACCGCGGCTGCTGTTGCCAATCTGAATTTGGATCATCACAAAATTGACACTGTGGAGGACATCGGAAAGTTTATAGAAGATTCATCAATGGTTGAAATTTTGAAACTTCGAAACTCCCTTCAAGCAAAGATAAATTCTTCAAATCAACGTAAGAAGGAAATAATGTACGATAATTACCACGAATTGATCAAATTGAGCAAAACATTGAGTAAATTTTGTGAGTCAAAAGTATCAATGTCTTTTCAGCCCGAATGTGTAGATAATTTGAGTGGATTCAAAATATTCAAACAAAACTCAGACTCGTCCGTCAACGATGAAATTGACTTTGACACATATATGGATGACTCCATAAAGGAATTAACTGGGTTCAATGAAACTCGAGTGAAGAAAATGACTTTGGGCGGGTTCGACCAAGTTCTTGATCGTTTGATTCAAGATGCAGCCGAATCAGATACCAACGCTAGTATCATTGGTATCAGCGATATAAATGGAGGAAATGACATTGTATCACATGGTGACGAAGAGAAACCCCAAGTACTAGCAAATGAAATAGATTACATTTTGGGCCTACCGAATATGGATTTGTCTGAAGAGGAAAAAGAACGGGCTCTTTCAACTATTGAGAAAAGATTGTGCAGTTTGGGTGCAGACACAACATTGTGGCACAGGATCAACCTTGTAAAGTTGCTGATACTGTAAGTGAACAAGAAGGAACCACGTTAGTAGTAACAAAAGTATTCCAAATCAATTGACTTACTTATACAAATCACTAGTATACAAAATATGTGCAAAACAAAAAAAAAAAAAAAAATATGGATACATGGTCCATTATGTCATCAATTTTACCATTTCAATTCCGTTTTACACTTTCTATTTCTCCTTTTAATTCAAATCGTGGACGTGATAAATGGGATCCCTTTTTTGTAACTTCTCCTTGATGATATCCTCTCTCAGACTGAACAGTATAGAGAGCTCTCTATCTGGATCAACACCAAGCGTATCTCTCACTACAAAAGCCTCTAATGTTGGTGATTTTGTTTGTGTTCCTGTCAACACTGTTGTTGCTTTTAATTCAGTGTTTGCTGGTACTGGTGTACTAAAACATGACATGACAAAGAATGCAATTACTGCGAAAAACCTCATTTCTTTTTTTGTAACTAAAGTATTTTTCGGCGTCTTTAAACAAAATTAGACTTTTGAGGGATGGAATTGAATTGACCCGATAGAGTGGTAAGAGAAATAGAATAGAAAGAGACTTTAGTTGTTTTTATATGTTATCTAAGGTTTGACAGGAAACTACAGACCCTCACAAAACTTTACAAAAGAAAAAGTTGCGTCATTCCAGCTCTCCCTTAAAGCCTATTATTGAGTCTAGGTCTTTTCGCCATGAATTCAATTCAATACCGCGATACAATAATAAAACACCAAAAAAAAAAATAAAAAAAAATAATATATACATATATGTATATCACCCTTATCTACACCCCCCCCCCCCCTTTTGCCTCATTTGTGCATAAAACAACTCCTTTCCCAATTCGGTGAATATTGTCAAATTGCGCAGTTTTTGTTTTTGTTTTTTTTTTCTTCTTCTTGTCCCTGAAATTCCTTTTTTAACTTATCAATTAAATTTTCACCCGATATGGAAAACAAGATAAGAGGCACGGTGGGTGGATGAATGGGTGGTTTGGTAACTTAAGTTTCGAATAGTTTCTTTTGCATGGCTTTTCTCAAACGCATTTTAGGCCCTTCTGCATCAGTATCGTTATCTTCAGCTTCTCCGTTTGCAAGTTCAAAAGATTTTTCGTTTGCTCCAGTTTGTTCTACTACTGGCGCATCCATATCTCTAATTGAATTAACATCACTGGTCTGTTCCAAATCGGCAGAGGCAAATATTGGAATATCTGCCAAATTCAGTAAATTGAGATCTAACGAACTGGCACTTGTAGTCCTTTGCAAGTTATCAGAGCCAATCGTATTTTGAATATCGTCATTTTCTTCTTTTTCCTGTTCTTCTTCCTCTCTTTCTTGTCTAGCAAGCAATTCCATTTTATGTTCAACGTCAATACCATCGTTATAATACCGATAAAATCTATTGAAATCGTCGAATATTTCGGGACCGTACTTGTTGCAAAACTCATTGACTCTCAAACATAGTTTGCGCCTTGTCTTTTTCAATTTTTCAATTTGAAACTTATCCAGATTAATACTCAACATCGAAATGAATAAAGGTTTGAGCGATTTATAGTAATCGACGCCAATCTCTCCGATTCTCAATGATGCATAAGTGGTCAACACCGCCCACAAGTAAAAAACAACAAATATAAACCAAACGGACACTTCTATCTCGTCCAACACTTTCAACTTCACAATCAATATGGTACCAATCACTGACCAGAAAATGTACAACATTGGTGCTAATCCCAAAGCCACCAATATCTTCCAAGTACTCAAAACATCTTTGGCTTCTATCTTCACTACCGATCCGGCCAACGCCTCCTTGGCCTTTTGTCTGGAAATTCTTCTTGAAATTATGAAAACTGGACTAAACATGAATATCCCGGGCATGCTTAAACCCATAAATAAAAAGAATTTGAAAAACCTTGTAATAAACATCCAAGTAGTGTGCACTCTATGCCGTCTGTTCAACGATTCAACCTGATGGTCGTGCAAATTCAATCTCATCAAGTTCCTGTTATATTCTAAAACAGCTTCTTTCAACTCTTTTACATCAGGGCGGTCCTTATATTGTTCATACCCTTTGATCAACCTCCTGTTCATTTCAATAACCATGGGCAATGGGATGGTTTCACGATTCCCTGATGTGTATAACCTTCTCACAGCCTGCAACACCATCAAGGTTTCGTAATCATTGCATGTCACTGTCACTTCCTTCAATCCTAATGTAATAACTTTTAACAAATTGTCAACTGACTCCCTGCTGTTTTCCAGATACTCTGCGGCCATTTGCTCATCCACAATTATAGGCTTGCCAAATTCTATCACTACTCTTGATCTAAACTTGTGAGGATGGAAATAGTTTAAACCAACGGGTACAATAGAAACTGGAACAATGGGCTCTATTGTAACATCATCATCATCATCATCATCATCAGAAGTAGCAGCAGCAGCAGCAGCCTCGCCCTGCTTGATGTTAATTGCCTCGTCTCTTTTTTTGATTTGTTGAGCAACCGCACCAAGAGCCATAATCGCAACACCAGGTTTCAAGGGCAACAAGTCTGGCCGATCGTGGGAACCTCCCTCGGGAAAAATGCCCAAAACTTTGCCATCATTTAAATGGTTGAACACATTATGAAAAACTACATGATTGTCAATGTGTGGAGCAATTTTAAACGTCGTTCCATTGTGCAATCTTTCATCAATCTTTTCTTGAATTTTCTTTCTTGTAGAGCCAAACGGTTTTTTCAAAATCAACTTCTCATCATTAACAATTTCCAAGATGGGACTGTTCCCCAAGGAGTCGGGTAATCCAATTAATCCTTTAACTTGACATTCAGTGGTAAAGTGAGTTCCCTTACCACGAATCACGCGATTGTCTTTGTCATTGGCAACAACGTCATTATCATCTAAATATATCGTCCCGGTACCTCTTTTCAACAAATCTTGTGCTCTTCTAACTGGAATAGCACTACACAATTTAGCCGCATGGCCAATGAAAAACCGGTCATACGATTTTTGTGCAATTAAAAAGGCAATTCTCCGATTCAGATTCTCCTTTACTTTAGTCATCACAACCAATCCGTCGACAAATTGGTTATGGTGTGGTGCAATGACAAATATCACGGGCCCCTTTTTGGGAATATTGAAACTGCCTCTTGCTTGGACATCTCGGAAAAACGTTTGAATTACTAAATTGAAAAACCAAAGAACTGCATCGTAAGCTAGCACTCGAAATATTAAGCGCAAATAATATATGAATGGTCTATTCTCGAGCTTTGATCTTCGAATATCTGGTGACTTGGTCTGGCTAAAGCTTGTGCTAGAATTTGAATCGGGTATATCATGCATTTGTAAAGGAAGGGAACACAACCAAAAAAAAAAAAAAGAAAGAAAGAAAGAAAGAAAGAAAACCCCCGTGTGGATTAAGAATCAACAATGAACAGTTAAGGCTTAAGAATGAATATCTCTGAATATTAAAGATTATGGACGTACCTCCATTTATGTAGTTACTGGCTTCTTTTTTTGTAGGAAATATATACGAATATCAGGTCAAAAGTGGTACTGAAATATCTCCTGTTATAATTTTAATTAAATTGATTTTATAAATTACAATTTTTTTTATGGGGAAATATTATTTAATGCCCTGTTACTTCAATATGCTCTTTAGCGTAGTCAAGTCTACAGAAAAAGAAGGGGAGAAACAAATGACATGAAATGTTCAAGGGAAGATGGAAGAAAGAATATTTAATGTCTTTTTGGCATGGAAAGAAAAGTGGAAGAGCGGGGAAGAAGCTTTGATATGATGGCAAGATATCGATTCATCTCGTTATATTAGATTTCATGCACAAAGAGTAACCGGCTTTTTCTGTTTGTTACTCTTGGAACTCTTGTAACGTACAAACAGAAATGCTTGAGTGACACTATCGAGTGACACTATCGAGTGACACTGACTAATGACACTATCGAGTGACACTATCGAGTGACACTGACTAATAATACTATCGAGTGACACTATCGAGTGACACTGACTAATAATACTATCGAGTGACACTATCGAGTGACACTGACTAATAATACTATCGAGTGACACTATCTCGCTCTGCTTGATAGTGTAGCACGATGACTAATGACACTATCTCGCTCTGCTCGATAGTGGAGCTTGTTACAACCACGTAATTGTAGTGAGCCAGCGTATATTGCATGTTGACTCTACATGTAGTCACTGTTCAAGTACTTGTATTTGATGAAATTGCATCAATTCTTGATTTGAAGAAAGGGGAAAAATTCCATGCTTGTAGTCATATCCTTGTTTGTGTTCTTTTCCTTATGTATCCAGATTTCGTTGAAAAACACAAGACAGGAGGTGAGAGGCTCCATGAGAGGAGGAGGGAGAGATAGAGGTGAGAGGCTTCATGAGAGGAGGAGGGAGAGATAGAGGTGAGAGGCTCCATGAGAGGAGGAGGGAGAGATAGAGGTGAGAGGCTCCATGAGAGGAGGAGGGAGAGATAGAGGTGAGAGGCTCCATGAGAGGAGGAGGGAGAGATAGAGGTGAGAGGCTCCATGAGAGGAGGAGGGTGAGATCGAGGTGAGAGGCTCGGTGCAAGAAGGAGGGAGAGATAGAGGTGAGCAGTTGCGTATACCACGGTGATTAGTTTGCCACTTTATACACTGTAATCATTTGTCAAACGCAAACGATATAGATCCACTTTACAACCTTTTCATTCTTCGGTCATAAGCGATACTTGATTGAGTAATCCAAATAGCCGGACCCTTTTTTTTTTCGCAGCTTAAATCGGTTTCGCTTACAAATGAACTTTGGAATAATTCTTCCATTCTGGAACAAATGAGAAATGGAATAATCCACAGTTTTATTCTAATCTTCAGTTCTGTTGCTCCAAAATTTTGAATGTATTTCTCTGAAAGGGCAACGTCCATCATTGGGAAGAATATATAAACAATATGTAATCTCTCTTTTTGCTTTTTGCTTCTTGTTTCTTGCTTCTTGCCTCTTGCTTCTTGCTTTTTGCTTCTTGCTCCTTGCTTCCTGTTTCCTGATTCTTGTTTCCTGCTTCCTGTTTCCTGTTCCCTGTTTCCTGTTCCCTGCTTCTTGCTCCTTGCTTCCTACTTTTCTACACTCTCCTATAATGACGAATCCTACGATTCAAGCATCTAATCTATTCAAACCAATCAAAGTGGGCAATGTCATCTTGAAACACAGAATTGCACACTTACCAACAACTAGAAACCGTGCTGATCCAATTAACCATATTCCTACAAATTTGCAGAAACAGTATTATTCAGATCGAGCAAAATCTGGAGGTTTATTAGTGACAGAAGCCACAATTGCTACTTTGAAATTGGGTTTTTATCCAAACGTGCCTGGAATTTATACAGAAAAGCAGGCAATAGGATGGAAAGAAATAGTTGATGAGGTCCACAAACAAGGCGCCAAAATTGCTATACAACTATGGGGTCTTGGTAGAGTTGCTAGTCCCGCTTTGTTGAAAAAACACAATCTTGCGTTTGTAGCGCCAAGTGTCGTTTACGAACATGAAAAGTCGGAAAAGGAAGCAAAAGAATCGGGCAATTTGCTTCAAGCTTTGACGTTGGAAGAAATCAAAGACTTAGTGGAAAACGAATATCCCAATGCTGTTAAATTGGCACTTGATGTTGCCGGCTTTGACTTTGTTGAGTTCCATTTTGCTAATGGGTACATTGCAAGCCAATTCCTTAATCCAAGTATAAACAAGAGAACCGACAAGTATGGAGGTCCAATTGAAAATAGAGCAAGATTCTTATTTGATGTGCTTGATAATTGTTTCAAGATTGCCGACCCAAAACAACTTGCAATTAGAATATCACCTGGAAATGTGTTTCAAGAACCAATTGTTAGCCCAAATTATAAGGAAGATTATGAATATATTGCAAAAAAATTGCAAGAGAGGGCTGATGCCGGCAAGGAATTGGCCTTCGTTGATGTTACAGATGGCGCTGTAGATACCGAAACTGTTTCTGATCGTGCAAATATCTCATACATTTTAAACAACTGGAAAGGTATTGTGTTATTAGGTGGTTCTTACACATATGACAAGGATGACAATTGGAAACACATTGTGCATGATACAAATGCTGATGAAAGAACATTAGTTGGTTTTGGTAGGTATTTTATTGCTAATCCTGATTTGCCAGAGAGAATTAAACAGAATCAAGAATTGAATGATTACGCTAGAAATACATTTTACACTCCTTATAACTACGGTTATAACACCTATCCCTTTTATGGTGAAAAGGTAGACGCAGATCCTAATGCCAAAGTTCTTGGTACCCCTTTGGTCTAAATATGTATAGAGATAGATTTATATATATAGAGATAGATTTATATATATAGAGATAGATTTATATATATAGAGATAGATTTATATATATAGAGATAGATTTATATATATAGAGATAGATTTATATATATAGAGATAGATTTATATATATATATACTTAGGTACAATAATAATATTTACTATAATTGCAAAACGGGAATACAAATCTATTATTTTACTAGCTTCCAGTAGCAGATGATAACCCGCTGCTGGCAACTCTGTTGGTATATTTCTCTTTGAGTTTCCCTTTTTTTTTCCCTTAACCTGTCAAAGCAGGTTGATGTAAATTAATATTTAAAAAGCCCTTCGATGGAGGGGAGGAGGGGAGAGATGCATCAAAGTACATACAACTAAGTCCTAGATTAGCTTGCTAATTCTTTTTATAAAAGTCAATCAAAATCCACACTTCAAGATTGTTTGGTTCTAGTGTAAAAGACACATGAATTATATTCCACCTCCGCCAAAGGATTCTGATTCAAATACCACACTCACCGAAGGCTCGTCACTTTATATTTTAATACCAGTCTTGATTATTCCAATACTTGGTATTTTTCTTGTGATTCTTGGAGTAACATCAAAAGGAAGATACTGGTGTGATAGAAAAAAGAAGAAAAGAATGAAAAATAACCTAGTAGGAGAGGAAACAAGCAATGGTCATCACAATTTAAGATTCAATTCGTTGCATATTTTGCAACCTGATGCAGTGCATTTGAAACAAGATGATAATGAAACTTTGGTATCCACACAATCAAACTTGAATCTTGATAATGGATCAGATTTGGAATCTGCCGTGACGAAAGTCGACACAGAAAAGGTGTATAGAAATGTCCAAGTTTAATAAATGATTCAGGCTCTTAATGTGTAGAGCACACGCACACACACATGTATATGTATATACCGTTTTGCTAGCTTAATCTTCTCCCGCCGGCACTTCATCCTTTAAGATTTTGTTCAATTTTAACCTCATTTCTGTCCTCTCATCTCCTTTCAATACGTCTTTCACAAAATACACATCACAATCTAGTTGAACCATTTGTAAAGCACCTCTTAGAACACCGCATAGTATTTGCGAGTACCAAAGCTCTTTCCCGATTTTTGAATCCACCGTTACTGGTAATTCAACAAATTCCGTTAATGGGTTTGGTTCAGGTATGACCAAGGTACACGATCTCAAATCAGTCGACCAATTGTCTACTTGTGGCTGGATATTGAGAAACAATTTAAATCCCAATTTCGATATAACATCTGCCGTTTCTTTAAATGTCGCACATCTCCTAATACCTGTTTTAGCTAGAAATTCCTCTATTAGTCTTAGACCAATGTTATAGCCCATTTTATCTAGTTGGTTGTTCACTTCATGGTAATTGTTGTGCAAGTCTCGACAAAGCTGCGCAACCAAGGAACCATATGTCAATGTGAACAACTCTGAGTTGATTTTTTCTACATTTCCCTTCCAAATGTCGTCTGCTGCTGATTTCTTTGACATCTGCGCGCTCGTTGAGAGTTTGGTTTGCAATATTGAAAAAGACAGTCTAGTTGTTGAAACTTTACTTAGCCGTCTTGTTGATTCTATGAAATCTATCGCGAAAAAAAATTTCGTTCACTTTGCACTACTACTACTACTACTGCCAATTACTACAACGACTAATATAGAGAATGCATCATCTTTGAATGTCATTGCTAATATCACTAGTGTTTTGAAAGAAATTCATCTTCTAGTATCATCATATTTATAATTAATAGTCCGTTTTTTTCTAATGTTATTATATAATTAATCACCACACTCTTCTAGGTGGTCTGTCTTTTCCCTCCCTCTTTATCCCTAAATCTCTTTCCTCTCTCTCCCTCCCTCCCTATTTATCCCTATTTATCTCTCCTTCTTTCTCTTTATCTCTCTTTCTTTCTCTTTCCCCCTTATATATCCTTTTTACTTTCAAAAGAAATTTCTTTTGTAATTTCCATCTCTTGATTGAAAAGTTCCTTTTCCGTTTCGGTTCTTGGACCAGATCTTGTCTTTTTGGCTAAAAACTCCTTGTATTTGCTCAACGTGATGTGACTTTGCAAGTCCTTGTACTCATTAACAAATTTGTACTGAGTTCTATTGAACGTATCCCAGAATGTAAAGAATGGTTGAGAAAAATTGCTCTTTATGCCCCATATTTGATGGTGAATGTCATGGTAAACTGAGTTATTTGGAAATATCATTTGAAAAATATCAAATGGGAGTCTGTATCCGCAATGGTCATCAACTGTCTTTAAAGTTGCAAATGTATACAAAACAATTTGCTCGCGATGGGATAATCCTGCAATAAGTGAAGCGAGCCCACTTCCAGCGGTGTCCAAAAGAAACCCTTCAAGAGGGTCGTTATATAAAGCTCCAAACGCATATGGCACATACAACCTATGATGTCTTGAGTGGAATCTTCTGTATAATGCCTTGTTCACATGCATAAGACGGTGTAACCAATATTGCCATGTGTCTATTATCAAGATTGCAAGACACAAGCGTAAAAAAGACCATCCGTACATATACCCATAATAAACAACAAAGTCGGGCACAAATGATGGTAAGTAATTATGTTTCAATTGCCACATTGTATAAAACTCGAAACCAGTTTGAGGAGTAGCATCAAAGTAGTAGACAGTTAACCCAGCTACAGTTTGAATAACGTGTTGCAATATGACATCCCTTACAACCTCATGTAGAGTCACTTTATTTCTTTTCAACTCATCTTCACTTGGATGGATTCTGTACTTCTCAGCTAGTTCGTAAACATCTACAATATGGAAAAATGACGAATAAGTCCAATAAGCTACTATTGGCGCTATCAAAGCTAGTATTCCGTCGGGAATCCCTTCTATCAAGTCGGGTTTTTTGGTGATTGTGAAGTTCGCAGGATAATACGAAGGCTGGGAAAGAATCGACGAGAAATTCTGCAGTTGTGCTTTGAAATTCATGCTACTAAGCGACTATTCAACTGTTTCTTAGTGCGGGTTTATTCTCGTTTTTTTTTCGTTTATCGTTTTATCGTTTTATCGTTTTATCGTTTGCCCTTTTCGTCACTTCTTTCCAAGTGATTTTGGGGTTTTTGCTTACCGAAAAGTGATTTGGATAAGATTATTGGCTTATATAAAACCAAAATCAGTTTTTTGGAATCTTTAAAAGAGATATACTCACTAGTTATACTCACTAATTCTACTCTACTAAAGACGAGATCGTATACAAATTTCATCATGTTATTTAATGTTTAGCATTTTCTTCTTTTTTTTTTTTTTTTTATGTCTTACACGCCACTTTCCTTTTTGGAACATTATTAATGAATTTCTTTTTTCACTTGCCTCCTTTTTCTTTTTGTTAGGCTCCAGCTAGTTTTTATCTCCGAACTATATAGTCACGTGAGCTTTTAGACACTATCGAGCGAAGCGAGATAGTGGTGCACTGACATTATCGAGCGAAGCGAGATAGCGAAGCACTGACTGCCACCAACACACCAACACACCAAATCCAATAGTCATTAGCTCTTTTTCTTTTCCTTTTTCTTTTTTGCTTTCTCGCGCTATAAGAAAGAGCTGTTTTTTGTTGCTTTCTTGTGCCATAAGAAAAGGCTGTTTTTTGTTGCTTTCTCGCGCCAATCTAGCCCGTATCGCGCCCCACATAATATGTGATAAGTAGAAAAGGTAAAACCCACAGGCGCGCGCAAAAAACAATAAATACACACGGGTTTGATGTGCTCCACTATCAAGCAAATGGAGCCAGTAAATACACACGGGTTTGATGTGCTCCACTATCGAGCAAATGGAACCAGTAAATACACACTAGTTTGATTGGCTCCACTATCGAGCAAATGGAACCAGTAAATACACACTAGTTTGATTGGCTCCACTATCGAGCAAATGGAACCAGTAAATACACACTAGTTTGATTGGCTCCACTATCGAGCAAATGGAACCAGTAAATACACACTAGTTTGATTGGCTCCACTATCTCGCTTTGCTCGATAGTGGTATCAACTGTTCTTTGTTCGATAGTGGAATCAACTGTTCATTGCTCGATAGTGGAATCAACTGTTCTTTGCTCGTGAAATCTTTTACTACAACTAAACTCTTCTGCACACAAGTTATGGTTTAAAAGAACCCCGCTACTTCTCTTGCACAGACGAGAGAAAAATTGGTTTTGCAGACGAGAAATAAATTTTGGTTAGACAAGAAATTGGTTTCACAGACAATTACAGTATATAAAACATGTGATTGTGCGCTAATGCTATACACTCTTATACGGGACTCTTTAGTAGGTTCTACAAAACCGGCGAAAACAAAGCACCAATTTAAAAAAATCTCAGCTAACTTTATCTATAGTCCTTTTTCTCCTATTAGAAAAAGAAAACAAAAGAAAAATAATATATATAAATATATTTTTTCTCGGATCATCATGGACCAAATTCACGCGTAAGCCCTCTCTTAAAACATGAACAAAAACATGTTGCATATAACAAACAAGAAAAAAAAGAAGAATCAAAACAGCCACCAACACACCGACACTCACCCTATCGAGCGAAGCGAGATAGTGGTGCACTGACTGCCACCAACACACTCACCCTATCGAGCGAAGAGAGATAGTGGTGCACTGACTGCCACCGACACATTGACACACCAAATGCAATAGTCATTAGCTCTTTTCCTTTTCCTTTTTCTTTTCCTTTTTCTTTTCCTTTTTCTTTTTCCTTTTCCTCTCCCTTTGATAGCTATTGTACTCCACTATCTTGCTCTGTTCGATAGTGTAAGCTTTTGATCTAACGGATTCATAACTCCATCTATTTTTGCTCTTTGGGGGATCCGCTGTTCTCCAAAAACTACATGATTACTTGTATCATACCTAAATGCATCTAGAAAATCCCTTTGCTTGAAATTTAAATTCTTAGAATCAGATAACCTCTGATTGTCATTAAGGTTCAAAATCTCCTCAAGTTCTTGAGACGTTGTGCTAGGCACAAAAAACTGTTGAAAGTTCAAAATCTCTTCCAAAGCCTTATTCTCTATTCCCCAACTAATCATTTCATGATTAAAAGTCTCGTTTGAGGAAGTCATAGACATCGACTCACCATAAATTTCACTATCAGACTCGTATTTGTTCAATGCATTCATCATATTATGCAAATTCGTTGCCCATCTACGACATGTGACATTAAAGTGGGCATAGTTGTTCAATATATTATACCCATCTGTTAATGCATCTTGAAGAACCGCAATATAATGATGATCTGGTTTAGATGATCTCTTTTGCTCAAGCAAGGTGAACCCAAGTATGATTGAGGCAAAAAAGGAAGAAGATTGAATTGTAAACACTTCCTCCCTATGGGGATTATAAGTAATATAAAATTTTAGTAATTTAATCACCAAAAAACTGGCCTTGATACATGCTTTGCAAAAATTCATTAAACTCTGCTCGTCCTTAATTTGCGGCTTTGTTTCTGGTTTTAATTTTCTAGTAACAACATATATCAAAAATGGTCTTGTTAAGGTCATAATTCCATACAACTGGCTAATATGAACAAAAACACATAGATAGTTATTTGGATTAGTTCCTAATTCCATTTCTCTTTCCAAAGCTGTATTTAGTTGTAATTCCTTGGGTAATTTCACCGACCAAATTTTCAATTCCAAAGCCAAAGCATGAGCTCTTCTTATATTGATTAATCCATCTTTAAAAATATTCTCCACAATTTTCGCATTGATTAATGCCCCATCAGAAGATGCTTTCTGGGCCATAACGCGTATCCTCTCAACATCATCAAAGTTTTCGTCTTCAATTTTGCAATTGGCGTCATCATAATCATAATCGTTAATCATTAAGGGGCGCCCCAAGTTGACACTACTAGCACAATCACAAACGTAAAGGCTCCTCCATAATCTCCTTCTGTGATTTCGTATATCAACGCGTTGAATTCTTTCGTTTATACAGCTCCTATGTAACCCCAATGCCTGTGCTATTCTTATTGCATTGCCCAATTGAATCCATGCATTTGACCGGTTACAACACGATTGGAAATAAAAATACTGTAGAAAATTGGCCTCACTCAACCATAACTTACCATCAAACACATTACTCAAAAGTAGAGCTTGTGCCAGATTAAAAAACACATCCAGATTTGGCAAGTTTAATTCCATATGCGGCGAACACTGGGAAAATAATCTTCCAAGAGCAAACACATGATAAAGCAAACATAATCTTTTTGTGCTGCAGTTCACCGGATTCAGATATATTTCATTGAAGATGTGTTTATTGAAATACTTCATATTAAAAATGTAGAAAGTGTCATTGATATTGGTCTTGAACAAATCTATCAAAACAAAAGCATCTTCTTTTGTCGGTAGTTGCACGGGAATGGGAAGATGGCTGAAATCAACACTCTCGTCGCTGATAAACCCCTGGTCTGGGTCATCAGTAAACTTACTTGAACCACAAACGTCTCTAAATAAGCTACGACATTCGCTCAACAACGATAGTGCGCTGCTCTCACCAAAAAATCTCAAATTCCCCGTTTTTGAAGTTAAAAGTCGAGTGTACTTACCATTGAGATTAGATAAACCTTCTTTCAACTCTTGGTTTTTGGAAGGAGAAGTTTGTACGTTTTCATTCGTTAGTGCTGCTTGTAAATTTTCGCAAATAACACTTAATGATATTGACGGCAGCTTGCCACTCTGCGGTGATTGTGATTGTGCAGATGGTGCTGGTGGAGGTTGTTGTGGCGCTACTGAGGGTAATGCAGCTGCCAGTGGATGTTGTTGTGGTGGCGCTACTGGTGGTAATGCAGCTGCCAGTGGATGTTGTTGTGGTGGCGCTACTGAGGGTAATGCAGCTGCCAGTGGATGTTGTTGTGGTGGCGCTACTGAGGGTAATGCAGCTGCCAGTGGATGTTGTGCCGGCACATTTTCTCCCGGTAGCGATTTTGATGATTGCGTCAATACTGGCCCCAGCAAAGGCGAAGTTGCCAACGATGGATGTTTCATAGGCATTGCAGGAATTAATGATGGTGTTGTTGTTGTTGTTGTTGTTGTTGTTGTTGTTGTTGCCTTTGTTGACGATGTTTTCATCTCCAATGAAAGATCATCGGGACCTGACACTGGCATTGGCACCATTTCGGAGCCATTGTGTTGTTGATCAAAGCGGAGTTTCTCCAAATACGCTTTTGACTTTAAAGAGCGGCCGTCAACATTGGAGTACTTGCATATCAAGGACTTTGAGTTGCAATAATTACAGGGATTAACACCATTGCACTAAAGATATTGACAAAAAAAAATTGTAAGTATTGAATATTCAATCTTTCTGGGGTAAAAAAAAAGCTTTATATCTTTATTTTTCAATTTAACTAGAAGAAAGGACAAGTTAGATGGGATGATCACATACCTTCATTTTGCGCCGCTTGCAAACATCGCAAGCACGAGATACTTTTTTCCGTTCGGCAATAGGCAACGTTCTTGGTCGGCCTTTCGGTCTTGGTACTTTTTCCACCATTTGAGTTTTCTTGATGTAATAAAAAAACAAGTATAGCTTATCCCGATGGTTTAAAGGAAAAAAAAAAAAAAAAAAATTAATTGAAAAGAAAAAAGATTTCCATCTGGAGGAGAATTTAATGATGTATGGTTCTTGGTTATTTTTTTTTTCATCTGTATAGCTTTTTTTGTATCTATTATAATTGTATTTATTATTAGTGAAATTGCAAGATTTTTGGAGTAGCGGGAAATATTAAACTCGTATCAAAAGTCATGATCTTTAGGCAAGAATGTGTATTGAGCATGAATCGTGGATTATCAGCTGTGAATTATCAGCTGTGAATTATCAGCTGTGAATTATCAGCTATGAATTATCAATCGTGAATCGTGAATTATCAGTTGTGAATCATAAAGTGTGTGTTGAAATTTTGTTGATAATGTGTTGAAATTTTGTTGATGATGTGTTGAAATTTTGTTGATGATGTGTTGTAAATCGCGATTGTTTTATGTAGTAACTACTGAAATGTGAATAGGTTTATTGCAAGTCAAAGTCATATAAGCATATATTATACATCACTGTCTAAATGGTGCTACCATATGTTAATTAACACACGGGTTTGATTGAACTAGCTAACCGCTATTAGAAGAGGATAAACTATAATTGTTTAAATGAAATTTTCACACACCATATATATTAAAAAACCTCCATTAGCATGGAATCCCACTTTTCTGATCAAAAGCGTGTTACTGCAAACCCCAGTTACTAAACATATACTTAAGATGCAAAAAAAGTATTCAAGGTAAAAAGAGATTTACATTGGATCCATAATCTTAATCCTTTTCTTTGAAACTGTGGACTTTTGACGCACATAATATAAATATTCCGGTGTAAATCTTACAATTAAGTAGAATCACCCGATATACATGTTACTGGGGCAATATAAAGCTATCCACATTACTTAATGATATTGTGTACACTATAGTAAATGTGATCACGTGCAATGACCTCATGAAGAAAAAAAAGAATTTTAAAATTTTTCCGGCATCTGTAAAATCTGAGCTATAACCATATAGAAAGCAATTGCATTGTACATCAATCTAACTTTTTTTTTTTTTGCAAAAGGGCAACTGTGCGCTTGACGTTTATTCTCTCATTGGCCGTTGATACTACATATTGTTCCACTAGCTCGCTTCGCTTCCTAGTGTTTTAACCTCACTCAGAAAAAAACCCATTCATTTTTCTCTTGTATTAACCTCTCAGCAAATTAATGGCTGCGAAAAAAAAAGAAATCAAAATAGAAGCAATACCAAAAAAAAAAAAAAAAATTAAAAAATTAAAAAATTAAAAAAAATGTAAAAAAGAAAAAAACCGTTTCATTTCATTAGTGACAAATCCTGACAAGTAAGACACATTTTGTGCTTCGCCGAAGCTTTATTGCTATTATTTTTCACAATCCACACAATTCACTGTGAATTACGGCATTTTATCTTGTCTATTTTGTCCCTCTTGTGTAAGGAAATGATTTCGCCATCCTAGAGAGAGAAAAAGATCTTTATCAAATCTATCTATAAATGAATTGAAATATCGATTTTAGTTTTTCGTCTTTACATTCTATTTCACTCTTTTTACTTATAAATCAAATACCATGTCCCATGATCTTATCAGTAAGGAAAATGAGGTCAAGAAGGAAGGGATTGTTGACTTGGAGTCATTTGTTGATGAGAATAGCTCTCTACAAGGCTCTGTAGAGCATACCGAGAATTTGAACAGGAGTCTAAGTCCTAGAGTCGTTAATATGATAACAATTGCAGGAGTCATTGGTACCGGATTATATCTTGGTACCGGTAAAATGTTGGCCACTGGTGGTCCATTGAGTCTCTTGCTAAATTACATGATTATTGGTTTGGTTGTATTTTGTATGATGTTGTCACTTGGAGAAATGTCGGCACAGTTCCCCGTTAGTGGTTCATTCACTACTTATGCGAAACGGTTCGGTAATGATTCCTTGGGTTTTGCGATCCTTATCAACTACTGGTTCAATGATTGTTGTAGTGTGGCAGCCGATTTGACAGCTTTGCAATTGGTTATACAATATTGGACAGATTTCCATTGGTATGTGATATCGATAATCTTTTGGGTCTTTTTGCTATTCTTAAATGTTATACACGTTAGAGTTTATGCAGAAGCCGAATATTGGTTAGCACTTTTGAAAGTAGTCACAATTGTTATTTTTTTCATCATTAGTATTATTTGCAATGCTGGTGTCAACAAGGAGCATGAGTATATTGGCTTTAAATACTGGAGCTATAAGGATGCACCATTTGTAAATGGATTCCGCGGGTTTAGTTCCTTATTCGTTAGTGCAGCATTTGCTTTTGGTGGATTGGAGTCTGTTTCTTTAACTGCTGGGGAAACCAAAAATCCCAGCAAAACAGTGCCCAAAACGGTAAAGGCTACATTCATAAGAATTTCAGTTTTTTACATCTTTACTGCATTTTTCATTGGCATGAATGTTCCTTATGATTACCCAAACTTGCTGACAAAAAATGTAGCTACATCGCCATTCACTATTGTATTCCAGCAAGTTGGAAGTCGTGGTGGCGGTACTTATATGAATTTAGTGGTCCTTTTGTCTATTATATCTGCCGGTAATCATGCGTTATATGCCGGTTCGAGATTGGCCTACAATTTGAGTACTCAGGGATACATACCAAAGATATTTTTGCCCATGAATCGTTTCCAAATACCTTATGTGGCAGTTATCGTTACTTGGTTAATTGGTGGATTATGTTTTGCTTCGGCTTTCGTTGGAACAGGTGAGTTATGGGCTTGGCTACAGGCAATTGTGGGTCTTTCAAATTTAATCTCGTGGTGGGTTATTGGTGTTGTCTCGTTACGTTTCAGAAGGGGGTTGGCCAAACAAGGAAGAACTCATGAATTGTTATTCAAAAACTGGTCTTATCCTGTTGGACCTTTATTTGTCGTAATATTCGGAGGATTCATTATTTTAGTGCAAGGTTGGTCAACTTTTAGCCCATTTTCAGTAAACGATTTCTTTCAATCTTATTTGGAATTAGGTATATTTCCCGTGTGTTTCCTATTTTGGTTCTTGGTTATTAAGAGGGGTAGAGATAAGTTTGTTAGCGCCTCAGATATGGATTTCGATACAGATCGATATATTCAATCGCTAGAGGAAATACAGGAGGAGAAAAATAGTGCATCTCTAAAAGGGTTTGCCAAGTTTAAGCACAACTTTGCTGATAATTTCCTATAAGTTTGTATAGATTTTAATGAATGACGTTTTTCTTTTAACCTGTTTTCCTCTGTTTTGTGATATATTACTAATATCTAATTGTGCTCCCACTATTTCGCTCTGCTCGATAGCGTCGATTGTAGAAGAAGAATATGAAGAAAATTGAAGATTGGTGAAAATTATTATCCCTGTTTCGTTTTTGCGAGAGACTTACGTCAAATTTTGCAGCCTAAAAGTTTCAGGTTGCAAAAAAAAAAAAATAAAATAAATAAAAAAATAAAAGTAAACCAGAAATATGTACTTTACCTTTTTGCAATAAAAAGAAGGAACACGATCACAATCTTGTCCTTCTCCTCCTCTTTCTTCTCTTTCTCCGTTAATGCTTCTCTAATCAGAATGATGTGCTTAATCAACTGTTTCTCTCTATTCTTCTTTCATATATTTGTACTTTGTTCAAAGGTGGTGGTGCAAGAATTGGTTGTATATGTGCCACTGTCTTCATCTCATTATAGTACATTTGAAATCGATGTATATGAAGGTCCCTATTATTTAAACACCACGTTTGCAAAATTAATGCTTCAAGAGCATAACAAAAAGAGAAGTGTTCATGGTGCACAGAAATTACGTTGGTCAATCGAGGTTTTCAACTATGCTGCTCAATTTGCTCAAGAATACAACTGCTCTGGTACATTGCAACATTCGGGTGGGAAATACGGAGAAAATTTAGCTTACGGTTATACTCCAATTGGTGCAATTAACGCATGGTATGAAGAAGGTGATAACTACCCTTATGGCTCAGAGAGTATTTACAATCACTTCACAGCTTTGATTTGGAATGATACAAACTCCATTGGTTGTGCATATAAAAGTTGTCCCAATGGTGCATTGTACATTACTTGCAACTATAACCCGCCAGGAAACGTTATTGGCTATTGTTCAAAAAACGTCTTCCCGCCTATTTGAATACATATATTTCTCTGTGCTCTTAGAGATGGTCACATAATATTTTAGAGTCCAAGTCGACGTAGTTTTCAAAATAGGATTTAAACAAATCCATCAATTTAATCACATCGTAGGTACCTCCTGTTTCTCTGATTGAGTGCATTGATAATTGAGGATTACCCAAATCCAAAGTCCTGATACCTAATTTCGAGCTTAATAACGGGCCTATAGTTGATCCACAAGGTGAATCATTTCTCACAACAAACAACTGAAGGGGTACTTTTGCTCTGTCTGCAACTTTTTTAATCAACACAATACCCGGAGAGTTTGTTGCATATCTTTGATTGGCATTGATCTTGATTACCGGGCCCATGTTTACTTGTGGACGATGCTGACTCTCGTAAGCTTCTCCATAGTTTGGATGTATCCCATGCGCCATGTCAGATGACAACAAAAATGATTTGGAAACAATTTCATGAAAGAAATCAACTGACCCTGACCCTGACTCCTTCTCCTTCACATTGTTGAAATTAATCTTGGCAAGACGCTGAATAATGTCGGGAAGAAAAGACGAGTCTGCCCCATGCAGGCTTCGGCTACCAATCTCTTCATGGTCAAACAAACTTATCATTTGAATTCCCTTTTCATTGGGTAATTGGTCAACTGACTCAATTAAACCTTGGGTAGCAGCAAAACACGAAGTCAAATTATCCAACCTTGGCGAGAAAATAAACTCATCATTTAACCCACCAATTACTGATTTTTGATGATCAAACAAAAGCAACTCAAAATCTTCAATTTGCAGGGGCTCGACATTCAATTCTTTGGCAATTAGTTCAATCAATGATTTGTTATGTCTGGAAATCACATTTCTTACCGACTCGAATTGTTCCTGGGTCATTTGCAAATTAGGATCATCTGAACAACTATGCTTATTTCCACCCTCGGTTGCTGCTGTTTTTTTTCCATTTTCATTTTCATTCTTGTCCAAGGCTGTTTGTCCAGCAATAGGAACCAATTTGGTTTCCTTGTTGAACTCAAACTTTGTATTCACTTCACGATTCAAATGGATAGCCAAAGTTGGAATTCTTAACAAAGGCTTGTCAATTTTCAACAATTTAGGAACAAATTGTCCCTCTTCATTTACATAAACACGGCCTGCAACAGACAAATCACGATCAAACCATGTATGGGCAATCAAACCTCCATACTGCTCAACTCCAATAGTGATAAATCCCTCTGAAGTTCGTTTTGAAATTGGTTTTATTCTTAAACATGGGCTGTCTGTATGGGCCCCCACAATAGCAATTCCGTTCCCATTTTCGTATTTTCCGCCAACAGTAAATGCAATAATAGAAGAACCATTTCTGGTGACAAAGTATTTCCCATTTTTGGCAAGTTTATAAGATTTGGACCAATTGTTGCGCTCAACAATCTCCTCAAATCCTTCATTAACCAACATCTTTTTAACGGAATCCACTGCATGGTACGGTGTTGGTGACTCGTTTACAAAATCAACAAAGTCTTGAGCATACTTCAAGGCTACTGTTTGGTCTGTTGTGACTGTCATTTGTTAGCGCGTCAAGGAGGCAGAGTGAGTAATGGTCGAACTAGAGGGACTTGAAATGAAACAATTACCAAATACAATACGGCTCCAAAAAATCGCATCACCAGAAATTGTTCGCCTGCCTGCCCAATAATGAACTGCAAGAAAAAAAAATGAAAAAATAAAAATGAAAAAAATAAAATTAACATAATCTTTCAACACACGGGTGGTTTGACTATTACTCCTGGTTATTCAATATAAAGCGTTGCTGTCTAAAGTTTTTGCAAAGTGTCTAGAATGGCTAACTTGTTGACATGCCCCACTATCGAGCAGGGCGAGATAGTGGAGGAACACTTTGTATCTTGTTGTCTTATACGCCTTTATATGATTGATTTCAAAACTCTTTTGAAGCTCCACTATCTTGCCCTGGTCGATAGTGGAGTATCAGTAGTCAGTGCTGCTCCACTATCTCGCTTCGCTCGATACACTTTTGTTTTTCTTCTCAGTGTGCATCACAATACCTTTGAAGTTACAATTGCCATAGTATTAACCCCTTCACCCTTTCACCCTTTCATCAAATATGCTCTCTTTTTTTTTCTCGCTTGTCTTTCTCTCTTTCTCTCTTTCAATTCATCTTTGTTCTTTTAGAGCATTTAATAGGGAACCCAACCCAACCCCCAATTTTTTCAGGTAAATGGAATTGGAATTGCTATACGTTAAGCTTTTACTTATATTCACTTGTGTGGTTCCCTTCGTAGTGTGTAACTTGGCTCCTGTGCTTATCGCCTCACATAGACTAGTTCCTGACCTTTCTTTAGAGATTAATGATTCCAATCTCCTTCCACATAATGCATCTTCGGTTACAAATTTGCTAAAGAAATTGGTCACACAATGTTCTTCAGATGCATATCTCGTTATGGACATACCAGGGCTCACATTTAATGACCTCACTACAGGCAAGAAGGAGAATTGGCTGTTTTTGAGAAAATATTTATACATGGCGTCTACAATAGTTGGATTGCCTAGAGTTGAAGATGGGTTAGATTTGGAATTTCTTGAAAAATACATCATCAAGACGTGTGATGCAGAAACAATACATGTAAAAAATGGCGATCCGCCAACTGATTATTATGACGTGAGGAAAAGAGTCATTAGGATAAACTTCAATCCACTTGATACAAACACAAACCGTGATGGGCAATTACGTGAAGATGACGCTTTGATAAGAGATATTTTAAGACAACTACCGTCACCGCATTATACCATTATTCTCACTAGTTCCAAGCCCGGGTTCTTACATCCAACACCTAAGTCTATCATGAAAGAAAACCCTGAGCGATTTGAGATTTTCAACGATATCGTGAATGATCCAAAACATAATGGTGGAGTAGAGAAAAACGACAGATTTAGAAAGGTTGAGCCTAATTGGAACCCTGTAAGAGACTCCAATATAAGGTACATTAGAAATAAGAAAAAGGACGAAATTCATCTCCTAGATTATGACTTGTGGAACAAGAATGAGAAATTAATAACAACTGTTTTTGTTATGGTTTTGAGTTTGTTTCTGATAAAGGTCTTCTCGATAATGAGTTCGTTGAAGCAAAAGATAATTAATTGGAGATCATCACAAAGCGGTCTACTTGATAAGAAGGTAAATTAATACAAGCTCTATTAAATCTATTCATTTTCTTTTTCTTCTTCTCCTTCTTCTTCTTCTTCTGTTAGTTACTCTTCGTCGTCATTCTCGTCATTGTCATCATCGTTCTTGTCCTCTCTCTGCTCTTCCTCATCATCATCCTCTAGTATTACACTGGCGTCAAAATAAAACGATGGATCCAAGCTGGAAATATCGGCTGATTTAACCTTGCCATCAAGTAAAAGTTCACTCATAATTTTACCAGTACCCGGTGCATTGTTGATCCCCCAACACGAATGACCAGACGCAAGATATAAATTGGCCACATTTGTCTCTCCTATTAATGGTCCGCTTGACGACGGTACATCTAATACAGGTAAATAGCAAGCTTGACGTCTCAAGATTTTCCCCTTTCTCAAATTTGGCGATATTTTACTCACCTGCTTGTACAACTCATCACATTTAGATCGTACAACTTCAACATCATCTGTAGTTTCAGGAACGTCAACAGTACTGTCACCCTCTCCGCACACATACACCTCATCTTGTCTTGCATATATTTCCGGGGAAATGTATGACGTGGGTCCTACTTTAAATTCAGTGAATATGGCATATGGGCTAACTGGTTGATCTTTGAACGGAGCAATTGTTATCGAATGAGCCCTCAATCCGGATATAGGACAATCTGGCAAAATCTTTGACGTCCAAGGTCCAACAGTTAGCACAATTTGGTCAGCTTCAAGTTCTATTACCCGATTTTGGTATTTATCACTATTTTTTATCGATGTTGGTCGGTACTTTATACCAGTTGCAGATCCTGATTCTTCAGAGTAAGTGACATTTTCAACCTTTCCCAAAATTAACTCGATTGCTCCCTTCGAGTCCTCGACTGCCTTTTTAAGGATAAAGTTGGTGAACTTGTATGGGTGTACTTGTGCCGTGGTGTCTGTGCCGCCTAGGGTGGTGCAATTCTCAATCACTGAAGATTTTATCCAGTTTAAACTTGAGGGGAGTCGATTTTTGGAAAAGTTTAACTGCATTGCCGACGATGAACGTGTGTTTCTTTTTTTCACAGGTTTTTTCGCAGACGAGGAGGAGGAGGAGGTTGTAGTGGTGGTGGCGTTTTTGCGGTCAAGACTGTTGTTATTATTACTATTTCCAAAAACGCGTTCTTTATTACCATCACCATCACCATCAATTTCTTCTTCGTCCTCTTCGTCCTCTTCTTCGTCCTCTTCTTCTTCTGCTTCTTCTTCTTCTTCCTCTTCATCCTCTTCGTAATTTTCAGGGATATGTGAAATATCCCCTTCTAGTGACACTGTACTTAATCGCCTATAACCCCATTCTTCAGAGCCATTATATTCGTCGGCCAATTTCTGATGCAAGTTAAAAGACAAGGGAACAATTTGTTCAGGAAATGCCCACAAAGCTAAGAGACCTCCAGCTTTGCCACTTGCACCTCCTGCTATCCTCTTACTCTCAATAATTGTTATATGATGTTTTTCGGGGTCAAACTTGGGGTGTTTTACTATGTAATATGCTGTACAGACTCCAACTATGCCAGCGCCGGCAATTATAATATGATGTTTGCCATTATGGCTTCCAGAAGTCTCTGAGTGAAACTGCAAGTAGTCTGGAACCATTCTATCAACCTATAACTCGTGTTTTTGCGATATAAAAATGATAAAAGAAACACCCAATAATTGAAAAATTGTGACAACTGGAGATTTTTAATATAACCGTTTTCTACTTTAAGGGAAGAAAAAAAAAAGAAAATAAAGAAGAAAAAAAAATAAAGTGATCTGATTTTTGAAACGGCAATATTTGGGGAGAGGGGGAGAAGGTATTCTAGTAAGACAGGTGTAATTGTAAAAAAGGAATTATAGGAAGAGGAGGGTGGGTGGAAAGTGCGTAGGAACAACTGCCAAAGAGAATAAGATTTGTAGAAAGGGGGATCTGGCTCTATTGTAGAATTACAACGCATGCTTTTGAGTGGTTTTCCTCCTGCAGTTAATATGTAATGGTGTATGATAGTAGTCCTTTGCATTTTCACGAGAGAACACCAAAACCATTAATGGAAGCAGAAAATCATTAATGGAAGCAGAAAATCATTAATGGAAGCTAAAAAACGATTAACAGAAGCAGAAAAAACGATTAATAGCAGCAATAATACGAGGGGAAAAAAAGGAGATAAAAAGTAAACCAGATCTCGTAGAAAGTGGTACTGGAAATATTCTTTTAACGTCTTTTTTAAATGTCTTGAGCTAAAAATGGGCTATTCACGTTTGATCTCTATCTAACAAAGTGTTAGTGTTCTCTCTCTCTCTATGTGTGTGTGTGTGTGCATGGCTACATTTGCAGCCAGAAAAAGATTTATATTTAATCCAAGAGCAATAATTAGTAAGAAAATCCTACCGAATGTTCCCAACAATAAAAAATTCTACCGATTTTCTCAAAAATGAGTCGTGTTTCAAGAGTAAATGAATTTTTATAGTTGAAGTCCTAAGCGAATGATCTCTATTTACAGTTGCTCTATTGTATCTGCTCTATTGTATCTACTCTACTATCTACTCTACCATCTACTCTACTATCTACTCTACTATCTACTCTACTATCTACTCTACTATCTACTCTACCATCTACTCTACCATCTACTCTACTATCTACTCTACTATCTACTCTACTATACCTCTTATATCCACTATATTTCACTAGACTATCATCTACTCGATTGTTATCCACTAGATTGTTATTTAAGCTAAAAGCAAGGAAAAGCTAAAAAGTACAAAAACAAGCCCATTCTGAAGATTAAAGTGGCAACTACCGACACTATCGAGCAGAGCGTGATAGTGGAGCAGCACTTTGCAGTGATACCAGTAGCGATACTAGTACATTATCCCGCTTTGCTCGATAGTGGAGCAGCACTTTGCAGTGATGCTAGTACATTATCCCGCTTTGCTCGATAGTGGAGCAACACTTCTAGCTTGTTACAACACTATCTCGCTCTGCTCGATAGTGTCATTAGTCAGTGCTGCTCGATAATGTCAGATATCTGTAGCCAATACATGCTTAGAGAGTGATTATACATACAAGGGCCCCAAGAGAACCCTACAATTCAAAATCAGTTGCGAAATTCAATGTTACATAAAACTGATAAACACCGCTACCCGTTTATATCTAAGTTGATAAAAAACAAATCTAAAAAGAATAAGATTTATGTCGAATGAAAGGAAAGGTTTGGATTCATATACTAATAATTGAGTTTGTTTGTTTGTTTGTTTGTTTGTTTTTCTACTAACCCTGCGATATCCAACCCATTTGCACAAAAAACTCATAGATCTTTGAAGCTTTGTTCACATCAATCTTTAGTGTTTGTCGGGCATCTTTCTTTTTCAAAACCCCATTATTCTTCACTGCCTCCTTCATGAGTTGGTTTTTGATAGCTAGATATGGCTTCGGTAGAATTCTTAATGTGGCACATAATTGCTTCTCCTCTGCTGATAAAAGCTCAAAATCTGCAGAATGACTAATATCTAGTGGTGCTCGATTTACGGTTACTTTTGGTTTGAACTCTGGCTGTGGTGATGATCCATTCATGCCCGGGGTCGCAGAGTGCCTTATCAATCCTCCGCCATTGCCCATTCTCGCGTAGTGTGCACTTCTTATAGTTTTATCTTTTTCAAATTTCGCCCCATCCTCTAATGTCTTTATCCCATTTTTACGCCACGACTGAAGTTGCTGAATCTTGATTCTGCATTTTAATTCGGTCAACATATCTCGACAAAATGCTTCAAAATCGCCAGGCTGCAATATTCGTATAAACGCGTTTATCTTCTTCAACAAATCTTTTTCTTCCTTTGACTTCTTTTTATCATTACTGATATTTTTTCTATAGTCAAGTAAGTTGTTTAAAATCATAACCCGTTTCCGCTCTGCCCTAGTGGTTAATCTAGAGTTGTAAATATCCAATATCGTCAACTTCAACTCAATATCATTGATCAGGTCCTCGGGATCAAAAATCATATCTTTTATAGTAGCTTCGGCATCGTTCTCGGCCTCGTGATCAAACTCTAATCTACCGGGCATATACCCTTGAATTTCATGACACAACGGCACCGATGCAGTAGGTTTCCCCTTGGGCGGAGGCAACGGCATATTTTTCCTCTTCTCTAATCGCTCTTTTCTTTCCCCAAGAAACTGTATTGGCGATACCGATGTAAAATCTTTATTCATTTCGGGTATTGGATAATCCTTACTTTCAAGGTAAATTTTATAATAGTGTTCTGCAACTTCTTCTTTAGATCGATTACCAATGTGGTCGGCAACGTCTGCCCAGTTACCCAACCCAAAGATCTCAGATCCTTGTATCAAAAGTAGTTCTTCATCTGCACCCCAATTTCTATCAAATATCGGATAGGTGTTTTGCTCTATTATTTGGTAATCATGCCATGGTTTATGATCTCCTGATGCTGAGCCGCTCGCAAAGCAAGGAACACATAGATCGTAATCTGAACATATGGCACATTGCACTCGTATTCTATTTGTACAATCTGTACTGCAAACATCACAATGAAACAATTTACTTCGTGAATCCATATTTGAAATTAAAAAAAAAAAACTTAAGGGGTAATTAGCCTCTGTTCTTAAGGGGTAGAACTTTTCCTAAATATAAAAAAAAATCTGAAAGCCAATGATTCAGAAAAATGGGAAGGTCGAATCAATCGAAAGCAATGTAGAATCAATCAAAAAAAGCTTGGAATTGGAATTGAAATACAATTTGTATGACGACTATAGGTATTTGACGAACAGTTTAAGTTGTGTGAGTGGACAATCTATTTTGACACGGGGCGGTTCCTATCCCGGCCTAAACTCTCTCCTCTCTCTCTCTCTCTCTTTTGCCCACTTTTTGTTTTCATCTTTTGTTTCTGAGCGCTTTTGCTTTAGCGGGAATACGGATGCTACCATATGTTCTATTTTAGTTAGAGTAATAAAAAAAACCGCCTTTCTCTCTCGTGTATATCACATGTAATAGCATTTTTTCCGGGGTTTTGCCCTCTCGTAGCTGTGTGACTGTGCGTTGTGTGAGCAAAGAGTGTGCGCCGCTCAATTTTTGATACCTTTTTTTTTCACTTTGATATACTTAGAAGTGTTTAGTTTAGTAGAGATATATATTCAATTTCTGAGCTTCCTTTGGGTGAACTTTTGGAATATAGATAGATAAGCAACAAATATGGTATGTTATATTCTGGATGAGAAGTGGAGGGAGAAGTGGAGAAAGAATTAGAGGGAGAAGTAGAGAAAGAATTAGAGGGAGAATTAGAGGTTGTGTTCCAAATGTTGATCAATTTGTACTAACTGCTAAATTAAGGGACGTGTTAGAACTAAGACAGTTAAAAGATCATCCAAGATCTTGATTGAAAGATTTTACCCCAAATTAACTTTGGATTTTGAAACCAACAAGAGATTAACATCAGAGATTGCTGTTATTCAATCTAAAAGGTTAAGAAACAAAATTGCAGGTTATACTACTCACTTGATGAAGAGAATTCAAAAAGGTCCAGTTAGAGGTATTTCATTCAAATTACAGGAAGAAGAAAGAGAAAGAAAAGATCAATACGTTCCAGAAGTTTCTGCTTTGGACTTATCACACACAAACGGTCAATTAGAAGTTGATGCTGAAACTGCCGACTTGGTCAAATCCTTAGGTTTCAAGATCCCATTACAAACTGTCAATATTTCTTCTCAAAGAGGCCCAAGACGTTTCGTTAAGAGAAACTAGCTTGTAGGCAAATAGGTTTTTATTGTATAATACACACACATCAAAAGAGACTCATCTAAGAGACACTTTAAAGGAAAACATATCAAAAAGACACTTGTCCATTGTACCTCTTGTATCCCATTTGTCTATTATGCCCCCTTGTAACCCATTTGTCTATTATGCCCCCTTGTAATCCATTTGTCTACTATGCCCCCTTGTAACCCATTTGTCTACTATGTCCCCTTGTAATCCCTTCTGTCTACTATGCCCCCTTGTAATCCCTTTTATCTATTGTACCCCCTTGTGATTCACTTTCGTCATTGAAAAAATTCTCTAGTGCGTTAATAAAAAATTAATGTCTGTAGCATAAAAGATTAGAAAGAAACAATATATCCTAAACGGCTGGTCCTATTTCTTTTTACATGCAAAATACAATGTGGATCAAGTCTATTGGAATTCTATCTTTGGCGGTGTTTGCATCTGCAATACAATGGTATCCCGTGAATAGCAAAGGAGAGATACCGTCCATTGAACCTTTCCAAAAGGGACAAGAGATTCAATTCGATTGCATTCAAAGGAATATCGATAATGGTGAACATAAATTTGACCAACAAAACAAGGTCATATATGGCCCATTTCCAAAGTGTAAAGAAACTTCTAAACCCTTGAGTTTCAAGTACGGGGTCAATGAGGATGTAAATTGTACCATTGAGTTTACAGACGAGTTATTCCACTTGTTTCAATTGTACATTCACGAAGATGTTCCATTCAGTTGCAGATTACCAATGAGTTCAGAAATGTTATCAATAGAAAAAGGTGGCGCATACATTCCATTCACGTTTAATTTCAGAGGCGAGATTACAGATTCACATATCGATGTTGACCACTCAATGAATGTCTTGATAACGATTCCTGATAATCCAATGGAGTACACATTTGTCAGCGCTATAGCATATAGCTCTGGGACAAACACAACGAGAATTGTCATTGGAGATACGATGACTATACAGTTTGCTGTTCGGTGGCTCGATCAACTAAATAAGGGTGGAAAGGGTGAAAAGGGTGGATTACCATACAAAGACGGTTTTTACAAATTTCCAGTAACGTTCGTACCATTGAGCTATCGAATGTTATACTTTTACATATCATTGGCATCTGTCGTTACTGCGGCATTAATTTTCCTCATCACTTACAGTTGGATCAGCTCAAAAATGAAAAAGCACAGGTACGTCCCAATTGATAACGAATCAAAACAAGACTAATAAGTTCGACATTTCTTTATAATAGCTTTTAATAAACCGTCCACCTTTGCCGACTTGTTGTCCAAGAATTGATTGCTTAATTGGTTAGTGTACATATTGGTCAAAGCATCATCTTTAAGCGTGTTTTTATACTTTATGAATTTGTTCACAGATAATTGTAGTAAAGTTGCTAGTTCATTACTAGTCGAGGTAACATTTCTAATTGGTAAGGTTATATCAATCAATGCGGTTCTCAAATCTTCAGGATACTCCCTTTGAAGATAGTGTAATATATGTTGATATAGATAGTCTCTGTTTAAATCCTCAAACTTGTCAATTATTTTTAGCATTTTTTCAGCTATCTCAAATGCCTTATCTTGCGGGTGGTTGAAATACTTGACAACAGTTGGAACACAAACATCGAAAATGGCCAACATAACGTCACCTTTCAACGCAGGGTTGGTATCGGGATTTCCCAACATGTTCATTTCGGGAATACTTAGTCTTTCATCATCTGTCAATGCAATCATATCATCCGTATCCTTTTCCCTTTCCTTTTCGTTCTCCTTTTCCTCGTCCGCCTTTTGCTGCAGCTCAGTTAATAGCCCCAACACTTTCCTTCTTGCTAGCAATTTTGAAACGTATGTCAACTCAAACTGGGCATAGTTTAGCCACAATGTCAATGATTCTGGATTCAACCGTAATGCACGCTGGAACAAAAGTCTAGCACCTTTTGCATTTCCATTGGTTTCAAATTCATACTTTGTTGAAGATAACCAAGCATCTATATTTCTTGGTTGAAGTTGTAACAATTTGCTATATATTTTGTAGACAGCCTTAATAGCCCCATTTGCCTTGGCAAACTTTAGATACTGAGCCCATAATTCGTCATCTCCTGGGAATCTTTGAGTTGCCCTGTCTAGAATAAACATGATTCGACGAACCCCTGCCCAATCACTTATACTTGGCTTGGTTTCAATCAACCCAACTTTGCTCAATCTATTGTACCGTTTTTTCCTTAGCTTTTCGAGGTTTTGCTCAAACTCACTATACCTGAGAAAATCTTTTGGTGTACTTCCTCGACCTACGATTCTATACTCAAATTCAGTACGTCTTCTCATAATCATCGTGATTTCATTTTTGTCAAAGAGTCCTTTTGTTTTGAGATCTTCTAGTTCGGGAACCGACTGTTCCAAATAGTATCTTACTTTGTCAACCATTTGTATGTGGTAATGTATGTATGTAGGAGAAATCTATACTTTGTAGGGGGTGGGTAAAGAGAAGGAGGTTTTGAGATTATGAGATGAGGTTCTAATTTTTTTTTATGGCGCTACCTGAAAATATAGAAAAGAAGATGAGATTTACGAGTATCCTGTCAGTTGAAGACAAAGGCTAGTATTGGGATAAAAATGAGGTAAAAAATGGTTATTGTATTAGCTTGTTATCTGAATTGAAGGGCTCTCTCTCGACCAGACTCGTTTCATACGTCTAGTCTCTAAAATGTTTTCTTTTTGGAAAAACATTTTACTTTGAAATTGCTGCGAAATTTATGGCTATAGTGGACAATGGAACAGAAATAAGTAACTTGGTGAATAATACTTTGAAAAACAACTAAAGTTTTAAATCGGGACTTGTATTCCACAAGTCAGATGTATAAAGTAATACTTGGATATACGCAAAGGCAATCAATGATGAAGTCAACATTATGAGAAGGTATAAAGTGTTGCTCCACTATTGAGAAGAGTGGAATTCAAAAAAAAAGGAAAAAAAAACAATGTTCCATGTGGGGATTGAACCCACGATCGTCGCGTTCCTCACACGACCGTGACTTATGGTATAACCGAATTCATTATTACCATTGTCGAAACACGGATATAAGCACGAAGCCTTAACCACTAGGCCAATGGAACGAATTGTTGGTGATTTTAGGTATGTAGTTATACCAATGCCTAATAATTTATTCACTCAAAATCTATAACATCACCGTATTTGTTGAAAACATCAAGTCTGATAAATTGTCATTTAGAGCAATTGTAATGAAGAGCATTCGTACTCCATTGTAATAAAGAGCATTCGTACTCCATTGTAATAAAGAGCATTCGTACTCCATTGTAATAAAGAGCATTCGTACTCCATTGTAATAAAGAGCATTCGTACTCCATTGTAATAAAGAGCATTCGTACTCCATTGTAATAAAGAGCATTCGTACTCCGTTGTAATAAAGAGCAATTCGTACTCAATTGTAATAAAGAGCATTCGTACTCCGTTGTACTAAAGAGAGTGAGTGGATAGTGTCGGTGACAGTCAGTGTGCTCCACTATCTCGCTTCGCTCGATAGTGTCGCTCGATTGTGTCGCTCGATAGTGTCGATCAAATTTGAAAATCAACAAGTTTATAAAAGGATGGCGACTATTTCACTTGACCTTTTTTCTAATGACACGACATGTTGCGGGCGGTTCCTGCTACCGAATCCGACGATACACCCCAAAAGTAGTTACCGATTGCAGCACCAAGGGCCACGGCCAACATGTACCAGCCATTGTATGTCATGAAAACCAACATTAACCAAAATGAATAGAAAACTTGAACACCATATACCAAACTTTGTTCAAATTTGAATCTCTTTTGAAAAGTAGAGCCTGTATTATTATTATTAGTAATAACAAAAGTTGCCATGTTCTTCTTTTCCCAATTAGCAAACCAGTTTTTGATAAATTCGTAACCCATGCCAAGAACAACAATGGCAATCAAGGAGATTGCAAATCCTGAAAAAGTCCTTATATGCCACCATTTGAATACAATGCATGTATTTTTCCAATCCCAAGTAAATACCATCTAAAAAAACATGGCGTGTGTAGAGAAAATGTTAGTTACAGTTTTATCAACACGAGGTTTGTTGACTTGATCTTTTGAACATACATTCATAGAACATCTATCTTCCGGCATTCCTGGCATACCGTGGTCCATACGACCAGACATAACGTGATCCGTTTTATGCAATATTTCCTGTGCCATCGTAAAGAAAGACTCGAATGTTGAAAACTTGAATAGAGAGAAGCTCGTTTACAAATAACTGGAATCAATCAAATAAAAAAAAAAATATTACAATGTAGGTTTCCTTTACTAGTGAGGTTTTTCTCGTCCGATGTATCCTGTTTGAATGTAATCTATGCATAATCTTTCGCACAATCTTTACACGATCTTTATACAACCTTTTACACACAACCTTTCGCACAACCTTTCGCACAACCTTTCGCACAAATGTATTGGCTATATATATCTACAACAATATTTGATATATATTGCACTTTTTATTATCTCTTTATATAAGTAGCAAAAAAATTAACAAGAGAAGAGAAAAGTTAAAATTTGACTTTAAAGGTTATATATTGCTTTTCTTCTTTTCTTCTTTTATCTTTCTTTTTCTTCGCATATATATATATATATCTATATATTTCACACTATGAAGATTCTTAGTCAAGAAGAAAAAGATGCACATTTGTCTCATGTTATAACCGAAGGAGCCAAGGGTTTGATCTATGGAGGAGTATTTTCGCTCGGGATATTTTCCTATATAAAATACAAGAGACCTGCTAGATACCAGACATTCAGTGCTTCTGTGAAAGCGGCTCTTTTGACTATGCCAACGATTGCAATTGGTGCATTTTGGGCTGATCAGGGATCGTGGGAGTTTGACAAGATGATGCACCAATCTGATTATCAACAAGAGCAGATTTTGAAACAGCATCGTGAGTATAACAATTTACCCTTGCTGGATAAGATCATCACTTCGTTGAATAACAACAAATACCCAATCATCGTAGCTGCCTGGGCAGGCTCCTTATACGGATCTTGGGTATTGGTGAACAGAGATAAGATCATGACCACCGCTCAAAAAGCGGTTCAAGCAAGAATGTATGCTCAGGGGATAACCATCATCTTATTATTAGGAACAATCTTATTAGCTATGCGGGAAGAGGAAATCAACAAAAGTAAGCCAAAGCCTCTTCCAGAGTGGAAACAGATTATCTTGGAAAAAGAAGCTGAAATGAAACAATTAAAGGAAAATGGCAAATAATTTTACAAGATAAGAGAAGAGAAGAGAAGAGGAGAGAAGAGAAGAAAAGAGAAGAGAAGAGTTTTCACCAAAGTCTGTTTACTCTAAAACTACTAAAGAAGTTGAAAGAAATGGCCGCTTTCAGAAAAGTGGCTTTTCCCTCGATAGCCAACATTGTATATAGTGTCTTCTTTTCCTCTTTACACATCTCTTTATATGAACAGTTTTTCAGTTTTTTAGTTTTTCAGTTTTTTCATTCCTTCAATTTTTTTTTATTTTTTTTTATTTTCATTTTTTTCCATCAATTCTTCCCTTAGCAAGAACCGTTAGAGATGGCACCCAAGAATAAAGGTGTAATCAAGAAAAAGGATGTGAGGGATGACAGGTTTCAGGCGGTTGTTTTGACGGATTCTTTTGAAACCAGGTTTATGCCTCTTACGGTGACAACTCCACGATGTTTACTCCCATTAGTCAATATTCCCTTGATTGAATATACTTTGGAGTTTTTGGTCAATGCTGACATTAATGAGGTGTTTCTTGTTTGCACATCACATTCTGAGAAGATACAAGAGTACATTGAAAAATCGAAATGGAGCAATCCCAATTCGCTGACTCAGATAACTTTGATTACGTCATTAGAGTCCAGATCAATTGGTGATGTTATGAGAGATATAGATAATAGAGGGTTGATAACAAACGATTTTCTTTTGGTTTCCGGGGACTTGGTGAGTAACATAGATTTTAAAAAGGTTTTAGATTTCCACAAGAGTAAGACGCAGCAAGACAAGAATCATATGGTAACAATGATTTTGAATAAAGCTTCTCCTTTGCATCGAATGAGGTCACGTATTGAGCCAGCAACATTTGTGCTCGATAAGAAAACTAGCAAATGTGTTTATTACCAAAGCATTCCGCCGGTTGATGGTAAAAAATCTAGTGTCAATATAGGCCCCGAATTATTAGAAGAAGACGACGATTTTGTATTAAGGAACGACTTGGTTGATTGTCATCTTGATATTTGCACGCCTCATGTGCCGCAAATCTTCCAGGAAAATTTCGATTACCAATATTTAAGAAGTGACTTCTTGAAAGGTGTTTTGACATCGGATTTATTGAGAAAGACCGTTTATGCGTACATCAGTGAAGAAGGATCAGATTACTCAGCAAGAGTAGAAAGTTGGGGAACTTACAATGCTGTGTCCCAGGATATTTTGGGTCGATGGTGCTATCCATTACTGCCAGACTGCAATTTAGCACAGGGCACGTCGTACTCTTATGAGTTTAACAACATTTATAAGGAAGAGAAGGTCTTGTTGGCACATTCGTGTAAGATTGGATCTTCTACTGCGATAGGCAGAAATTCGAGGATCGGTGAAGGCAGCAGTGTTGGGAAATCGGTTATTGGACGAAACTGTGTTATTGGCAAGAATGTATTGATAAACAATTCATATATATGGGATGATGTTGTAGTGGAGGATAAATGTGTTTTGAATAATTGTATTGTTGCATCGCATGCAGTGTTGAAGGAAGGTGTTCGGCTACTCCCCAACTGTGTCATTGGATCAAATGTTGTTATTGGGAAAAATATCACCATTCCAAGTGGAAGTAGACTTATTGAGAAAAAGGAAAAGGAAAAGGAAAGGAAGGATGATGACAATGGTGATGGTAACACTAGTAGTGATTTTGACCTAGTTGGAGAAGATGGTGAAGGTGTACTTTATCAAACAGATAATGATGAGAGTGACGAGGAAGAGTCATCGATAAGGGAACCTTCTATGTTGTACCAAATGCATACGATGAATATATCTGATGATTCGATAGCGTCTATATCCAACAAGAGAGCCAAAAGGCGCTCACACACACGGTCACGGCGATTTTCTTCAAACTCATTCATGTCTGAAGGACAAGACGAATTTGAAGAGGAGCTTTTTGATGTTGAAGGTTTAGCAACAGTTTCTAGAGCAATTGAGAATAACCATGATATAGACACAGCACTATTAGAGTTGAACACTTTGAGGATGTCCATGAACGTTACATACCACGAGGTGAGAAGCGTTACTGGTGAAGCCATATTAAAGAAAATATTGGAGTTTATTACTACTGATACTTTAAAGCCTCAAGAAGCCGCGGTGAAGTTATTTAGTCATTGGGGGAAAATGTTTAAGAGACAAGTATTCAGCTCCCAAGAAGAGGTAGATTTATTAAACACATTGGAGGGACAAATTGCCAATTTGAATAAGGCGTATAATCAAGTGATTTTATTTGTTGCATTGAAAACATTGTATGATATTGACATTGTTGAAGAAGATAATATTTTAAAGTGGTGGCACCAAGACAAAAAGGATAAAGAGGTTAGAGGATTATCAAGTAAATTTATAAATTGGTTAGAGGAAGCTGAAGAAGACGAGGAAAGTGGAGATGAGGATGGGGATGGGGATGAGAACGAGGACGACGAGGACAACGATGATGATGATGATGATGATGATAATGACGACGACGATGATGATGAAGATCACGCCAACGACAAAGAATAGCGAATAAGATGACAATAAACTGTAATTTTGCACATGCAAGGCTTTTTCCACTTCAAGTGCAACCTTTCTCGTATAGAAGAAAAAAGTAAATAGCCACCTCGTCGTTCCCATTACTTGTGATGATCCGAGAATTTCTTTCTTTCATCAGATGATCTAAAAAAAAGTTTTATTTTCTTTTTTTCTTTTCATTTTATGTTAAACGAGCAGGCGTTTTTATTCAAAGTATATAACCAACCCATTAATTCGGGCTTTTTAATTAGTTTTCCAAAACTTTCACTAGCACACGCGACGGGTTTAGTCGTTTAGATCAAGCGGAATATTGAAAAATGGAGTATGACACTATCGTTATTGGAGCGGGTGTAATTGGACCCTGTATTGCTACCGCCTTTGCTAGACAAGGACGAAAAGTTCTCATTGTAGAAAGAGATTGGTCTAAGCCAGACAGAATAGTTGGGGAGTTGATGCAACCAGCAGGAATCAAGGCATTGAGAGAATTGGGAATGGTGAAGGCTGTAAACAATATTGAAGCTATTGAATGTACTGGTTACTATATTCAATATTTCAACCATTCGCTTAGTATAGACTATCCACTTAAGGAGGTTGCTCAAGTGACAAACCCAATGAAACCAATACACAATGTTGCCAATGCAGAAAATGAAAAGTTAGAGCTGGACACGACTCTTGATATGAAGGCTTGGGATGAAGATGAGCGAGTTCGTGGTGTTGCGTTCCACCATGGGGATTTTTTGCAAAATTTAAGAGCCATATGTAAGAATGAACCAAATGTAACTGCGGTAGAAGCTACAGTGACCGAGATTTTGCGAGATCAGGACGATCCTGATACTGTGATTGGAGTTAGAGCCAAGAGCAAGCAAGACGGGGTTGTTAATTATAATGGGAAGTTAGTTATAAGTTGTGATGGTATCTATTCAAAGTTTAGAAAGGAGTTGAGCCCGGACAATGTACCTGTTATTGGATCGCACTTTGTGGGACTTTATTTGAAGAATGCCAAGTTACCTGCAAACAACAAAGGGCACGTTCTTTTGGGTAAACATGCACCGGTATTGATTTATCGGGTATCACCCACTGAGACTCGAGTACTTTGTGCTTTTAGATCCGCAAAAGCACCATCTGCAGCAAACGACGAAATATACAAGACGTTGAAAAATGAGGTTTTACCAGCAATACCAAAGGAAACAGTGCCCTCATTTGTAGAGGCTCTAGAAGAAAGGAAATTTAGAGTTATGCCTAACCAATATTTGTCAGCTATGAAACAGGGGAAACAAAATGGATTTATTCTTTTGGGGGACTCATTGAACATGAGACACCCATTAACAGGTGGAGGTATGACAGTAGGGCTCAACGATGCAGTTTTATTAGCAAAGTTGTTAAATCCACATAATGTTGAAGACTTTTCTGATCACCAATTGATCAACGAGAAGATGTCGATATTCCACCGTAAGCGTAAGAATTTGGATGCAGTGATCAATACATTGTCTATTGCCTTGTATTCGCTTTTTGCTGCTGATAAAAACGCATTGCAGATTTTACAAATGGGTTGTTTTGAGTATTTCAAGAGAGGCGGAGAATGTGTTTCGGGACCAATTGGATTACTTAGTGGTATGTTACCATTCCCCATGCTATTGTTTAATCATTTTTTCAGCGTTGCATTTTACTCCATTTATGTTAATTTCAAGAGGAGGGGACTAGTCGAGTTTCCAATTGCCTTGTGGGAAGCATTTGATGTCCTTTTTACTGCTGTTGCCATATTTACTCCATACTTGTGGGCTGAGGTTGTAAGATAAAAAGACTGGGGCGGGGCTCTATATATCAAAAGGCATGTTTTATATATTTTTTTATATTTTTGAATGAAAAAAGTGCCAAAATATATTGCGAAAACGAATAAGCTTATTGGTAAAGCTGTAAAAGTTGTACAAAGACAGCAGGGGGATGGGGGAGGGGGAAAGGGGTGAGGTAAGTGATGTGATGCGGTTAAAATTTTGTTGTTGGTTACAAGATAGAATTTACAGTTACGCTATCGAGCGAAGCGAGATAGTGTTGGTATTGGTGTTGCACCACTATCTCGCTTCGCTCGATAGTGATGGTGTTGGTGTTGCACTACGGGTTGATTGCACCACTATCTCGCTTCGCTCGATAGTGATGGTGGTGCTTTGAACTTCCTTGTTGACCCTTTATTTCATTATTTCAGTCTTTGTAAAATTGCATCGTGAAACTAAATCAGCATATGCCACTCTTTATCTATCCCATTGTGTTATAGACATGAATGTGCCATTATGACCGTTCAAGCTTTCGCACTTTCGCACTCACTCACTCACTCACTCACTTACTCACTCAAAAAATAAATATGGCATAATTTGCAATCTTACGATACATTCAGATGTAAGCGATAAAATTTTATTGAAATTTCAGAGCAACTAAGATTAATGATATAGATAGCTATCATTTCCCACATAAATTTCTTTTGATATCAACTCTTCTCGATCGTCTCTCATTCATTGTATAAAGAATAACTTTCCTTTTTTTCCCCCCTCCCCCCAAAGCCTCTAATACTTTTTCTTTTTTTTTTTTTTAGTTACCTCCCACCCAACTCATCAAACTTTCTTTATCTTTGATATACATATACATAATCATGAGTGATTTACCATTGTTAGGCGCTACTCGTGAGACATCACATAATGTCATATCAAATTTTGCAAAGTACACTAAACTAACCATCAAATCTTCTCCCGTCAATTATCTATTAGTGTTTGTTCCTTTGGGCTTATTTTCGGGATATTTGGAATGGAGTGCGACTGCTCGCTTTTGGCTCAATTTCCTTGCTATTATACCATTGGCGTCTATATTGGCATATGCAACGGAGGAAATAAGTGAACATGTTGGGCAAACAGTAGGAGGGTTGTTGAATGCGACATTTGGTAATGCTGTGGAGTTGATTGTTTCTATAATTGCTTTGAAGAGTAACCAAGTTCGCATCGTACAAGCTTCAATGTTGGGATCTATATTGAGTAATTTACTATTGGTTCTTGGTTGCTGTTTTGTTGCTGGTGGAATCACTAGAGTTCAACAAACATTTAATCAAACCGTAGCTCAGACTATGTCAAGTTTAATGGCATTGGCTACAAGTTCGTTGTTGATTCCTGCTGCTTTCCACGCTTCTTTACCACAACCAAAGAAGAATAATGGCACATTTCCAGAGCCAGGTAGCACCGATGATTTGATCTTGAACTTGTCGAGGGGTGTTTCGGTGATACTACTCATTATCTACTTGTTTTACTTGTTATTCTCATTAAAGACGCACAAGTCATTATTTGAAGAGTCAAACTCAGAAGGGTTGATTAATCAAAATGATTCATCAGACGATATAATTACTGGAAATAAAAATGAAACAAACGACCATTTATCAGTGACTGGAGGATTGACCGTTTTGTTGTTAACAACAATATTGGTTTCTTTATCAGCAGATACCTTGGTCAGCTCAATCGACGAAACTGTTGAAAAGTCAGGACTTTCAAAGACATTTATCGGTTTGATTATCATTCCAATAGTAGGCAACGCTGCTGAGCATGTCACTGCAATCATTGTTGCTATGAAAGATAAAATGGATTTGGCCATTGGTGTTGCTGTTGGATCTTCACTACAGATTGCATTGTTTGTCACTCCATTTATGGTGTTAATTGGCTGGGCAATTGACGTGCCAATGTCGCTTTATTTCTCGACTTTTGAAACTGCTATATTATTTGTTAGTATTTTCATAACTAATTTGGTGATTTTGGATGGAGAGAGTAATTGGTTAGAAGGTGCTATGTTGTTGAGCACTTATTTGATAATTGCGTTGGCCTTCTTTTATTATCCAGATCAAGCAGGCTTATGAGTGGAGCTCTCTAAGTAGAGAGAAGGAGAGAAAGATGAAGAGCTAGAACTAGAACAAGAGCAAGAGCAAGAGCTCGAAGGTGTGAACACTATACTTGCCCCAACAATTTAAGTTATATCTACAGATACGTGTTTACGAAAAGTTTCTTTTTTTTTTTTTCTTCCTTCCCTTGAATGGCTCTGTTAAGACCTCTTGATGAAAGCGTCGTCTTTGTAGAACTAGAATAGGAAGTTTAAGAAAAACTATTACGAGAACGAAATGAAAACGATTGAATGAGCAGGTAATTGTGTGTGTGTGTGGGGAGGAAGGGGAAGGAGGTGGGGATGTGACGCACTGAATGGGGGTAGTAAACTGCCTACTAGGGCAATTAGTAGGCAGTCAAGAGGCAATTAGTAGGCAATTAGTAGGCAGTCAAGAGGCAGTCAAGAGGCAATTAGTAGGCAATTAGTAGGCAGTCAAGAGGCAGTCAGGAGGCAGTAATGGGGGTTGAATAGTAATGGCAAGTAATAAATGACTTTTTTATTCAATAAATATCCGCTTTTGGTTTGAAAATCATTTACTGTATGTATGTATGTAATCAGTACAAGGCAACAACGCTGTCTTCAACAACACTGTCTTCAACAACACTGTCATCAACAATGCTGTCTTCAACAACGCTACGTCCAACAACACTACTGCCCAGCAACACTACCTCTAACTTTTGTAGGCAACTGAGATATTATCACAAGAGTTATAATTCAAACGTGGGTATCCTTTGTTAGTATACAATATGATACGAGATGAACATTACCATGCTTCAACAAGTCGTATTGTAGAACATAGTTTTTTTTTTTTCCCCTTTCTGACTAACTACGCTGAACTTGTTGCTAAGTTCTGTCAATCACTCGACGTAAATGATCAACCAACATTTTTTTCTCCGTGAGTCCTCCTCCATCTACATTGTGCCAGAGAAAATAAGAACATTACCAGATACGTAAAAGCACTACCAGGTATTAGGAAACGTATATTTACATTCCTCACATTGAAACAAGGTCACAGTAGACAAAAAAAAAAAGAAATATACTTGAAACTCTGTATAGTTGAGATCAGTTGAGTCAGGTTGAGATCAGTTGGGTCAAGTGAAGTCAATGGGTCCAATTTGAGTTTCACCAGAGTAGTTGTAATTTTCTATTGTTAAACAAGCAACTCTTTGTTTTATTATTAATTGTTGCTTGTTACTGAGAATGTATGGGACATTAAAACAGAGAAGAAAAAAAAAAAACCATTCTCAGCTACTCTCAATATAAAAATGCTATTTTCATACAATAGACAATCATACAGTAGTAACCTGATGACAAGAAGAAGAAGAAGAAGAAAAAGTAGCAGTATTGCAGGAGGAGAAGGAGGAGATGGTGGTTGTGTAGGATAAGGACACGAGTTCAAAAAAAAAGCGTGTTGATTCCCTTTTCTTTGTCTATCCGTTTTGCACCTAGGCAAAAAAAAATGGCGTTCTACTATTCTAAATCATGGAACGTCAATTTATTACCATTTCCCTAGCTTCCCCCTTTCGAAAAGCAACTCGACCGAGAACCCGACGTTTAGGTGTATACAAAACGAAAAATTTCAACAAGGAATGACGCCCAATTAATTGGGCGTCAATCTCCTTCCCATTTTCTTCTTTTTAGGAAAACGCGAAAAAAAAAACTATATTATTATAAATGTTTTTTTTGGCTTTTGTGTAATGTTCGTGATTTTTCGCAGTAATTAAATTTAATTTCCCAATTGGGAAATGAGACCTAACATATCGAACCTTATTTTATAAGAAGAAGAGTTGGAAAATCCTGTTTAAGTAGTGAAATAAAAAGAGCATGGAAAGATCCTTTTTTTGGAAGCTCCTCCTAGCTTATCTTTTGATATACTGGGACTTCCTGTTCACAACGCATTGGCATTGGTTACTTGGCTCATCATATAAATTGTACTACTTTTTACAAAGTTACAAGTGACTCTTTTTTTTTTTTTTTACCAATTTGCAATCTAATTCTCTCTTCTTATTATTTTGCAACTAGAGGCGTAAAATCCTCCTGTTTTCATTCACTACTGAGTATTTCATTCACTACTGAGTATTTCATAATGACAGATAGGGAAGCTTTAAGAATCTTTTCGAGACAGCCAGTATCGTTAGATATGATCAATTTCCTCGTGGCTACTACGAATTCAATAATACAAATTAAACCAGCTGCTAGGTCCTACATTCCATGCACTACAACATCAACTCAACAAATAATACTGATCAAGAAGCCAACAATTTCGCTAACGAATTTCATCAAGAACTTGATCAAGTATTCCAATGTTCAAACTCCAACCTTAATGGCAACCCTTGTATACCTTAATAAATTGAGAAATTATCTTCCAGCAAATGCCGTGGGTATGGAAACAACAAGGCATCGTATCTTTTTATCGGCGTTGATTGTTGCTGCAAAGACATTGAACGATAGTTCTCCCTTGAACAAACATTGGACAAAATACACTGATGGCTTACTTTCACTCGATGAAGTGAACCTCGCAGAACGCGAGTTGATGAGTATATTAAAATGGAATATTAATATCAAAGAGCACGAGTTGATTGTAATGCTACAACCTTTTCTTACTGAAATTAAATCTCATTTATTACGGCAACAAGAATGGGAATCGTTGCAGCGGATCGGTTATTACAGATTATCCCAAAAACAATCAGTTAATAGCAATCTGTCGTTATCGCTGCTGTTGTCTTCATCACCTTCAAATTATTCCCTACAGGGGTCTTCAAAGTCTACCTCAACAAGTTCCTTAAATTCGCATTTATCATTAAGCAATTCAACTTCATCTACTTCAGTATCGAGTTATAACGAAGATCGACCAAGCTTAACAACTTCCAAGAGAATGCCATTGTCTAACAAATCCATCAACAACTTGAACTTAGAGCATCATAACCAATATACAGCTCCTGCTATAAAAAAGAAGAGATCAATGATGAGTTTATTATCATCTTCACCCAGTCGTGTTGTATCTTAATCACCCTCAATAGTGTTTTTTTTTTTTCATTTTCAATTCATTTCAATTTATTTCATGGCTTTTGGTTTTTAGTTGTTTTTTTTTTTGGTTTTTTGGTTTTTGGTGTTTGGTTTTAAGCTTTTGGTTTCTGGTTGTTTTTGCAGGTTTGACTACATATGCAGAATTAATATACTATTATCTACTATACACTTTCTTCCTTTTTTTTCTTTCTTTCTATTTTCTCAATGATCATGTGGATCCTCTTTTGGCGGCTCGGGATAAACTTCAATTATTGTATCAATTCTTAAAATCGATACGCATGCTTCCAATGCTGACTTTAAAGATTTGATCTTGGACACTGTTGGTTCCAAGACACCGTGAGTGGCCTCATTTACAACTTTCCCATTGATCAAGTCTAATCCGTAATTCTTATACTTTTGCCTCTTTTCGTCACTCGTCTTTGCCATCTGAGCCATTGCATGATATGTTCTTAATTTAGACACCAATTCTGAAGCATCTTTGGCAGCATTTATTGCTAATGTTTTAGGAATGACTAATAATGCAGCACCAAATTCCCATATAGCCAATTGTTCTCTTGACCCAACAGTTGAAGCAAAGTTTTCCAAGTATATATTCAATGCTGTTTCAACTGCTCCTCCACCTGGTACAACATTTCCACTTTCTAATGTCCTCTTAACAACTGATAATGCATCGTGTATGGATCTTTGCATCTCGTCCAATGAATAATCATTGGCACCACGCAAAATGATTGAGCTTGATGTATGTTGCTTCGTACCTTTTATCAAAATGCATTCATCATCACTGATTCTGATTTGCTGGACTTCTTCTGCGTGACCTAGATTGCTTGCGTCAAAAGTTTCTTCACCTTCCAAATTACTCAAGGATGACACCAATGTACCTCCCGTGGCTCTAGCTATTCTTCTCAAATCCTCCTTCTTACAACGTCTAACTGCCATGCATCCATTTTCAACAAATTCTTTTAAACACAAATCATCGATACCTTTGGTTGTGAAAATCACATTAGCACCAGAACTCAAAATTTTTTGTATTCTTTCAATTATTATTCCATATTCTCTTTTTCTAATTTCTTCCAATTGATCGGGGTCCTCAATGTTGATATGAACACCCATAGCCATTTTTGCTTTTTGTAAATTGATATCCAAACAAGCAATCTTGGCATTTTTTATCAGCTTGACCATAGCTTGTGATGCTACAGTACAGTTCAAGGCATAGCCATCGACCAATACCGATTCCAAGGATGATTTACCATGAGCTTTTAAAATGTTAACAGCTTTAACGGGGTATTTCACTTCCCCCTTTCCATTAGTTGTCTTTACAGCCAACATTGCATCCACAACCATCTTGCTGAAGAAATCGGAATCTGCACCAATAATCTTTGAGGACATTGATGTTCTTGCAATGTTGACCAATGTTTCCTTACCCAAGGATTCTACATTTTGTGATAAAGACTGATTCATGTATCTTATAGCTTCTTTCAAAGCCAATCTGTAGCCGCTTATGATGGTAGTAGGGTGGATCTTACTTTTCACCAATTCATGGGCTCTTTTCAATAGTTCAGCGGCAATTATAACAACACTAGTAGTTCCATCGCCAACTTCACGATCTTGTTGTTGCGCCAATTCCACCAAAATCTGGGCAGCTGGGTGCTGCACTTCCAATAGCGACAATATAGTTGCACCATCATTGGTCACTGTAACGTCCCCAATATCGTCAACTAGCATTTTATCTAACCCGACAGGTCCAAGTGATGATTTGACTACATTAGCAACTGTTTGAGCAGCCAACATTGTTTGCTGGCGCACATCGTCGCCGCTGATCTTTTGTGCTCCTAAAAATAAGGTATCCAGACGTGCTGCTGTTAACATTGAAACAAAAGTGAGCAACTAAAACCCGTGTGTGTTGAAGTTATCAAAAGGAACTATTATTAAACTTGTTAAAACTTTCTCAAAACTTTTCAAAAAATTTCTCTTTATTTGAAAAGTCAATTTTTTTTGCCTCATCTTTTTTCCTTGTGGTTTGTAGAAGGGAGAAGAGGTGTAGAAGGGAGAAGAGGTGTAGAAGGGAGAAGAGGTATAGAAGGGAGAAGAGGTGTAGAAGGGAGAAGAGGTGTAGAAGGGAGAAGAGGTGTAGAAGGGAGAAGAGGTATAGAAGGGAGAAGAGGTGTAGAAGGGAGAAGAGGTGTAGAAGGGAGAAGAGGTGTAGAAGGGAGAAGAGGTATAGAAGGGAGAAGAGGTGTAGAAGGGAGAAGAGGTGTAGAAGGGAGAAGAGGTGTAGAAGGGAGAAGAGGTATAGAAGGGAGAAGAGGTGTAGAAGGGAGAAGAGGTGTAGAAGGGAGAAGAGGTGTAGAAGGGAGAAGAGGTATAGAAGGGAGAAGAGGTGTAGAAGGGAGAAGAGGTGTAGAAGGGAGAAGAGGTGTAGAAGGGAGAAGAGGTGTAGAAGGGAGAAGAGGTATAGAAGGGAGAAGAGGTGTAGAAGGGAGAAGAGGTGTAGAAGGGAGAAGAGGTGTAGAAGGGAGAAGAGGTATAGAAGGGAGAAGAGGTGTAGAAGGGAGAAGAGGTGTAGAAGGGAGAAGAGGTGTAGAAGGGAGAAGAGGTATAGAAGGGAGAAGAGGTGTAGAAGGGAGAAGAGGTGTAGAAGGGAGAAGAGGTGTAGAAGGGAGAAGAGGTATAGAAGGGAGAAGAGGTGTAGAAGGGAGAAGAGGTGTAGAAGGGAGAAGAGGTGTAGAAGGGAGAGAAGAATTTACGGGTTGTAACAAGCTACAAAGTGTCGCTCCACTATCTCGCCCTGCTCGATAGTGTCTGCATACTCTCTAGAATGGTAATAGAGTTAATTGTTGAAATTTGTTTCTAATCTTGATACGGATTTGGACACTTTGAAATATTGATGGGCGATAATTACCTAATTAGTTGTAAGGAATTTGGGAGAAGGCGATTTCCGCAACAGTGTTTTGGTGCTTTAGACTAGACGAGTAAAACGAGTCTAGTCGATAAAGTGTAGATAAAGACTAATCGAAAGAGAGGGACTAGTCCATAGAGAGAAAGAGAGAGTACTATAAAGCTGGGATCGATTAGACGAGCGAAGCGAGTCTAGTCGATGGAAAGAAGAGAGAGAAGATAGAAAAAGAGATAAGATAGAAAAAGAGATAAGATAGAAAGAGTAGATAGAAAGAGGAGATAGAAAGAGTAGATAGAGAGAGTAGATAGAGAGAGTAGATAGAAACTAGTCGATGGAGTGTAGATAGAGTGATATAAAGAGAGATTAGTATTTAGAGAGAGTATTCAGAGAGAGTAGATAGAGACTATGCTATAGAGTGTAGATATAAACCATAGAGAGAAGAGAGTAGATAGAAACTAGTCTATAGAGAGTCGAGAATGAGAGTCGAGAGTAGAGTAGAGTAGAGAGAAGAGTAGGGAGTAGGAAGTATACTCGCTCGCTCCTCTAGTTTAGAGAGTAGACTCGTTTGCTCTAATAAGTAATAAAATGATGGCATCTACACAGAAAATATCATTAATAAATAAAGCCACTACACTAAATACAGTTCAGGATAAATTACGATAAGATTAGAGGTAATGAAGCTCTGCAAAACAAACAAACTGAAAAACCAAACATACTGAAAAACTGTTGATCGAGTAGTAGCAGATTAAAAGCAGATTAGAAGTAGATTAGGAGATTAGAAGTAGATTAGAAGATTAGAAGTAGATTAACAGCATTTTAGAAGCAAATTAGTGCAAATTAGAGCACTGGTTTACTCGCTAGAAAAATTGCCTCTTTGAGAAAAAACATCTTTTGCACCCAATGCACCAATATAACTCTTCTTTCTATTAACATCGCGGAAGACCTAAAGAAAACCTCCATCTGCAAGCTCCACCTGCTTCCTGCACTGCAGATAGACAACCTAGATTAAAAACAGATAAACAAAACAATAAGCTTCTTCAAAAAAAAACAAAACAACTCCATTAAATTTCATTAAAGTATTGAAATACCTCATATACAACTTTCTTTCCGTTCTTCTTATTCTTTGATTCCTCTCATTCCTCCATTTCTCCGTCCCTTATATTTTTCACATTCCTCCCATCAACAATCTCCAATGCCTCGTTCCAATGCCTCCGTCCAATGCCTCCCTGAGACCCTCTAAAACTCTCATATTTTAGCACCAAATTGTTGGTCGTGAAATTGGAACAAAAAAAGAATCCGCACACATAGAAACCAAAAGGTAAACAATTTTTACACCATTTATATAACTTCTTTTGTCGACACACCAGCTCTTGATAGCAAGTTGATCATCTTAGTGACCAACCATTCTTAGAGACCCTCGTCTTTTAGTGAACAGTTTCTGATATGACTAGATTGTTAGTATTACCATTTAAGCAATTGAGGTTAGCGAACTTTGTTTCAAGACCTTTAATTGCTAGAAGCAGCTATTTCATCCAACCCTCCTTGTTTGGTGTTAGATCCTTAGTCAGCGAAGCCGCAGCATCCAAGACAAAGACAAAGACAAATACACAGCAAAAGACAAAGAAACTGACTTCTTCTTCTAAGAAGTCGAGCGAAAAGGCAAATTTGAAGAAGAAACTCAAGGCGGCAAAAACCAAAGAACTGAAGCTTGCTAAACAACTCAAGGCCAAGCAAGCTAAAGTCAAGGCAATTTCTGCAAAGAGAGAAAAAGCCTTATTGGAGAAAGCTCTCAGAAATCCTCCAGGATGCCAACCTTTCTCCCTTTTTGCAAAGCAAACCAAAATGAGAGTCGATAAAGCTTACAAGGAGTACACGGCTTTGCCCGAAGATGTAAAGGCTAAATACGTCAAGGCCGCTAACGATTATAACGCTAAAATAGCTTCAATGTTGACACCAAAACCAGACCTCAAGCCAAGCGCCATCTACAACAATTTCGTTCAGCAGACTATTGACAAAAATCAACCTGCAAATGACAGATTTAAGGCAGTTGCATTGAAATGGAAATCGTTGACTGATGAAGAAAAAGAAAAGTATTCAATTCCCCAAGAACAAAAAGATGCAATAAAGGAGAGCAAGAAGAAATGGCAAGAAGCTAGAATTAAAGATTATTTAGCGATTCAGGAATTCAAAAAGAATTTCAAAGTAAATATCAATTAGAAGGAAAAATGATTAAGGCAGTGCGTGAGAGAGAGAGAGAGCTAACTGAGAGAGAGCGAGTGAGGTTGAAAGTTATGTTTTGTCAAGTACCTTCTCTATCTATTGAATAATGTACCACTAAAAGAAAAAATTCTATACTACAGAAATCTTATGATTTTCCTCTTTTTGTTTTGTTTTTTTTTTCGTTTATCAGCTTCCCCAAATTCGTCAAAATGCGTTTTAATTCATTGGGCAAGATTGGCTTGGAAATGAAATCACACATACCACATTCAATGCATTTGGTTCTGTCGTCACCAGCCACATTTGCAGTTAATGCCACAATTTTTGGTATATAATCTTCCTGGCCCATTTTCTTATACTTGGCAATTAATTCTTTTGTAGCTGTGATACCATCTTTTGCAGGCATTTGTATATCCATTAAAATGACATCGTACTTTTCATTCTTCTCTAATAATGCATCGCACTTCTCCAAGACTTGTACACCATCCTTAGCATGGTCAGCTTTGAATCCCAACTTCTCAAGATATTTCAATGCAACTTTGTAATTTAATAAGTTGTCCTCGGCGAGCAATATTCGCAATGGATACTCATCGGCCAATTTGGCTGTTATCGCAACACTAGGCTGCTCTTCTTTTTTGACTTCACCCTCGCATTTAAGTAGTCTAATTACTCGCTCTCTTTGGAACGGACATAATAACGCTTCGTATTTTGCTGATTCACCAGTCAATGGCTTCCCAAACTGAGCTAAAATAACAATCTTGACATCTTTCTTTAATCGATTCTTGGACTTGACAAAATCATCAAATTCATCCATACTTATAAACAAATAATCCTGTTCTTGTATATCCTTTGCTTCCTTTACGCTTAATGAGTTCACAGTGTCCAATTTGAATATGCTCAACATATTCTTTAAGCTCTCACTTGTTAATTCAAATTTGCTAATGATTAATGCTTTTTTGCCAGGCAACTCAATCTCGGGCTTGTCAAATAGCTTCACATTAAAACTAACATTGAAATAAAAAGTAGTTCCCACGCCTTCTTGACTCTCAAATCTTATATCGCCTCCCATGATATCAGCTAGTTTCTTAGAAATGGCTAAACCTAATCCAGATCCTCCATATTCCCTTCTTGAAGAACCGTCAACTTGCGAAAATGCACCGAAAACTTTATTGTGTGACATCTTGGGAATACCAATCCCCGTATCTTCTACAGAAATCACAATCTCGTACCGATCACTGGTAAGCTCAATTGCATTGCAACTAACAATAACGTGTCCTTGTGTTGTAAATTTAATGGCATTGCCCACTAAGTTGATAATGATTTGTCGAACTCTCGTTATATCACCCATCACAGTATTGATCTGGGGACAATTATTGAAAAATACCAACTCCAATTCGTTATCAACTACTTGTTCACCACCTAGCTGCACGGCACTTTCTATACAATCGTTCAACGAAAAAGCAGCAATGTCCAATGTAAATAAACCATGCTCTATTTTCGAAAAGGCTAAAATGCCATCAATAATGTTCAAAGTGACCATGGCAGAGCTTTTAATAGCCTCAACATATTCTCTTTGCGTTGAGTTCAAAGGTGTATCCAATAAAAATATCGAACACGATAATAACGAATTGAACGGGGTCCTGATTTCATGCGACATGTTTGCCAAAAAACTGGCCTTCTCAGCCGTGGCATCCTCTGCTGCCATTTTTGTCAACTCCATCTGGCGAATGAGTTTTGCCTTACCCATTGCAACTGAAGCTTGTGAACAAAACAAGCTCAACAAATCTCTTTTCCTTCCATCGAAAATGGCTTGTCTTTTGCTTTTTCGAGTATCTACTTCAAGATATAATGCACCAAATATACCAAACTGGCCTTTCAAAGGCACACAAAGCACACTGCTGCTTTGATCGTAATTATAGTACGAATCCTTGCCAAATCTATTGGAAAACACTACATGGTCATCTTCTTTATTAACTGTATTCCCACTCTCCAACACGTATTGTACCAACTGGAACGGACAAATATCAATTCTTGAGCTGAGAGGTTCTTCCTTTAAGGGGTATATATGTTGAGCAGATCCAACAGCAACGATTTTTGGCTCATCCTCATCGTTGTAAACAACAACTCCATAACCCACGTCGGCAAACTTAATGGCGCATGTTAACAACTCCATCAAGATAGATTTCTCATCAAGAGCTTGAGATATTCCGAGACATGCTTGGATGGTTGCATATAAATCATATGGGGTATTCGCGTTAGTGATGGTATCAGTTTTATGTTCTGCTTTTTGGTCTTTCCGTCGTATCTTCATTTGCATTGACATCTCTTTGTCAACATTATTAGCAACACTTGACGGGAGGTCTGATTCTAAAAGCTCCAGTGGTTGTAGATTCTCCTCTATCATTGTTTCATTGAATCCAGTCAAATTATATATAACACTATCACTTTTAAAAACTTTGCCAAATTCTTCTTCCAAACTTCTAACAAGCTCATGAAAATCAATCTTTTTCAAAATATCAACTCCAATTTTAAAAAACTTGCCAATTCTCCTTTTATTCTGGCTTGTTTTCACCAACCACCTTGCACAAAAAATACTGAACCAACACACCTCGAATGAATTTTTAACAAGTATTGCCTCTTCAATAGCTTCTTCAAAGCAATCAAGTACAAATAACAGTTCAGCTTCCTTGTGCTTCATATTCTTAAGTGCAGTGACAAATAAAAACTTACTGTGGAATACCTTTTCATTCGTCTCAGACCACAATTTAAATTTTCGATGTATTTCATCAAAAATAGCAGTCTTTTTCTTTTCAACTTCCAAAGTGGAAGTAGAAGAAAATGTAATCAGAAGAGCTGCAACTAGGTAGTATTGACACGTGAAAAAAAACACAGGATACTGGTCCTGAATCTTGTGCATCTTATTAAGCACCAAGTCGCAACATTCGTCATATTTCCCTGAGATTATCAATCCCGTCATTAAAACAACATTGTAAGATATTTGACCAAGTTCAGGTATGTTTTCAAATCTAGGGCCATATTTGTTGCGGAAACTCTCATATCCAGTTGACCCCAATATCACATCTTCGCAGTCATACAAGTAAGTTTGTTCCTTCAGAAGGCCAATCTTGGGTCTTTGTGTCCTTCGATACTTGAGCAGGTACGACTTCTCGTAAAATCTACCAGAATAAAGCAACACATAAATCTTTGCTGTCCCAAGTAATATGTTCAATTCTAAAAATGTTGAAAGAGTGTCATTTTGATCTGACTCTTCACTAATCTCGAAATACTTTAGTACCGTAGGGACTGGCTCAAAATAGTATGCCAAGGTACACACGTAAACTTCATATATTGCTTGTGTGAAAGACAAGGATGCATTTTTTGCACGATTAACAAGTGTCAAGGCAACTTTACACAACTCCTTAGCTTTCAATTGACCCGAGGAGGTAAATTCTCGAACAAAATCAGATGCAAAGTCAAGCAATATCATTGCTGCAAAGGGAGTAGAACCGTACTTGAATATCAAATTCATACCTTGAGCAACTAGCAATTTTCTCCCAGCGTCTTTTCTCATCATTACTAGCGATGAAAGAAGTTGGCAAATTAAGTGGAATATTAATGTAGTTCTTGCATTTGTGACTGGTTTCAACTTCAAAATACCTCTTATTTCTGGAACCGAGATTGGAATCTTTGATCGAAGTTTTTCATAAGTAATTTGATTCAATTCTTCATCCTCACTAATGGTAATTCCCAATCTCGGAAAGTTTTCAAGACATATATTAATTGCCTCATTAATTTGTCCCATCTGAATTTTACAACGAACTATTTGATACAAAAAAACCAACAGGTCGAACCCATATTTATTCTGAGCAGTTTCAATAACTTCCAAACATTTTTCATAGTCCTTGAAATAATAATGGTTGTCTGCTATTGTTAAAGTTGACTTCAATTGTCGTTTTGAATCAAGAACATCTACCAATTCTCCAACAGTTTCAAAAAACATTTGTGCCAACTTCATATTGTATGTTGAGGACGCATATCTCCCAGCCTGAATCAAGACCTCAATGTACAATTCTTTTTCATTAGGTAAAGCAATTTCATACGACTGATAAAAGTATTTGGCCATTTGCAAATAACCTCCTATATTCAACGTCTTTTCTTTGGTGATTGTTTTATAATACCGTAAGGCGCATAGTCGGGAAAGCTTCTTGATCTTATCGCTAGTGGACAAATCTTCTATTATTTGTGCACAGATAGAATCATGGAAAAATCTATAGCTGCAATGGGATGTTAACTCCCAAACATTGTTATCAGTCAAATCAAAAGGCGATTCGTCTCTGCAAAGTAAATGAAATGGTACCTTGTAGTAGGTACTAGTAGGCACAATTATTTCTGCATTTATCAACAACTGCAAAAAATGGAAAACCTCGTCAATGGGTAAAGCTGCTGCAACAATCAAGTCTGAAAGATGAAACCCCGATCCATTTGATATGATCGCGGCAAATTCAAGTAGCACCCTTGTTTCAGACAGAGTTGCCAAGTTCAAATAATTTGCAACAATCTCTTTTTTATCGCAACCATAACTTTTGGGTGTAAAGTTATCAATGATGAGTCGGCCATGATGGGGGTAACTCAGATAATAACAATGTTGTGTAAATCTTGCCATTCTAGTAGCGTATAATGCAAGCAAGAGATTTCCTTCAGACACTTCGTAAAAGTCTTGCACATCTTTTACTTGGCGCTCAGTAGCAAAACTGTTTCCGATTCCATTTTTTGAATCACTACGTTTTTGATCAAACATTGAAGACATACTTGTTTGTTGTGAAGCGGCAATGCTTTTCGGATTTACATTGGCGATTCTTGCTCCAAATAAGTTTAAGACCCAGTGCACATACGCTTGCTTCGGTATCTTTGGTACATCAAACACATGAAGATTAATAGTTGATTTATTCACATACTTTTTAAACCTGTCTTCCCTCTCTTGAATATTTGTATTATCCATAAACTGCTTGGCATTTGTAGAGTATGTAACAACTATTTTCACAGAAAGTGCATTTTCATCAGTCTCGTTCTCATTAAATGTCAACAAGTCACATAAAAAAGCCCAAGAGTCTTCTGAACACCAGTGTACATCATCAATAAACAACGTCAAACCTTGATATCCCATCATTTTGTAAAATGCTTTAATAATACCTCTAAACTTCACTTCTAAGCTTGCTGTTCTTTCTTCTCTTCCTGGAGTACCTGGAGTATTTGCATTCAGTTTATGCAGGTAAATGGAAACGTATTTTGGGCCCAACAATTTGCGTAGATCGGGAATCAAATAAAACAAAATGCTCAAATCCAAGGGAATATGCTTGACAATCAAATTTCTCCAATTACTTTGAATTTCCTCCGAGCATTCTAAAATTTGCCCAATGATGGTTTTGATACCATCCAAAAGATAGGTGTATATCGAGCTGCTACTATCGAAGCAAGAAAATTTCCAAAAACAATAGAAATCATACTTGAAGAAAGCCTCTGCCCTCAAGTCGTTCAATATAATGGTTTTCCCAGTACCGCTTTCACCACTTATAAAAAGCATATTTACACGTTCAGCATGCAATTTGTTATAAGTGTCAAAAACATTTTTGTAAAAATCATCACGGCCTATGAAGTTGGTGGCAAAGTTAAACAGCGGAAAATGTCCCACCTTTTCTGGGAATTTAACCTTTTGTTTATTCAAATACAGATCAAAACCATCTGTCTTCTTCCAATAGTTCCAGACCAATTCACCAAGAGCACTAACTTTCCCAATGTAGCTATTCTTGATGGTAACCAAGTCAGCAAGTAAGGAGTAACAGTCAGTGTACCTATCAGCGGGATTCTTTTCCAAACACTTCATTATTGTTGAGCTTAGTTTTTCGGATATCCAGCCAGGAGCTAGTAAGAAAGGAGCAACCGGTTTTTGGAAAATGTGCATTCGAATAATCGAATTCGGGTCTTCGCTTTGGAATGGCAAGACACCCGTAACCAACTCATACATTATTATACCGAGCGAATAAAAATCTGAGCGATAATCAACAGTGATATTGGACACTCCTGATACTTCAGGTGACATATAAGAAATCAGGTCAGAAATATATTTTAAATGGTTCTTGCGGTATCCATAAAAGCAATTTTCCGAATGAGAAAAAGAGTATTCCCAGCCTGTGATTTTGATATCATTATGATCCGTTTCCGATTTCAAAAGATTCTGACTCGTTAACCCATTGTGGACAAATCCAAGTTCATGCACTGTTGCCAAAGTTTCCACAACAGTAATCATATCAGATACAATTTCAATAACTTTTAATGGGGTTTTTGGACTACTCGTCACTTGATGAGCTAGTTTACTGAATAAAGAGTTCATTGAACTGGCTGCATTCATAATACTTATCCCATTGAATAACCCAGTTAAGTTATCAGTACTGCTTTCGGTTGGTGTGAAATTAGCAGTAGAGTTAGAGTTACCACTTGCATTAGATCGCCTTCCGCCCTCATTTACAGATGAGGTGAACGAGCTTGAGCCGTCGCCGCTGCCGCTGCCACTGCCGCCGCCGCCGCCGCCGTTGCCATTTTTCGAATCGTGATTTTCGGTTCCGGGAACAGTATTGGTAAAGGCGAAATCCTTAAACGATTTGTAGTTGTTATCTGGGTATACCAAAGCAACTCTTTTTTGTGAATTTGATGGGGTTTTTCTTTTTGGAAACTCTTCAACTTGCTCGTCGATGATAGTAAAAGTCAAGACTTCCACTGGGTACAAGACACCAGGCATATTTGGAGGTAACGTTGAAGGAGAATAAATTTTATCTTTATCTAATTTTGGCCTTTCTGTATTGGTAATGTACTGATTTGTTAGTGTTTCATTTGTCCAAAGTAAATGAGACTTTGGAGGATTCAATCCTGACACCATGTACCATTCATTGAGTAATCTTGAAAGTGACAAGCTTCTCAAGATATTGGTTGAAATGCTCAACAAGACTTTTGACCCCACTTCAAGCGGTGAGTTACACACCGATTTGCATGTATAGTCTTGTCTCTCCTGGTTTTCTAGTTGTGCAACTTTCAATCCATAATACAATATATTTGTTCGATGATTAGAAGAACTGAATAATTTAGTTAATGAGTAACCGGGAATAGATTCTGGTAAAATACTTGAAAAATCGGCATATGAACTATTCAAGCTTTTAGCTTTACGGATGTTCAAAGTTTGATTTAGAAAATCCAAATGGTCTCTTATATAGTCAATGTTGTTTAGATAAGAAGATTCGCCCAATGCCACGTTTTCTCTAGTTTCCGAAGAAAGTGACGAGGCGATTTCCTCGTCGAAGCTTCCATTGCCCTGCGACGAATACACAGAGGCCAGATCTTGATCCTCGATCAAATTTGCAATGCTTTGATGTGGGTTGGAATCTTGTACCGAAATTGTATCGTCAAAAGCATCGGGACTTAATGTCTTTTCTGTATTGTAGTCATCTAAAGTTATACTGACAAGACTACTTATTGAAAGATCCTTGTGTAATTTGGCCAGTTCGGGGCTCGCTACCGGAGCTTGTAATTGCTGCTGCTGTTGCTGCTGCTGCTGTGAATAGCCGCTATCCAAATTTGTTGTTTTAGTCTTTGAGAACTTACTCGGTATGCGCTTTAGCAGTGTTTGCGATGATGCAATTGAAATATTGCTTGAGAATTGAAAATCTAAACCATCTTCAAAAGTAGATCTTCGCAGTAAACTGGGCCTTGAACGACGCCTTTGTCGACCATGTTCATGGGTGCTACCGTATCCGTTTATGTTCTTGTCAGCAACTTCTTTGTTTGACGAAACCGGAATGGAATCATCAAACGAACTCCTTGGTGAGATTGGGAAAGATTCCATAACTGGAAAGGACAAAGCTTTTTTCCAACTCTCGCTTAACCTGCTCTCAGTTAATCGCTCTCAATCAATCGCTCTCACTTTAACCTAATCTCGCTCTGCCTTTTCGAGATATTCCTTTCAAGGTCTTCCCTTTCGAGATATGCTTTCCTCGCAATCTTCCCTTTCGAGATATGCCCTGCTCCAAAAAACAGGGACGGTACAAGATGATGGCTAGTGCCTGCGTTTTTTACTCGCCACCTGTTTTCATTCATTTTATGAGATAATTCCACCTATATAAACCTTTTTGATAGAGGAAAAGATATACTGTTTAAGAGAAGGCGCCTTATGCAGTCCCACTTGTCCTGCTTTGGACGCCTATGTAAGATACTTTACGATCTAGGAACTTTCTTTAACTTAAGCCGCAAAATGTATAATTTAGCTATCAACTTTTTTTCTATGGATGAAATTTACAAATACTTGCTAAACAAAGGTGCATATTCCGTTTCATAACATATAGAGATACACGTACATACTAAGACACACACGCAAACGCACAAGGGCATCTCTTTTACGGAACAACCTAAAATTGTCTTTGTAGTTCCGTTATGAATCAGAAAAAGCAAACTATTCCATCGACTTTTCGAATCTTGATAGCAATTATAACTTTTGATTATGTACAAGAGCCTTCTTTATGTATTTTTTCTTTTTTCTTCTGTGCCAATTACAATACTGTGCACGATAAAATGTAATAGATAGTGCGTCACTAAAAACAAAAGGCATAAAGAAGGAGGAGGCGAGGGGGGCGGGTTAACAATTCATGGAGAAGACATGAAAATAAAGAGGTATCAACTATTCAACAAAGAGGTATCAACTATTCAACACACCGGTTGTAAATTTGTGCAAAGTTGTCGACAAATTTAGTAAAAGTATCAAATCGTACATACTTACACTATTGAGCAAAGCGAGATAGTAGACCAGAATTAGTATTAGGTCATATAATAGGTGAATGAGACAAGTAACTGCCACAGACACTATCTCCACTATCTCGTTCTGCTCAACAGTGGAGCTTACAATCTCAATTTTTTTCTTTCTTTTTTTCTTTTGCTTCAATTTCTTTTAGGCTGGGTGCAAAATGTGATTTATTAACCGCCAAAATCCGAAACTACATTCTAGAGCAAAAAGTGTATGTAGGACAAAAGACTTTAATGATGTGGCATGAGATTTATAAGACGTGACACTTGATCTCCACTGTAAAGCAGAGCGAGACAGTGGAAATAGTGTCTGTGGTAGTTACTAGTATCAAACTATGATTTTAAGGGCTAGAATATTTATAATATTTCTCTTGTCAAGGGAAAAAGTGTCTTACCTTTTTATACATCGACACTATCGAACAGAGTGAGATAGTGGAGCAGACTAGCAACACTCAGTAGCGACACTATCGTCACTATCGAGCGACGCTATCGAGCGATACTATCGAGCAGAGCGAGATAGTGGAGCAGACTGGCAACACTCAGTAGCGACACTATCGTCACTGTCGAGCGACGCTATCGAGTAGAGTGAGATAGTGAAACACAATAGCAACACTTGGTAGCGACACTATCGAGCGACACTCTGCTCGATAGTGGAGCAGCACTGATTATTGACACTAGTAACACTAGTAACACTATCGTAAGAGTCATTTTGGAACATCTCTACTTTCTACATACTGCTCCACTAGCTCGCTTCGCTCCCTAGTGTCGATCTCGCTTCGCTCCCTAGTGTCGATCTCGCTTCGCTCCCTAGTGTCGATAGGGTCAACTCTCAAATACAAAACTACAATAGATTAGATAAATTATTGTTGATTAACTAAACAATAGGTAAAGTGGGTACGCTTGCCAAATTAGCAAATAGACAAATAGACAAATAGTCAACTTGTCAACTTCTCAGCTTTTAGTTCTTTCCTTGATAATCGTCTCTTGGAAAATTATCACAACTTAAAAATTGAATCAAAATGAAATGAATAAAAAATAATAATAATAAAAAAAAAACCACCTATATTCCATCAGTAACAACAACAACAACAACAATGACAACGACGTAGAAAATAATAACAAACCCGTGTGTTCATCTCTATAGCATAACCTCTTCTTTTATTCAAGCAAAGATGTTATAAGGAACCTTTTTGACATTGTACTTGTTTCCTTTTCTAGTATGTTTAGTAGGAGGCGGAACAAATTTAATATTAGCATCATTATCGTGCCTCTTTTTAAATAATGCAGTAAATCCAGTAGATACAGTATCACCGGAATGAACTGAGGACAAATCGTAGGTTGAACCACCATACTTATAACGGCCATTTGTTCCTTGTGGTGCACCGTTACTTGAAAACAAAGAGCTTACTGATTTCTGGGTAGTTGCAACTGTTGATGTTTGCGATGACAAATTAGTTGCACAGTAAGATATCGATGGTTTTGATTGTGATGTGAATAATGATGAGGTGTATTGTTTTGTTGTAATTGATGATGGTGGTGGTTGAAGTTTCTGATTAATGGGGTATACACCTGCAGTTGAAGATGGCGCAGTTCCAGCGGATACTGTTGGAGATGGCATATTCAAATAGCTTTTTGGACTGGTAATCTCTTCATAAGGGATGGCTGCTTTGGAGATTGATCCAATCGATGGTCGTCTTGATGGAGCTGCAGACGCAGAGGGTGTTGGTGTTGTAGAAGAGGGCCGCGATGAGGAAAACATTGATGATATTCTCAGCATGAATCCTCTTTTAGCAGATGTAGCAGACGAAACCTTTGCTGAATTCAATTTAGAAATGTTTGTTGTTGATGTCGTTTTTGATAATCTTCCTGTTGGTGGTGTAATTGGATCTTGTAAATCGTATGCTTGATCACTAGCATCAACAAAACATTGGGAACTCTTATTATTAAAAGAGTTAAATGATGTAGTAGATCGAGCCTTGACTGAATACATTTGATGTTTAGGTGGTGCCTTCAATGAACTCATTGATGCTTTCGAACAAACTTTTGGAGAGTTTGGCACTGATATAAAACTTCTAGGGCTATTATACCCTTTTTGTTGTTGTTCCATTTCTTTCTTCAAAACAAACGAAGACCTAATGAAACCCAATGAGGCTGTAGTTGATGAACTGATCGATGTAGCTGAAGCAGAACAACTCTTGGAAAGAGAGTACATCGAGTGTTCTCTACGATGACTGTTCATACCCACGCTTATTGTTGAGGGGTTAATAAAACGGAAATCGCTTGATTCAACAGATGTGCCTCTCTTGTGTTGCCTTTGCTGCTGCTGCTGCTGCTGCTGGAGACCTTTATACATTGGGCCTGCTGCACCAACACTTGATGTTGTTGACGAGCCAAAATCCGAATTGTGCAAAGACAATGAAGAAGCACGGGAATTTGAAAAGTCTCCAGCGCTTGAACCTGATTTCTTTGCAGTCAATTTGTTATCATCATCGGATTCATATTTCGAAGATTGATCATCATCTTCAACAATTGGCGCTAAACCCTTCAAGCCAAATGATTGATAGTCAAATGTACTTTCAGTTAAACCATTTCTAGATAACGCTGGTTTTTCAGAGGCATCAGAAACAGTAGATGTAACTGGTACACGATTTTGCTGCTGCTGCTGCTGCTGCTCTTGGAAGAAAATCTCTTCTTCTTGTTCATCAACTTCAGAGGATTCAGGAGACGGAATTTCACCAATCTTGTGTCTCCTTCTTTGCCTCGATTTTTCAGACTTGGCATCCTCATCATCAACAAACATAGATTGTTGTTGTTGCTGCTGTTGCTGCTGTTGCTGTTGTTTGCTGTTATGCAACTTAGCGAGCAAGGATGTAGTTTGATAAGAATCTCTTTTAGGTGATTTGGAATCGGAATATTCATCTCTATCATCACCTGTATCAAAACTAGGTTTTGAGATGTGAGTAGGAGTAGTATTATTAGCTTCCAAAGTTAATCTCTTTTTTCTTGGATCGAAATTTGAAGATCTCTTTGATACATAGTAGTCATTATCATCATAATTGTTATCATAAACATCATCATAGACATCATCAACGTCAATTGGCTTAGATAACAAGTCTCTCAAACTACTAGACATTTTTGTATGAGTCTTTTGAAAAGAGTCGCTTTTTGGAATTTCAACTTGGATTGGTGACAGCGCAACATCTTGAGATCTTCTAAAGCCCTTATACTTGTCATTTGATTTCAAATCAATTTCTATTGAATTATACTTGCTTATAGGTTTAGTTGATAATAAGCTTGGTGTAATATTGAAATCCATCTTTGGAGTCAATGGAGTCAATGGAGTCAATGGAGTTTGTGGGGTTTGTGCAAGAGGCATTGAATCCACAATAGGAGTTGATTCTTGTGAACTTGGAGCAGTAACAGGTGACTTTTGAGACAAACTTCTCTGGATATTCAATGGAGGAATATCAGCTTCATCAAATGAATTAGTTTCACTTTGAATTTCTTGCTCAAACTGCAAAATAGAATCAGCGAAAAACCCAAAAACCTTCATCCACACTAATTCCAAGACGCTTGTCCAACGAGTATTCAAAATCTGTTTAAAAGTAGTAACCAAAGCATTACCCATTGGATCCAAGTACTTTACAGCCATCAGGGCAAATCTTTGATTCTCATTAACAAACAGAAACAAAAACTCATCCAAGAGCGGCAAATCATCGATATGATTAACAACAAATTCAAAGCAATCGGCAAAGATGCTTGAATGCTGTTGTACTATAAAATTGTCATTATTAAAAATCAGACATAGTGAGCGATTTTGATCCAACAAGTTGGGGTACAACTTGGCAAAAAATTGTGCCTTGTTAACTTTCAACCATGATGTCTTGATGTTATGTAGCTCAATAGCTTTCAAGTCCAATTCAAGCATGATTTAAAGCAAAGCTAAAAGTCCTTGACAAAATTGAAGGAAGCAAAGATAAAAGTCCTTGACAAAATTGAAGGAAGCAAAGATGGACTTTTTTCAAGAAAGCTAAGCTGAATCTCTTTCACCTCTTTCACCTCTTTCACGAAAGCTAAGCTGAATCTCTTTCACCTCTTTCACCTCTTTCACGAAAGCTAAGCTGAATCTCTTTCACCTCTTTCACCTTTTTCACAAAAATTGACAAACAGCAAAGAACCAACTTGTTTAGCGCTAGGAAACTTTTTTAATATAGCACAAGAATATTGGTAAACTGCAACACTTTGTAAGCTTTGGCTCAATAGTGTTTCCTTCAAAAAGAAAGAAGAAGAAAAATAAAAATCAAGAAAAACCAGTCTACTATTATTGATGTTGAAGCATTCTTTCTTGGGATATATATATTTGTTATTAATATAGTAAAGTAAGGAAACTTGACCGCACAAGCACACCCTCCTTACCAAAGCATAACCTACTTACATCTCTTCAAATTGCTTAATTTCTCAATAACCTTGATCTTGTTTAATAGATTTTTCTATTCTCGGTAATTAGATTTAACTTTAGAAGGAAAAAATTATTAATCGAGCAGAAAAAAGAAATTCTGTACCTTGAATTTATTTCCTAATTAAGAAGTTGGTCATTAATTGTTAGATACTTTATTAGGCAACTTTTCAAATGGGAGATAACATTGATTTTAAGATGGTAAAGGTATAGGAGATAAATTTTTTCAAGATGATTGGCACATAAGGTATAGGGAAACAAATAATAACTTATAGTCAGATGTATATGTATAATAAAAAGGATTTTTAAGATTTGGAGATACCCAGATATTACCGGCTCATCTCGAGAGATCTCATCAAGGTGGTTTTAAAGAGTATACAAAAAACTTTATTTAATGATTGTTGGTTATTGTTTTGTTTGTTACTTGGTGTTTCCTATTAGTTTGGTTGGCCTACTCTTTCCCTATCCTTGTGTTTGACATGGTAGCTAAATTTTCTTTTTTCGCTTCTTTTGATCAAGTTGCAAAAAATTTCCCGATTCAGCAAGGTTACGATATGAGGAAATGTCTTTTCTATAGAGCGTCATCTCTATTAGGTCAAACACATGGGTTTGCAGTCAATGTTTGTAGATAGATTTACAAGAAAATAGCGGAGTTGCAAGAATACGCAGATTTACAAAAATTTGCTTTAAGAAGAATATGCTTTTACAAGAATACGCAGACAAAAAATACGCAGACTTGCAAGAAAATAGCAGACTTGCAAGAAAATAGCAAACTTGCAAGAAAATAGCAGACTTGCAACATAAACTTTATTCCTTTCTCCTCACCAACTCCTCTTTCTCCGCCCCACTTTTTTCGGCACTATCGACACTATCTCCACTAACTCCACTATCGAGCGAAGCGAGATAGTGGAGCACACTGACTAATGACATTATCAACACTATCAACACTATCAACCCTATCGACACTATCGACACTATCTCGCTTCGCTCGATAGTGGAGCACACTGACTAATGACATTATCAACACTATCAACCCTATCAACCCTATCGACACTATCGACACTATCTCGCTTTGCTCGATAGTGGAGATAATGTCACTAGTCAGTGTGCTCCACTATCTCGCTTTGTTCAACAGTGGAGTAGCCTATTAAAAAAAAGGGATAAATTGGTCAATGTGTTCCATTATCTCGTTCTGCTCGATAGTGTCGATAGTGTCACTAGTCAGTACTGCTAATTTGAACAAACGCAAAGAATAAAGTAATGTATAAGTACTCTGCCTACACATTTGAACAAACGCAAAGAGTAAAGTTGTTTTTAATTATCACGAATCTTGTTAAAAGCAATCAAACACTCAGCGTGCTTCACTAGGGAGCAGAGCGAGATAGTGTCACTAGTGAGTACTCCACTATCGAGCAGAGCGAGTGAGTCGATAGTGTTGCTACAAAGTGTTGCCACAAAGTGTTACTCCACTATCTCGCCCTGCTCGATAGTGTCAGTAACGATAGTGTCGATGGTACTTTTTTCCTCAAGGAGAATATTTGCAAAATTTTGATAAAATATTAGTATATTAGAAAATAATGTAAATACTACTTTACTCTATAAATAAAAGACTCTTTTTCCTAAAGACTCTCTCTTGTAGTATATATTGCAAGAACACTATCGAGCAGAACACTATCGAGCAGAACACTGTCGAGCGAAGCGAGATAGTGTTGCTAGTCAGTGCTGTTAAGCAGAGCTGCTCGATAGTGTTGTTAGTGCTGCTAAGTAGAGCTGCTCGATAGTGTTGCTAGTCAGTGCTGTTAAGCAGAGCTGCTCGATAGTGTTAGTGCTGCTAAACAGTGCTGCTCCACTATCTCGCTTCGCTCGATATTGTTGATAGTGTTGATAATGTTAGTGCTGCTCCACTATCTCGCTTCGCTCGATAGTGATCATGCTCGATAGTGATCAAACCAAGACTCCTCCCAAATTAACAATCAATTTATTATTCTTCCCCTTTAATTTACTAGCAAACAAATTCAATTGATTATGCCTCAACAATTCTTGAAATTGAGTAAACACGTCATTATTACCACTGCACTGTTTCCTATAATAGAATGTAGACATTGAGTAGATAATCAGTTGGTAAAATTGAGACTGGTATCTCGTGAACAAGTAGGACAAAAATTTGCTATTGCATTTCTTCACCAAATCTATTGATGGGCCATATTCTATATCCTCTGGAACAAAATTTGTGAAATTGTGAGTATAGTTGTTTTTTTCGTCATAGCTGGCCATTTGTTGAAATGTCTGTTTTATTGAATGACACTTGAAGCAAGAGCAAGTATTGACCAAGGAATTTCTTGTTGATTGAATAGTTGGGATCCACCATTTGAAAAAATCAGCAATGGTCAAACTACGCAAATTCTCAAGAAGCTGAATCAGTTTGGTAAATTTCAACCAATTAATCTTGCATTGATCATTCTTGATAAACTCATTGACATTTAAATACAAGTATCTGATGTTGGGAAATTTGAGAAATAGGGAGTCAAGTTGGTTCGACATTAGAAAGGTGTACTGCTGCAAGTTGCTAACTTGGTTTTTGGAATTGTAATTGATGATTGATAGATTTTTCAATTTAGTATAATTGTGTTGAGACAGCAGCAGCAGCAGCAGCAGCAGCGGTGGGATGCAGTGTGTTGATAATGCGTGGTAAAACCCATTTATACAGGTACAGTCCAGATGCAAGCAATTGAACTTCAATTCTAAATCAGTGAGCTTGTCAAAATTGATCATATGGTAATCGTCAAAGTTGATAGCTGGCCTGTTAAAAGTATGCGAGTAGGAGATTGATAATTTGGATAAATTTGGCATTTTCAAATTTAGCATGAGGAAATACTGAGTAGACAATGTTGTATTTAGGTTCAACAGTTGTAGGTTCAGCAACACAAGTTGTTGTTGAAGCAAGTTCCCTGGCAATGTTTCGTTTACGAATCCCGCCTCAATAAAAAAGTCCAATGTTTTCAAATTTGGATTTGTTAAAGGTAAAGTAGATAATTCCTCAACATTCAAAATTGACCAATTCAGCAAGTTCACCACACGGTTAACAACCTTGTCAAATTCAAAGCCAAAAGACTCTTGAAGTTGGTAAGCAGCTTCAACCTCGTCGTTTTCCTCAACGACTTGGTAGCAATTTGTAGACAAATATTGTAAAAGTGTTTGATTTTTGCGGATATTATCAATATCAAAATTAATAAATTCGATGCAATGGTGATACTTGGACCAGAAATACAGGAGTTTACTGTACAAACCGATATATTCAAACTTGTTGAAATTTGACTTGCAGTGGATATGAATTGAGTTGATTTTGTGGAAATTGCCAATAGTTAAATATTCAACGAATTTGGCTAGTTTCTTGATATGGATAAAAGTGCGGTTTTGACCTTTTTCAACAATGCTATAATTGTCATCGTCATAAATTGTTATATCGCTGTATAACTTGATATTGACGATGCTATTAAGAAGCCGCGACGTTGAAGCAAGTGCAATGAGGGATGATTGATGGTTTATTGGGTCAGACAGAATCTGCTCAAGTTGGTGATTGAATATATTTTGGAGTAATTCCAAGGGAAGACCTTGTAACGACAACGAACCCATATCTACAACCCTCTATTTTTTTTGTCTGTTTACTATTTACCGCTTACCGCTTACTGTTCAGACTGTTCAGACTGTTCAAAGATTATACCCAAACCTCAGCCTATTTATCTGATTAAATCTTTAACCTTCTAGCCTTTCTCCTTTACTCCGCGATGAGTCTCTCTTTCGCAGCCAAGCAAAAAAATGTAAAGACTAAAAGCTCTTTGAAACCTTAATCATCTATTATAATTTATATACAGGAAATATATGGGGTAATTTTCGGAGCCTGAAATCCATTGAGAAATGCCACATCTGTAGGAGCAAATTCTATAAGGGAAGGTGTTGGAGAGGACCAATTGCGGGAGTTGTAAAAAGGAGAGTAAGGTGCATTAGGTAATAGATGTATTAAGCGATAGGTGTCTAGGAAATAGATGTATTAAGCGATAGGTGTGTATAGGCAATAAGTGTAGTTGGCGAACAAGTAAGGGGATTCGACATAAGGCGTATTTGTATCAGGCAAACATGGTAGAAACAAGGCGAATCAAAAATATTATAGCGAGAATCTGTCAAAAAATAGACGTTTTTCTACTTGTCTCATGTGGTAGTTTTTATGTTGTATAGGCGTCTCGTAGCTCGGCAAAAATTTGGTCAACACAAGAAAAGAATATATTGTTGCACTAACTTTAAAAAGAGTCATATCGAGTGAGAGGAGTATGATACAAGTCATATCAAGTAGAAGTAGAAGATGATATGTGTCATATCACGTAGAAGTAGAAGATGATATGAGTATGATATGAGTATCAGGTGTATAATATGAGTATAAGGAGTATAAGGAGTATGAGGAGTATGATACCAATCGAGTAAGAAGTAGTGTGTAATAAGAGTCTAGATCTTTTTGAGTATGTGGCTATGGCTTTCCCTTAAGGAGAAGGAAAAAACTAAAATTGGAGAGAGAGTGTGGAACAAAGAAGAAGCAATGGAACAAAAAGAAAACCAATGGGGCCAAAAGTAAGCGGCTGAGTCTGGACGCGCTTCTGGCTTGAAAAAAAAAGGGGGGGGGTGTAGCTATTTAGAAAAGAGAACAATAGACCATAATAACAAGTCCAAAGAGATTGATAACGACACTTTGTAGCTTGAGCTGCCCATCAAAGAGAGTAAATAGCAAGACCAATAGAGTTAGTAGCAAAACCAATAGAGTTAAGCCACCAAGAGACATCATTCTTTAGTTTTAGCTAGTCCTCTACTTCCTTCGATTCTAATTGCAATAAACTCGTACTAGTCATCATTTTTTTTTTTTTTGACTTTCATATCTTTTAGTGTGGGGCTTCCGTTCGACCTTTAGAGCATAGCGGGCGGTGCGTCAAAGGGCGGTGTGCGGTCAAAGGGGGGGGGAAGGAGGGGGTGGCAAAAATATTTTTTTCTTGTCACGTTTCTTTTTCTTCTTTTGCTTTAAATTTTATTTGCTTTTCTATTTATAGATAGGTCATGTGCTACCAATCGTTTATCACGTGATACATGGTTGCATTAATCTTTTTTTTTTTTCTTTTTTTTCTCGGTTGTGGCTGCGAAAAAATAGAACCGAACCAAAACCTCCTATCTATTGTGCATTGGCATTGAGCTAAACAGTTGATGTTTCCCATGCGTATAACCAATTCACAACAGCTCGGAACTCAGGCTCATTCTTCAAACAATACACTAAACAATATCTCATACTTTCAACCAATTCATCAGCATACTCATGAGAATTGTGTTTAACAAATTTCGTCAATGTATCAGCAAACAAACTCTTTAGAAACTCAATGAACAATTCATTCCTAAACTCATCCAGTTTGACCACTCGTCTATATGCTTTTTTAAACACATCAAGAATATACTCCAACAAGTTATTCACATTAAGTTTCACAGACTCAAATAACTCGTTTGCTTTGATCAAGATATACCGATGCAACCTCATTGAATAAGAAGATTTCAAATATTTTAATAATGCTTGAAATGTGCGAAACAGACTAGTTATAATCGCTCCACTTGCAGCTAAATTCGAATAATCCTTTTTGAACTTTAATGTTGCAATTTCAATGTCTAATCCTACAAATTGTAAAGTCTCATCTGTCGTTTCATCATTGACCAAAGTCGTCTTGGCATGGTTTACATACGCTCCATATTTGGTTAGACTATCTCCCAGAATGATTTTAAAAACTTTGTCATACAACTCCTTATCTGGTGAGATGAACAAAAAATCGTCGACTAATCTAGTTAACAAAAATGGCGATTTCGAGTCCCAAAGAAACCGGAAATTCTCAGCAACCAATGCACTGTATATGATATCGCAAAATATACTCAGTAAACTAAATCCTTGGAAAACTCCCCTCTTACGTCGATAATATCGCATTTTATGGGTTACCGGATCCTGAACAATTGCCTTGGCCCCAAATATCTGTTGTATGCATTGGTGCAATATAGTACCTCTCGTTAGATATATGGTTTTGCCCTTATCAACTAACATCCCAGGCGATGCAGTACGATTGCAAGTACTTGATATTAGATCAAAATTGGCAAAATTCGTATCTACTGCATACTTGACTTGTTTTATTCTCAATTGTGAATCGAGCTTCATATATGTACGATAGTAGTATTTGGTTCCATATGGATCATTCTTGAATAAATCAATCACTTTACTGAATAATTGTTTTTGATCGATACGATCGTAACAATCCTTCATATCGAATTTAATCATATACAATTTGGGAATAGTATCATCATACTTGTTTAAAAGCTCGGTTCTAAAGCTCAAAATTCTTTCAGCAATCTGTTGATTGGACGTGGCGGTGGTCCTGTAGCAAACTTCTTTCTTGCTTCTTTCATTAAATTTTTTCAAAAGTATCAACCTCACAGGCCTCAACTCATTGGCTCTGAACACATTGAACTCAATTTCTTGTTTCTTTAAAATTGCATCACCAATCTTGTGTCCTTCATATTGAATTTCCCTTTTGGAAGGTACACAAACTAATCTAAAGGTAGCCCTCTTGGGAATTAGCTTGAGCTTTCCATAATTGTAAAGCTCCTTCCCGGTTAGCGTAGTTTGAATAAAATGAGTTTGCGCATACCTCTCGAGCCATAATGTCGATATCTTGCACCAAATGTATCTTGGAAAGTACATGATTTTACCATCAAAAGACTCAGTGACATACCAAAATTCTTTAAGTATTTTTTTGATTAGAGATTCAAAAATCCATAGTATATATTGCTTCATCATTTTCGACCTCATCTCAAAATCTTGTTTTGATGAAATGATATCCTTACCAAACCATTTATAACCTGATAATTGTAATCCTTTGCACAAGTCATGAATATGGTACTTGGAACGTGGTTCCAATTTAAGATACTCAATTATTTTGCCTCGTAGAACCTTTTTATTGACATCACCACCCCATGTTTCCAATGTAAATAATTTACCCAATATCACAAATATAAATTTAATAACTTCTTCCAAGCTACTAGCATTGCTCAGTATATTGTCAATATCAAGAACCTTGGATTGCAAAAGCATCTTTTGATATAACGAGTCATATCTCAACTTAACATCATTCTTCACAATGATATCCAATACTTTTCTTACACGTCGAAATCTTTTTGCACGCGTGTTGAAATCATTAAATATATCCTTCATCAATTCGTCACCACTTTTCGACTTGATTAACTTGTAATTCCAGTACCAAGGATTTTTCTGGCCCTTGTTCAAAAGATCAAACTTTTGAATGTACTCATTGTCACGTTCAATTGGCTTTTGCGAGTATGTCAACCCATCACCAAATACTTGTATGTAACTATCACTTGCGCCGCTGCTATCCTTATTGACAAAGCCTTTCCAATTAATAATCAACTCAGACAACCTCATTGATCCAATCAAGTGAAAGACCCTTGACCAATTATACGAATAAAGCTCATTCATGCTGAAAAATGACGATTTCAATAAATGTTGACATCGTTTATTATATATTACTGCCTTTTTCTTCTCTGGAATCCCACAAAGTAACGTATTCTTTGACTTTTCTCGAAGCAAACTAATGGTTATCAACCGGAGATATTTTTTATAGTTTGTACGATATTTGAGCTTAGGCGATACTTTATGTCGTTGTTGTGGCTCAAGTGGATAAATGAGCACTGTTGTTAGAAAATGTTTGAAGCTGGGTAGTTCATTTTCAAAGGAAACAAACTTGTCAACAAAGTCACCTAACTTGCGTGCCCCTTGCATGATGGTAAATGAGTAAAATCTCTTATTAAGCAGCAGCAGCAGCAGCAGCAGCAGCAGCAGCAAGCAAGCTAGCTAACTAGAAAGATATCGTACCACTAGAGTGCCCTTTTTTTCCTCTCTAAATGAGCTAACAAACGCGTGGTTATCAAACGCGGGAAAACGCGACTCGCATATCGAACAAGTTTAAAGAAGAAAAGTCATAAAAATCACCACCATGAACTTTGAAAATCCGCCTTGACATTAATAAGTTTTCCCCTTGTAGCTATTATCAACGGGGGGTATAAGACTTTATCTCAATTATAAACCTCAGCCTCAACACCAAAATGCGGTAGAAAGGTTGTTGTCAAACTTTCAAAACCACACATTGAATCAACTTTCCCTCAATGGAATTTTTCACTACTAATAATTTTTCAGTTAATCTTTTTTCCGATGAGATGAGATGAGATGAGATGAGATGAGATGAGATGAGATAAGATGACAAGAGATGAGCAGAGATGAGTGACGAGACCAAGAGTTGTGTAGATTTGGACAAGGGAATAGTTTATAATACGCTCAAGCAGATACGACAAAGAGATGATACCGATCCAGAAGTACCCGATTTGATACCTGTGTGGACATGTACCATTGAACCTCAACAAACGAAACGATTCTTATCAATTTGTAAAGCAAAGTATGATGGTGAAGAAACATCTTCCTTGAAGCATTTGAAGAGGATGATGAAGGTGGACAAGAATATAAGGTCAATTATATGTCCTTATACGTCAAATCTAGAAAAACAGTCAATATTGGAGTCGCTTGTAGGTGTTGATATTTTGGCACTCGAGGTTGTCCAAGTTCCGCAGTATGCGGCAAACACCAAGGAAACAAGCATACGATGGTCGCAGATATGGCCAATTACTTGGAAAGGTAACCCCAACCACCAGTTTTTGAACACGGTTAAGTTTGACATGAGTTTAGAAAAGCAAATGATTAGTCATCTTCTTGATGCCTTGGCCGATACCCAATCAAAAAAAGGTTCAGCAACGATCATGGCGAAACAAGTGAACAACAGTATTGAGATTCAAACAATAGCTACAAATGATGGAGATAATTGGCCTACGCAGCATAGTGTGATGAAGGCTATCGATAATATAGCTCAAGATGAGTTGAGAAAGCGGAAAAAACACAATCTTGAAAAACTGGAGAGAGGATACTTGTGCACTAATATGATAGTTTATACTACTCACGAACCCTGTGTTATGTGTAGCATGGCTCTTGTTCATTCAAGAATTGTGCGATGTACTTATTTACAATCTAATCCTACTGGTGGTGGCATGGAGTCTAGCTATCATTTGGGCGATCGAAACGGGCTAAATTGGAGGTTCCAAATTTGGAAATGGCTTGGAAGGGAAGAGCTAGATAGATTGCTGTATTTGTCAAGTGGAGCACACTGAACAACACTATCGCGACACTAGCGAGCTAGTGGAGCAGGAGTGAGAAGAGCAGTAGAAGTAGCGATACTATCGCGCAGAGCGAGCTAGTGGAGTAGGAGTGAGAAGAGCAGTAGAAGTAGCGACACTATCGCGCAGAGCGAGCTAGTGGAACAGGAGTGAATAGAGAGTAGAGACTAGTATGTAGTGAGTTCTCTAAAAATATCTTTACAACTTGCTACATAACTCATTGGTAAGCTCTATACATTAAGAACTATCAGTATCAGCAAATGAGAATAGAATCGCTAGAGCCATTTTCCCCTTCCCCTTTAGCGAGCATAGCGAGTTAGAGGGTAAGCACTATCAGCAGACGAGAAGAAAGGGTAAGGTTTCAGCAGATGAAAAAAAAGTCGTTAAAGCCATTCTTAACCTTCCCCTTTGGCGAGCATAGCGAGTTAGAGGATAGCTAGAGCCATTGCTCCCCTTCCTCTCTACCTCGCAATGCTCACTAGAGGATAGCTAGAGCTTAGCTAGAGCCATTGCTCCCCTTCCTCTCTACCTCGCAATGCTCACTAAAGGATAGCTAGAGCTTAGCTAGAGCCATTCTTCCCCTTCCTCTCTAGCTCGCTATGCTCACTAGAGGATAGCTAGAGCCATTGCTCCTCTTCCTCTCTAGCTCGCTATGCTTGCTTGAGGTAGTATCTCCTCAACGCTACCAAATGGCATCAACAAAAGTAAAGAAAAATTCAAAGACTTTCAAAATGAACAATACTATATCTCATACAAACCAAAGATAAGAAGATGACAAGCTATGAACAAGGATCTTTGCAAGTACAGGCTTTAGCTTCAAGTATATCCAAGAGGCTAGCTACCGAAACCAATTCCTTACTCGTAAATATTGTTCCTACAGGGAGACAAGCCAAACGGCATGCACAACAAATCAATTATGCTGAGGATTTTGGTGACGATTTTGAATTTGATTCCACTCCCAATGATTTGTCAAGCAATGGTAATGATAGGAGTAGCCGGAATTTTATAGAGGCAAAAACTCAAGTTGATATCCAGAAGTTTGGTCCTGCGAGAAACACACCAAGGATAAAACTGCTTGAAGTTGAAACTTTGTTTACCAGTCAAACGAATAAACCCGAAGTGCTTATTCCTATTAAATTGAATTTGGAAAGTGCAACTAGTAACCATAAGTTGAACGATATATTCATGTGGAACTTGAACGAGTCCCTAGTGACACCACTGAAATTTGCCGAAATTTTATGCAATGATCTCGAATTACCTCACTCTATGGTTTCCCAGATTTCAGATAGTATAACCCAACAATTGGAGGAGTACTCTTATGCGTCAAACTTGACTATGCAGAACAAGAATCCATGTAACGTGATTATCGACTTATCAGTCAATTTGAACAAACAATTGTATCAAGACCGTATAGAATGGGATTTGAACCAAAATGAAGTAACCCCCGAGCAATTCGCCGAAATAGTAGTGGCTGATTTGGGATTATCTTTAGAGTTTATACTTGCAATCTCCCACTCACTACATGAGATAATCATACGTGTCAAAAAGGAAATCATCGATGGGTCATTCAACAACGAGATTCATAATCTACATCTTGTTAAGGGAATAATGTTTGAGAAGGGGTTGAGAATATTTACTGAGAACAGCATATCTAATGGGAATGACCGCTGGGAGCCCTCAGTTGAAATCTTGAGCTCTAGTGAAATCGAAAGAAGAGAAAACGAAAGGATAAGAAACTTGAGAAGATTGAAAAGAGAAAGCATGAGACGTGACTATGATGAAAACCCAACAAAAAAGAGACATGTGGGAAGACCGAGAAAGAATGAAGTTGAGGAATGGAGGTGAAACTAGCAAACATCGACACTATCGAGCAGAGCGAGATAGTGGGGCAACACTTTGTACCCTTGATTTAGCACAAAAGGCTTATGGGAAGATTGAGAAAGAATGAAGTTGAGGAATGGAGGTTAATCTAGCAAACATCGACACCATCTCGGTCTGCTTGATAGTGGGGTAACTAGCAAACATCGACACTATCTCGCTCTGGTCGATAGTGGGCCAACACTTTGTACCCTTGATTTAGCACAAAAGGCTTTTATACTTGTACTTATCAATTAAAGTACGTCACTACTACTCTAATTTCCTTCTCTGGCAATGGGATATCACTTGGTGGTGCAAGTTCTGCAAATACCTAGCCAGCTCATCAACAATTACTTGCAATGAGCTTTGTGATGTGCGCCGCATTAATTGTGGCGTCTTCATTAATTTCATTTTTGTATTTTTTTGACGGGGAATTGTTTCGATATATATAACTGTTATATGTATAAGGATATATATACACTTTGCACCATTCAGGGGAGATATTAGCAGATCAGCAAGAGGTTCATGTTGAAGCAATGGTTTAGGAAAGTGACTTTAGATGCGATATTATTTTTTAGTCGCTTATCGCAAGCTGAGTATACACTAACAAACATCTCATCGCCATCAAATGAAACCCTTTTGGTGCAAGATATTAGTCCCATAAAATACCCAATTCTTGTTTTTGAGCCAGAACCATTGGCGCAAGTGTCCACCATCAGTGGTGGACACTTGCCCCGGTACTCGCCGACGACGGTGACGACAATGGATAGGTCAACGCCACAGGAAAACGATACCGTTTCATCTAATGATTCGGTGATAGACAATTGTCATTTCATGTCCTTTGAAGAATGGAAGAAGCAGAAAAAGGAGTTGGTTGATGTGTCTATGAATATATCCAAGAACCGTACTGAAATGGCCAACTCTGCGGTCTCTATGCTTTCCAAAAATGCCACCATTGACAACAAAACCATTAATAATAATACTACTACTACAACAACAACAACAACTTCATCGGCAAATGGGAAAATATATAAGGACAAGTTTAATTTTGCCTCTGTTGATTGTGGTGCAACAGTAGTGGAAACAAATGCGCAAGCCAAGGGAGCATCTGCCATACTACGGGAAAATAAGGATACATACTTGTTGAACCGATGCTCGATTCCGAATAAGTATGTTATTGTTGAATTGTGTCAGGATATTCTAGTAGGGCAAGTTGTCCTTGGCAATTTCGAATTTTTCTCCTCCATGTTTGAGGATATAAGGTTCAGTGTGAGTGATAGATTTCCATCTTCGAATTGGAAAGAATTGGGTCAGTTTAAAGCACAAAACATTCGTGATCTTCAGTTTTTCAAAATTGAGAATCCTTTAATTTGGGCAAGATTCTTGAAATTGGAGATCTTGAGTCATTATGGGAATGAGTTTTATTGTCCTCTATCGCTTTTGAGAGTTCATGGAAAGACAATGATTGAGGAGTTGAAGGAGGATGAGGAGAAGTTAAAGCAAGAACAAGATAACGTGGCAAATGAAGCGTTACAAAATGAAGTTTCCGAAAAACGTCAAACAATAATTGATGATGAATCTTTGCTCTTGAATGACTCCATGAATGAGTGTCCCGTAATTTTGCCCCATCTTCGACTAAATGAATTTCTCGAGGATATAAATCATACATCAGAGAAATTATGTTTACCTCAAGAAGAGATTGTTTCGAGCACAGCAACCAAGCTTGCAGCCACTATAACTACTCAGGAGTCCATATATAAGAATTTCATGAAACGGCTACAACTTCTTGAGTCAAATGCCACGTTGTCATTACTTTACATTGAAGAGCAGCTGAAATTACTTAGCATGGCTTTTTCAAACTTGGAAAAACGACAAACTATACATTTCAATAGCTTGATGAATTCAGTCAATTCCACATTATTGCACCAACTTGCATTGTTCAAGGATTCTTATAATCAATTACATGAACAATATGGGAACTTGTTTAAGTTGCAGGAAAAAAACTATAAACAGTACTTGACTGACTCGATTAAACAAATGAGAAATTCACACAACGAGATGGCTTTTCAAAAACGAGTCACTATTTTTAATAGTTTGCTTATTGTTTGTCTACTTGCTTATTTGGTACTCACAAAGGATATCAACATTGAAGTTCAAGATCAAAATATGGAAGTAGGAGGAGTAGGAGGAGAAGGAAGAGGAGAAAAAGAAGAAAAACTCACTCTCCAATTGTCTGAACGAGTAATCATTTCGAATCAACGACAAGAAACGGAACCATTAAATAACCTGAAAACACACCTGACGGAAAAATAAGCATAAATTTATAGATAGATAGATAGAAAGAAGAAAGAAAGAAAGAAAGAAAGAAAGAAAGAAAAAACAAACAAATAAACAAACAAACTACAGCAGTCTCCATCTTTTATCAACAATGTGATATGTTGCTTTTTTTCATCAGTATTATATTATTACTTCTGTTATTTTTCTTTATTATATATATTTACAAGATTTTTGAGAGGCAGATTTGATGAATGAGTTTAGCGAAAGGATAAAATCCCCTTCCCTTGAATACACTCTCATCTAATTTCTCTCTCTCAATGTGCCATCATGTTTTTTTTTAATGTGTACATTATTTTCAGATCCTGAATTTGTTTAATCCCAATTGTCATTAAAAGAGTCGCTTCTTCTTCCTTTGTAGTGATCATTATCCCGCTTGGAAGACCCTCTATGACCAGAAAAAGAATTTCTCTTTTGTTCTCTGTTACCTCTTCCATGTTGGGAGTAGCTGTCATGGTGGCGATAGCTGTCATGGCGGCGATAGCTGTCGTCTCTTCCTCTATTTCCAAAGCCACTTCTTCCTCTAAAGGGACTTGTGGAATCTTCTCCTTCTTCATATCTATTATATTGGTCACGCGAATACCTTCTATTAGAATAATCTCTTTCAAAATATTCGTCAATAATACCACGTCTTAATCTTTTTCTTAGCATTACAAGTGAACCAGATTCTAACTTGGCTGTTTCGTCGTGAACTAAAGTACGATACAATATCCCATTTTCAGCCACAAGACCATTAATGTTCAAGCCGTATACACTATCCATTTGCTTGAGGAAAGTCATAAATGTAAAGAAAAAATCATTTGTAACTTTTTCATCTACTGTAATCTCTTTAAAGAATTCATCTGTTCCTTCAATTTCAGAGCTATCAAAAGTTTCGTCAAATCGAACACCTCTTTGCTTTTCAAGTATACGCACGTATGCACTCTCAAATTTGGTGAGGAACAAAACGGCCTTACCCTTTGCACCTGCTCTTCCAGTTCTACCGACTTTATGGACATAATCAGCAACATCACTCGAAGGATACAATTGCACAACGTGGGTAACTCCCTTAACATCAATACCCCTTGCTGCAACATCCGTAGTGATCAACATACAATTCTTGACTGCCTTAAAGCCTCGCAAAGCAGCTGAACGCTGAGCTACAGATCTCTTACCATGCAAATGGAAAATCCTAAACTCTGAAGAATAATCCTTAAAAACTGAGCTGCTGTGTAAAGCTCTTCTCATGTAATCATAGAAAAATTCAACAGAAGTTTGAGTAGGTAAAAACAAAATGATTTTAGCATTTTCTTTGCTCTTGATTAAGTCAGCAATGTAATTAAATTGAGTCTTAAATTTGTCAACGGCACCTGTACATTTGACCAAAACTTGATGGACATTTTCGTGAACTTCAGGATCGTCCTTAGGTACAGTGTTGACAAACTCGTAATTTGGATTGATATGTTTTTCAGCAAATTTCTTAACCCCCTTGTCAATAGTTGCACTGAATAACAAAGATTTTATTGGCGGCTCGTTTTTGTCTCTCAATCGTTTCAAAGTCAGGTCAATACTGTGCAACTGTGGTTCAAACCCAATGTCCAATAATCTATCGGCTTCATCATAAATTCTGTAAGAAACATTACTGAATGCATATTTAAACGAATGGTGTTTCAAATCAGCCTCCAACCTACCGGGAGTTGCAATAACAATCTCACTTGGATTTGATGGCACAAAAGTGTTTCTTTGACCACCGATAACTAACGAAATAGTGGGTCTTAATGGTCTTATAACATTTTCACATACTTTTATATATTCGTCGCGGATCTGTAACGCCAAATCTCTAGTTGGGGCAATTATTATTGTATCAACTTTTTCACGCTTCTTCAGTTTCTTTCTGTTTTTCATCTTTTCAATAGCACTTTGTACCGTTGGTATTAAAAATGCCAATGTCTTTCCCGTACCGGTTTTAGCTCTACAAACTATACCGTCTTTTGTATTAAGAAGCGGAATAATAGCCTTTTGTTGAATCGGTGTCAAGTCCTTGAAGCCAGCTTTCTCTATAGCATCAAGAAGAATATCGTCAATAAGTCCTTTTTTTCTGAAATCTGAAAATTTATTGGGGACAAAAATTGTAGACTTTTCAGGTGAAGAGCTAAATTCGGCGTTAGCTTGGTCAGCTTGGTCGGCTTTGACGTTAGTTTGATCAGCTTTGGCGTCACCTTCAAAGTTAGCTCTAAAAGCGTCACCCGAGTGAGTTACAGTTTTCAGCAGATCCAACCCATCATTTTTTAAATTATCATTTCTTCTCCAAGTTTGATGAATAAAACGATGAAAAATCGGTTTATTCGCTCTTAAAGTAGCTGCAACAAAAAGACGTTTTACCGGTATTTGCCTACCTAGGCCTGCAATTATTAACATTGAATAATTACCGATAAACTCCTCTTTACCTAACCTCTAAAAGCCAGCAAACTTATTCTTCTTGCAAATAAATAAAGACATGTATATATATAGTAATCATTCAATCCTTTAAACATTTTTCGCGATGAGATGTAATGGTGTCGCATAATTTTTCAGTGTCGGAAAAAATAAATTTTCACGACACTCCATTACTTTTCTCGATTTGGCAATTCCAAAAACAAGAATGAAATAAAGCAAGTTTAGTTTATAACCCATTGAAGATTGGACAAGTTTCTAGGAAGAAGAGGTTTCTAGGAAGAAGAGGTTTATAAGAAGAAGAGGTTTCTAGGAAGAAGAGGTTTATAAGAAGAAGAGGCTCTCTTGGACAAGTTTACATCTTTTTAATAGGTATGCAGCATTCTAATACTGGTGGTGGTTTTTTTTCCAAAATCAAGGAAAATTATAGCACGAAATTTGCTAATCTTTCGCTTGCAGGAGGAAATACGGAGAAAGACGGTTCGACCCCCAATGATACTCTAATACACCATGCATTTGTAAAGTATTATGAGTCCAAGGGGTTAGCGTATCCTGAATGGTTAGGTGTAAAGACTTTTGAGCAGCAGAATGTCCAGCCTCAATATGGCCGTTCTCTGAGTTATAGCAGGATAGGCAATGGCCAAACAAGTCACCAGCCACATGCTTATAGAAGTCAAACGCAAAGTTTTCAAGACTCGGAATTTCAGCCGGTAAAACAGGATAATCTATTTAACAATAGCTTTTCACAGAGACAATTTCAGCAACAGCAGCAACTGCTGCCGCTGCTGGTGCTGTTGCTGCCGCTGCAAACAGATGCGTCTACTGGTAGATTAACTGCACAGCGAACGTCTAGTAGATTGCAAGACTTGTATAATAAATCAAGGCAGCAATCTGCGAGTGCAGGGTATACAAGCGCAAGATACAACCGCTGAGCAATACGACACTATCGAGCGACACTATCGAGCGAAGCGAGATAGTGGAGCACACTAGCTGTAACGGACACTATCCACACTAGTAATACGATACTAGGGAGCGAAGCGAGCTAGTGCAGCTCACTAGTGCAGCTCACTAGCATCCCTTTATAGCTTGTACAACCCCTTAGCAATCTGCGAGTGCAGGGTATACAAGCATAAGATACAGTCGGTGGCAGGTAGTATGGTGGCAGGTAGTATGGTGGCAGGTAGTGCAGTAGCAGGTAGTGCGGTGGCAGGTAGTGCGGTGGCAGGTAGTGAGGTTGCAGCTTGTATAGTGACAGGTAGTGCGGTGGCAGCTTGTGTGCTCCACTATCTCGCTTCGCTCGATAGTGTCGATAGTGTTAACGCGCTCACAGACTTTCATTATTCATCAGTTTATAGTTTTTCTCCCAAAAGTCTCGCCCTTTCACAAACCATTCGGGTAATCTATGTTCTGGGGGCAACTTCAATCTTATAGTACCAACATTTTCAAACTTTATGGGATGTTTATGCAAATTTTTATAATATACAAAGTCAACTACCTTGTTATTATTATTATTGTTGTTGTTGTTTTCATCACTGGCAAGGAATGAACTTCTCCTGGAACTTTTGCGTTTGAGAAGAATAGGCGAAGTGCTTTCTAATGATGGTCTATGTTGAGCATTATTTCTAAATTTTATATTCTTGATTATCTCTCCCGATGAACGACGACGATCCATTCCTCTAACTACGTTTAAGTATGATTCATTATTTGTAAAGCTATTGTTTCGACTTGTCGGTCCTAGGCTGTTGGTCAAATTGGGACTTTGTATCGTTCTAGGCGACGAACTAAACCCATTTTCTGAATCATTGTCCACTGAATTTTGGCCGTTTATTATCACCAGCTGCTTATCGTGTCTTCGTTGCTCAACAAATTTTAACAAGTTTTCGGGGATCTGCGGTGAAGCAGAAAGTAAATCATCATCCATATCGTCCATATCATCTAAGCTGTCATATTCATCATCTTCATATTCGTCGTCATCATCGTCATCATCGCCATCTTCATTGTCTTCTTCCTTGTTAGCATCCGCATCATCAATATCTTCAGCAATTGCGACTTCTTCTGCATCTCCGTCTGGGCCTAAATCTCCACTACTACTAACTCTTGAAATCCTCTTTCCAAACTGTTCCTCTCCGTTACAATCTGCAGAGTGAGCTCCGAGATTTCGCTGCAACTGTAGCAATTGAGCTTGCCCGCTCAGATGCCTAGACCTCGCCATACTATTTCTCCTACTTGAAAACGGGCTTCTTTTCCTATTTTCATAAGGTATCAATTCCACTGAAATCAATTCCAAAAATGTTTCAGCAAAATAATTATTCTTGTTTGATGTACCGTTAAATATTCTATACTCATTCAAAATCAGATTAAAGTTCCACTTTTGGATTTTTCGCAAAATACCAATCAATGTAGCAGTAGAATCAACTATCAATATAGGATGTCGTTTATTATTCAACATCAATTCAAACGTCTTTACAATGATGTTTTTCTCAATCAACATCCATTGATCTCGCGTAGTTCTTGGAGCCAAGGAAAATGAAGCAATCGGTATCTTTGTAGTAGGCATGCCCTGATTAGGGAAATGCGACGATGTCTTTGATGAGCTAGACCCTGTATCGCCATTATTATTGCTATTACCGCTACTACTACTACTATTATTATTATTATTATTATTATTACTATTATTAATACTGCTCTCTAGCTCGTAATCCTCCAAATCCGTCTTTGATGAAATCCCCGTATGATGGTGATTTGAGATTTTGAGATCCCCCAAACTGTACAATTCAATCTTGTGCAATTCAATGAAGTTAGATATGAGTCTAGGTGGTTTTTCAGCATCTAGAATAACTATTGATTTCAAAATCAAAGTTTCCAAAAATTGAAAATTCTCAACTTCAATCTTGGAACACCGGTATATTCCCGGCTCAACCACTCCAAAGTTCTCAGGCGATACCAACATATCTTGAAAAGAGCCAGAAAAAGCAACGCAAGCTTGAGTTTAAGCAAGATACTTGACGGCTAAGGTTCACGATGGGGAGGGGACCTACCTGATAAAATCCGCACGTAAAATCTCAACCTATATGTATACATTTGGTAGCGTCATCGATTTTCAAGTTTACTCGAGTCAAACCTTTTTATACGGATAAAGGGGGGGGGGGTAGACAAGCAGTCCGTCTCCGTGATCTCTATACTCTAGCTGTGGCATATTCCTACTCTCCTTCTGCTCAGCCTTTCTCTTTTTTTTTTGATTGAATATTTATAAGATAAAATGTATATCTATAAAGAAGATGAAAAGAAAACAAGTGTCTTGTAAATAAATTAATAACTTTTCTATCCCCTAATGACAGTGTCATCAGGTATACCTTCATACTCACCAAACCCTTGGGACAAGTTTATGTTTTGCAAACATTGAGTAGCTGCGCCCTTTAACAAATTATCAATTGTAGCAACAATAACAACTCTATCCTCATTTGAGTTCACTGCAAAACCACCAATAACGATCCCGTGTTTACCGCTTATATCCTTGACTAAAGGAGCTTCACCACTGATTGTTATCAACTGTTCTCCTTGATATCTGTCTTGATAGATATTTCTGATTTCTCTAGATGTCAAAGATCCCTTCTTTATAGGGATGTTGATAGTGTGTGATATACCTTGGAACCATTGTGCCACGTGTGGGGTGAAATCCACTTGTTGGCCCAATTGTGACGAGATTTCACGTTCATGAACATGATCTGTTAATGAATATGGGATGAGATTGTTTGCAAGCAACTCAGTGTCGTTCTTAGGTGATGGTTTGGTTCCGGCACCAGAGTACCCAGAAACACCAAAAATACTTGGTTTACCATTCTCAATAAAGTCAATCAATGGCGCAATTGCAACTTGTGCAGCTGTAGCATAACACCCGGGATTGGAGATTTTTTTAGCATTGGCAATAGTTGCACGATTGTTCAACTCAGGTAATCCATAAACCCAGTTCTTGGAAGTATCAAATCTGTAATCTGCAGACAAATCAATAATTGTAGAGTTTGTATTACCAACTGAATCAATAACATCAACAAATGGTTTGCAAACACCATTTGGCAAAGCCATTACCCATATATCTACTTCATTGTTCTCTTCTAATCTTTTGATATCCTCAGGTTGTAAGTTAGAGTAAACAATATTGTTCTTGTTGTAGCCTTTTAATTTTTGACCTTCTAATTCACGAGATGAAACGTGGGAAATTTCCAAGTACGGATGAGTATCAATCAACTTGATTAAGTTTTGACCAGTATACCCTCTTGCTCCAATTAAGGCTACTTTTTTCTTTGAGTGGTTCTTACCTTCTTTCAATGGTGGGTTTGGGTTTGTAGTTGTAGCGTATCTTCTTCTCTTCTTCATACTATGGAAACCTCTTTTTTGCTGACTTGATGAAAAGACCCCAGATTCGTTACCTGAGGATAATGATGAGCCAATAGCAGAGTTGTCAAACTCTTTGATCAACTCAGCAACTTCTGATGTTTTCAAGCCATACCAAAATAAAATCTGTCCATTTTTGGAAAAGGATCCATCAGACTTGGAAAAATACCAAGCCAAGTTACCATCGTTTTCATCAACAATCCAGCATAGTGATTTGAAGTCCTTTTTGATTGAATTGAAAATATTATCAGTAACATTGTTCAACCATCCTGTTTTTGATGATAAAAATTTATCCAACTTGGGAACCTTACCATCTTTGTTAAGGACAATCGCTAATACCTCCAATGGTTCATCGCCATAACTCTTGAAATCAACAGATTCCAAAAACTTCAAATATGATGCTACTGATGATTTACCAGCTTTAATTTCAGGGTCTCTCAATAATGCGCTTCTTAACAAATCAGGATTACCGAATTCTTTCAATGAATTTCTACTAATCAATTTATAACCTCTTCTGATCAAAGTTCCAGCACCTGAATCAGTAAACAATTCCTTTTGCAAGTCATCAACATTGATAATTGCTACTGAGGATGATCTTGGTAAATGTTGCAACAAGTCATGAATTTCCTTGATTTTCAATTTCGTTCCATACTTAACCCAACTTTCCTTCATCAAATCCTCATACTCTTCATCCAAGTTAATGATAGATATTTTCTCGCCGGTACTTCCATTAATGATACCACCTTTCTCGTTCAAGTAAACAATCTTCAATGGTTCAAATTCGCGGGCTAATTCACCAGCGGCAACATCAGCATTAACGTTTAACAATTGGCCACTTGGGGTTTCTGCCAAGCTGGTCAAGATAGGTAAATATCCTGCGGTAATAGCAGCTTCGATGGGAGACTTGTTGACTCCAGTAATCTTACCAACCAAATCGTACTTCTCCTTGTTCAAGTATTCAGCTTGGAAGACACCAGCAGTGATTGGACGAGAATGAACTCCGATTCTTTCCAAAGCCGTGACCAATCTCAAATTCTGTTCAGAAAAACATTTACGTACAACTTGCATTGTTTTTGGATTTGTAATTCTAATTCCATCGATATATTCGGGCTCAACACCTTCATTTTCCAATAGCTCATTAATCTGAGGACCTGTGCCGTGCAAGACTATAGGGTATAGTCCAACATGGTACAAAAATGCCAAGCAAGAAGCAAGCTCATCCAATTGCTGGGTAATTATTGCTCCACCAACTTTTATAACAGCAAACTGTTGGGAACTAACACTGGTGAACAATTTCAAGTATTGTTCAACTTCACGCTTGGAGCCTATATTATTTAATAACTGGACAACGGTCGACTTTGTAGAATAAGAGCGAGAACTAGCAACAAAAGAGGTATTTCCATAATCTGAAAAGCTGCAATTTGCCACAACACTTTTAGACAATAACCCCCCGCGCAATCTCAATCTCGAAGTCAACCTTAAAGCACCAGTTCTTGTTGCCGTTGCCGTCACAAGAGGTTTATTTAAAACTGCTAGTCTCAACATACTTACAATCCTCCTTGGCTATAAGCCAAATATATCTAATATATATATATATATATATATGTGTCTGTTAAAATCCAAAGAAGATTGAAATCAATAGTTTTTCAAAATCAATTTTTCAATTTTTCAATTTTTTTTTTTTTATTCACCCGATGACTGTGAGAGTCGAGCTAAGCGAGTGTGTGGAGTAAAAGAGGACAGTAGAAGTAGAATGTATGGAAATGTACAACGATGAAAGAGTCGGATAATACTACCGTTGAGAGAAATTGTTGGAAATGTAGGTAGACACTAGGGAGCGAAGCGAGCTAGTGCAGCAGGAGTGAGTAGAATGTAGAAAGTTGTGGAGCAGTAGAGTGTAATTTCTTATCGTGGTTAATAAATTGTTTTTTTCTCGCCATTTTATAAAATGAGTAATAATCGACACTAGCGAGCGAGGCGAGCTAGTGGAGTAGTAGAGAGGACAGTAGAGATTATTACACTAGCGAGCGAGGCGAGCTAGTGGAGTAGTAGAGAGGACAGTAGAGATTATGACACTAGCGAGCGAAGTGAGCTAGTGGAGCAATAGAGAGAACAGAAGAAGTAGAAAGTAGTAGAGAGAACAGAAGAAGTAGAAAGTAGTAGAGCAATATGTAGTGAGTAGTAATCAGAGAGTAAAGACAAGTATGTAATGGAGCAGTGAGAAGTAAAAGTGGTGTGTAGAGAAAAATGTGTAAAGAAAAGTGTGTAGAGAAAAGTGTGTAGAAGTAGAGAGGAGCAGTATGTAGAGAGTATGTAGAGAGCAGAGAGTAGTGAGTTGAGAGTAATGAGTAGTGAGTAGAGAGTAATGAGTAGTGAGTAGAGCCTAGTGAGTAATGAGTAGAGAGTAGTGTAGATAGTATAAGCAACGAGGAGCAGTAGAATAAAGAGAGGCAGTAGAAGTAAAAAGGAGCAGTATGTAGAGAGAATGGAGAAGAGAGAAGAGAGAAAAAAGGCTAGAGACTAGAGCCTAGTGAGTAGTGAGTAGTGAGTAGTGAGTAGTGAGTAAAGAGGGGCAGTATGTAAAGAGCAGAGAGTAGAGAGAAGAGAGAAAAGGGGCTAAAGACTAGTGACTAGCGAGTAGAAACTAGTGACTAGTGAGTAATGAGTAGAGAGTAGAAACTAGTGACTAGTGAGTAATGAGTAGAGAGTAGTATATAGATAGTGTAAGAAAAGAAGAGCAGTAGAAGTAAAGAAGAGCAGTAGAAGTAAAGAAGAGCAGTATGTAGTGAGCAGAGAGTAGTGAGAATAGAAAAAAGAAGAAAAGAAAAGGGTAAATTCAAACAACAGTTGGAAACATTGATCAATAGTGTCTGTGGCAGCTAGTGTGCTCCACTATCTCGCTCTGCTCGATAGTGTCGATAGTGTCGATAGTGTCGATAGTGTCGTATCCTCACCTCCTCTTCTAGCTCATTCCTATATCCTCATATATCCAATTCAAAATAGGCCGATAAAGCAAATACAAAAAAGAATTAAATTGTGAAATCTCTCTTGATAACATCTCAGCTTCTTGCAAATAATAAAAACAATGCTTGAAAATGTCCAATACTTCACTAATACCATCTTCTTTCCCCATAGCATCGAGCCATTTCTTACAAAGTAACAGCCTTATTGAAGATGAATGAGTTTTAAAGTATGCAATAAAATGTTTATCAGATAAATTGTCAAGAGATGCATAAGCTGCTTGTAATGTAGGTCGAGACATCTCTACACCTGTAAAGGCTCGATACATCACTGCTAAACAATTCAAATCAATCAATTTATTCAATCTTTGAGAAAAAGTGTCAAACTGCAACTTGAAATTAGAATTGAGTTCATTTGGTTGCGTGGTTTGATATATTATCATATAATTGAATACATGGTTGAAAAAATTGGCTGCTCTTGCGATATGATATGATTTCTTGGTAAACAATTGTTTGATACGAGTTTTGATTGATGCATTGATAATATTCTTCACCTGCTGCTCATCATCAAACAGGACATTGTATAGTCCCATTTGCATTAACACCTTGTAAAAGTTGGGGAATAGCAAATTAGGGTTCTGGGTGAATATCGAATACCTTAGATTCTTGAAATTGTCACTAGAAACCACAAGGTAAAGGTTTTCAAATATTGTAAAGTCGTCCAACTTATCAAATTGACACTTTTTGACCCATTGGGTTATAACATGGTACTTTATGTGAGTTGGATCTTGTGCATCCATCTTGCCATCAAACTGAAATAGTTTGCCTATGTTGGTGTCACTGTAATGACTAATCAATTTTTCAATTTTGTAAATGTCCTTTATTGAGTTACTAATATGTGGTAACGAATGAATCGAATTTGAAAACTCCAAGTAAAAATCGTAAAGGTACTCAAACACCTTACTCAAGTCTAGTGTATCAATGTCTAGTATAGAATCAACAAGTGCAATATAATCTAGATTTCTCTTAGTTGACGGCTCCACTTCTCCCAAATAACCGCTCTTCAACTTTTTTGGAAACGTCCGTTTATTTTGGTACTCGTGAAAATATAGAGTTATCCAATAGCTTCTCCACTTATCCACTGGAAACATCTCAGGAATGTAAAATTTTCTAGTGTCAAAGCAAATGAAATTTGGTTTGTTTTGTATAAAACTGGGAACAGTGGATTCAGGTAATTGCAAATACAAGTCGTCAATATACCGACTCATTGAATTGGTAAACTCAACAACTTTATCCAATTCGTTAAACTGTTTCAAGTTTTGAACATTGTATCTATTCAATAGCGATAATTCCAAGTTCAATTTCGCACGTTGTTGGTTTATAAAAGCCAAACTCTCTTGATCATCATCTTCTTCATTATTTTGCAAAATCAGCAATTGCTCATCCGCAATAGATATAGACTCATATAGTAGACTTTTTACCCCCTTTAAGTGATTCCATTTAAAAATTCTAAATATGAATTTGAAATCTTTCCAAAAGTCGTTAAATTTGGAGGTGACACATTTCAAATCAACCACAACCTTAAACTCTTCAATCATGCAATTACAAATCTTATAAAGCATAACCCAAACGCAATTATTAAAAAAGCTGATTTTATCACCATCACTACCACCACCACCACCACCATTACCGTTTTGAGATTTAAAAGTGGAGTAGTTACAATTGAAACCAGGATGGTTGGGACCATTCTCCATGCAATCTTTAAAGTCAGAAATCATAATGAAGCAGTAAAGAAATGACCTTGTTTCGTATGGGTTTCGTGTAATCCTCAAGTACTGCAAGATATAGCAGAGACTGATTTTAATACTTGACTCTGAATTAAGACTAGTCAATACTTGGCCAAATGACATTTCCTCGAATTTGGTCAAAAATAATGCTTGTTTGATAAACTTTGTGTGCTTGATAAAGATATACTCTTTTGCTCGGTTCTGTAGGGATCTGATAAAGGGCACAATGCATGGCATAATCTGACAAATCCGCTTCACCCGTTTCCAATCTGAATGATGGCCAGCAGAATTTTCAAGATGAAAGATTAACAAGTTTTCAGCTTCCTTTTTGATGGAACCTTGACACCTGTTACTTATACATTTCACGGCTTTTTCCCGAATTGAATCAAGATACTCTCTTCGCCTATACCTTGCATTTTCCAATTGGTTGTTTAGCTTTTCAGATTGAAGTTGAATCAACTTCATTTGTTCTTGCTTGACACGTCTAATTTGCTTGTCAACTTTGTTATTTTGAGCATTCAATCTTAATTGAACATTGCGCACAAACGTCTTTCTTCTTGTATTATGTATAGTCTTGTCTCTGGGCGGTGACTTGATAATTGGAGTTAGGTTCTTTAGTATATCGCTGGGAATTTGGAAATTAGAAAACGTTCCATGAGAAGAAGCAGCGGGAGCAGAAGCAGAAGCAGCAGCGGGAGCAGAAGCAGCAGAAGCAGCATTTGTAGGAACAGCGGGAGCAGCAGCTGTAGGAATAGCAGTGAGGGGTGTTTTGGGCTCATCAATTGATTGCGTAGATCGTCGAATAGGTTGTTGTGGCTGTGCGCGAAATGAGCCACAACCATGCTGGTGGTGTTGGTGATGGTGATGTTGCCTTGCGTGGGGGATACTTGGCTTCCCCAGCAGCCGCGGAAATGACAAGTGTGAATTCCTCGGCTGTTGCTGTTGGGGTTGCGACTGAGGTTGGGGAGTACCTGATCTCTGATCTTGCTCTTGTGATGGTTCAGAAGTATCCATCTTGTAATGGAACTACTTTGCTATAAAACTGGGGAGGGGGGAAAAAAAGAATAGTAGATATGACCCTGATGAATCAAGAAACTACAGGGTTTGGGTGACAGGTAAAGTGTATTGTCTTGTAGGAAAGCAATTGTCTCACCAAAAAAGTCCTACCGCCAGATAGTAGGAAGGGGTAGGTAGCTTTAGGGGTTCTGCCTAAAGACTCAATGTCTTTTAGTAACAAAGTTGAGAGCTGCGAGATGCGAGATGCTGGTTCTTATCAAGTTATTAGAACTTGTTTAAAAAGGAAATAAAGGTAATATTTAGTTTAAAACATCAAGCTCTTTGAAAAACGCAGTTTCCTTAGTTTTGGTATACTTTAACTATCTATATAAAGGTTTAGGGCGTCAATGGCCAAGGGCTCAAAAGGCCTATTGTTTCATTTAATTCATCTCTATGCATAAATAGCTGATAAAGACAAGAGAATTATAATTACACTTTAGGGATTTGTAATAGGATTACACTTTAGGAACACTTTAGGGACACCTCGGGGACACCTCGGGGACACCTTGAGGACACCTTGGGGACACCTTGGGGACACCTTGGGGACACCTTATCACCTTATAACTATCTGATAAAGTGCAAGAAAAAAACAACGACCTTGGCTAACTTTGCTATTTTTTCGTTTCTGTGGAGTGAAAAAAATAGCAATAGGAATGATTTAACAATGGCCTTATTTTGATATGTTTGAGGTTATAGAGTTGATAGAGGCTACAGAGGCTGATTAGATACCTATTATGGCTCTTATCAAGCTTTTACTTTTAGTGTAATACTCTCCTAGACGAATGATGTCTACTTTCCATTTATGGGAATAAAAAAAAAGATGGCTGGCTGAGCGACACTATATAGCAACACTATCGAGCGAAGCGAGATAGTGGGGCACACTGACTAATATCTCGCTCTGCTCGATAAGGTTGTAACAAGCTACTGTTGTAACAAGCTACCAAGTGTTGCACCACTATCTCGCTTTGCTCGATAGTGGTTGATAGTGGTCGATAGTAGTGGAACTAATTTACATATTTTGTTATGTCTCACATACCAAATACAACCTTTAGAAAAAGCTACATTCAAAAACAATTTGCCAGTTTCATCAAGGTATCTTCGTAAAGCATTATCATTATTCTATAAAACTTCTATCATAACTAATAACAGATCACTCTTTGATCCATCTCTAATTTAATTCTCTAAAATTTATAATGTGCGTTTTTTCCAAAACTTAAATGACGAGTTTAGGCTTGCACCGCTATTAGATTGACTCTTGCTACTACTCGTTGAAATGGGACTAGCATTCAAAGACCTAATATCGGCAATACCACTATTACTTTGTTTAGCTACCAACTGTGGCGAATTAGTCACACTGTGCAGGTTACTGTTACCAAATAGTTTAGTTGCACTAATGCTATGTGATGATGATGACGATGATGTATGAGGCATAAAGTTATGCTGATGAGATTGGTGTGATTTGTAAACTTTTTGCGTTGGTAATGACGTGGGTGAACAAGTAGTCACTGGAACCGAGTTGGGAGGGCTCGACGTTTTTGATAATAATGATGAATCTAAATGACTACTCATTGAGGAGTGGTTGTAATTATTGTTGAATTTCAAATGGCCCAATATACTCAGAAATGAGGAGGATGACTGTAACGGCAATGGTTCTTCCTCGGGGAGCGATGAAGTTGCAGTGAGTGGGGAATGTTGCAGTGGTGTTGGTGGTGACGATACTTGGTGTAAATGTTTGTTCTTTCTAGGGAAAAACGAAAGTCTAGTGAATAATGATGGTGACTGATCTGCAGTATCTGCTACATCTCTCATCTCAAGTGAAAGGGGTGTCGATTTGGTGGAAATCGGAGTAGATGCACGGCTAGAGAAATAGGATTGTTTTTCTATTTGATCCACTTGCGGTTCAAAGGGAAGGATATTACACAAGTCTTCTTCCCGAAGCTGCAGTGGCTGTTGCGGCAGTTGCAATTGCAGTTGCAATTGCAGTTGTTGTTGTTGTTGTTGTTCCTGCTGCAGTTGTAGGTGCAGTTTCAGTTGTTGCAGTTGCAGTTGTTGTTGTTGTTGTTGATGTTGTTGATGTTGTTGTTGTTCCTGCTGACGCTTTTGCATTAATTGCTTCTTATACTGACTCATAAACTCAAAATATCCATTTTCCTTCAACATCCTCAAAACCTCCTTTTTGGCCTTTAATAGAATCATTGGATGGTGCAATTTGTTTATAGAATTTTCTTCGACAATTTCCTTGAATAGTTTCTGCGATATATTGATCTGTAGTGGCGAGTCTTGTTTAATATATGTATTCATAATAATACTCCAATTCAAATTCAATTCGTCAATATCTTCACGAGAAACACAAACAGGATCCTCAATACTATTGCCCTCATCTTCTGTGTCTGATTCCAATTCGGGAGTATCGTCAATTTGTTTTGAGCCAAAAGTTTTCCATGTTTCAGTCATGTCTAAGTCGTCTATAGTTGAGACAAAGGCATTCAGTGGATCATGCAATAGTGATTCTTCATTAAAAGGTCTTGAAAGGGAATCAAACGAGGAATCTGACCGGTTTCTACTGCCGCCGCTACTACTATTCCGAACCACTGAACTAATAGAATCTCTTTTCGAAGAAACCTTGTTGCTTTTGTATAGAGATTCACTAGTTGAAATAGTATTACTGATTGCATTCAAGGACAATCCGGAAGCTTCAGGTTGGCACATGGGGTAAAACTTCAAATTGAAAAGGTACTCGTATCGATAAATATCAATCAAAAAATCTAGGTTTTCTTGACAATGTTGCCTGTTCAAAAAATCATGAAAGTTTTTGGCCATAGCTATCCTTAATGCATCGTTGTCACCATAATATTCTTGATTGTTTGAAAGTTTGTCAATTGATAGTAGAAAACAGTCATTCACCAATTGGTCTAAGGATGGAAGGTTGCATGGCGGCGAAGACGGTTTTGATTTTATAGACGATGCTGTAGTCTTACTAGGTATTTCGGTTTCCGTTTCCGTTTCCGTTTCTGTTTCCGAAAAGTGCTGATTATGTTGCGTTAGAGACGCATTTAGTGATTTTAAGTCGATGGATCTTGTTGGAATGGGACTCTCTGTTAGCGAAGGTAAAGACATGGGGAATTGTTTCGGTGAAAAGGTGATTTCATCTTGCGTCGGTATTTGAGCTTGAGCTTGGGTTTCATTTTCAGTTTCAGTTTTGGAATAAGATTGAGATTGAGTCGGCACTGGTACAAATGTTGATCGTACCATGATCTACAATGCTCTGTATCCAATCTTTTCGGGCTTTTTTAAAAAAAAAATTGGGCAATGCAAGAATCGTAATTTTCCACAATACAAAAATCGTAATTTTCCACAATACAAGAATCGTAATTTTCGAGGTTTTCGAGTTTTAGGAATTTGAATATTGAAACCTTTCCTCTATGCTATTTCTTTAACTTTTGGGTTCTTGTTTATGACCAAAACCCCTTTCTGTTTTTTTCCTCAAGACAGAAGCAATGAAAACCAACAGATGAAGAAGACAAATATTGACAATAAAGACAAGTTAAAAAAAAAAAAGAAATATTGACAATAAGGACAACAATAAAGAGCATTGTGTTTCTAAGAGCAAATAGAACAATTAAATAAGTACAAAAAAAAAAGAAATAAAAAAGAGAAGAAAAAGAAATCATGAGAAAGGGCCCTAGTCGTAATATACGGAGATATTAAACATTTGTTTTAATAATATTTTTCATATAGAATAATAGAAGATTAAAACTAATATGGAAAAGCAGGAGATTTAACCACTTTTCAGCTTTGAGTATACAACATAAAACTATATTAATCTTGCACTTTTCTCACTTTCTTGTCCTCTTTTGCATCTACTAAACCTGCCTCAACCCCCCTACTTTTACTCGCTAAATCTTTCTTCTTCTTCTTTCCGTTACATTGTTAGCATCAAAGAAGAAGACTCAAACACTATTTTTAAAAAATATTGAATTTCTTTTTTTCTCTCAACGGTTTTTTGGTTGAGTGTGCACTACATTTTGAATGCACCCCATGCACTATGATTAATGGATGTTCATTTTTGAACAATAGGAAATTAAGCATGTAATGGGAAAAGAAAACTTGCAACCTGAAATAGCAAGAAAATATAGACTACTCTCTATAGACTATCGAGCAATAGACTACTCTCTATAGACTATCGAGCAATAGACTATCGAGCAATAGACTATCGAGCAAAGCGAGATAGTCTATAGAGAGTGTAGATGAAGAGAGTAGATATAGACTATCGAGCAATAGACTATCGAGCAATAGACTATCGAGCAATAGACTATCGAGCAATAGACTATCGAGCAATAGACTATCGAGCAATAGACTATCGAGCAATAGACTATCGAGCAAAGCGAGATAGTCTATAGAGAGTGTAGATGAAGAGAGTAGATATAGACTATCGAGCAATAGACTATCGAGCAATAGACTATCTCGCTTCGCTCGATAGTCTACTTCTACCCTTTCCGTTTATAGACTATCGAGCAATAGTCTATTTCTACCCTTTCCGTTTATAGACTATCGAGCAATAGTATATAGAGAGTGTAGATAAAGGGAGTAGATTTAGACTATCTCGCTTCGCTCGATAGTCTATTGCTCGATAGTCTATTTCTAGGTGTGGCTTTCCAACTTACTTTCTTCACTTATGACAGGTACATCTACAATACATTGTACCTTTATTTTAGATCAACTTGGAAATGCGTAAAGACACGCACGTTAGTGCAAATCCCCTCCTTGATTCGTATCGTAATGCAGCATTTAATAGTGAGGGAAAAAAAAGAAAATAGTTCACCCCTTCTTCGGGGTTACAAACTACATGCTTGAGGTCATTCAAATCTGGAAAGTTTCAACAGAGGTTATGTTCTTTCCTGGACACTGCTTTGCAACACGCGCCACTACTTGGAAAACTGACTAACAAACGGGTTTGTTTGCAACATTTCAAAATAAAGAGTCGTGTATATTTTTTGTGAGTTGGACATTCCTCATGAGCAAACCCCGTTGAGCAATAAGAGTAAGAGCAAGATTTTATCTTGAAAGGTTTCTTTTTTATTTTGAAAGGTTTCTTTTTTATTTCAATTTTCTTGTCAAATATCATTTAGACGGATTCCAAAAGAAATGAAAAGGGTTAAAGTAAAATAAATTGTAAATCATAATTACAAAAGCAAAGGGCTTTTTAATTAGCTAAAACAATTATAACCTACTGCTGCTGCTTCTAAAAAATGAGTGTCAAAATTTATTGGTAAAGCTATATCTCAAGTTAAAACCTTATTTAATTAGAAAAACTCTATTGAAATATCACAATTGCCTGTTAAAGCCATTGAGCAAATCTTTTTTCCTCTCATCTATCTCATTTATCCCCATTTATCTCATTTATCCCCATTTATTCTCTCATTTAGACGCAAGCCATCATTTGCTGAAAACTGGTGAGTCTTTCAATTATTCACTTTTATTTTCACCTGTGTAATCTAACCCGTATTCCAACACAAAAAAAAATTGATTTTAGGTTTAGTTTCTAGGGTTTCCCTTTATCTTTAAAGAAAAATGCATAGTGCTTAAAAGAGAGATAGAGAGAGGGAGACAAAAATAGAGGAAAGTGGGGGAAGAATGGCGCTTTTTTGCCTTAGAAATAGCACTCTTCTATTTAAGGGGCTAAAGGAGATAATAGTAGAACCGCTCGCCCACAACTTCCCCAATATAGTGTCTTTCGCTCTAATTGTTTTCCTTTTATATACTAATTGGTTTCCTGCAAAAGAGATTTTTAGTTTCTTTATTCTGGAATGATTGGAAGATAATCTTTTGCGTCTTATAATTGTGAATGAGCTAAACAAACATGAGTCGATTTTATCTATTAGTTTTTTCTTTCTTTTTTCTCTATTTTTTTTTTTTTTTTTTTTTTAATTTTCGTACAGCGGAAAGAATCAGGTGAGGTTTCTGCACAATTCATACTCAGTAAAAAAGCCAGTTTATTGGAAAGGAGAGTATAGTTTACACTAGTCACTATTGGAAAGGAGAGTATAGTTTACACTAGTCACTAAGTCTTGGCCTCTCTATTCACCAGTTTCTCTTTTGTAAGATCTATAAGTAGGAAGTACCTATTTAGTAAAACGTGGGTGAAAGGAAGCGGGCACTGAGGTATATTTTGCAATGGAAAAGGTAACAGGCACAAAAATCGAATTTAAAGAAACAAGTTACAAAGAAAGTATTTGAGTAGACGACAAGACTTGTTATTCATACCGCAAATGATAACATTGTGAAGGATCACTTGATTGATGATACGTCTATTGTTTCTCTCTTTTTATGACATCATTGATGATGATTCTCTCATTTCATCGACACTATCGAGCAAAGCGAGATAGTGGAGCAACACCGACTAGCAACCAAAAAACAACAACAACAACAACAACAAATGAGCTTCTCGATAGGGAAAATCAAAATTAGTAAAAAAAAAAAAAGTAATCGTGTGCTTAATAAATGTTAATCACACTTGATGCATTTTTACTGCATGATTGCAAAACCCCCTTACCACTTACTTTAAAAATCTCAGATGAAAGCGCGAATTCCAATCTGGAAATCTCAGATGATTCGTGAATAAAGGTTTGCTGCGTGGTTAAAGTGATCAAGTATTTTTTTACCAAAGTCTTTTTGGCTTATCTGGTGCGACACTATCGAGTGGAGCGATATAGCGGAGCACACTAGCTTGATAAAACACTACCTTTAACAAAAAGAGATTTTAAAGTACAAAACCTTTTCACAAAGTAGTAGGTTTCTATTGAATAGGGTTTGATATAGAGATCTAAAAGCGTGATTGTAAACAGCAGTTCTTTAACTTCTTCTTTGGCTTTTACCTCCTACATCGACACTATCGAGCAAAACGTGGTACCTTGTAACGGGTTTGATTGTATGTTTCAACCAAAACAGTACAAAATGTTTTTTTCCCTTACCCCTTAAGAGTTACCCCGGATTCTTTATATTTTTGTACTCCATTCACGAATACCCCTTAATCACTTGATATTTCTGCAAAGACACTATCGACCTATCGAGCGAAGGGAGCTAATGGAGCGTTTACTAGCTTGTTACAACACGACTTACGAAGTACTTGTCAAAAGATAAGTTTTGAATAGCCTAGACTGTTTTACACATTTTAGAAACATGAACGACTATCGACCCTATCGAGCAGAGCGAGATAATTGAGCAATACTGAATAGTTGCCACCGACACTATTAACGCTATCGTCACCATCTCGTTCTGCTTGATAGTGAAACACAGGGCTTTTCCCAATACCCTTAAATTAGTTGGGTAGTTGTCTCACCTGGTCCAATTGCTTTTGCCAACGTGTTTCTACCCAATTGTTCCTACGCAATTGTTTTCTGCGCAATTGCTTTTGCGCAATTATTTGCTTATCTTTTTCATCTTTTTTTCCACCTCCGGATAAGAGAATACCCCTTTGAGATGAGCTGATAAACGTCTATTTATTAATTTAAAGAAACAGCTTTTCTATTAACCGTTTACTTTTACCAAACGGCTATTTCGCTAATCTGGAAACTTGCAAAAACGTTACAGAGTTAAGCGTGAGCTATAAATACCCATCTGAAACAGATTTTCTCAATACCCGAACTCGGCAAGATCAACAAAAAAAAAAAAAAAACACAAAAAACAGTTGAGGAATATTAGAAACAAGTTTATTGGGAATAAGGGTTGGAACAACAAAGTAGAATTGAGTAGATGTAAGTCGTTATTTGGCTTTTTTTTTCCACAATGTTTTCAAGATCAAGTACTAGAAGTTTGTTGAGAACTGCGTTGGCTGGAAATTCACAAATTATATCCCCGTTATCCCTAACTATTTGGCAATACCATGATCAGCAAAAGCAAATGCAAACTCTGCCCATTTTAGCAAGGTTTCTTGTTTGTAAAGCAAGTAGAATGAAGAACAAAGAGGAGAAAAAAGAGAGTGATTTGGTTTACAGCTCATTGAGTAAACCAGAGGAAAACTCGGAAAACTCCTTAGATACAATTGGTTCTGTTTCGCCATTTGAACATAAGCTTATTTTGGAAAAATCACACTGGATTGACACGGCAAAATCAAGCAAAGGATTCTTGAATAATGTCGTTGACTCAAGTAAGTTCTACTCGGAACTTTGCGATTTTCAAAGATTCACTCAAATTAAATACGAAAATGTTAATTTGGAATGTATTATGTACAATGACTTGAAACGGTATGCTGAAGATTTTTGGAATTACTACTCAGCTGAACCGGTTATCAATGACGATTACAGTAAAATACCTAGATTGAATGCAATGATTGAGTATATGGGAGAGGCTGCTAAGGACGATAAGTTTACCTACATTCTTTCACACTCGTTCTTACAGATGGTTCTGCAGTATATATTGCTAGCACGTTTTATTGAAGCCAACTTGCATTGCTTCATCCCAGAACTAAAAGAATTGGCCGAGTTGAAGTTTGTCGATTTAACATCCTTGTTGGGATATATGAAAAACAGAATTACCGATTGGAACAATACATTGGAAAATAGTCATGATAAGAATGAAGAGTACTTGATTCTCACAATCAAGGCTTCTCGGTATAAACAATTGCGTGAAATACTTCTTCAACTTGACTTGGATATTGACATATTGACAAAATTAGTTGAAAGTGACGTGCTTACCACAGCACTAGATATCATAACAAAGGGCAATAATGTCAAATTGACCAACAAGATTCCCTTACCTCCAACAGAAAAGAAACATACTACAACCACCAATAGTTACAAACAAATGCCAGACTGGTTGCATCTCGAAAGACACGTCAATGAAATTACCTTTTTGAAATCGAAAATTGGTGGTAATTTTGACAAAAAGGACAGAGTGATGAAAAAGATTGACGAGCTCATGGAAGAAATCTTAGAACATGAAAACGCGTATGATGGGGAAATTAATGAAAACAGTTTTCTTAAACTCAGGTCAAAGTTGAAAGAATTTACAGTAAATAATGCTGATGATTGTTTGCAAGTTCTCGATACGGTAATTGTCAATCAAGATGCATTTACCAAGTTTGAGAATTTTTTGCACAAGTTGAATCCCGTATCATCTTTAGATAAGCAAACCGCTTCTGAGAATAATCAATTATTGCCTACAAATTCAAAGATTCCAGAAATACTACAACAGAACTGCAATAGTGTTTCTACAAGTGACAAAAGGGCAATCAATTCCAACGAAAAACAACACGAAACAAAGGAGTCGTCCTGCAGCTATAAACAAATACCTGATTGGTTGACTTTTGAGGAACATGTAAATGAAATCCAATTTTTGAAGAAGATCGTTGGTAATTTTGATGACAAGGAAAAAGTGATGAACAGATGCGACGAGATTATGAGAGAACTCACCCTCAACAACAGGTATTCAGAAGTGAATTTAAATAGCTTCCTTAAGTTTAGAATCAAATTGAAGGAGTTTTGCATTAACAATGATGTCAGTTGCTTGCAGATTCTCGATACTGTTATTCTAAATCGCGATGCATTTGAGAAATTTGAAACCTACAAGAAGGAGAAAAATGCCCAAAATGTTCAAACTATTGAACTGCAATTATCCGACTTTGAAGAGGAGTTGATCACCCTTAGATCATTGTTGGGTGTTAGTTCATTCGGAGAGGTTGATGCTGAAAAAGTTGTAGCAGTGTTGGACGAGGCGATCAAAACTCATTTCATGGATTCTTATGGTAAAAAAGAAGAAACATGTTCACCTGTTTCAAACGTTTTTTTGTTTATAAGATTGAGAGTGAGATTGGAAAAGTTGTTTAGTTTTAACGGGAACAATACGGAAGCTTTGGATAGACTAGTGCTTAAGGAGTCGGTGCACAAAGTAACAAGAGATCAAGCTAAGGATAAAACTGAAAATTTCAAAAATGTTTGTAGAACAAAACTGACGGATCCTATGAGAAAGACCGATACGCCCAAGAAACTAGTCCCTGAAGATGAAGAATCAAGAACAACCTTGTCGTCAAAAGCTGTTCATGGTTCCCCAAGTCAAACTCAAGAGCAAGTATTTGACATGAACAAATTGAAAAAGTATCTCAAGTACGCCAAATTACAAGAAGACAGCAAAATACGCCAAGAGGAAGCTTACGATTGGAGCGTTGATCAATTAAAGTCAAAAGATTGGAAAGTCGTTGGAAGCAAAATTGAAAATGGTCAGAAATATTACATTTTGAGTGACAAAAATAGACGAGAACCAGCAAGATATAAGAATATTTTGAAAGTCCTGGCAATCTTAATATTGAGTTTATTTGGAGTGAATTTGTGCTTTGATAAGTCAAACCAGGAAGAGGATAGTAGTACCATAAGAGAGACTTTAACTTGTAATAATGAAGTTTTGGACAATGCTAGAGGTGAAACTGAAAATGAAATTGAAATTGAAAACACAAACACAAATGTTTTGTCCTCGTTACGGCAATTGATGTGGAAAAGGTAAGCTCATTACAAGTAGACCTTTACTATCAAGCGAAGCGAGATAGTGGAGCTTCACTAGCTGCCAGAGTGTAATGGGTAGAAAGTAGGTGGTAGACTATAACTGTAGAGTCACCTAGTAGACTCCCTCACTCCCTATCTCGTTCCTCGATAGCTTTGCTCGATAGTAGAGCAACACTAGCTGCCAGAGTGTAATGAGTAGAGAGTAAGTGGTAGACAAATAAAGAAAGCAAAACATCAATGTAAACAACTTCTCATTCCTAGAGATTTCAATGTTACTATGGTAATTCAAAACTACACCATGCAAGGGAGTTGGCTTTCGAGAAAAACACATACAGGGTAGAATTTGGTTCCCACTTGACTCTGCTAAGAGCTCATTGAAATACTAGGAGCAAACAGCAAATACTGTTGAATGCACTTTTATGTAGCACGAATCACCTAGAGTTGAAGGTTTCATATGTAAAGTATCTACTTGACATTTGATGACACTATCGACACTATCGACACTATTGAGCAGAACGAGATAGTGGAGCAGCACTGACTAGCTGCCATCGAAACTTAGTAGCTTGTTGCAACACTATCGAGCAGAGCGAGATAGTAGGCAATACTTTATAACTTGTTACAACACTATCTCGCTCTGCTCGATAGTGTTTCTCGATAGTGTTTCTCGATAGTGCTGCTCGATAGTAAAAGAGAGTCTAACCAATAAGAAGCACCCAATACCTCTTTGATGGGGTACAAGGGTAATGCCATCTTGAGCGTTTTGACTCAATTACGGCTTATTTCCGGATTAGGAAATCTAATTGAAAAAAGAAAAAAAAGAAATCATTTTATCAGATGGCATCGCTGGTTTGGGATTCTTCACCTCTTGTGACTTGTGATTTGTAGGGCCTAAGATGCTCAGTAGATGCCATTTCTTGATTACATTTTCAGAATGACACATCAAAGTTACAAAAAGCCATTGATAAGCATTGTTGGAACAACTGGTGTTGGGAAGTCCCAATTTAGCATTGAGTTAGCCAAATGTATCAATGGAGAAATCATCAATGCAGACTCGATGCAAGTTTATAGAGGTGTTGATATAGTTACAAATAAGCATCCTGTAAAGGAGAGACAGGGGATTCCTCATCATTTGATTGACTATGTTTCCTGGAAAGAGGAATATTTCATCCACCGGTTCAACACCGAGGCAATAAACGCGATTAATGATATTCACAATCGAAACAAGATCCCCATTGTGGTAGGCGGAACACATTACTACTTGCAAACATTGCTTTTTAAAAATAAAACCATGGAAGGTAGAAAAGAGCGGGAATTGTCACAGCAGGAGCTCGATATTCTTGATGGACCTACAGATACACTTTTCCAGACATTACAAAGTATTGATCCAACTATAGCGTGTAAATTTCATCCGCAAGATCACAGGAAACTACGACGCGCTTTAGAGATATGGTTTACTACGGGAGTAAAGCCGTCAATTATTTATCATGAGCAAAAATTGAACGAGTTGAAAGAAAGCTCTCTCAAGTACAATACCATTGTGTTTTGGTTATATTCCGATATGCCTGAATTGTATAAACGATTGGATGCTCGGGTAGACACAATGATGCAAACAGGTGCCATTGAAGAAATCAAAGCTCTTTATCAGAGCTACAAGGCCGCCAAGTGCGATTGCCTGTCGGGCATTTACCAAGTCATTGGATTCAAGGAGTTTTTACCCTGGTTAGAAACAGAGTCCACAGATGTCAAGGTTTTGGATTCTGCTTTCAATGATGGCGTTGAGAGAATGAAAACACGAACTCGACAATATGCAAAGTATCAAGTGAAATGGATTCAAAAGACCTTGAGTTTGGAGCTCCAAAAAGAAGCCAAATTTGACTTTATTAATGGCGGCAAGCTCTGCATTCTCGATGCTACCGATTTGACTCAATGGGATCAGAATGTACGCGATCATGGAATCCGAATAACAAAACAATTTCTAAACTACGGATCAAAGAAGATCGAGACAGTTGCGCCTCAGAACCTTGAACATTTAATGTCAAACGATGAAAAGCACTTGAAAAGTAATAAAAAACTCGGTGCCGAATCAAATTGGAAGCACTTTCAGTGTGACATATGCAAAGACAAGAGCGGTCGGCCCCTTGTTGCCGTGGGAGAAGAAAACTGGAATTTGCACCTCAATAGTCGAAAACATAGGAGACAGTTGCACTCTTTGGAAAAAAAGAAACATGTTGAAGAGATGATTAGATTAAGAAAAGAAAATGGGGCTTTAAATGAAAGGAAAATGGGGCTCTAAATGAAAGGAAAATGGGGCTCTCAAAGAAAAGAAAATGGGGCTCTAAAAGAAAAGACTCTGTAACAATATTACTACTACTACTACTACTACTTAACAATCCCTTTGGCCTTGTAGTTTGATTCCACTCCCCTATCGCCTTTGTAGTGGGGTGCCTCTCTTATCCTAGCATTCATTCGGTAGCTTATATATCTACACATGGTAGCGTTATATGTTTACTATTTCTTCTTATTAGTTTCAGGGGATTTTTCAGTTTGCAGATATTAGGGGTGGAGCTTTATCTTTGAAAACGAAGATCGAGGTGTAAGTACAGGTGGTCTAAGTTGGTTGTTTTTTGTCCCTTTCAGGTACTGGATTAAACTCCAAAGTTTCCCCGGTTTCTTTCTGCAGAAAATGACGGTAGTTGAGGATCAGTTTTCACGTATTAGTATCAATAAGTCACCGAGAAGAAAGAAGATATATGGGCAACATGCAGACATAAATTATGAACCGGTGCTGTGTGAGAGCTCTCTAAAAACGCCGGTTCGGCTCTATGATCAAGCTCCTGCATCGAAAAGTACGATAAAATCTCATAGAACTGAAAATTGCAATATTTGTCCCATGTCGGATCAATCTAATTCCAAAAAGACTTACCAATTTTCATTTATGAAAGAAACAACATCGTCGATCCAGAAACGGCAAAACTTGAATCCTTTCTTATGCGATTCTTATAACAGTCCGCTCGCAAGGACGACTTCGTCTACATCATCGACTAGAAAGAGACTTGAATATTCCAGACAATTATCCTATAATTTACGAACTAGGCGACACATATCGCTCAATGCCGCAACTCCAAGCACCAAGGTACCCTGTGATATTACAAATATCTCTGGCTCCATTGAGACGACTATCGATAAATCCTTGAGAAATGCTAGTTATGTGCCCACTAGAAAGGAAAAGGAAAAGGAGAAGGAGAAGGAGAAGGAAAAGGAGAAGGAAAAGGAGAAGGAAAAGGAGAAGGAGAAGGAGAAGGAGAAGGAGAAGGAGAAGGAGAAGGAGAAGGAGGAAGAAGAGGAAGACAATGAATTATCACCTTCTAAAGCGAAGCGGATCGTGACCCAGCGTCCTTCTTTAAATTTGCCGCCTGCTAATGTATTTAATAGATTATACACACCTTCACAACAGCAACAAACCGGGAATAACATATCTACACAAGTTGCGCCCCTCAAGACATCAAGAAGGTCAGCTAGTCGGCCGAAAATAGACTCAATTTTGCATCTTTACAACTTGCTATACAAACGCAACCCCAGATTATTTGCTCATTCTATCATCACTTCCGAGGCCCCAACTAGTTCTCACCGAGCACCTTTAGAAATCAAAGATCTATCTTTCCAAGCTTTAAATGTTTACGAACGAGGTGAACTAATGCGCAAAAACAATCTATATTACGTGCCATTGAACTTCTCGAGAAACGTGAATATGAAAAGTTTTGGAGATAACTTTGGCTTTGATGATAGGGATGGGAACTACAAAGTCATGCCCAAGGACCATATCAATTACCGATACCAAGTTATAGAAAGTATTGGCAATGGTTCGTTCGGAAAGGTGATTTTAGCTCAAGATCACAAGTTTGTAGGGAAAAACCTTTTGGCAATTAAAGTTATAAACAACAACTTCAATTCATCAATACAGTCCATTAATGAGATTAAGGTATTGAAATATATTAAGGAGCGCAACGGGCACCCCAACATTATCAATTTCTATAATCATTTCAATTTCAGAAGCCACATTTGTATAACAACAGAACTATTATCGCTCAATCTATATTCACTACTTGAAATTACTAATTTCCAAGGATTTTCTGCGGATTTAGTGAGACAGTTTGCCAAACAAATGCTCAATGGTTTATCGTTCCTCCATAGCTTGAAAATATTGCATTGTGACCTCAAGCCTGAAAATATCATGCTAAAACTCCCATCAGATCCAACAAGCCAGGAGCTTATAGTCAAGCTAATCGATTTTGGCTCTGCTTGTTTTGACGATGAGAAGGCATTCACATATATTCAATCACGATTCTACCGCGCACCTGAGGTAATCATTGGTGCAGCATATGACAACAAAATTGACATTTGGTCGTTTGGCTGTGTTCTTGCCGAATTATTCACCGGTGTACCCTTGCTACCAGGTAAAAATGAAATCGATCAAATTGGGTTAACTTTGGAAATTTTTGGGGTGCCAAAATCTTCAACTATATTAAGGTTGAGATCACAGTTATCCAAATCCTTGTTTCAACAAAACACAAAGAGAATCGAAAATGGATGTAAACCACAATTGCCAAATGCAAAACAAGTTAAAAAAGCATTACTTTATAGAATTTTTGATCTTGATGGGAAGATTAACTTGACTTGCTTGAATAATTATAAAGCGTTAACCAACAACGTTCCATCTGCTGCTGCTGCTGCTGCTGCTGCTGTTGTTACTACCACAACGACCGCAACTGTCAAGAAACAAGTCAGGTTAAATTCAAAAAATTTAGAGATGTGTTTGGCAATCAACAATTCCACATGTGGCTCCTCGATCGGCAGGGCACTATTTGTAAAATTTTTACAAAGAATCTTTGTCTGGGATCCTCTCGAGAGATCTAGTGCCGAGGATTTGTTGAAAGACTCTTTTTTGTCAGGCACTTGAGATTGGTTAGAGCAAGATAATCATTTATGATGAATTAAATGCAATATATATACACACACACACACACACGCGCAATATACAATATTCAATATTTCATGGGTGTCCGTGGTGAGAGCCGGGCCAAGCACTAATCTTTTCGGGTAAGGGAGTAGAAGACCTGCTGCTGTCGCCTCCGCTTTCATTATACTCGTAAATCTCCTCAATGGATTCGCTAGAGTCAGCAAACGAATCAATTTTCTTCTCCATGCGATGTTTTGATTCGGAATTTGACATTGTTTTGACAAACTCCTTTATCGTCGAAAGCTTTTCGGTTTTCAGATCTTCTATTCTTTTTAGTAGTCGTGCTCCAAACTTTGAGTCAGTAGGCAAGTTGTTGTATATTTTATTTTTCAAAATGTTCACTACTTTTAAGTTGTCTAATACTTTATCGTAGTACGACTCTGGAGTGAATTCTATCGAAATATTATTAGACCTCAATGGTGGGTTTATCAAAAGCAATACAGCATAATACAACATGATATGTATATGTACTGGAACATAACGCAAATTGTCTAAAATATCTTTATCTGTTATAACTAAATTGATCACAGTGTGTGCAGCATTTAGTGCAATATTGGCATTAATGGCAACTTCATCGGGAGACAAAAACTCTTTATTTGAAATAAACTCATTTTCCTCTTCTGAAAGCTCGGAATCTTCTGAATCGGAATCAAAATCAGCAGTTTTCTTGCTCTTTTTGGCCATGGTGGTGGTGGTGGTGGTAGGAGCCTTTGCCAAAATCTCCTGAAAGTTGATACTACTTTCGAGTTTAGGAAAAGAACCATCCTCACCGGGGTTAAACGTTAGCTGCCTGACTGCTGACGAGTTGATATGCATTTTGGCAAAATTATAGTAGATAAGCGTACTCTTGGAAGACCAAACTGCACCATAATTACCAGGAGCTAACATGACAGTCCACGAAACCATCCATTTGTCTAGTTCAAGATTACTCTTTGATGGGATTCCAAAAGAGTCGGGTACCAATAGATCCCATGCATCACCACGAAACACTTCATTTAGAGCCTGATAATATTCAACTTGTGAAACCAATTGCAAATCGGTAAATTGTTGTTTGACAAGCATATGTTTGTACTTCTCTTCTTCTAGTGATTGTGGATTTAGTGGGTTTAGTGAGTTTGATGGTCTAGCGGCATTCTCTTTGTTTGTGGCAGGTTTTCTATGTTCCATTTGCAAGACTGTATTCTCCTTTATAGCCTTATCGACACCGCGAGTAAGTAAGTCTTTACTGTGTTTGATCGAGTATTCCTGTCCATTAACCAACTGCTCCCTGTGAAACGCCATACTTTGTTGTCCATCCAACACATACAACAAATACCACAACTTCAAATCTTCTTTACCCTTGACGCTATTGCCATGGTTTGCTTTATCCAATCCGTACTCTTTAGCAAGCTGTAGTGCTAAGCCAGTGAACATTTGTGAATCTGATAACCAAAAGCTGCAGAGTATCAAGGCAACAATTGTATTATAAGCATCTGTTTTTGATTTTGGTCTATTTTGGAAAAATAGACTGCCACACAATTCTCTCAAGTAGACTTGAAGTTGTTCCGATTTGGCTGCTAATCGAGAATGGTGGATGGATGCTATTGTGCATATAGCACATACCAAAACAGGACAAGTATGCCATATATCATTTACACTAAATTTTGAAATTTCAAATCCAAAGAGCTGTTGCGAGATGTGTGATTCAAAAAACTTGAACAAGTCCCTGGCCTCTCTTTTTGTCAAAAAGCCATCTCGAAAGTCTTTTGGAAATTGGTGAATGCAAGTGTGTTCTCTTTTTGCATTGAAGATATTGATATCTTCCCGCAGAGGTCGCTTCCTAGATGTTTCGTTGTCGAGTAGAGGAGGTAGCATGATTTCTGGCGAAACCGAGCTGGGGTGAGACAGTGACAGGCTTGTCCCCCCACTTACAACTGGTAGTCGAAATTGATTATTGTACTTGGCTTGTTGTTCAAAGTTCTGACACATATTCAGCGAGTCAATTAAACCGCCTTGCGAAGATCCACTATTGGATTTAAGAAAGTCTACCAAATTGTCAATTTTGGTGTCAAAAGAGTCCATTCTTTCTTCAATCTGTGACCTCCAGTGCTGATCGTTACTTGCCTCATTAATCGATTGCAGTTGAGACGGTATCGCTCGGACAAGCGAAGTACGTGCCGTTTGCTCTTGCAGGTATAAAGGCGGGTGTAGAATACTATTAGACATCAATGCTGAATGAATCCTGGGAAGAGTATTATACTGTTTTGGCGTACCCAATGTTTTCAGTGGTGGTGGTGGTGGTGGTGGTGGAGGACGAGGACGAGGAGCTGCTGCTGCTGCTACCCCTGCCCCTGCTGGTGACGATATGTTTGATACAGTGCTCGGTACTAATGAGGGAAGCTTTAGCGATGGGAGCTTAGTGACAAAGTGGCATGTTGCCGCTTGACCTGTTTTCAAACATCGTTGGCACGGTAATATACCTTCATAAACACACTTGACTTTGGATTTCTTACAGTTGCAGCATGGCTTGGTGCGCTTTTCTTTTGACATACTATTCTTCAAGTCCAGAACCTTCTCCCTAGCAACGTAGCTGCGCCCACAAATGCTCTTACCCCTTGCTGTAAGGGCTTGTCTTGATAAACTTGATGATAAGCTCTTCGTGTTTTCTAACAAATGTTCCAAAAGAGTCGTGCGAGATGAACAAGGTGCAAAATGGGTGCAAAATATCACCAAGATGAAAGGAGCAAAGGGTTGTATTGGGAAGGACACTATCGAGCAGAGCGTAGCTGCCCACTATCGAGAAGAGCGTAGCTGCCCACTATCGAGAAGAGCATAGCTGCCCACTATCGAGCAGAGCGAGATAGTGGTGCACCATTAAAAATAGTAATATATAATTAGTATAGTTTACACACTGACTAGCTGCCACGGACACTTTGTAGCTTGTTAGAACACTATCGAGCAAAACAAGATAGTGTTACCCTGTAGCTTGTTACAACACTATCTCGCTCTGTTCAATAGTGTTACCTTGTAGCTTGTTATACTATCTCGCTCTGTTCAATAGTGTTACCTTGTAGCTTGTTATACTACCTCGCTCTACTCGATAGTGTTAAATTCTTAAATCAGTTGGGTGTCAGTCAAATTTTATCCCTGAATCTGGATTCCAGATATTGGTTTTTTGGCCTTTTGGTGAAACAATTTCTTGTCTAACTGCTGCTTGAGACAGCAATGCGGTTTTCTGTTGTTGCTCTTTTATTCTTTGCTGATGGTTGCTTAAAGCCATTTCCAATTCTCTACTCTCCATTCGTCTTTTGCCAAGGTACTCTTCCAATTCGTGTAACAATCTTGTTCCCTTATTAATAAAATCGTGATAGAATTTAACGCCTTCTTCCAAGTTGGAAATGATTTCTAGATACTTTACATATGCCGCATCTAAGCTCTGTAACGCCTGTTGTCTTTGCAATTGAGTTGAACTTACTGAGGTATGATAATGTGCCAAAAATTTACTGTTTAACGCTTCTATTTGATGCTCGAGTTGCTGTTGATCTTGCTTAGTTTGCTGGAGATAAGCAAGATCTTGGTCTAGTATCTTGAGATGCGCTTCATAGATTAGCTCTAGATTGGTAGATTTAATTTGCCCCTCGCTGTCGTAAAGACTCTCTTTATTTTGCTTGTATTCCTCAATAAGTTTCGGCAATATCGTATTTTCCCTGTTCTTTTTCTCTACCCTTATAATAAATTGAGATCTATCAGACTTTATTGTTTCCCACTTTGATACACAATCTCTGAGTTCAGAAATGACAAGAGACAAGTTTTCATCCAACTTTGCATAGTTAGAATTTGGAATAAACTTATTCAAGGAAGAATATCCACCAACAAATACTTTCAACACAGGTGCAATGCCGTTGTATTTTTCTATAATTGTTTTATCTCCAAGTTCTGCTTGTTTCAAGTACTCTCTCATCTTATCGACTTTGGCAATAAGAATATCTGAAGCGTCACTACTTGTATTTGGCCTAATGTCTCCACTTGGACCATGCATGCGTTTTATCATTTCATCTTCTTGACGATATATGTCTATGCGTTTCTGACACTCGACAACAAGATGACTGCATTCCTTATTTAACTTGCTTAGCTCCAGAAACGACCATTCAATTGAACTTATTCCGCCATGGTCCATTATTTCTCTTGAGTGGTTAATTATGGAATCAGGGATATTTTCTGGTTGTTCTAAAGAGTCAATATTTGATTCGATATCGCGTTCAACCAAGAACTTTGTCATTAGGAGATTTAAGCTTTGTAAGGGATCATATATTTTGCTTTGCACAAAATCTTCTTGTCTCTCTCTCATGGCTTGAGCATAGTTAATAATCACATAAGGTATCAAGTCAGCAAATAGAGGATTGCGTGCTGATGGCAACAAGTCTCCAAATTTGTCCAGTTCTATGGGTTTGACCATGGAAACACCAACGATTGGTTTCAAATCTGATTCTTTTGGTACTATCCTCAAATATATTAAATCATTGTCCTTTTCAGCAACTCTTAATTTGATGGCTATGGTTTCTGATAGACCCAGGAAATCTTCAAGAACAAACTGATTGACGTATCGCTTATACTTTCCGGCTTTATCTATCGCTTGTTGAGCAATTCTCAAATGTGCCACTTGCTCTCCATATTGGAACAGATTTAGAGAAGCGATGCTACTTCGGAGATGAGCCGCAGCCAAGAAGTGAAATTTTTTTATAGCGATATGATTGATCCACTCTAATCTGATAAAGCTGGATAATTGTCCAAGCCTGAAAGCTTCAGAGTAAAAAACAAATGTTTGAAATGACAATCGAGCAACGATTGAATCTTTGGTGGTGTCGTTATTAATGGCCTTTTGCCATACCGTCTCTTGTGCTTGCGCAAGCATAAGATTACTCAAGCACTGTATCGTCTCCTTTTGAAAATCTAATGGCGGGTCAAACTGTCTATTTTCTACCGGTGTTTGCACTATTCTATCTACTTGTTGTTGCACTTTTGTAAAAGACCCAGCTGCTAGTTGGAAATATTGACACGATTTTTTAAGTCCTTCATCTAAATGTCTTGATTGTCCGAATCCCATTAACGAGTAAATACACCCAATTTGAAATATTATATTCAACTCTTCGTATTGAAAAGAATCCAGCGTAACTGGTGTCAGTCTCTTGCTGTAAATCGTGGGGAACCATGTGAAATCAACGCAGCCGTCGAAAAACTTCTTATCCAACTCCTTTAAGCAGCTAAGGTATGTAAACAAGGTTAATTGGAACGACTCTAGTTGAACAATTGACGCCGATAAACTCGAATCGTCATTACTTATTCCAGTGACTTTATCTCGTAACGATGTTAAATAATTCAAATCTTGCTCAAATAATGAAGCCGGCTGGAAAAACTTGAGCGCTATCGCATTACTTAGCTCTTTGCCCAAGTCAAGTGCTTGAGTGTTTCTCAATGGCACATATAAGAGATTACTAGAATGCATGCCTCCTCCCCCGTCTCGGTTCCACCTTGAGTATTTACCTTCTGGTTAATATATTATACTTTATCCTTTTTATCTTTACGTTTTTTCCATCTGATTGATTGCGAAATCGTAAACTATGTATATACAGAGAAACATTGAATAATGTACAAGGCCATTATCTAGGAGGCCATTATCTAGGAGGCCATTATCTATAAGGCCATTATCTATAAGGCCATTACCTATTAGCACTTTGCATCGATTTTGGAATATAGTCTATCGACTTCATGATTTAGTCGTTGTGTTTCCAATTTCATCTCTTTTTCCTCTTCCATAGCTTGATACCTAGTTAATTTAAGCTTTTCATCTTCGGTAACTAGCAAAAGATAATTCTCTTCAATCTGGCTCAAAATCATGTCTCTTTGGTGTTCATAATCTGTAAATTTCATCAACTGTTTTTGCAATGCTTCTGAACTGTTGTATAATTCGTGTAATTTCGCAATTACATTTTCAGCCACTTTGACATTCTTTTCAAGTTCAAAGTTGCAAACCAAACCTTTTTCCTCCTTTTTGATGTTTAAAAGCTCTTGGTCAATTTGTTGGTTGACTTCATTGTACAACTCTTCATCCAACTCGGTAACGAGGGGAGCGGTAAACTTGGGGTTTTGGTGTTTCCTGTAGTCCGATCCAACTAGATTCAAAACTTCCAAACCAACAAGCGCTTCCACGTCCACCTCTCTACTATTCAAAGGCAGGTTATTTTCTTTTATTGAGTAAGGGTGTGGAATCGGTAAGTTACGTTGCACAACTTGTGTTCTGCGTCTATTCAATTTTTCCTTGTCTATCTGACTTAGTACTTTTAACTGCTCCATCTGGTCCATCTGGTCAGTTTGCTGCTGCTGCACAAGCAGCAACAGCTCATCTTCATTTTCAGTGCCTTCAAAAACAAGTTTTGGTTCACCTCTATGGTGTTTTGGCTCGGGAAGTTTGTCAAATAACCCTTTGATAAATGGTAAAATTGATTTGTTGGGTTTTCTTGTAAGCAGAGGCAACTCTGCTTCTTCTTTATCCTTCTTTTGACTTGTGTCAATATCAAGAGTTTCTTTTTCTCTACATTCTTTCCTCTTTTTAAACTGTATTAATCCCTCACCTGTTGTCTTAGATTCTTCTTCTTCTTCTTCTTCTTCTTGTTGCAATTTCCTCTTTTGATTCTTACTTTGTTTAGTCTTTTCTTGTTGGGATCGTATCTTATCGTCAACTTCTTTCAAGCTTATTCCCCTCTTTGCAACAAGGTGCTTGAACTGATTTGTTTCCTTTTCATTTTCTTTCAATTCTTTGGTAATGTCATAAGGACCTTGAGCAGGAACAATTTCATGTGGAATGCTAACATTGTAGTCAAACTCCTTATTCTTGTTCTTTTTATTATTTCTGGTTTTCAAGCTAATACTAATTCCTGCTGCCTTCATATCTCTTCTTTTCTGTAAAAGGGCTATTCTTTTACTTTCCTCCAACATCCTTTCCCTTGCTTTTCTTTTGGCTTTCTTTCCCTGAGTATTGGCCAACCGCGCTCTTGCCTCGGCCAACATTTCTCTATCGACATCTTCCAACTCATTTTCATCAGCTATTGCCGGTAAAGCCTCTAGGGCAATATTCAAATCCTCTTCTCTGCGAGGTTCGTGAGAGAGACTTGCAACAAAAGCTTCTCCCACTGCAGGCAAAGTTTCGATTCCGGGGCCCGATAATCTCAAATCCTGCGTTGTGATGCCAGCTTCTTCATCTAGTAATTTCTGAAACCTTTCGATACACTGGGTAGCAGTTCTTCCAATCACCAGGGCAATTGTTCGCCATTGGTTGGGCAAGAGTTTGGTCAACTCTAGCAATCTCTTATCCTCCTTCAAACTCCAGCTCAGCTTATTAATTGTCGGGTCTAGCCACTCATTCCATCTCGCCTTAGCTTGTAAATCTGTCTTCTTGGGCAATAATGAAGAAACCCTAGCCCATTGGTTAATACCATACTTTTGTACCGCCGCTTTTAATATCTCATCTTCAATATTGGTCCATGCGCCACCTTTCACATAAACTGACATCCCTTTTGCAAGCAACAATCCTGTGTCTTATCTCTAATCAACCTATATGAGCCGCTCCCCTCTCTCTCTCTCTCTCTCTCTCTCTCTCTGTATATCCAATGATGCTCCTTCTTCTCATCTAATCAAATTATTACCCAATTAGGAAATTTAATTGAATTACTAACAAAATCAGATGCTCTGAAAAATTATGTGCTACCATGTGTTTTCTCCACTGAAATTTCGTCACTTTGAAAAAAAAACGAGCCCATACGATAGACCCTGTTTGCAGAATTACATTGGAGTAAGTATAAATTTATAGGCCCCCGCTTTTGAAAGAGAGGGTGGTTGAAAGAGGTATTTAAAAGAGTGCTGGTCTTGACGACTTTTTTTTTTTGGTAAATAGGCGTCTAGTTGTTTGAGCTAGAAGTAATAGGCAATAAGCAATAGGCAATAGGCAATAGGCAAGTAATAATTTGCGGTAATTTGGGTAATTTGGGTAATTTGGGTAATTTGGGTAATTTGGGTAATTTGGGTAATTTGCGGTGGTAAATCAAGGAACGGTACATTTCAAAGGCGAGATGAACATTTTCCACCACAAGCATCAAAAGCTTATTCTTCAATGTTACCCAGCTGGGAAATCCGTCGATAAAAAACCAAATTCTTCAGAGCTAAGCTACCTCTTATACTATGCTTCAACGCGTCGGGTCAAGTTGGAAAAAGTTATCATTTTCCTTCGCGAGAAAACCCACCATGATGCCGCTAGAAATAGGTCGGGAAACTTGCAAGTGACATTGGCAATCGTCAAGGAGTTGATTATCAAGTGTAGCGAAAACTTGAATGTTTTTGCTCGTCAGGTTTGCAAGATTTTGAAGATATGTTTGGATACAAAGGACTTTGCCGTTTGCAAAACCGTGGTTAAAACGTATGGGGTGTTGTGTGACAAACTAGATGGGGCTTTATTTAGCGGCGATAAAGAATTTATCAATGACTTTACCGAGGTTTCGCAAACCTTGATCTCGTTTGGCAAGGAAAAACAACCATTGCAAAATCAATACGAATGGCAAATGATCTCATTGTTGGCTATCAAGGATATTTCCAATTGTTTGGGCTATACCAGCAACACACTAAAGAGATTCATTGCTTTGTCTGTGCCATATTTGGTTCAAATCATTATGCAAAATAACAATGTAAGCAGTCTTTTGCAAAGAGTAAGAATGAACATCAATGTTGAATCTTCAGATGGCAGCAGAAAGCTTTCTAGAGTCCAACTGCAGAAATCTCAAACTCAAATCAATAAGCAAATCGACGAAGATTTCGATAACGACTCATTAACTATAACCGATATAAACGAAGAGGCTATGGACGCATTAAGATCCTTTTTCAACAATAATACTACTGTGCAAATTTCAGAAGTAACTAGAGCTGTAGTACAGCACGTATACTCAGCACACCTTGATTTAAACTGGGGAATTGTTTTATTAGAGTTGTGTGTAACTTGGATCCCTATTCAATTGAGGTTTGTTAGTTTGTCTACCTTGCTTTCTACTTTGAATCGGATGAATGTCGAAGGGCCAAGTAAGTCAAATTACGAATTGCAATTACAGTATGCACGCTTTTTACTAGGCTTGCTTTCTTCTGGAGTCAATATGGTGGGTTTATCCGTATCAGATGTAATCCAGCAATTGCTCAACTTGCAAACGGACTTGATTTTGAAATCTAACGATTTATCAAAACAAGAGGTTGATGCGTTGATAACCATATATTCAGACTGTATTTGCAACGTTTCAACACACATTTACTACTTTGATCAGGTCCCGGATTCTATACAAGAAATATTGGTAAAAATTGATTTTGTATTGGACAGCTCGTTTTTCGATCATATTGCAACGGTTTCGGGTGAAAGAGCTCATGATTTAATTATTCAATTGTTGGATAACATCTCCAAAATTTTCCGCATTCTTAAGAATAACACCAGCTCCATTAGTCGTAACCATGTGAATCTTGAGCATTGGGATATCAGTTTGGGCTTGTTAGCCCCAGAGAGCGAATTCGATGATGATAGAAAAACAGTTTTGACTACTCAGCAAATCAATAGCATTCAAGCTAAATACCTTAAAGTTGTTGACGAATTTTTGAACAATGAGTTGTTAGTAGCACCGAGGTCCTCATACGAAGTTCTTAGAAACCAATCGCTATTGGAATCCGGAAGTACAAGCCCTTCAACTAATCCTGAATTTTACAGCAGCAACAACAGCAATAGTGATTTGAGAGCGGGCGATAAGAATTTGATGGAGCCAAATGCAAATCAATACATTACCCAGCAACAAAACTTTATCTCACATTTGTTAATGTACAGTGACAAATTCTTTGATAGCTATGATGCTCCAAATACCGAATTGGTGCTCTTGTTAATAACAGTATTAAAAGATATGGTTAGCATTTTGGGGTTGAATTTTGTTAGCAATTTTATACCGTTTTTCCACCATTGGGGCTTAAAATTGAACAAAGCTAGTGAATTTACCCAAAGCCAAAAGTATAAGGATACCATTGCTCACATTATATTGTACCATATCTTAAAGACACTAGATCAGCAGTATGAGGAAGATTTGCATGGGTACTGTAAGAATTCAAAATTATTCAAAACCATTGTTGATGCAATTGCATATAGGAAACAAAACAGATTATGGATATATGGTTTAGATGTAAGCTCTTCCGACTTGGAGACAATTAAGAGCACGAGGGTATTGCCCAAGGATGCTAATGGTGAGAATATCAAAGTTCGTATCAAAAGTGAAAATATTGAAGAGTTTGCATGTGGAAACAATTTCCTCATTGTTTGGCTTCATCCTCAAAAACCATTACCTACTGAGATTGTAAAGTCTCACCTTGGTACTCATATGAGTCAATTCAACAATGAATCAAGAAACACCAACAATGCGATCCTTGATGATTTAGACCAACAACAGCAACAACTGCTTCAACAACTGCAGCTGCAACACCAAGAATCTGAACATTTTGTACCAGACTTTGTGAATCCTACTGGATTCTCATCAGATGCTGCGTCTACTAATTCAGAAAAGGGCCTCTATACAAGTTTAGGATTGGGCACTGCCAACGATATCCGATCTATTCATTCTGAGATTTTGCAGTATAGTCAACATTTCCAAGAAAGAGGTTTGCCTCATGCAAATAACTATACGACATCCAGCTTGAGCAACATTTGCGGTGGCAGTGCGATTGCCGAAGATGCAGATAGCTCGATCTACACTTATACTTACAATTCAAAGAATTTTAATTCTCCAAGGGTAGCTGATTTGAAATCAGTAATGCTGGTGAATAAAATAGGAGGCCCCCATTTTTCATCTACGCAAATGGATCAGACTATTTCCAATAATTCAATTTTGAACAAGAATTTGCTTTCACACGATGTTGATTCGATATTAGCAGGGTTAGAGAGTGACGATGAAGCAGCATTTGTTGTCTAGAGATTAAAATTGCAATAGAATACCAAAGAAAGAAATAGAGGATCAAATGATTTTAAGAAAACGATAAATAATACAAAAAAAAAAACAAAAAAAAAAAAGACTATGATGAAGTTTTATAAACAGCCGTTGATATTAGTTAATATATACATATCCTTGTCCTTTTACTCCTCCTCTCCCTCTTTTGCGCCTCCTCTCCCACGTTTGCGCCTCCTCATCATCTTTTACTACCCCGTCTCCCTCTTTTGCACCTCCTTTTATCTTGCATATATAAAAAGGAAAAGGAAAAGGAAAAGGAAAAGGAAAAGAAAAATGGAAATTTGTGGAATCCAAACTTCCAATTGTCCATCTGTCGGTTTTTACTCGCTGTCGCCATCATCGTCCCCTTCTAATGCCTCAAAGGCGTTAAAGGTTCTAGTTTGTTTGTCGCTAACAATTTCTCTAGGATCAACCGCTTTTGAACTTCCTAAATTTTTATTATTTGGCCTTGCTTTAACCGTGCTATTAATAGCTTCTCTAAACTTGTTTTTCTCGTCATTTGCGTCTTCGCCACCAAAACTTGCCCTTGCATTACCACCAACGCCGGCGCCGCTGCTAGTAGAGGATGGAGCAGCGAAAGTTTCCCATCCATCCTCATCTTTGACAATTCTATGAAAAGGTTTTTTCTCACTATTGCCTGCCGACCTAGACCCTCTACGCCTATTCATATGATGATAACTTCTCTCGTTACCATGTTGATCAATATAGGTATCGCCATTTCTCCATTTAGCAGCATTTGGTCCTGTACCTTGACCTTGACCTTGACCTTGACCTTGACCTTGATGTTGTTGGTGTTGTTGATGTTGCTGATATTGAACTTGTTGTTGATGAGCATGTTCTCTAACATGCTCAATCATCTCATTGAACGCAGCAAGAATATGTGATTGAGGAACATAATTAGAATCATTTTGAATCTCAAATAATTGCTCTTCTGTGTATTTGACCATGGCTCAATAAAACTCCCACTACTATTAGATAATAAAGGTTCCTCTTGTTTAATTAAAATGATCTCATGTCTTGTTTCTTTAAGCGGAAATAAAAGAAAAAAAAAAAAGAAAAAGAATCTGAAAGATGTGTCATTTTCATGGTGAGACTAGAGAGACTAGACGAGTGAGACTAGACGAGTGAGACTAGACGAGTGAAACGAGTCTAGTCGATAGAAAGAGTAGAGAGAGAGAGAGAGAGACTAGACGAGTGAAACGAGTCCAGTCGATAGTAAGAGTAGATAGAGAGAGAGAGAGAGAGACTAGACGAGTGAAACGAGTCTAGTCGATAGTAAGAGTAGAGAGAGAGAGACTAGACGAGTGAAATGAGTCCAGTCGATAGTAAGAGTAGATAGAAAGAGAAAGACTAGACGAGTGAAACGAGTCTAGTCGAGAGGGTGCTCACCAGAGTGTGCGAGTATGCCCACCAGAGTGTGCGAGTATGCCCACCAGAGTGTACGAGTATGCCCACCAGAGTGTGCGAGTATGCAAGAGTGTGCAAGGGTGTGCAAGAGTGTGCTCACTAGAGTGCTCACCAGAGTATCACTAGTATGTAGTAACAAGTACAAAGTATTGCTTGTTGTAACAAGGTACAAAGTGTTGCTTGTTGTAACAAGGTACAAAGTGTTGCTTGTTGTAACAAGGTACAAAGTGTTGCTTGTTGTAACAAGGTACAAAGTGTTGCTTGTTGTAACAAGGTACAAAGTGTTGCTTGTTGTAACAAGGTACAAAGTGTTGCTCCACTATCTCGCTCTGCTCGATAGTGTTGTAACAAGATACAAAGTGTCGGTAGTGTTGCTTCACTATCTCGCTTCGCTCGATAGTGTGGCTAGTGTCGTGTGTTTGGGCATCTCATCTCATCTCAAATATATTTTCTCCCATCCTATATTCTTTTATTTTCCTTATCGATTATAATAGTTGAGTTTTCATCGAGTCATGCCCATTGCACACAGTCTAAAAAAAGTAACAAAGAATGTATCCAAGTCTACAGGCTCGATACATATCAAGGGACGTAAGTTTAAACAATTAAATCGTGCTGCGGTAAGAGATAAAAAGCTACAAAGGAAGAAATTGGAATCCATCGATAAGAAATCAAATGAATTGATAATAGTAACGTATTTCCAGTCTCAAATACAAACAGAAACACAGTCATCATATACACTTGACGAAATGAAAGAATTGATAACCAGCTTTATCCAACAGTATAAGGAGCAATTGGAAGAACTCGAAAAGGAAAATAGGAAAGGTCGACCAATATCAACAAAACAGAAAATATTACAAGAGAAAATAAAACATCAAGAGCATGTGTTTGACACTAGTTACAATGTACCGGATTTAAGCGATGAGGAAACTGTTAAAAGATTGAGAGCTTGGAATGGAACAACCGGTGCAACTACTGGTTTCAAATTTGTTCGTATCCTGAGAAACATGAAACAGTTACCTATAAATGAAGTAGAAATGACATAAAATTGAACCCAGACACTATCGAGCGAAGCGAGATAGTGGATCACGCTGACTAGCTTCTACTATTATCTGCATATTTCACTTTTAGCCCATTTGTTGCTCTTGTTTCATCCTATTCCTTCTTGAGTTGAAAAACACAACTATTTCACTTTTAGCCCATTTGTTGCTCTTGTTTCATCCTATTCCTTCTTGAGTTGAAAAACACAACTATTTCACTTTTAGCCCATTTGTTGCTCTTGTTTCATCCTATTCCTTCTTGAGTTGAAAAACACAACTATTTCACTTTTAGCCCATTTGTTGCTCTTGTTTCATCCTATTCCTTCTTGAGTTGAAAAACACAACTATTTCACTTTTAGCCCATTTGTTGCTCTTGTTTCATCCTATTCTTTCTTGGGTTGAAAAATTCCTGCTTAAAAGTATCGGTTTCTCTCCTTTTTGGTCGAATTTTAGTCTCTCGGGGATTAATCTTAGGTTCAATCTTCAGCCACTCATCTAGTATCTTTGTACTTTCACAGTGCAATTTCCATACTTCCGGCAAGGTGTTAATCAACCTAATAAATGGATAAACATCGAAAATCTCACGGTTAATCGTGGTCAATTTTCCATCCTCCATATTTTCTTCAACAACATCAATCAATTTATCAATTAAACAGCCAGTGGTGATTTCTCCAAAGGGTTTGTTGCCAAAATGCTCCTTAACGGTTCTCAAATCACGTACAAAAAAGTCAAATGAAGCTTGAGGAGAGATTTCATCGTAGTTCAATTCTTCACCTATCCAACATAACGTTTCTGAAAAATTTGGTTTTTTACCAATTGTGTCATTGCATTGCAACTTGTTAGAATCCTCAACGTTACCTTTGTCCTCATTGCTGAATTGGCAATTGCTTTGCTGTGCTTTCGTTGCAGTTGTTGCAGTTGTTGCAGTTTGACGGTTTATTCTGCTCAATGTTGAAAAACCTTGAGCTGTTGTTGTTGCTGTTGTTGTCCTTATACCTTTTGAAGTGGCTAGGAAAGGCTTCACGCCGCCATAAATGCATCTACGTAAATGAGAAACGCCCGTTATACAAGTTCTTGGACCTAAAAGCTTACTCATGCTTTTGAACAAAAAGACAAGGAAGAAATGAAGCTATGGTTGTTTTACGAGTCCAATGAAAGGTACTTTGTATCTTGGTTTCTATATATATATATATATATATATATATATATCCCTGAAGCATGTAAATCAAAGCAAAACCATGCAACGTTTCAAACACACACACGCAAGATAAAATTCAATTAAAAAAAAAAAAGAGCGGGGAGAGAAGAGGAAGAGGGGAGGGGCAGGAAGATGAAAGTAATGAAGAATAACCACCCAAACTGATAAGACATACAATTTGCAAGCCTGATACTCATGTAATGATCCAGTATTTTTTTGTCTTTCTAGTTTTCTCAATTTGGAAGAAGTGGTATCAAAGATATGAATGGCTGCAAAAAGAAAAGAAAAAAATAAATAAATAAATAAATAAATAAAACAGACATTACCTTTGTAGCGTTTTCTTCGAAGAGCTGGCAAATATGTTGATTCAAAAATATAAAGGAAAAAGATTTTACTCTTCATCTCCATAGTGCAAATGATAAAATGAGTTAATTTCCTATATATGTATGCAATGGGGACGGGTATCTACATTGGTAGAGGTTACTAAATTCCAATATCTCCCTAAGGAAAAGTCTTTGACTGTTTCCTTTTCCATGATATGTGCACATATATTATCAATAATATATGATACATAGATATTTGTGTGCAACTTTTATTCTTTTCAAATTAAACTTAGCATAGTAATAAATAATAAGGGTAATTAATTAAGTATTAGAAAATGAGGAGTTCATTCAGGCCATGTGATAGTTATAAGTAACTCCCAAAACTCCTAAATAGACAACGGATGACCAACAAAAAACAAATTAAAAAAAAACACTAGGTAATAACCAACTTCATCATAAAAACATTAATGAGCTGTACTCTCTTCCTCCCTCTTGCAAAATCAATAGTGACAACAACACTAAAGACAACCTCTCACTCTCCCTTTCTTTCTTTCTTTCTCTCTCTCTCTCTCTCTTCGATATTTTACACTATTTCTTTGACTGCTTGTCTGAATCTTCCCTTTAAGCAATCCTTAAAGGTAAAAAGCACCATTATCCAACTCATAACTAAAGTAACCACACCAAGACTCACATTCAATGTAAACATCGAAGTCAATCCATAATACTCAAATGATAAAACCACAGGATCGGTAGATTCCATGAATATCAACCCACCACATATTAAACTAAATGCAACAATCAATTCAGTTATGGGTCTCAGTGGTCTTGTTAAAACAGTTGTTTTGCTTGAAGTTAACAACATGAGCAAATAAGTAAGGAATCTGAATGCACATCCAAATACAAACAAGTTACCCCATTGTACATGGATTTCGGTGGAGAGTTCAGATGCTTGTTGATGCTGTGACATAAGTATACCTGTCCAGTATATGGTCAATACTGGGAATGGATTTGGACTAAAACCCGGACTTGCTTTAATTATATTTTGGTACACACCTGGAGTAAGTTGTTGTTGATGCTCATGTGTTGCTCCTGCTGTTGAAGATACTACTGCACTAGTACAAGTGTTTACTTCTTCTTCATTTTCTGCCTTTTTGACAGCAATCACTTTTTTGTAATTAGATACAGCTTGCTCAAATCTCCAATCTTGCAACTTTAATTCGGTAATTACTCCACATAAACCACATCCAATGAAAATAAACGCAATTGAAACATGTTGCAAGTCCTTTGGCGACCATTCACCACCAGCATTACTCAAATGTTCCAAGAAGATGTTTGTAGAACCGTAAAATAAAATTAATGAACTTTCAACCATTTCCATTGTCCAAAGTCCCTTGTTTTGAAATCGTTCCCAATAGCCCAATTTCTTAGGGTTGGTAATGCGATTTGCATCAACAAACTTGTGATTCCATGCCCATCCTTTGTTTGCAAATGCACCACAGTACCTTCCGAGGGTCAATATTCCATAGGCAAAAAAAACACCACCTTTAATAAAATGTGCCAATAAGTTAAACACTTTTTTACCTTCACCATAGATACAGAATGTTGCAACACCAGTAGGAACTAATACCAAATAATAAAAGAAATGGCCCCAGTTCAATATGTTAAAGCCAACTTTAAAAGATTTATGGAATCTAGTTTGAGCAATCCATTTCCTAAATTGATAGAATTTGGATTCAGGAATAATCATATTCAATTTTTCAAAATTAATAGCTTCTGCTTCTGCAGCTCCTGTTGATGAGAGCAGTGAGGATTCTGAGACAGTGTCTTCAACATCGGAAGCGCTAGTTGAGGAGCGGAGACTGAAATATCGACCTAAGCTGCTGCCATTGTTGGTGGTGCTATTGGTGGTGGCTGTGGTGGTAGCAGAGGTAATGCTTCCTTTTGCAGCTGGTTCCAAATTTGTTACCAAGGCAAATACAGCTTGCAAAATGGTAGTAACAAACAATATTATAAGCATCTTGTTATAAGCATTTCCCGGGTATAAATTTGGGATCGAATTAATAAAGATGGAATAACACATTAAGGAAATCATAATTGCAGTTGTATGCAATGCAAGTACAGCAAGATATGTCTTTGACATGTTTAAATTATTGAATATCAAACTTAAAGGGTACATAAAGATGATAGTGAACAAACCAACAATAATATGCAGATATAAGGCACTGCGGTGTTTCGACTCTACAGTGAAATAAGTAGTCGTATTGTAATTCTCCCAATACAATCTTTCCTCAGGTAAGAGGTTGGTTTCTAAGATGGGTACCCCATGCTGATGCTTCATAACATGAGCAATTGGTACCAAATTGTCACCATCACCATTACCATTACCATTACCGCTGTTGTTGTCGTTATGACTATGGGTACTTGCGGATTCCAATACATCAGATGGCTCCATTTCATCCATACTCATGGCTATAGATGGAATAGCGATGCAAAACAATAGTAGTAAACTTGATGCCTTCATTGTTTAACCTTTGACTCTTTCAACAAGATTCGATTACTAATTTCCTCGAGTGGGAAAGAATAGAAAATAAATACAAGAAAACTTAGTTCCCCCTTTGACCCCCAACCGTTGGGCTTGGTACTTACAAATTGAGGTTGTCTTCTTTTTTTCGCAATAACTTCTTGTATCCCTCTTGACACTTTTTTTTTTTTTTTCCTTCACAATCTCGGGTCTTTTTTTCTCTTGATAATCTCGGTCTTTTCTTATCTCTCCTCCCGCTAACCGATTTTGTTAACAAGTTTGATTCTGTTAAGAGGTTTGGTTGTAAAAAAGATGGCGATTATAAAACAAAAAAAAAAAAAAAATCATTGACGATATGTGTTTTTGATGCAATTGTCGTCATCTATATAAAACAACTAAGAAAATATTCGTGCATCTTTTATAGAGCAACGGATTAGACATTGTTAAATTTATTTGGACATATTAGTAATAAAGCGGTATATCTGCAAGTAAAGGAAGAGATGGGAAAGAGGGAGAGGGAGTCCTATTTCCACACTTTACATTAGCATTAAAAAGAAGCAGAAATAATCCAAAATCGGCACCTAGAATATTACTTATTTGCTATTTTTTTCAATCTTTTTACCTCTTGTGTGGGTTATTTGTGCAGATTGTACAAGACAAGACGGATATAAAATTTTGACAAAAAGGTAATTTTATTCCGCAAAAAAAAAATAAAAATACAATTTACTCTATATACGTCATAGAAAATAATAGACGTTTTGTTTCGATTGCGTTCCAAATACATTTTGTATTCAATTAGTCTCAATTGGGATTAATATAGTATAAATGCTTTCTGGGATTATATTGAGTGCATACGTAAATGGTAAGATGAGAGATGACCTCAAAGAAGAGGGAGAGAAATTCATATGGGATGGTACGGAGTTGCGGCATACACACGAGTTTGATCTAATTTATTAATTTTTTTTTTTCACCATGTACTTACTCTCTACTGTAGCTCGCTGCGCTCGCTAAATGCTTATATTTGATACTGAAATGATAATTGAATGAATGACAGTAGAATGTGATTGTTGACCGGACAACACACGATCTTTATTTACCCTACTTACCATTACTAAATGTAAAAAAGAATCATCTACATAAATCGGAATTCACTCTTAACAGCTAGAGGAATGTGTAAAACAGCAAAACAGCGAATACATGACTGAGCAATATAAAATCATTCGATTCTTTTCAAGAAAAGAAAAGACCAAATTCACCAAGTGTAGAAGTAACGGGCGTAGAAGTAACAGGTGTATCAAATGGGTTTAGATGTACTCACTTTCTCTCTCTCTCTGTTTCTCTCTTTGTTAAATATGCGCTTCCATTTTTATTGCCATCTCAATCAATTTCCAACCTACCACTTTAGCATAATAAGACCAAAAGCAGCTCTAAAATTTTAATCTTTGTACTTTCGACTCAGCCTGTCTGGTTAATTCGTTATGAGCAATTTTTTTATCACGTTTCCCTTATTATCTTTGGTAGTTTGGTTAAAAATCATACCGCATATTATGTACTAATCGGTCTAGTTTTTTTTTTTTTTTTTTTTTTTTTTCAATTTACTTTGCGCATCTTGCTTTCAATTATATTGCGCCAAACAAGAATATTCTTCATTTGAGAGAAAGGTAAAGAAATTTTATGGTTGATAAAACTGACACCCCTATTCAACCAGTTCTCTGAGTAAACATGTTGAAAAGAAACTTGAATGGAAAACAAGAAGATAATAATCAGATCAATAGATTGATCTTCTTTGCGAACTAGTAACAACAAAACGTTCCCTCCCCTCCCCTCCTTCCACCTCCTTCTCAAAGATGCTTTGCATGTGAACCAAATTCAGTTTCACCTAAAAATTTGTTTGAGAGAGAGAGAATCGTCGTGTAAGGATCTTGATATGGAAGCAAGGATTCAAGGGAAGCGGGGGGGGGGGGAGAGATTGCGTGATTTGAATGAGAGTGTGAAGTATCACACCATTTCTAGCATCAAATTCACTAATACCTTGCTCTCGTCGTATAAGCACCTCTCTCTTTGCTTTTCAATTCCCACCTCTATCTCTCTATCTCCCTCTATCTATCTACCTATCTACTATCTATCTCTCTCTCTACACAATTAGGATATACAACTACTCATAAGCCGATCGTCTTTGCCTATTTTGTGAAATTCTTGCAAGATTTTCGACTGACCCTTCTTACATATAATCAAATTTTTATTGTTTTCCTTCAACGGAAAGTTCGGTTGGAAAATTAATTCATATTATTATTCTTTTTTTTTTTTTCCATCGATCTTTATTAGCATATCGTATCTTTGCAACTAAAGGAACCTCTTAGCTTAACTGCAAAAAGTAAGCCTCCTCCTCCCCCTGTTCCTTAACTGACGCAGGCTTCCAATATCCTACATTGGGCTTTATAACAAAGAAACCATTCAAAACTTCAAAGAGACGTTGATGATAATTTCTCTTTGTTTCATTTGTGTAAATGAAAAATATAAACCAAACCAAACCAAAAAAAAAAAAAAAAAAAGGGAATCTAGGTCAATCCGTAACATTGTCCCAATGAAGATCAAAATGCTCAAATTGTTCTCTTACCTCTCCCTCGACCGTTTTTTCTTTCTTTTTTGTTTATGACAAAAGCAGTTTGGTTTTAATTTTAGTGGATATGGCGGCTTCTTTAACAATCAGCTTTTTTTTTTTTTTTTTTTTAGGGGCTTACGACAAAAATAACAACCAGTTTTAATGAGGGTGCTTAATTATATCTACTACATCGCTATATACTTCTTGCTTTCTCTTTGCTGTTTAATGTCCTTTCCTTATTATTGTAACCTTTCGCAACCTACAATGCGTTTTTTTTTGTCAAGTAGTCAAATCTCGAATAGGTATAACCAATAAAAGGTAAATCCTCCTTTGGCGTTCTACCTGTACCACCACCGTTCTTTGCATCCAACTCTCGTTGCTCCATAGCTTTGGTCAAAACGGGATTATCAGGTATATTCTCCAACTCGTCTGTTGGGAAAAATCTCGTATCAGTAATCGATTTCAATTTTGGTATAAATGGTGCATCAACTCTGCGAATTGAGTCCCAATCAACACCACGAAAAAAGGGATGCTTCTTTATCTCTTCAGACCCGCCATATCTTCCTAATCTCTGGTCACTAGATGTTAATAACCTCCTGATTAAATCTTCCGCCTCAGGTGACAAATGCACGTCATCAGGTATTTGCAACGATTCTTGCCAATTGATAATCTTCCTATACGTTTCATGCGGCGTCTCAGCACAAAATGGTGGCCACCCAACTAAACACTCAAACATAATTGCACCCAAAGACCACCAATCGCATTCCTGTCCATACCCTTGATGAACAAAAATTTCTGGTGCTATATAATCCGGTGTACCCACAGTGGAATACGCCATCAATCTACGTGATTTTCTCCAAGTTTGCATTTGCTGACGATTCGTCATTGTCAAGTGGATAGCATCTACCATCATCGAGTTTCTTCCCGTAGGAGAAAAACCAGAAGCACCACTAATATTTCCTCCTCCTCCACTAGTGAGTTGATTGGCTTGTAATGGATTCGTTGGATTTTCTTCCAACAACTTCTTGTAATAATTTGAATCATGAGTTTTGTGAAACCCTGTAGATAACCCAAAATCACTCAATTTTATATGACCTCGCTTATCAATCAAAATATTATCCGGCTTGATATCACGATGAATGAACCCCAACCTATGAATTGCTTCCAAAGCCAAAACACATTCAGCCATATAGAACCTGGTAATATCCTCAGTGAATATTTGCCATCTAATCAACATCGTCATTAAATCGCCACCTGGCAAATACTCCATAATCAAGTAAAGATACTGGGAATCTTGAAACGAATAATACAATGAAACAACCCAAGGAGAGTCACTATTTGCAAGAACGTCCCTTTCGGCTTTGACGTGAGCTAGTTGGTCTTTCTTGTACATTTCCGATTTCAATAATGTCTTCATCGCGTAAACATGGCCACTATCTTTCTTTTGCACTAGTCGAACTTCTCCAAATGCCCCCTTTCCAATAACTTTAATTGTTTCAAAATCCTCAAGGCACAATTTGGTTCTTCTCAATCTCAAAAATTGCGTTTCTTTCTTACTATAGTTTTGAATATGGCGATTTTTGCGCTCTTCTGAAACGTTCGCCCCTTCATCAATCAATATCTGTTCCATACTCATTCTTCGTTGATTTCTTTCGATTGCATGGTTCACCGCCATAGTATAAAAATTCTCTATCTTCAACTTGATAGCTTTGCCACGATCTTGAATTTCTGTAGGTAACAGATGTGGTTGTCGATTGAAAAAAACATAGTTTGAAGATGGTGGAGGGTTGGGAGTATGAGACGGAGCCGTTGCTGACGATGTTGCTGAGTTCATCGCTGCCCTTGATGGAACCAAGTTGACATTGGCGCTATTGTTCATATTTAATTGTTGTGCCTGCTGATATTGTTGCTGATATTGATGCTGTGGAACTGATGCTGCTCCTGCTTCTGCTCCTCCTGTTCCTGCTCCTGCTCCTGCTCCTGCTCCTGCTCCTGCTCCTGCTGTTCCTGCTCCTGCTTCTGCTCCTGCTCCTGTTGTAGTAGGGGTAACTGCTGCTCCAGTTGATGATGCTCCTGCCGAACGCGAGGGTGCAAGATCTTGAATACTTTGCAAATTTGAACTTGATAACACGGAATTGCCACTGCTCATTTCTGAAAGATTAGTATTGCTACTATTATTCAACTGAGTAAAATTATTACTAGGCGGTTGGAAATTCATGGAATCAATAGAGCTAAACTGTACACCTTTTCCATTGCTGCTATTGCTATACCCAGTTGAGTACTTCTCTTGCTCAAAGCTCCCCAGTTGGACAAATGTTGGAGAAGGCATAGTATTCGTTGCGCCACCACTTGCCATGTCTTGAGTGAAAACCTGCTGCTGCTGCTGCTGCTGCTGCTGCTGCTGCTGCTGTTCCTTCATATGTAACTGCAGCGGTGATTGTGGGCGTTCATCAAGAAGTTGAGTGGTGTCCTCATCCATATAGCTTTCGTCATGATGGTTTTCATAGGTCTGATTAGTGTTTGGCTGTTCATTATTGTACACCGGTGTTTGATGCTGAGCGTATGAATACTGCTGCTGCTGCTGCTGCTGCTGTAGTCGTAGCTGCTGCTGTTGCTGCTGTTGTTGTAGTCGTAGCTGCTGTTGTTGTTGCTGCTGCTGTTGCAAGTGCTGCAAGTATAGCTGTTGTTTCTGCTCTTCCGTTAGCTGATCAAAGTTCATGACGTGGTTTTTATCGAGTCTTTGAGCGTTTCAGAAAACTTCCTCTTGATCAAACTGTTTCAACCAAGCTAGCAAAAGAATGGTCTTTTAAACAAGCAAAAGAAAGAAAAAAATTAAACTTCTGGGTCCCCTCTCTCTCTTTGTTTGTGTTTCTGTCTTGATCCTTTTAAACTCTATACTCTCTTTCTTGGTATATATGCTCTATAGGTAGTCAGGTCTACTGTAGTTGAAGCAATGCAGAATTCGTCACTTAGCTACCAACAACAAAAAAATTTCAACAAACCGACAACTCAATACTAAACTCTCTGACTTACTTAAAACTAAACCCAGTTCCTAAAAATTCACTTTATTGATTTATTCGTTTATTTATTCATTAATACATTTTTTTTTTCTTCTCTTTATTAAATTCCTATTTTGGTGCATATGTTTTGATTTTCAATACCATGATTCTATTAAGCTCACTTGAAACAAGGATGGGTTACAGAAACATACATATTAAAGGATATAAAAGGAGAAAAAAACTCAAAGTTTAACGGAGGAACAATACCGGGTAGCATTACAACCCTTTGTAAGGTAGAAGCTAGTCAGTGTGTGCTCCACTATCTCGCTTCGCTCGATAGTGCCTGCTGAGGCCATAGCATTTTTTTTCTCGCTTAACCTCTAATTGAAAAAGGTACTGTTGTTAGTACCTTTTTCTCGTGTTTTTTTTTTTTTTTAATATAATAATTTACATTAAACTTCCTATACAAATCTCACAACCTAAACAAGCTAGTAAAACAAACATAAAAAGCAAGATAATAGCACGAAGAGCCATTTTCCTCTAAAATTGTAAAGCTTGACCTTTTTGTTTCTTATCACCACCCAATTCGAAATGTTTACATCTCTTCAAAGCTAATTGGGCTTTAGTCTTACAAACAACACATTCCAATCTCAAAACAACCTTTTTGGTGGTTTTAGCCTTCTTGTGGAAAACTGGTTTGGTTTGACCACCATAACCCTTTTGTTTCCTGTCATATCTTCTCTTACCCTGAGCAAACAATGATGCTTTACCGGCTTTGTATTGGGTAACTTTATGTTGGGTGTGTTTACGGCATTCTTTACCTTTACAGTAGGTCTTTCTGGTTTTTGGAACGTTCACTAAAAAGAAAAGGGAAAAATGCATTGTTAGTAAAAAACTGTTTATGAAAAATAATGGAATAGTTGGATGTTTTTCAAAATGTCCACATTTAAATCGAGCTCGACTTGGATATGGTTCCTCTGTAAGTTCACCGACATGAAATGAGTATAGCATATCGAAATCTCTCATTTGACCCTTGCCCAATGGTAAAATCTTCTACAAAGGTGAAGACAAGCGCCTTGAGTGGTTGTCCTCTATGTGCTCCTTCTCTGGGGTCCTGTCCTCTAGGTCCTTCTCCTGAGACTCTTGTCCCATTTGTATTTCTTCTCCGGGCTCTCCTCTATGTATATGTACCTTCTTTTCTAAGTTCTCCTCTATTTCGATTCCTTCTCCCCTGATGTCTTTTTCCTCTCTCTCTCTCTCTCTCATCTATTCACTTACTCACTCATAGGTCCATTCTCAAGGCTCTCATATGTCCATTCTCAAGGCTCCCGTATATCCCACATATTTAATCTGTCATTGTCGTAGTTGAACATACCCATTGTTGTCTCAAAATGCTTGCTTTAAAAGGTTGTACCAAAGATCTGTATCAAACCCAAGTGGTAATTTTCAGTAAAATTGAAATTCTTTTGTTTGGTAGTGGTAAACTGCCAACATTTTTTTTACTTCCCTTCTTTCCTTCTGCTTTTTCCTGTCACGTGTGCAATATTAGGGCTATAAACTCGTTCGCGCTTTTATTTTACATTTTTTCTTCTTCCCCCCCCCCCCCCCCCTCGCTAGAGGGAAATCAATCAAAGCAAGAACAATCATAACATCTCTTGTTACGCATTATATGTTAGAAGCTTTTTATTGTGGGTATAGAAGAGAGGTTGGCATAGAGTATTATACGATATGATTTGATTGGATAAAAACAAAATCTCTACTAATAGAATATTGAGTTTTCCCCTTTTCTCACGTACCATTATAACTATTATTTTTACTGCTACTGCTGTTGCTACTGCTACTGCTGCTTCTGCGCCAATCTTGCAAAAGTATCAGTGGCAGCTATATGTTCCACTATCTCGCTCTGCTCGATAGTGTCGATAGTATCGATAGTATCGGTGGCAGTTATATGCTCCACTATCTCGCTCTGCTCGATAGTGTCGACTTTCTTAAAGCATTAGAAAAAAATACTTGAGATAAGACTGGCTGCATTTCTACTTTTGGCAGCAGCAACCAGGTTGCAAAAAAAAAAGAAACAAAAACTTCCGTTACTCTACAAAACGACAAAAGCTCGGGACTTCAAATAAATATACAGAATCTACAAAAAACAAACAGCGTGGTTAACCGTAGCCAATATTTTTTTTTTAACTGAGCGTTACAGTTGTGTAAATAATAGAGGTCAGTGTAACTGTTTCTTCTGCAGTATCAGTCTCATAATAGTAGTCGTAATTAATATAGCAAACTCCATCTGATGTTGTAGTTACAACATTTTCAATTATCCAAGAGTCAGTTGATGATGGAACTGCAGCATCTGTTAGAACCGGACCATTATCGTTATTGGAATTGGTGGCTGTATTTGAACTTGACACGCTGATTGTTGTTACTCTTGTCACTATCAGGGTAGATACATAGTTTTGCGCATTTGTAGATGATGTTGTGGTTGGGTTCGGGGTATAACTACTTGTAGTCTGAGCAATTTTAGCAGTAGTTGCTGGACTTGCAGCTGGGCTTGAGGGTGAGGATACTGACGATGACAATGAGGAGGAGGAGGAGGACACTGATGATGATGATGATGATGATGATGATGATGATGATGATGACGATGATGTACTTGTAGATGTAGATGTAGATGTAGACAGGCCCTTATTAGTGCTGGTTGGTTCTGCAGCAACTTGTTGCAAGCTAATTTGGTTCTGATTTGAGCTTGCCAGTTGCACTGCTCCTGCATTGACGGATACAGTTATCTCGTTTTGTGGAATAGGTTCAACGTCGGCTGCAGATACAGGAGTTGTCGCAACAGTAACATACGTATGAGGAGTACCCCAAATTGTAGAAGTAACAGTTGCAGTGTAATGTGTCACTGTTACAACGCTTTCGCTGACTATCAAACTAGTATAAGTTGAAGTTGGGGCATGCACAATGTGGGTATCTGTTTGAGTTGTTTGAATTGTAGTTTTCAATTTTACAACAACCACATCATCATCAGAATCAACATTGTCATCCCTTTTGTCATTGTCATTTGAAGTTGGAGCAGAAAAAACATGGGATATCAATTGAAATGAAACTAAACCGGAGAGTAACTTGGCCAATTTCATTTAGGGCAAAAAAAAAAAAAAAAGCAATCTGGTGGTGTTTGTAAATGAAAAGAAAGACTGTAGTTGGAAATTAAGGAAAGTGCCTGAAAAGGGAAAAGTGAGGGAACAAGGTGCTGGGGGGGTATTAATAACGGCTATTTCGTTTATATAAGTTGGTATTCTTATCTATGATTATAAGGTATAAGATGCAGTGAGAAACTAAAGGATATGTTTCACCTTTTATAAACTTTTCTTAATGTAAGAGCGTCATGTGTCCATTGCAAAACTACATTGTCATTAGCTTCCATGCGGTTGTCACGTAACTGTTAGAGTATTATATCATACGGTGCTGGTTCACTTGACGTTTTAGAACATCTTTTCACCGTTATTGGCCTTTCGGAGTTGACTAAACATTTTGTATATATATGGTATTAAATACCATATTTTAAAATGACACAAAAATTAATATTGTGCTGGGTGCGAAAAACAAATTAAGTAATTCAATTATGAAGATCTTAGTGGAAAAGTATACAGATCTATATATATGTGTGTGTGTGCCTGTGTATGTGTCTATGTATGTGTCTGTGTATGTGTATGTACGGTTTGTTGTTTAACTTGAGATTCTCAAGTAGAACTAAATGTGTACGGAGTATTGGAGGGACATGAAGCTCAAAGTAGAATTATAATGTTTAATCTATTTCAGTAAATTTTCACACCAATTTGAAGAGTACAGTACTTTCTGTTTGGCAGAACTAGAGAAAATACTAGTAAGTGACTTATTAGAAACCGATTTATTTGCTCTTGCTCTTGGTAAAACTAAATACAGTTGTAATCTCTCCGAAATTGTAGAATCTCTTCAAAATCGCCAGCAAGCTAACATAATATAGAAAAAAATAATATTTGGCCAAGAGATGCTAATATGATGATATATCCAAGAGAAATTAATATGTCTCTGGGACAAGGTTGAGGAGTAACCCCAGGTCGAATACATTACTTTAACGAGTTATTCCCGTATAGATTTTGTACCATATTGAAATTCTCTTGCTCTTGAAAAGGAATGGGGGTGGGGGTGTTGGAGTACAAAATAAAATCGCTAGTGACCGATCTCAACCGACTTGTATATCAACCACCTAATATATATTTCAAATCGAGTTTGTTCAAACAACATTCCTCAGTTGACCTCACATCTTAATTAGCTTTCCTATTTTCATTCATCAACCCTCCCCTACCAGATCTCTTTTACGTGTTTGCCTCCTTCATTTCGGTCTCTACTACTTTGGTTTCTACAAAGCAATTTTAAATTCGGTCGCCCGGAATTCGTTACAGGTAAAAAATTCCCTCTATCGTTACACAGGAATTATGCACCATGAATTTTTTCAATAATGTGTATGCATTTGGAAATGGTAGGGATAATGAGAGTCATCACGCGGCAACGCAGCATTTAAGTAACACAAGTGAAACTCGTGATGAGCAAATATCACAACTACATATAACCGGTTCGTCGCCGTTAGCCACCCAATCAAAAGAAGACCACAGAGCCGCTGCAGCTATCATCCAAGCAGCTCATCTTCATCAACAGCAGCAGCAGCAACAACAACAGCAGAAGGGAGAGGAAAAGGTACAAGAAGAAGAGGAGGAAAAACAAGAACTGAAATTACCAAAACAAAATTTCCAACAGCTGCAACAAACGCTACAAAAGAAAAGAATTCAGAAACAGCAACAGCAGCAACAGCAGCAGCAACAGCAACAACAACAACAACAACAACAACAGCAGCAGCAACACTCGACATCTGTCATACAACAACGCTCGATGACTGTGGCACAACAACCAAACTCGCTGTTGGTTAATTTAATGACAGCCGCGTCTCCTACACATCGACCGGAAATCTCAAAAGGGACTCCTCCGCATCCAAACCAACACTACCCCTCACAAATGCAACAAATACAACCAACTGGTTTGCCATTACAGAAAAAGATTCGAAAGAATCGACCGGGTCACAAATTTGGCGCGAAAAAGAGATCCTGGGTATGGACATGGTTTAAACAGGATGAAAAAGATCCCAATATAGCTCAATGTGAACTATGCCATCGTGTAATAACTAGACTAGTGTCAGATAAAGGATCTCCCAAAAAGTTGAGTGAACATTTGAAAACTCACAAGATAATAAGTAAGGACATGGTGAATAATTATACGCGCGATGCACCCTCATCATCGCCCTCAAATGGATATGGCGTTGCTTTTGCTAAACAAAGTGACACTGTATCATATCCGAAAAGTTATATGCCAAGAGAAACTGAGCAAATGAGTGCCGAACAAGATTTGGACCATGGCAATATGGATAACCATGAAGAGATAGGGGCCAGGGCTGGTGTCAGTTCCAGAATCACCAGTTCCAAGACCAGCGCCGAACCAGTGCTTCAGTTGCAAAGACCACTAGGGAGAAACACAACCCCACCACAGTATACTACGTTGGATACAGGAATCAATCAAGCTGTACTAGTTGAGTCTCCATCTTTGGAAGTAGCAGGTTATGCAAATAGTAAAAACAGCTTTGATAATGCACCGTATTCGCCAATGAAGTTCCATAAACATCTCATGAAGTTTTTATCTGAAAACAAATTGCCATTGAGCACATTGACAAACCACTCTTTTCAACAATTGATCTATGATTTGAGAAAGGAAAGTATTACAGATTTAATGGAGTTGACTCAGTTGTATGATTCTTTAATAGAGGTTGGTCGAATAAGCAGTACACGTGTGACTCAAGGGGCAACTGGTGCAGCGATTGCTAGCAGTAGCAGTAGCAATAGCACAAATGATGTAAATTCAGAGAAACAACAAACCGTTTAGGTGCTGGTTCATGCGTTCAAAAAAAAGAATAAAAGGGTTTCCTTAATTTATGTAACTATTAATAAAGTATAGTCGTAAAAAGAAAAAAAAAATAATGCATTCTTTCATATAGATAGTTCTTGAATGTTATCTACAAGCTCATCTAAACTCACACCATGTGGCAGCATGGGACTAAAACTTCCTGCAAGAGGTGTATCACCACGCCCATAAAAAATATTGGGTGTATGTCTATCCGTACTTGTACAAGCAGTAGTGGGTGGTGTAGGTAAGTCAGTTGAACTATTCTGATCCTGATAATGTGGTGGGCTTAGTGCTCTAATATCTTCATATGTTGGTGGGACTTCATCATCCCATGCAATACCTAATCCTGATCTTTCTGTGACTGGTAGTTTGAATTGCATACGCAATACTCGAGCTGCTCCAGTGGGTACCCCCATTTGAATATGCTGTGATTGTGAGCTTTGTGAGGTTACCGGTGTCAACCTTGGGGAGTCTGCATCAGCTATTGATGCTGCTGCTGATGATGATGTTACTGTTGTCGTTGTGGTGTCGTTATTGTTGTTGTTATTGTTGTTTGTTCGAGCATACGCTGATCCAGAGGAAGAAGACCTTCTTGAAATGTGGCCACCTCTTGTATTAGACCTTGCAGGTCGTAATCCATTCATTGCCATTTTTTGACGAGCATCAACTTGATGCACAACTTCTTCAGCAACAACAATCTCAATGACTAACGTATGATTAACAAACACCCCGAGATTCGGATCATCGATGTCACAAGACACATTGGCTCCAGTTTTGAAGTCACTAGCGTTCAATTTAAGATGATCACTAGTACTTGCTTCAACTATGTGGTTATTAGACCCCGTTGAGAATTTATGGGCACTTATATTGGCAACTATTTCGATTTTACCAGAACCTGAAAAATCCGATTTCCAGCCAGATTTAATATCTCCATAACTTACTGTTCTTGTTTCTTCTAAAAAAATGTGCTTTGTTAAATCTTCAGTTTGTCGCTGTTGCGACGCCACTGAAACCTGTGGCGTTACTGCCTCGGAACCAACTGATTCGCTTGCTCCAGCAGTTGTTCCACCAAAATCTTCAATAAAGGTCCGATGTGCTTGCAAGGGACCATTATGAATGGTTTCCTCGTAATCATGCAAACCCGCATCTTCATCATCAACAGGCTCACTATCATGCAAACCGTTCTCCAGTAACAATGACAGGCCCTGTGTTGTTGTTGCTGCTGCTGCTGCTGCTGCTGCTGCTGATGACGATGCTGATGACGATGATGATAATAATTGAGTGGATGAATTGGAAAGTAAAGATATGTTTGTTTGAATAGTGCTATGATGCATCCCTGACGATTTTTCCTTTTTTGGTGGATTTTTCTGTAGAGCTTCTTCTAATGTTTTAAGCTTTTTAATATGGCTGTTACAAACATAGGCTTTCACTTTTACACTTTCTTCTATTCTCCATGATAATTTTTTCATTCTCCACCTTCGGAGTAGACAGGGACTTGCCATATTATCTAGTCTTAATTCTATTGGGAATGTTGATTTTGGGTAAATGACATTAGGCAAGACTGCTGTTGCAGTTACCTCTGTTGGCGGAAATATCCTCAACGAGTTACGATCGGGTCCCCTTAACGTCAGCCTTGATACGTTTATAGGGAGCACCAATTTCTTGCTGTTTGCTGGATTTGTAGTAACAACCTCAGCTATGAGATCGTATTTTATAAACGACTGGGAGTGAGACGAGCCGAGTTTTGATGTTGGAGGCAAGGATCCCGGGAGAAGGTGTGAAAATGGGTAAGCATGATTACCCAGTGGGAAATCTGTAGGAGTAGTTAAAACGTCCCATCTTGCCAATACCTCTGTTTTGAATACGCAGTCTCGACAATTCGCCACGGTTGATGAGTTTGGTAGAACAAACGGTTTAGTATACTTGATCGTCTGCACCAAGGACAAAGTAACTGTTTCTATCTTGACGTTTGACACCGTGACCAATCTTAAAAGACCGGATAATATCGATCCGGTTGATTCTGTGGGAGTGCCATATAGGATAATAGGTGGTGACTCTAATTTGATAATCACCGAATAATCGGCTTTTGGGGAAGGTGTGTTGGAAGAAGGCAATAAAGATGGTTTTTTAATCTTGAACGCCTGAGAAATTGTCGATTTTGTAGGTGTAATAGAAGAAGAAGTTGAACTTCTAGAACAAACTGGGGAAATATTACATGTTGATGACCTCGAGGAGGATGTTGGCGATACTTTTGGTAGCAGTTGATGCTTATCTGTAGTAAGATTTAATACTTTGGAAAACAAAACCATCTCAATCTCCTTACTCCTTTTCTATGTGTAATAAAGTTATTATATATATATATATATATATGTATATGTATATGTATTTATAAATTATGTAAACCACCTTTTCTATAAGCAATATGTCATTTACTTTACTATCGAGTCAGCAAAGAGAATAAGAGTAAAGGGAATAGGAGAAAAAAGATTCGGGTATAAGCGAAATACCACCTAATATTTTTTACCCTACACTATCGAACAAGCAGCACTATCAAACAAGTAGCACTATCGAGCAGAGCGAGATAGTGTTGTAACAAGCTACAAATTGTTGCTCCACTATCGAACAGAGCGAGATAGTGTTGTAACAAGACACTGGGTGCTGCTTCATTATAGAGCAGAGCGAGATAGTATTGTAACAAGTTATTGAGTGCTGCTTCACTATCTCGCTCTGCTTGATTTAAAAAAGATCAATCCAATGCTAGCGCTAAGCGCGGTTTAAACAATTGCTCATATTCTATTTATACTTTTTAGCTGTGAGGCAGATTTGGAAGCTATAGGGGTAGGTGTGGGGTGTGCGAGCCGCGCGCGCTTATCGCCTTAATGTCAGTCTCAAGTATAGAGGTAAATAATGTAAGAACCATAATGTCCTTGCGTTTGTAAGGAATTGTAAACAATTTATACTATCGAGCAGCACTATCGAGCAGCACTATCGAGCAGAGCGAGATAGTGCTGCTCAATAGTGAAGCAACACTTTGTAGCTTGTTACAACACTATCTCGCTCTGCTCGATAGTGCTGCTCGATAGTGCTGCTCAATAGTGAAGCAACACTTTGTAGCTTGTTACAACACTATCTCGCTCTGCTCGATAGTGCTGCTCGATAGTGCTGCTCAATAGTGAAGCAACACTTTGTAGCTTGTTACAACACTATCTCGCTCTGCTCGATAGTGCTGCTCGATAGTGCTGCTCGATAGTGCTGCTCGATAGTGTTGTTCGATAGTCCTGCCTCATTTTTATTATTTCCGTTTTTAGAAATATTGCGGCTCACAACCTCATCGTGGTTTGAAAAATCCCAAATAACCGAAAGTCTGGTTTCTCTTGATTATACCCTCTCGCCGTTAAAGCATTGTCATGAGTAAGCAATACTTGATAATAGACAATGGCGCGTATAACATTAAAGCAGGATTCAACAACGGCGAAGAATCAGCACCGTTAAAAGTTTATAATGCCATTACACGAACCAAGGATGGATTAATCCATATTGGAAATCAATTTAAAACTCATACCAAAAATTTTTCAGGGATCCAAATTAAACGTCCATTTGAGCAAGGCCATTTAACCTCGTGGGAGACCGAAAAACCAATATGGGACTATACGATCGACCAAATACTGCCGAAAAGGGAAATAGACCCATCTAATATCCACTTGACTTTGACAGAAACACCTTTCCAATTACCTCAATTGTCTTCAAATACAGATCAGATTGTTTTTGAAGAGTATGGTTTTCAAGAGTATTACAGATGTACCCCGCCGTCGTTAGTCCCTTTTGGTGTTGATACATCAATTGTGAATCCCGATTTCACTCTTGTTATTGATGCTGGTTTCAATTTTACCTGGATCATGCCAATCTTGTATCAAAAAGTTTACTGGGAAGGAGTCAGAAAACTTCCGGTTGGCGGTAACTTACTCAACGGGCTCCTCAAAGAAATCATTTCCTTTCGATATTATGATATCTCTGATGACCCAATACTTATAAACACGATAAAGGAATCAACATGCTTTTTTGCATCTGATTTTAATCAAGCTTTAAAGAAAAAGGCAAATCTCGGGTGTGAGTTTGTATTGCCAGATTTCAAAACCACTGCAACAGGTTACGTTGTTTGTGCTGATGCTCCTAAAGTTTCAGCTGATTCCCAGGTCTTGAATCTCTACGACGAACGGTTTACTGTGCCCGAGACTTTTTATCATCCAGAAATAATGTTTGACACAAATGGGTCCACAGCTTCCAATACCCTACTACAACAGGCACCAATAAAGAGTCTAACCGATTTAGTAGTATCGAGCATAATGTCCTGTCCCGAAATCACACGGCCTTTGCTACTGGCGAATATCTGTCTTGTTGGAGGTACTACAAACATTCCTAATTTCAAAACGAGACTTTTACTAGAATTAACAAAGGAACTTTCACTGAACTGGAAAGTCATTGTAAATGACAAACAAAACGATACCTTACCAGATGAAATGAGTTGGTATGGAGGTGTCAACCTAACTAATGAAGATGTTATCAACAATATAAGCATATCTAAAAAGGACTATTTCGAACATGGAAGTAATTGGTGTCAGAAGCAGTTTGGCTTTAAAAATCTATAACGAGAAAGAGGGTCATAGTCTATAAACAATACGGGGGGGGGATCATAAATTGTTTTCTCTCTGTCTATATTTTTTTCCTTTTTTTTTTTTTTTAAATCTCTATTAAATGGTTATATGTGAGGTATCGACTTAATGCCAACCAGCCATATCTAAACCATACCATTTGGCTAAAGTGTCCATATGCCATCGCCGCATAACTACAAGCAAGCATGTTCAAATCCGAGTATATCTTTATTGAAGTTGAATTGTTTACAGGACTGAAAAAACTAACGTTGATATTGACAGGTGCAAATTTTCTAATCAATATCGAAATATAGTTTACAAACAATTCGATATTTGTTAGCAAAGTAAAACTATACTTTTCCCAAAATCCGAGGCTTTTTAAAGTAAATAATTTAGTGACTTGTTTTGACTTTGGCGGAAGCGTTTTAAAGAATTCCTTGGTTCCATAATATAATGATATATGGTTGGGATGACTCGATACACCAGATTCGTCAAAAGTGATTAAAACAATACCCTTTTTTGTCTTTTTATCCAAATCTATTATTTTGCCTAATGATTTCGCTACGCTATCAAACAGCCAGGTCTCGTTCATTCCATCTTTGTAACTCAAAATATGAACTTTCGATCGGTCAACACCCAACATTCTCGCAGAATTGTACAATTCTTGGGAGCGGATTCTAGCCATCGATTCGTGCACTGCGTCACCTTTGGAAAATGAAATCAACTCAACATCATTACCATACCACAGCTTGGATAATTCAAGTATTGTTGGGGCAAAAAACATAACCTCATCATCCGGGTGCCCTATAATGAAGTATACCGTCGAGTTTGTCACCTTGTTCAAATTTTTAGGAAACGTCATTGAAATTTGTGGATAATTTACACTTGTGAAGTTTTTGGATTTCACTTGTTCATTAGTATATTTAATGATTGTTTGTGGAATAATTGTAGTTAAAATGCTCCATAGCAAAAACGAAATTGCAAAAATCTTAACTAGAAACAACGGTAGATTAAACACCATTAGAGAAAACCAAACACTTTTCCTTACTTACTCACCAAAATTGCCTTGTCTATTGCGGAAGCTTGTATAGATCTCAACAATGAATGGTGAAATAAATCTCAACAAATATCAGATCGGAATAAAAAGAGATGTTCCGTTGAAAGCATGATAAGAGCGCTACCAATACATACATTAGTAAAATACATGTGGGGGGGAGGGGGGGGGGAGGATTGTGGTTTTGCACGCAACTCCATTGTCTATAACTGAATTGCAAGATGGAGTAGCTCTTGCAGTTGGGACTTGATTTTATACAGTCTAGTAAATGGTCTACTACTGCTACTAAAAAGTTTACTTTTTTCTCAAAAATGTATAACCTGTATTCCAAACGAGATCAATTTTGGTTTCATTCAAGTCCCAACCAGTAGCTTCTAAAAGCTCATTTAAGAATTGTTTGCTTAATAAATCAGCATTACCAGTATGCTCTACATAGCTGTGGAACCCACTATACGTTTCAAAATAGTCAATATAATCACTCAAGCTGATATTCAATCTTGCTAAATCCAAATCACTTTTCTCATTAGCTCTCAGATTATCAAAACTTGTCTTGAAAGTGTGAATTTCAATATCCTCATACAAATCACGAGGAATCTTAGCGTTGGCATCGACACAAAAATTCTGCAAAATGCTTCTACCTGGCTGTTCCCAGTATGGTCCTATATAGTTTAGATCCTCATAAGCAAATTTCTTGTAAATATGGAGCGCTTTCTCGAGAATATCCTTCTTGCTAAAATCTGTCCTCGAACAACCAGTAAAATTAACAATCATGGGATCAACATAAAAGAAGTAGGCTAAAGTTCCACCTTTTTTCAATAATTGAGCACTGCTTTGGAAAAACAGCTTATAGTCCTTAAACCAATGGATACATTCTGCAGCTGTGATCAAATCAACAGACTCCTCTGTAATTCCACTTTCCTGTTTGTTGATGAAATCCTCAACTGCACCAACTTTAAAAACAACTGGTAAAGCGTTGGATACAGAATCTGTTTTGTCATCAGATCCAGCTCCAGTTTCGGCGCCAGTTTCGTTAACACCTAATTCCGCTAATCTTTTACCAACAAGAGAATTAGCTGTTTCAATCATTTTCGGTGACAAGTCTAAACCAATTACTCGTTTCGCCAAGTTCAATAATGGATACGTGGCAACACCGGTACCACAACCCAAATCAATTGCTCGTTCAACAGGTAATTGATGTTGAAAAACGCCCTTTTGAACATAGCGACCCAATATATTATAGAAAGATGGCGGATATTGAGGACGAAAGGAGTTATAGTTTACTGTTTTAAAGTTTGTCTTGGAAAAAGTTGACATTTCAAGCTAATGTTCTTTTAAAAAGTCTCAACACTGATTTAACTTTCAGCCAGAATACAGAAAACAGAGCTGTTGAATGACTCAATAACTCCGTTAATCTCCATCATCATTCATCATTATTCAACTACACACGTGACCTTATTTCACCTAATTTCTTTTTCTTGAAAGAAACATTTTTTGCCGCATCTTGTACGGCGCATGTAAGATCATCACAAAGAGTCTGTAGCCGATGGACAAGTAATGATATGGTACACTTGACGAATCATTCTTTGTTTTATTGCAAGAGAAGAAACGAGTGGGCAACTCACTAATGAACACTATCGAGCAGAGCGAGATAGTGGAGCGACACTCTGTAGAATGAGTTTCCATTATTCAGCTCTGTACTTTGAAAACCAATTTTCATTTCAGATCCCTACGTTTATTTTCTCTTTTTGCTTTTGAATTTATCACTTACTTCATAACCACTCCTCTATTGCAACTAAACCCGCGTGTCTACTAATACTTGATAGTGGTCGTTGGTTGAACTTTTACTCATTGCTAAATAGAGAGTTTCTTTGTAATTCTATTTAGTGGGGCCATAAGGAAAATGAAATCGCTACAAGTTTGTACTAGAGACCCCGTGATAATTTTGGTACTAAAATCTGCGTTAGATTTGTTGGTTAAAGAGCAATTGAAAGAATCAGGGATAATTGAGAAACGATAGTTGGAGCACTTTTTGTATTTGATGGAGTATTTTCTGATAGAAACAATACAATTGTATTGTTTCCAACAAATAGTGTTTTCATAGTTGATTTAAATGAACAGCAGCGGCAGCAGCTGCTGCTGTTGCACTGTCAGCACTCTGGCAAGCCATTTATGTCACAAAAAAGATATTTTCAGCAGGTGAGGTGAAAAGAAAACAAAAAAAATACAATACACATAAGGTTTGATACTCATTAATATTATATAGGACTCTTTCTATTAAAATAGGTAATTCAAGGAATATATGATAAAAAGTTGGTTTCAAGGAATATATGATAAAGAGTTGGGGGTTTCTATTCTTATTTCGAAATTTGAATCTTTAACATCTCAACGAAAACTTAGTGCTCCACTATCCAGCGAAGCGAGCTAGTTTCTAGTTTGTGGCAGCTACTAAGTGTTGCTCTACTATCTTGCGAAGCGAGCTAGTTTCTAGTTTGTGGTAGTGACTAAGTGTTGCTCCACTATCTCGCTTCGCTCAATAGTGTCGATAGTGTCATAATACCGTTTTTATATATATATCTATTTATAGATTGATAATTATTGTAAGCCTATTGCATCTCTAATTTAATCAAGATGAAGATTTATAATATTATCTGATTAAACGTGCTACATTATCTGATTAGATGTGCCTTTTCTTTGTCTGATAAGATATTCTATATTATCAAATTGCTTGGCTAATAAGTTGACTACCCCGGATTTCGAACCTACACACAGTTTAAGCATTTAAAGGTTAATCAACATATCTCCAAAGCCAAACAATAACGCGCATCGTTGAAATTACTCTATACATATGGTTACAATACAAACATATAGCAAAACGGTGGCTTAGAATTAACATATCTTTGATACACAACCAAGAATAAACATACATTCCACTTACTCAATGGTCTATTCTATAGTTGTTTCAAACTTAAAACAAAAACGCGTAATATTTTTTTTTTCAAACCTCCGGAATTACAGAGCTTTTTTTTTCCGGAAATCAAATCGATGCTTTAGATGTACCATATAACAAAGCCAACATCGACTCCTGGGAGTTGATGGCAAGTATATGACAGAGGTGTCTTTTGTAGTTCAATTGTTGGTGATATGATGACCAATGAAGATGAGGTTATATCCGACTCTGAAGATCAGGATGAGGTTGAAAAATCGTACTATTTTCATAGCACGCAAATGCAAAGCATCCATGAAACCGTTTTAGAAACAGAAAAAATTCAGCAAATGCAAAGAAAAAGTATATCAACACTCGAGAGTCTAAGTTATACTGGAGAAATGAACGATTCAAAAAGAGTTACCAGTCCAGTGAATATCAAGAAAAAGGGAACAAGAAAAGCAATAAGAAAAGCATCAACGGTACCAAAAGAGCAAAAGAAGAGGAAAAATCAATCAATGAGCAAACTGGTACGAGAAATGTTTGACCTGGATAAAAGTAAATACTTCTTTGCTAAACAGAGTAAGATTGATCAATTCTGTGCTAGAACCAAGACACAAGGTGCTTTTTGTATGCAGAAATTTCGACTACGGCCCTTATCATCATCGTCATTAACGAATAATACCCTTTTTACATCAATAGAATGGTATCATGCTCTACGAAGCATTAAGCTCAAATTTCAAAAAACACATGAAATAATAGATGTGCAGTATGAAAATAATGACAGCAGTTGTACCCGACTATGGGACAAAGCCAGTGCAAGTGTAGTGTTAAGCAGTGACGAAACCAAATGGTTGTATGATAAAGATTCATAGTAATTAAATAAACTAAAAAAAAAAAAAAGAAACAAGACATTTTTGCCCTACAAACCTATGTATTTTCAAAATAATTGTTTTGACCCAAACTGAATGCTGCATCTTGACTAGAGATATCCAAAAATGGTGCTAAACCTAAAGATCCATCGGTAACATACTCGTTCAAGTACAACTGGTTGTTCAGAGTAATACTGAATGGGTCAAACTTTAACAAATTCTCAAGACTCTCCATATCATCTGAACTCAATACTTGATCTGAATCAACTTGACTATTTGATTGAATTTCATCTAAAACGTTTACCTTTGGTCCAGGTTGGTTAATTGCACCGGCAGCAGCAGTAGTGGCAGCAGTGGCAGCAGTGGCAGCAGCCGCCTCTTTCTCCTTGTGATCCTCATCTTTGACAAATCCCGGATTGTTTATTATCTTTGGATTACCAGAAGATGGTGATGAGGAAAAAGAATACACTGATCCATTCATGTGTGTGACGACTTTTGGACCTTTTGGTTCTCTTTCTACAGCGGATTTGAGAATTGGACTCACCGCAAAAGGATTTGGGCTCTTCTTTGCGAAATTCGAAAACCTGTTCAAATTGATACCTAGTATACTGAGTACGGTTAGTTCTAAAAGCTTGCTTGAATTTCTTGTAAGACAACCAGGAACTTCGAATTTGGTTTCACTCAATAGAGCAGCAACGGAATCCAAGACTAGCTGCTTCAGGCTATTGAATAGATGGCCACCTTTAATGTAGTCCAATGTTCCCTTTGAAACCAATAAAGCTAGTAGAGCCTGCTCTCGTGAAACGTTTATTGGTAAAGGCAAAACAGGAGATGAGGATTTTTTAGCATAGCTTTTTATCACTTCTAAGATTTGGCTGGATGACTGCTGTATAACACTCATTGTAGCAACAATAGTAGCCGTATCACTTTCCCCCTTGGATAACTGCTCCTTTTGAGATAAACCGACATTATGATGGTGTCCATGCTTGGAAATTATTGGCAAGTGAATAAGAATTTTTGCATGATAATACAAGTAAATCAATGTCAACTGTTGGCTATTAAGAGTTTCCCAAACATCACCTTTGAAATAATTGACTTCCGATGTCTTTAAACTTAGTCCATTGGTATCCAACTCAAATCTTAAATCCGGTGGAAGTTCTCTCCTCCAAGTATCTAACATTTTATCCTTGTAGAGGGTATTGCTATCATTGAATCTGGAATATATGGAGTCCAAAATGCTGGCCAACACTTTACAAAAGAACATTACACTAAGCGCCATTCGTGAGACTTTTCCAACAATGGACAACTGAGTATTATTGACAACTAATATATTAACGTTATCGTCTTCCTCCTCTCCGTCTTGGTTGTTGTTGCTGCTGTTGTTGTCACCACTATTACCACTACCACTGCCACTACCACTGCCGCCTTTCCCAGCGAATGGCATGGCACATTCGATTTCGTAATCTTTCATGAGTCTAGGAACTCCCAAGTTCAATGAGGAATAAACATCTAGACAGTAAATACACCAGAACAATATACGCCTTTCAGCTTGCATAAAGTTTTGCAAGTTGAAATTTCCCTCGGTATTAGTAGTCATACCCAACACAGCAGCTGGACATCTATGTAAACGTAATTGCTGTGCCATGCTAATAACTCTGCCTCTTAATTCGTAACAAGTCGACAAGTCTCCAGTGGCTAAACAATACTGAAGTGCCAAAGATAGTATCTGCAAAGATTGAATTGAGCACACTTTTGTTAACAAGCAGTTGGGTTTAACAAACTCGTGGATTAAAAAGTCATAATGTTTCATCAAAGAAACATAAAACTGAGCATTGTCCAGATTAAGATACACGTTCTTGCTAGCAAGGAACCCCAAGCTCAATGATAGCACTAATAGTGCTCCAACTTTTTCAATCAGCTCAAATAAGCACTTATTTTCAACCGGAATTGTACCAAACTCCAAAACATCAATTACTTTCATATAACATTTTAAAAATGAAGACTTGTCCAAAAGTGGCAAAGTGTTGCCCCAAGTTTGAAAATACAAAGTCAAAAGCTGGTCCAAATCAAGCCTGGACACCGGAAATTTGACAAGCTCACGTAGAAATGTAATCGCTTCTGCATCGGACAAGGCATGAATGTCATCCCTATTCATAATCGTTGTGGATAATCTATCCCGCACAGCTTGACACTGCAAGGACGAGGACCCTCGCAGTATCGGTTGTTCCTTCAATGAAGCTAATGTATTTGCTGCCAAGACTGAAGGTCTTGAATCATACCCATATGCCTGACAAATGCGTGCCAAAAGTGTTGGAATACAAAGAGTTTCTTCTGTACTTCGTGGTATCGATGTTGCTACCAATGAGGTCAACATTCTCTGCTTATCGGTTTCTTTTTCAAGCTTTTGTTGTTGTTGTTGTTGTTGTTGTTGTTGATGATGCTGCTGAAACGATTTGTTTTTTTGCATTTGCGCAATAGCTGTAGCAGCTGCAAAAGCACCAGGAGCGGGACTTGAGTCTCTATTAGTTGAGTTTAACGCGAAATGCCGGCCCCTTGCAAATGAAGAAACATGGCGCGCATCGTCTAAGCTTATCAAGCTATCATTATCATCATTTTCGTCGTCGCTCAACCGTATTGAGCTTGCAATTGAAACTCTTCCTGTTTCATAAAGCGATCCCGCCACGGATACGGGTTTATCATGAACGGCATTTGGATGTGCACAACCACAAGAGCACCCATTTTCGTGGTTGTGCATATGTAGATGCATGGAGTTTTCCTGTTCTAACAAGTGGAGATTTGAGGCTGTTATCCTCAGACGATCACCACCAGTTTCCAAAGGTAAAAGTTTTTCTTCATTCAAATGAGGAGGGTCGCGAGATTTTGCATTCAACATTTCCAACCGTTCTCCCCTCATATCCAAAAGTCCCATTAGTTTCTTGTTTTCCGCTTCAAGATGTCGCACTCTTTCTTCCAAAGTTTCTGTATAACCTTTGGGAAAAGCTTTGCGACTTAGTTTATCAGACACAATACACTTTAATCCAACTGCAGAGCACGTCGAGCAGGGATTCCCACCATTGCACTTGGTCTTCTTTGCTCGACATCGGTCACAAGCTTGAGCTACTCTCTCCGCCCTCGATCCTGGCGCCCTAATAGTTTTTGCATTCCCTCGCAAATCGTGCGAAACCGATTTAAATGATTTTTCTGCATGTGGCAGTTCGTTAAACAGCTGAGAAGGTGCACAACCTCCACCTCCTACACCACCACCACCTAATCCTCCACCTCTTTCACCAACTACTGCTGTTGCTTCCCCGTGACTTTCCAAACCACTACTATTAATCTGTATTGCCATAACCGACTGAATGTGGTTTGATATACAAACAACCTGACTGGTTAAAAGAAAAAAAGAGAAGAAATCTGGGGAAGATTAAGAGGCTAAGAGCATTGGAGAGAGAGAGAGAGAGAGAGAGGAAAAAAAAAACATTACGCCGGAACCGGCGTCTTTGAAAAATCACGTGACTGATTTTTCTTTTTCATTCAGAGCATCATCATTGAAAATGAAAGATGAGAGGTTTGACATGTTCAAGCGGTAATGATAATGGAGTAATGAGGATATAAGCCGGTAGGATTATGGTGGTAGGTAAACGAACTGCAAGGGCGACTAGGTATTCTCGGGTGGTGAAGAAGATCAAGGTAGAGCCAGAGGCAGAAAATGAGGTAAGAAGGATCGATAGTGACGCAGACTTTTCAGGTTCTCAATACTTGGAAGAAGCCAAGGCAAAGACCGAAAACAAAACAAAATCAACTCATTTAAAAGTTGAGATAGAGGAGCAGGTGCTGGGGAAGGTGCTGGAGCATGAGCAAGAGATACTACCGCCCAATATCTTCCCTAAAGTTGATCGAGCTGATGAAGGAACTGGCCCCAAAGGCTGGTCAACGATATACAATGAGGTCGTCGAAATGAGATCAAAGTTTGTGGCACCAGTGGATCATCAAGGCTGCGAGTCTATGCCCAATACAATAACACCGAACTTACAGACCCAAAATCCCCAAAAGTACCGATTTCAACTACTCATTTCCTTGATGTTATCATCACAAACTAAAGACGAAGTAAATTATCAAACAATGGTAAAGCTCAACAATGGACTTGCAAGCTCAGGCGGATTCTGTATTGAAACTGTTTCGAAGCTAACCCCTCTGGAAATCGATTCATATATTGCCAGTGTGGGATTCCACAACCGAAAATCTCAATATATTGCTAAAACATGCCAAATATTACTACAGAAATACAAGGGAGATATACCGCAAACGATTGAAGAGATTGTGGAATTACCAGGTGTCGGACCCAAGATGGGACACTTACTATTGCAATGCGGATGGGGTATAAATTCAGGTATTGGGGTAGATGTGCACCTACATAGGTTAGCCTCTATGTGGAAATGGATTTCTCCAAAAGCCAATACTCCAGAGAAATGCCGTATTGAATTGGAAAGTTGGCTTCCGAAAAAATACTGGATGGATATTAATCCCTTGATGGTTGGGTTTGGACAAGTTGTGTGTGTTCCACGTACACCAAATTGTGATGTTTGCAATTTAGGTCGAAAAGGGATCTGTAAGTCGAGAAATCAAAAATTGCTAAAGATGCCGATGAGTGAGGAGAGAAGAGCAAAGTTGATGAAACAAAGAGCTGATTTAACTAACTTGATTAACTTGATCAACGATGATGTCAGTTATACCTTAAATAAATAAATAAAAAAAAAAAAAAAATTTGTGTTTAATTAGAAACAACTCACTAATGATATGAAAAGGGAAATCTTTATGTAATATAACCACCTTCTTTCGAAAGTGAGTAGAATATGCTTTTTTTGTTTTTCAATAAGTTTTGAGGTGTATCAAACTCGGCAACTTTACCATTGTCCAAAACCAAGATCTTGTCAGAGTCCATTATTGTATCGATTCTATGTGCTATGGTTAGAATCGTCTTGTTCTTAAACTGCTCTCTGATGGTCTCTTGTATGATCTTGTCTGTTTGGAAGTCAACTGCTGCTGTGGCCTCGTCAAGAACTAAGATCTTGCTTGTCTCATTCAATAATGCTCGTGCCAAACAAAGTAATTGCTTTTGGCCAGAAGACAAGTTGGTGCCTCCTTCTTCGATCTTGGCATCCAATCCTCGCTTCTTAGGTAGCTCGTCGGCGTTTTTGTTATTACTATTGCGTTTATCTTCCTCTGTTGGCTCGCTCTCCATTTGCTCAACATGCTCTTTCAAATGTGCAAATTCCAAGGCTTTCCACAACTTGTCATCATCATATTCGCTAAACGGGTCCAAGTTTTCCCTCACGGATGCTCTGAAAGTATGTGCTTCCTGTGGAATAATTGTTAAGTGGTGTCTCAAGTCATATAAGCCAATCTCATCAATATTGATATCGTCAATCTCAATTTTACCACCGGTACCTTCAATGATCCTGAACAACGCTAAAGTTAATGAAGATTTTCCAGCACCGGTTCTTCCAACAATACCGATTTTCTCCCTAGAGTTGATGGTCAACTCAATCTCTTTCAAGACGGGATCCAAATAGTCTCTGTATGCCGTACTGTACCTCTTAAACTTAATAACACCTTTACTAGGCCAACTTTTATCGGGTCTCTTGTCTTCAATAACCATTGGCGCCTCGGAAGGTAAGTCACAATACTCAATGATTCTTTCGATTGCAACGCCTTCAGATTGCATCTCTGCCCAACACCTAACCAACGCATTTAAAATATAAGTAATTGATAACGAATAAGTCATGATAAAACCCAAAATATTTGGCGATATAGGATGTTTCCCGCCCAATGAAACAACGGCCAACAAACCGGTTGAGAACATAATACTCGATGCAATAAACTGCAACCTCATAGATAACCACCTATTACAGTTTTGACTAACAATTCCAATCAATGTCTTGTCATCAATAAACTTTTTGCTTTTGTGGGAGAATCTTTCCGTTTGGAAAAATGCTTTTATTGTATCAACACCATTAATGGATTCTTGAATAGTGGCCAATATCGGTGATTTGGCTACAGACTCCAATCTTTTTAATTCTCTAGTTGTCGGAACAAATCTGATCCTGAAATGATTATAAACAACTAACAATCCCAAAATGACGAAAAACATTATTGGTAATGAAAAGAAAATAACGCCAAACGTAACTAATCCATTAAGTACAGTTGAAACAAATGCAATCAACATCCATGGTAAGTTCATGTCGATTTTTCCAATATCTTCGGTAAATCTGTTTAAAATTCTTCCTACTGGTGTTGTCTCAAAAAAGGACATTGGTGATCTCAAGACGGATTGGGCCATCTTGTTATGAAAATATGCTGATCCTTTAACAATGCAATAGCCCCATATAACATAGGCCGCAATGTATGTTATCAAACCAGTAACAACTCCCATTAATGCATAAACGCCCAAAAAGAAAACAGGATCAACCGTTCTGTTCTCCTCTCTATTCAACCCTGACCAGTAACTCAACAAGTACTTTTCAGCAACGGAGATTAGCAAGGTGAGTAATGTACCAAGAATGTATAATGCAAAGTATTTGTAATTGCATGCAACTATGTATTGTTTAAAGATATCCCAAGGAACAGTTCCTTTTCTTGATTCTTCTTCAGTATGACCTGTCTTTCTTGGGGAATTGCTAGTTGTTTCATCTTCGTCACTCTCGTATGAATGGTTGTAGGGGACTAATGATGCACGACGTAGAACGCCTTGTTCAACAATTCCTCTATTTTCTTCGCCTACGGTGTCAACAATTTCATTAACCAAGACTTCAGTCGCTTCTGTTGGATCTACTGGTTTTCTATTTTCTAGTCTTTTTTCTTCCTCCTCCTCCTCCTCCTCCTCCTCCTCTACCTCTCTCCCACCTTCTTTCTTCTTGTTCTCTTTCTCCTTGTTATTTGTCTCATTATCTTGTAATTCTCTACCATATTCTTTGATCAACTTGGCCAATTCCCCATCTGCTTTCATTACATTTTCGTAATTTCCGTGTTCAACAATCACCCCCTTAGATAAAAGGTAAATGTCATCCGCATTATGCAACACTGGTACGGAGTTGGTTGCTAGTATTTTTGTACGTGTTCCAATAATACCGTCACTGGATAATATTTGCTCAATCAAGGCTTTTCCAACATGGGCGTCTACAGCAGATAACACATCGTCCAATAAATAAATATCGGCCCTTGAATAAACTGCTCTTGCTAAAGAAATACGGGCTTTTTGACCTCCACTTAGGGAAATACCCTTTTCACCAACAATGGTCTTATCGCCATCAGGTAACGTCTTAAAGTCAGAAACCAATTGACAAGCAATAATTGTTTTCCTATAGAATTCTGAGTCATATTTGAATCCAAACAAGATATTCTCCTTAATTGTACCATTCAAGATCCATGGATTTTGTGGACAGTATGCAATAGAGCCAAACGTTTCAACACTTGGATTCTTGTTACTGCTATTGATGTCTGAGTATTGAGGGATATCAATTGGGACGTTTCCCAAGATGGCATTTATTAATGTTGATTTACCACTTCCAACTTTACCAACAACACAAGTTAACTTTCCCTTTCTGGCCAAAAAATTTATATCTTTCAAAGCTGTATTGGTGGTGGTGGTGGTGGTGGTGGTGTCTCCTGATTGTACAGCCGCTTCTACATCTTTGTACTCGGATTGATTGGTAGTAGAGTTATCCCAAACAAATGTAGTATCCTTGATAATCACAGAGTATTCGCTATTATCACGAGCTTCCAAAGATCTTTTAATGTGACCCTGTTGGTCATCTGTCAATTCATCTAAGCAAAGCATTTCTCCAAGACGTGATAATGATGTCGAAGTTTGAAGAACACTAACAATGAAACGAGGAATTATAAACATTGGCTCAGATAACAAATCAAACAATGCTAATGCTGGGAAAACAATATCTGGAGTTAATGGAGCACTGTAGAAATATGAATAAGTACCATATGTAGCACAGCTTATAAAAAAGGGAATACATGACCACATAAATTGAGCAAACGCACTAATGACACCACATTTCTTGATGTTGTATAGTTCTCGGTCATTTCTAATATGGTTCAAACGCTCCAACATGGGTTTTTCCCATGAGTAAAGCTTAATACTTTTGGCGGAATTGAGAATCTCGGTAATTAAACTTGTTCTGTCGTCCTTATCCTTCATTTCTTGTAGGTAATATTTAACCACTGATGTGTTTGCTATTGAGGCAATTGGTGCAACAATTGCTGCAGTTAAGACCCCGGCCCAAGTAGCATTCCGAAACAATTTATACAAGGATATTAAACAAATGATTAGTTGCATAGGCGCTGCTATGTACTCACCAATACTCCAACAAAACCAAAAGATCATATTGATATCCATTGTAATGTGGTTTATTATGTCCCCAGTTGGTTTGCTCCTTCTTGATTGTGGTGATAATCTCAATGCTTTTTCGTAAATGATTGTGGTTAATGAGCTTTGGATACCATATCCCATATTGTATTGGAAAGCAAATGCCTGGTTAAAAGTAATGAATTTTGCACATGATACAACAAACATTATAGTTGCCCAGAAATAACCAATGATGATAGGTGGTTTCTCTTGATTGTAAAAGTAAGCAGAAAAGAATTGAATAAATTTCATCAACACAAAAGGCTGAGTAAAGACTAAACATGTCTCGATGATCTTTAATGCAATATTAGCAAAGAACTGAGGTGCAAATGCAAAAAATATGGCAACAAATAAGTTGGGTTTATTACATGCGATTCCATCTTCCTTCTTCTTTCTTGTAATCTTTAACCATAAACGCCAAAAGCAGCTGGGTTTTCTTAATTTGGCATTTTTCTTTTCTTCCTCCCAGAATTTTGTCACTTTGGAGGTACTCTTGTCACAAGATAAATCATCCAAGATGGAAGGTAGATCGTCAAGTTTCACATCATCAGTCTTGTAGATACGGTCAATCAACGGCTGCAAAAAGTAAAAGGTAATATACGAAAACAAATTAACCTTGTCCATAAATCTCTCATTGCTCGTATCAAACCCTGGTTCATAAAAAACGGATTCCAATATAAATACTGCCAAACTATTACCTGCTAGCAAAAATTCCAAAAGATATGCTGGTTTGGAAAATGCAAAAATTTTGTGCTGGGACACCGAATCTTGTATCAATACCACCAAGTAGTAAAAAGTACCAAGTAGCCAGAATAATAAGGAGGCGACAACGGGAACTGGTGATAATCTGAACTCTAGTTGGGCCACTAGAAAGGCCAACCCCGTAGTTGAGGCTAGACATATGAGGACTGGAAGCTTGACAAATAACCCTAGTACAGCCAATAGTACCAATTGCACGAAAATGGCAAAGGTCTTTATTATTTGTAGCAAAGGTGTAGTTTTGTATATGTGCGACAGGTTTCTTGCCTTTATGGATAGATTGACCAATTTATAAGTCAACAAAAGGGCTGACCCCAAACTCACCACCATTGCAACAAAATATGCAAATTGTGGGTTAATTGAATTACCATGGCTTGAATATAGCGGCAGCGGAAACAACTGGTCAAGGCTACTTGAACCATTGGGAAAACTTTGTTCATGTACACCGTCGTTTTGGCCAACTCCTAGAAAATTGAAAACGTGTAGTAATGAATAGTGATGTAACGTTGATAATTGAAACGGGTTGAACCCTAACAACAACTCACTATGTGAACCAATAGAACTTGTGTTCATACCTCTTGTGTAGAAAAAGCAAGCGGAAAAGCAGGAAATTGGCAAGCTTTAGAACAAGATCAATATGAGGCAAATTTAGAACAAGATCAATATGAGGCAAATTTAGTGCAAGCTTTAGAGTAAAATCAATATGAGGCAAATTTAGTGCAAGTTTTAGAGCAAGATCAATATGAGGCAGATTCTTCTTTTTATATTGGAGAAACCTGGTGTAAATAAAGAAGCCATAGTTTGCATTTTCCACTATAGTCCTAATTACCGAAAAAAGAAGAATGGGAGATAAGAGAGAGATGAGGGATATGTTAGAGGGGATACAATAAGGCACCAAAAAGACATACAATGCAAACAAGTGGAAAAAAGAATTTCTCTCAAGCGGTAAATGATAAATGAGTTTATTGCAAATAATAAGCCACCTCGCCCATGAGTGTTTCATGTGTAATAAGCCACCTCGCCCATGAGTGTTTCATGTGCAAAAAGCAGCACTATCGAGAAACACTATCGAGAAACACTATCGAGCAGAGCGAGATAGTGTTGTAACAAGCTACAAAGTATTGCCTTCTATCGAGCAGCACTATCGAGCAGCACTATCGAGCAGAGCGAGATAGTGTTGTAACAAGCTACAAAGTATTGCTCCACTATCGAGCAGAGCGAGATAGTGTTGTAACAAGCTACAAAGTGTTGCTTCACTATTGAGCAGCACTATCGAGCAGAGCGAGATAGTGTTGTAACAAGCTACAAAGTATTGCTCCACTATCTCGCTCTGCTCGATAGTGTTCGCCCTGCTCGATAGTGTTCGCCATAGAAGTGTTCGCCATAGATTTATGCGGCACAAAACTTTTATTCTATAGCTTTGATATTGTGTAAGTTTTATATTTTTAGTAACTATATATGATCTGCATTTAGAAAATGACTCAGATATAGTTTGTGACTCTTGTAGATACATTATATTATGTTATTGGTATTCTTGCCAATTCTTTCTACATTACAGCTCCCAAGGAGCTGCTTATTGAATAAATGTTGTCTCTTATGGTTCACTATAAAAGTGTTGTCTCTTATGAGCTCATTATAACTGTTGTCTCTTATGAGTTCACTATAAAAGTGTTGTTTCTTATGAACGGCTCTTCATTTAGTACATGGATGTCTCGTGTTGTCTCTTATCATATGCAGGGCCCTCTCTTTTTCTTTTTTTTCTTTTTAAAATGAGCATATTTTTCTTCACAAGCTCGTACCTTGCTAGTGTCGATAATGAAGTCCTTTTAAAAGTGTGGCTCTGTAGGCCACTTTGCTGACTCGTACCTATGGTATCAACGTTTATGCTACAATTGAGCGAGAGACTAGACGAGTGGAGGAGGCTAGTCGATAGTAGATAGACTATCGACACTATCGACCAGAGCGAGAGACTATCGACACCATCTTGCTCTGGTCGATACAACACTAGCTCGCTTCGTTTGTTAGTGTCCTTTTTACAACAATATGAAGCAACACTAGTTCCCTCTGCTCGATAGTGGAGCCGCACTGCCTATACCCTTTTCTGGTAACTACGACTACATTTTTTCTCTCTCGATAATTTACTCTCTTAATCAAAATAATACACTACTGATTCATATAGTTTCCAGTGAGATATATTATCGGACCTCGAGAGGCTCTCTGTCACTTGTCTGTGGCAGTTACTGTGCTCCACTATCTCGCTCCACTATCTCGCTCTGCTCGATAGTGTTTGCCGATAGTGTTTGCTCGATAGTTTTTTCTGCTGTACTTCTTTTTTCTGTTTGAGATAAGCGGCTAATCAATTTATTCCGCTTCCCTGTCATATCTGCAAAAGATTCGCTGTCATATGTTTAGTGTCTCAATAATATACGACAACACGCGTACGCGTCTTATTTTCCATTCGCTTTTATTTTCCTTTTGTGTTTGTTTACTTAACGCTTGCTCACAAAACCGACTAATCTCGGAATTAGCTGGCTTTCTTTTTTCAACCAATCACGGTACTCAATAATCGGTTATAACCGATTAGAAATTTGTCTGCATCTGTCAACAGTCAAGTGTGGTAAGTTATCGTCAGTGCCCCCCCCCCCCCTCTAGTTCTTGCTGCTAGTACACCTTTACCCCCCCCCCTCCTGCTGCCATTTCCCCCGCCCGCCTGCAATTAAATGGAAAACAAGGAGTTTCTACTACCTTTTGCATTCACAAAGTCATCATCATTCAATGGTACAAACAATTTAGATACTACCCCGCGCAAAAAGGAAGTGATTGATGAAAACGCAAGTAGTTTCTACCATACCAGAAAAACAGTATATGCTTTTGAAAAACCAAAGTTACAAGTGAAACCGCCTTCATTAAAGCGTAGAAGAGGGGAAAGTTTTAATGATAAATGTGATGTAAAGAAAATCAACTATCAAGATAAAGAAGAAGAAGAAGAAGAAGAGGAGGAGGAGGAGGAGGAGGAGGAGGAGGAACAAACTGGCGCTAAGTTAATCGACACTGATGAAGCCGGGCCGCATGATTCATTACCACCTAGTAGTCCCCCGGCTTTGGAGCTAGACCAGAACCCTACACCATTGATGTCCGAATTTGACTTTTGGACTAATCCAACTACAAGTTTCCAAGTTCCCAAATCACCGGTAGCAAAGACACAACTTGTTTCAAAAATTTATACCTTGCCTCAAAAAGAATTGAATTCAGACACAGATTTTGGTATTGACCGGTTTAATCGATACCAAGGCAGTTTCAATGAAACAAAAAGGGACTCAGATTTCTCATCCACCGGCGAAGACAGTAATTTAAACCAGCACTATAAAGCGCAAAGTTTCAATAAAGCTAGAAGCATCATACTTGATGCTTTTGAAAATTTCAAAAGTGATATAGATTTGCAATCAATGAATTTATATCGAATACCTGATGAGGTGAAAGATTTAAACAATTTAGTCATTTTCAATGACTTTGATCAAGATGATCAAAGCAACGATACTTCTATACAGTCTCCTTACCAGCTATACGTTGGTAATAACAACTTGTCGGAATTACCCCCGTCATTATTCAAGTTCAACAAGTTGCAAGTCTTGTCACTAAGACAAAATAACCTATCTTATATCCCGCCATTGATTGGGCAACTAACAAACTTGATTGATTTATCGTTGAGCTCAAATAAAATCAAGTTCTTTCCCTTTCAGTTGTTAAGTTTACAAAAGCTATTTACTCTAACAACTAGACCAAATCCATTAATTGAAAAGCCCAAAGACGCTATTGCCATATCCGAGCAGAATGAACCAACTGCATCAACATTACGTACAACAGATAATAACCATCGATTCAAATTGAGGGCACGGACCCCAATTAAATACTTGACCAAAAAACGAGCTAACATAGTTTCACTAAGGGCCCTATGTCTCGACATTATTGCTAATCATGATGTCACCTACCAGGAAACAAAAGGCTGGAAAAAAAATACCCCGAAAATATACCATGGATTAATCATTGAAGCTATTAGAAAAGGGAAATTTAAAGACATGTGTAGTGAGTGCAGTTTAATTGTGGTTGAGCCAGTGGCCGAAGTTTACGAATGGTGGGATATCTTATCCAATAAGGATGTCACTATTCGTAGACAATTTTGTTCAGGGAATTGTATAGAAAAATACCTACTGAGTCGTAATTAAAAGACTAAGATGATATGCACCACGACACACTTCTTTTTCTGGTTTTTTTTTCCCCAAAAAAAGTGGTGTTATCGTTTGTTCTCCTTTATAATATTACTGATACAGATTCGGTGACATAGTTTGATGGAAAAGTACCAAACCTGCCATTGATTTTTCCTTTCCACCAATCACCGTCTTTTTCCAAGAGCGTTATACGGTCATTCTTTTTAAACGATAAATCGCCCGTTTCCTGCCCTTCGAAATTATAAAGTGCAATGCATGATCCGAGTACTGTACCGCTTGCCGCCGCTGTCCCCCCTTCTCTTTCTCCTCCTCCTCCTCCTCCTTTTGCAGTAGTGGATGCCGCTGCTGCGACCCCCGACTCGATATCATATATTTTAGGCCTAAATATGGTTAAATCCTGAATTTTTGCACCAAGAACTTCGTATCTAGCGTCACTCCAGTTGACCAACTTATCTATTGATTGCGGTAATTCATACAGTGACTTTCTCAATTCTGCAATCATTTTATAGCAAAAAATCAAGTGTAACAAGTATGCATCAACAGTAGCCAATTCTATAACTTTTTGCATCAATTGAATGAAACCAGGTAGCTCCCTTTTTAAAAGTTCATTTAGATTGTCATATTTAACTTTATATTCTGCTAATTTCCTTTCGAGAGTAAAGATTTGATTGCTTTGTTTTAAACTTAGTTGTTCCATTCCTTGCTCTTGCTTTACAATCAACGAGTCGTGTTCATTATATATCTTATCGTAATCTAACAAGGCATATTGTCGGTCCCGAATTTTTTTAAACACGTTTTTGAGAATTGTTGAGCTCAATGTTTCCAACCGCTTCATACTACCATTAACCACAGCGTCTATTTCTCCTGACATGTCAATCTTCTGCATTAAATGTTTGTACTTGATCATGTTGGCCCACAAATCATATGCATCGTTCATTGTCTCGCTATCCTTTTTGAAATTACTATATGGATCTATCAAGTTGTGGAAACCTTCACTAACACCAATCGACTCTTGTACAACCTCACCCATACTCTCACAAAATAGCTTTAAACTCTCAAGAACTTTCTTTAAGGCGTCATCTTGTTGTTTAACCACAAACTCAAGTGCATTGAACTCTTCATCAACAGTATAAGAACCGCCGGCAAATTTGATCTTTTGTTTGAGAAACTGTGGCGTACGTTTAATCTTATTCCAATCGAATTGGGTCGGCTTCAATTTCTCATCGACCAATTTCCATTTCTTGCTCACTTGAGTGGTTAATTTATTGATCTCGTTATTCATTAGGGGGGTGGTGATTTTTTAAGCGGCGGTGAATAAAAAAGGAAAAAAATTTGATATGTTTTTCATTGCAGCCATTTTTTTTTTTTGCACCCACAAAACTTAGGCAGAGATGAGATGAGATGAGCGTGAGTTATTTGGGGACTAGACGAGTGAAGCGAGTTTAATCGATAGTAGATAGACTATCGACACTAGAGACACTAGAGACTCTAGAGACACTATCGAGCAAAGCAAGATAGTGGAGCACATTGACTATCAACACTATCTCGTTCTGTTCAATAGTGGAGCACATTGACTATCAACACTATCTCGTTCTGCTCAGTAGAGTCGCTCTTCTGCTCGATATTGTCAACTGTAGCTTATCAATAGTGTCCTTAGTCATTGTGCTCCACTATCTCGCTTTGCTCGATAGTGTCGTTGCTTTGCTCAACAGTGTCGCATTGCCTTGTTTGTAAATACAGTTTTTGTAAAACTACATGAGATTGTGTCTCATTGATTTCAATGTTTTTGATTACAAAAGAAAACGAGATTAAAAAATTTTTGTTTTGAAAAAAGTCATGAAAACTGAATCTTTGAAGGAGATGGTTAAAAGTGACACGAGAGATTAGTCTTGATACTATATTGCCAGCTCAATATTCAAATGTTACGTGGATTGATATATCCCTTCTTTCCTATACGCACAACTTCATCCTTCCAAACAAGTAGATGTCTCTTTATCGCATCGATTGGTAATCCTGAGCCGGAATATGCAAACACGAGGCATAATATAGCACATCGCCTAATGGATCAGCTAATAAACGTATATTGGAAGGACCATGTATATAAGAAAGGCCCTTACTACTATGCATCTCACAAGTATCCCAATATTGTACTATTTAAATCGGACTCAACATTAATGAATATCCAGGGTCGTACCATACAAAAACATTTCCAGAAATTTGACAAAGAGTCACATTTGCTTATCTTGCATGACGAAATTGAGCTTACCTTGGGGAAATTCCAATTTCGCAAACCGGGAAGTAGTTCAAGAGGTCATAATGGGTTAAAGTCAATTGATGGTGTTTACAAGAATAAGTTTAGCAAACTTGGAATCGGCGTGGGGAAACCCAATGGAAATAATATTGTAAGACATGTATTGGGCAAGTTTAGTGAAGAAGAATTGCAAATTTTGGATTATGAGGTTTTGCCTAAGGTTGTTGAGAAATTAGAAGACACTATAGCGACGACACTATCGACACTATCGAGCAAAGCGACGACACTATCGAGCAAAGCGAGATAGTAGAGCACATTGACTACTTATGACACTATCAAGCAGTGCGAGATAATGGACCTTACTGATTAGTTACAACACTATCTCGCTCTGCTAGATTGTGGAGCACATTGACTAGTTATTATTTGCAAAAGAGCTAGAAGAAAGTTGTTGAGCTGACAAGCTTGAAGGTAACAAGCTAAAAAAGAAGTACCCATAAGGTATTGAGCAGAGCAGCGACACTATCGAGCAGATTGCTCACACTGTAACATTGACTAGTTACGACACTATCGAGCAGAGCGAGATAGTGTCGGTGAAGTCAGTGCTGCTCCACTATCGAGCAGAGCGAGATAGTGTCGGTGAAGTCAGTGCTGCTCCACTATCGAGCAGAGCGAGATAGTGTCGATGAAGTCAGTGCTGCTCCACTATCGAGCAGAGCGAGATAGTGTCGATAGCGTCGATAGTGTCGGTGAAGCCAGTGTCGATAGCGTCGATAGTGTCGATGAAGTCGGTGCTGCTCCACTATCTCGCTCCGCTGGATAGTGAATCAAGAGACTAACCATGTACAACAGTAAGTGCTCCACTATCTCTCTCTGCTCGATAGTGAATCAAGAGAATAGATGCCACATTGCAACAATTGATCAAAGCAAGAAAACTTGCTTTGATTAATTGTTTTCTAGTTTTATCACACTCTACTCTCTACATCCTGCTCTACTCTCTACATCCTGCTCTACTCTCTACATCCTGCTCTACTCTCTACATCCTGCTCTACTCTCTACATCCTGCTCTACTCTCTACATCCTGCTCTACTCTCTACATCCTGCTCTACTCTCTACATACTTCTGCACTATCTCGCTCTCCCCAATTGTGGATAGAGCACCAGAAAAAATATAAATTGATTATTATATAGATTTCAATCTTGACTATTACACACGCACAACAGGTACCACGTAGACATATACGCAATTTGTATAGACATACACGTAAACGCATTCACTCTCTATCATCGTGAGTGAGTAGCGAGAGTAAGAGTAAGAGAGTAAGAGAGTAAGAGAGAGAGCGAGTAAGAGAAAGAAAAGAAAACAGAGAGACAAAACAAGAATTATACATTTTGCTCAAACGCCACTCCTCGCACCGAAATTTGAAAGAACAATATTTGAATCTGAATGTTTGTCAAATGGAATTTAGGATTGATTTGGTCGCCGAAAGGTCGGTTCTACGTGAATCAATAAAAGGTATGGTTTACTTGTACTCTTTTACTAATGAAAACTTACTGACTTTTTATTTCCCTGTCCCCCCCTCCCCTTTTTGGGTTTTTAGGTATAATGTCAACGATATTTTTCAATAGATTATTTGGCCCAATTCAGCCTTCTATCAACGAGTTTCTCAATGTGACATACCCGCAAGTATCGAACTTCCCCCAACTCGAGTCGCTAATAGATGAAAAGATTGCTAAATTTATAAGGATAATTGTAGACTCGAACTCGCTTCCAGTAACAGGGCAAATGAATATACAGTTTTTGAATAAAGTAAGTGATTCCAGTAATGCCGGAACCTCGACGGGCAAGAGGAAAACCAGTGGCTGGTTTGGCGTTGGTGGTAACGGTGGTGGGGAAAACCAGGCTGATTTGAAAGTATGGGAGACATGGGATATCAATATAGAATGTTTACCTATAGAAGAAAGACAAAGTATGACTAATAGAGCCAGTGGGAACAATAATAATAGTAAGACAAGGAAAAGTCCAGATTATTCTCAAGCAGTTGAGATATCGATGAAGAACTTTGAAGAGAATCTAATAAAGGTTTATGAATTAGTAGATAGGGAGAAAGATCATATACCTCCAATTACAACGCTTAAAATAGCACCGTTTCCTTATAGGATAAATATTATCGATGAGGATCTAGTCAAGGGAAATAAGGACTGTGGCGGAAAACAACAACAACAACTGCAGCAACAGCAACAACAGCAACAACAGCAACAACAGCAACAGCAACAACGGAAAACATCGAGTCATGATTCTGATGAAGGTTGGGGTACTTATATCAAGAAAATGCTAGACTAAATGTGCTTTGTATAGCTCGCTATAGGTTAATTACAATGTGCTTCGTATAGCTCGCTATAGGTTAATTACAATGTGCTTCGTATAGCTCGCTATAGGTTAATTACAATGTGCTTCGTATAGCTCGCTATAGGTTAAATACTTCTCTTACAAGTTAGCAGAGAGCAATCCTTCTTCACCTCTCACCAAGATACATTCATCTTCTTCAATGACTTTGTCATATTCGCCCAATTTCTTAGCCAAGTCCAATACATCTTGATCGTAGCTTCCCGGTTGAAACCATAACCCCTTAATAACATTCTTATAGCCTTCAATTTCGCCAATTTCTTTCAATGTTGCTACAGTAACATGGGGAGGGGTCAAAAATGATATACTGAGCCCATCAACCTCGGCAGTATTGTAATTTCCCAATTTCTTGTGGTTTTCAATAGCTTGGATTACTGATGAAACATTATGAATTACTGGCTGGTCTAAAATCACCGATTCTTTGGGGTTAATAGGTATAACAGGTATGTTATGTTTGATATACCAATTGAGTATCTTATACCCAAACTTGCTTGGATTATTGGAAGCGCCTGCTACTGCGTAGAGTCTTTTTTCGCCAAAAAAGGATCTGATTTTGGTTTTGGTTAATGACATGGCAATGGGTGTCAATAATATGGCTACAAAGTGTTGCTTCACTAGCTCGCTCTGCTCAATAGTGTATAGTGAAGGTTGTTGATCCAAAAAAAAATTCCTCAAGGCTATTTTTTTTTATGGGGTTATTTTCGTCAACTGCGCCGCACCGTTGATTTAGCATTTTTTTAGGAGGCACAAGACCGTTATCAGGGTAAGTAAGTAGTACCAACACTATCGAGCAGAGCGAGATAGTGTCGTAACAAGCTACAAAGTGTTGCTCCACTATCGAGCAGAGCGAGATAGTGTCGTAACAAGCTACAAAGTGTTGGGGGCAGCTAGTGTGCTCCACTATCTCGCTCTGCTCGATAGTGTTGCTTGATAGTGTTGCTTGATAGTGTTACTCAATAGTGTTGCTCGATAGCGTTGCTCGATAGTGTTGAATCTTATTCATTCACATACGCATCCGTTTTATACATCTATAGAATAGTACATTTCTTTGACTTTTTAATCACGGGCGGTTCCAATGCAGCAACGATGGCTTCATCAAAAACAGTCTTCAATCCTCTTTGCGTCAATGCAGAACACTCGACATATTTAACAGCTCTTAATTCTCTAGCTAACTTCTCACCTTGTTCTTGAGTGATTGGTTGCAATTTTTGTCTTTGTAATCTTTGCAATATAACATCATCATTCCTCAAGTCGGTCTGTGTACCAACAATCAAGCAAGGCACCCCGGGACAGTGGTGGTGTACTTCGGGGAACCATTTTTCTTTCACGTTTTCAAAAGATGCTGGCGATATAACTGAAAAACAAACCAAAAATACATCAGTTGAGGGATAAGACAATGGTCTCAATCTATCATAATCTTCTTGACCTGCAGTATCAAATAACCCCAATGTGAAAGGCTCGTCACCAATCATTACTGTTACTGCATAGTTGTCAAATACTGTGGGAACATAATCTGCTGGAAATTTGCTTGTGGTATAGGAAATTAGTAAACATGTTTTACCAACAGCACCATCACCTACAACAACACACTTTATTGTCTGCATTTTTCTTCCTGCACTTATAACTAAAAAAAAAAATGTGACTGTAAACAACAAATCAACAACGCAAGATCTCTCTGTATATATTTCCTTCTCTCTTACTTTCTCTCTCTTTCTTTTCTTTACAGGTTTTCCTTAAGTGAAGGTAAATTTTCAAGTGAGCTTTAAGAGAGAGAGAGAGAGAGACAGAGAGACAGAGAGAGAAAAAAAAAAAACTTTGTGTCTAAGTCTTTTCTAAAAAACTTTTGCGACACTAAAGAACTCAGTGGGATCAAGGTAGTGTGATCGAGGTAAACGGATTTGTAGAAGTAATGGGGGGGAAGGATGTAGTGAATTGGTGAATGGGAGAAAAGATGTAGTGAATTGGTGAAAAGATGTAGTGAATTGCTGAATGGGAGAAAAGATGTAGTGAATTGGTGAATGGGGGAAAAGATGTAGTAAATTGATTAATGGGGCAGATTATGGTAAAATTATTTCTGGAACACAGAGAGAGGTCAAAGTAGAGCAAACTAAGGGTAATTTCGCGTTCAAATCGGGCAAAAGTTGGGCTTAATGGAACATCAATTGTTATCGATTGAAGGAAAAGACAATTTTTTTGTTCATTTTCCAAGGGAAAATATAATCAAGAAAGATGTAATTTAATAAAAGCTGTAGTATGCTATACTACTGTAATATACCATAGCTCAATAAAAGTTGTAGTATTGCAAAGCTTTGTTGAGCTTAGAATAGCTTAGCTTAGTATAGTTTAGGATGTCTCACCGTACCTTACCTTAGCTTAGTCTAGATTAGCTTATCTTGGCATATTTTAGTTTTTCTAAGGTAGATTAATCAAAGCTCAATGGTGAAGAAGCTATTCTAATGATATCTCCTTAATCACTAAGGATTAGAGCTGTATTGGAAGAGCTGTATTGGAAGAGCTGTATTGGAAGAGCTGTATTGGAAGAGCTGTATTGGAAGAGCTGTATTGGAAGAGCTGTATTGGAAGAGCTGTATTGGAAGAGCTGTATCGGAAGAGCTGTATTGGAAGAGCTGTATTGGAAGAGCTGTTTTTGTCCAAGAGTTAGAGCTGTTTTTGTCTAAGCATTAAAACAACTATTGAAGCAGTAATTTGCATTAGAGCTGTATTTTGTATATAATCAAAACAATGCCACTGAGTCTCTCAATATAAGAGACAGAATAGTGACACAGTAGTAACACAGTGGCAACATAGTAGTAACATTGTGGTAACACAGTGCTGGCACGTACAAGAAATTACAACAGAAAAACTGCCTATGTGGCTCTTTCCGTTATCATTACAGCATTATAAAAACGATAAATTGGTTATGCCAGAAGGGTCATGCCCGACTGCCATGCAGCTATTGCAGTGTTATTTCCAGACTGCCATGCAGCTATTGCAGTGTTACCGCCATCTTTATAAAAATGTTTGTTCCGTTTTATACCCCTATTCTACATCTTTTATATATTATTTACAGTAAGCCAGAAATTCTTCTATAATTTTTTCTAAAGCAGTGTTCTTCATCGTCTTTATTTTAAGCTTATAAATCCATGGTCGCTTTGCATAATATCGAGCTCACTCGTAATATCACTTGGTAAGTCATTTGTATCTGTTAATGCAACTGTTGGACTCATCATATTGCTGATTTGCGTACTTGTACTCCTCATATTCGTCTTATCATCATCGTCATTATTGTTGTTGTTGTTGTTGTTATTATTATTATTATTATCACTGTTGGTAGTATTATCATTAGTACTATTGTTCTTGTTATTATTAACATTATTATTATTACCAATGTTGTTGTTATCGTCATTTTTCGTGTTGCTCATAAACTCAATCTCTTCTTGAAATTCCTCACCATAATCATCAGCTATATCAGGGCCTCCTCCAAGAAAATCCATCATCATGTGCATACCTCCAGCGCCGCCAGCGTATTCCTCGACATTGGAAGGCAAAACTTGTGCAACGCCCTCTAAAAACCATACTTTGTCCTTCATCTCCATTGTAAATGCTCGAAGCAACTTGTAGTAAGACCTCATTATTCTCATTGCTTTTACATCCCCCGACATCAACATTGACATAAATTGTTTATCTAACAAGGCAGGAAACGCAAATATTCGTAAAATGAAATCTGATTTGTACCTTTCTTTATGTAGTTTATTCAAATACGCCAAAGTTATTAAATAAGGCGAGGTGATTTCAACAGGGTACAAATCGGCGATATCTGCATCATGACACTCCAAGTCGGTATATATTCTTTGTGAAGATTCCGTCGATGTTGATGTTGATGTTGATGTTGTTGTTGATGTTGTTGTTGTTGATGTTGTTGTTGTTGTTGTTGATGATGATGATGATGATGAACCAGCTTGATTTAAGTTGGTCTTTTGATTGATTATATCACCTAAATCTCCCAAGTCAACACTAATGAACTTGTAAAACCTACTGCTCTCAGTAAGTGGCCACACTGCAGTCAATATAGTTGCTGCTCCTTTAACATGAAATATCCATGCTGAGGCAGGCAAGGATTTTGGTGAAGTACTCGAAGGAAACGAAGCATTGGCCAAGGAATCCATAATCAAAATTAATGCACTTGCTACTAAAGCGTCGGTATTATCTGCATTAATGTTCAATACGGCCTCCCTCAATAGCCGTAGGGCATCACCACGATGTGAAGTAACACACTGATCTAATCCAGTTTCAGTACGTGATAAGTGGGTAGCGCTGAACGCTAGTAACGAGTGCATTAAAAAGGGATGTTCAAATGCCAACATCGGTATATCTCGTAACCATATGTTTGTCTCTGAAATGCCTGCTCCAGTAATGGTATTGGCAACCTGTGAAGTATAATGAAACATAAGCTTCAAATCTAACATGTTTAGATTATTTGAGTTCATTGTTTGTGATAGATGTAGTGGTAAAGGTGGAGGTGGATGAGGATTAGTCATTGGTTCGGAGGAAGATGGTAGGTGCAGTGACATTAGGTTGGATATAGTGTTAGGTAAATCTTGTTGATTCAATGATTCATCGGTTTCCGGAATTGTAAATGCTGAGCTCGCAGCGGCATTGGTAGAACGGTAACTCATTTGCGAGTCTATTGCTTCATGTAAAGCGTTAGTCTGTTGTTGTTGCGCCTGTTGCGCCTGTTGTGTCTGCTGTGCCTGCTGTGCCTGTTGTTGTTGTTGCTGCTGCTGCTGCTGCTGGCCCATGATTGCCTGGTTCTGGCTAACACCCAATATATTTGCCAAAGGGCTTGCACCGGATCCTGCACTGTTCAAAAGATTCGCCGATAAGCTCTCCATCATCCCCGTTACACTAGTACTACCACCACCACCACTACTACTACTACCACCGCTCAACCCACCTAAACAGTTTAAATCAATGGGTAGCTGAGCTAATGTAGCCAAGTTTGATAGACTTGATAAATTACCCAAATTCATTAAACTACTCAAATTGCCACCTACATCTCCGCCTAATCCCGAAATGTTATTGACCAAATGGGCAATATTTAAATTGTTTAAATTTCCTGCACTGAGCAAGCCTGAAGAAAGTGCACTTAGTGGATTATTATGTGATTGGGAAATACGATTTCCAACCACTTGTGAAGCAATTTTGTCAATAAAGTTATTGGTGGTTTGGGTGAGACTTGGACTTGGCGTAAGGGAAGGTGTGGCTTGTTGTTGAAGCGAAGATGCTGATTCTAGATCATTTTGAATATCATTGACGCTGCTACATCGTGATGAAATGGCCGATGATTGCTCTGCAATGGCAGTTGCACTCTGCATCGTTTCTTTCTTTGACCTTTTCTTTGTTGAAAGCTTTTTGGAAACCTCTTTTAGTTTCTTTTCTTTCTTTGCCTTTTTCAATGCTGGCTCTAAGTCATTGCTTCCAGCAGAAGCAGTAGAAGCAGCAGTTACTTCTTCTAGCTTTAGATATCCACAATCTAGTTTTAGTTTGATGCAATTCCCGCAAATTGGTTTCTGTTCATCGCATTTCACTCTTCTTCGCTTACACGTTGAGCATCCGTGTCGAGATTTCTGATGATATTTCCGCTTCCCTGTAGAGGTCTTGGGGGGCTCAATTGGGACGATTTGTGATGGTGGTGAAACAGCAGCAGCAGATGCAGATGCAATAGCAGCACTGGCGCCAATAGTTCCGGCGCCTGGCACTGGTACTGAAGATTGTAGAGACGCGTTTAATAACGTTTCTAGGTCATCTTTCCCGTCATTGGCAATGCTCTTACTCTTAGACGACGATGATAGCAGATGCCTTTGTATTTCTTGTCTACCATTCTGATCAAAAGGCTGCTTGGAAAGATTCTCTACCGATATCTGGTTTCCAATGCTAGTCATTTATCAAAAACAAAACTTGAAAAAGGGTTATTAATTTAAAAAGTGGGATATAAAATGGGCCAAAAAAAAACAAAAAAACAACCCCAAATTATGCATTCGGGGATTTGGTTCTTTATAGTTATTTAGGCAAACTGGGTCAAGTAGGGTCTCTCAATTGGTCTTGAACAAGGGTGTGTTTATGTGTGTATGCGTAATCGACCTTAGATCTAATAACTAGGTCCTTAATCTTAATCTTTTCCCCCCTTCTCCCTTGGTTATAATTTTGAGTAGATGATGTTATTCAATTCGGATAAATGAGTTCCAAAATAAGATGATATATTTCAAGAAAATGTTGAATTTTCCATTACTGTAACCAAATGGAAAAAAAGAAAATATCAACAAGCCCTTTGCATCTAAAAAAGGCTAGTTGTTACTAAAAGAGCCATGACTGTTTGAGAGAAAAAAGGGGGCGCGGTGATTGCAATGAAATGATATATGTAATTTAGTTAAATCAAACAATCTCTAAAGAAAAATCACTTTAGTTACAGCGATTACAGTGATTTTCCTTGAGAAATATATTATTCACTATGATTAATCGCTCGCTATATGAATATAACAAGTTGCTAGCCAAAGTAAACTACTGCCTTATCGACTATAAGGAGCTTGACGCGGATTACAGTTGACCTAAGGAGACGGAAAAAAGGAATTGCCAAATTTGGTCTCTAATAAATCTCGTCGTTTAGAAGCAATTAAATAAGCTATACGAGGAAAGACAGAGCGACACTATCACTTTCGAGCGAAGCGAGATAGTGGAACAACACTTAGTACCAACACTTAGTACCAACACTTCGTAGAACCTTTGTAACAACACTTTGTACCAGCACTTAGTACCAACACTTAGTACCAACACTATCGAGGAACACTTGGGCGCTTTGCTCCCTAGTGTCGCCTTAGTCTTACCGCTTACTGTTACTCCTTAATCTCACCGCTTACTGTTACTCCTTAATCTTACGGCTTACTGTTACTGCCTAATCGTTTCTTTTTTTTGTCAACTTCCTCGGAAGATTAAACTCCTTATCATTTAATTAAAGTCTGTTATTATATGAATAACAATAGACTAACCCTGGTATGTCAATATATGTATAACAATAGACTAACCCTGGTATGTCAATATATGTATAACAATAGACTAACCCTGGTATGTCAATATATGTATAACAATAGACTAACCCTGGTATGTCAATATATGTATAACAATAGACTAACCCTGGTATGTCAATATATGTATAACCATAGACTAATAATTATAAAAAGATTGTGGTATAATGTCGGTGGCAGCTAGTAACACTTTTGAGCAAATAGTACTAAATAGTACCAAATAGTACCAAATAGTAACTAGTCAATAGTAATTAGTCAGTGTGCTCCACTATCGAGCAGAGCGAGATAGTGTCAGTCGATAGTGTTTTCAAGTGTTGTACTCCACTATCGAGTAGAGCGATATAGTTTTATTAAGTGATGTGCTCCACTATCGCGTAGAATGAGATAGTTTTATCAAGTGTTGTACTCCACTATCTCCATCTGCTCGATAGTGTCGAAATGTTTCCATCTAGTCTGGTTAGGTGCCCCGGCAATATAGGCACAATACTTTTTGCTGGGTCTTTCTATAAAATTGAAAAGTTATAGAAAACGATCAAGCCTCTAAAAGATATAGTACCATACAATTGTTTTACACTAAATCAATTAGTCGCTTTTTTATCTCCACCCTCTCTGGATCTCTCGAGTTGGCCCAATTTCACTCGCATACTCTTTCTACCTAGGACTTTCACTACCTATTGCTTTTCATTTCTGTGGGACTAGTCGGTGCTCCACTATCGAACAGAGCGAGATTGTGAGCAGCTAGTCAGTGTGCTCCACTCTCTCGCTCTGCTCGATAGTGTCGGCGATAGTGTCGCCGATACTGCCATTACAAGCTACTGAGTGCTGCTCCACTATCTCGCTCTGCTCGATAGTGGATAGTTTTTATTTTTCTCACCAATGGAGACTATTAAATTATTAATCTCATCTCATCTTTAGCTTTCCTGAAAATCATTTGAAATGTCATCCCAGAAGCCCCTTTGGTATAGGTGGGCACGTGTTTATTTTGCTGGTGGCTGTATCGTAGGAGTCGGTGTATTGCTATACAAAACAATAATACCCACAGATGAACAACTAATATCACAATTTTCCCCTGAAATAAGAGCACATTATGAACAAAACAAGGAATTGAGAGAATTAGAGCAAGAGAAACTAATAGAAATCGTCAAGAAAACTTCAGCGTCAAATGACCCAATTTGGAAAACGGGTCCAATTGGCTCGCCTTTGGAAAAAGATCAAAGAAATCTAAGCTTACAATTGGTCGATAAAGAGTTATTTCATCAAACAAAAGCAAAAGAAGCTCAGCAAAGAGAAATCAGTCAGAGTCTTGAGGATATTAAAGAAGTCGAAAAGTTGCTAAATGAAAAGAAAAGATTGAATGGAAAACACTGGTGGAAATGGTGGTAAGAGCTATAAAATGTATCTATCTATACTCTATCGACTAGACTCGTTTCACTCGTCTAGTCTCTATTCGTTTCAGTCGTCTGGTCTCATATATACAGTATTTACCCTCGACTCCAAAATCCTCTATCTCGCGACAAGGTCAGTAATATACTCTGGCTCAAATTGCTGCTCACGCCAAGAGCACCACCACCATTACCACCACCACTACCACCACTACCACCACCATTTTTCTGCTTATTAGCTTCATCGACCCCAGCAACAATTCTGCCGATATTAGTATCTATAACCATACCGCCCTGAACAATTTCTTCCAACACCGTCTGTAGCACTTGCCATCCAAACACCAAATCCAACTCGCAAACGTTTGAAAAACACTTGTCCAAACACTCGACAAACACCTGAATCAAATCTAAGATCCCCAATTCCGATTCTTGATCATCTACAATAAACACAAAATATAATGTGGCATAGTGGCGGTAAATCACCTTAATGTCTTCTAGATCTTCTAATAGTTTTGGAGAAGTTATAAACGAACATTCTTGATCTGAGCGAACAGATATGAGCTGGTAAACTTGTTGTAGTAATAATCTTTGCGTCTTGATATCGACTTTAGTATAAAATTTCATTAACCGAGGAACTCCATCATTGTTGACTAGAAAGCGCAGAGCAGAGTTATTAGTATACTGGCAAAATCTGAGTTAAATATAACCTACTTACATATTAGCACCGAGTGGATCATTATCTGTTCTTTAGAGGTAAATTCGTTGAACCTTGATAGTATAAAGCTTTATCTTTCAAGCTTAACTACTTATTTTTTTGTTTTTTTTTTTCAAGCTAGTAAGTACTACTCTACTATCGAGCGACACTATCGAGCGACACTATCGAGCAGAGCGAGATAAGTACTACTCCACTATCTCGCTCTGCTTGATAGTGTCTACTTAGTATTGCTCCACTATCTCGCTCTACTCGATAGTGTCCTCATCTAAGATGCTTCTAACAAACTTGATCTCTTTAGTACCAGTATTGCAGCAACCGCCAATTCCAATAACGTTTCTATAAGAGACCAATTTTCTTATAAATTGATCCCATGCATCTTCAGGTCTACCTTTTTTAATAATGAATTGATGACAAGTAGCATCGTACTGGAATCCCAAATTGGGATAAACGAAAAACTTGAACTCGGGAAATTGGTCGATTATACTTAACGCTACTTCATAATCAACACAATTCAACCCCAACACTTTTGAAGTGGTTTTAGATGCAGTTGTTTCTGTAAGATATTTTCTCATTGTAGATAATGCTGTTCCATCTGTCAACAGGTGATTGTTTTGACACGTAAAAGATACTACAAATGGCTTTTTGTCACTATATTCCAGGGCTAACTCATTAGCGATTTGAAATTCGTGGAAATTGGGTATAGTTTCAAAAATAATCAAATCGATATCGTCGTTATTGACGAAAAACTCTAGGAGAGGTTGATAAAATTCTCTCAACACTTTGGACAAAGATATGTTGGAGTATTTCCCAGTATATTCAGACCCGTCAGCTAAATAAGCAGCATAAGGACCAATTGAGCCAGCAATGAAAACAGAATCTGTTTTCCCCAACTCAGATCTCGATTCCTTAACAATATCAATGGCTCTTTGCCATAACTCATGAATCTGCTCGTTGGTCATCTCAGTGTGTTTTTTCAAACTTTGATATGAACTTTGGTAGGTAGATGTCAACACTATATCTGCACCCGCTTTCATATACTCCTTGTGAACAGCTTTAACTACTTGTGGTGCATCAATTAATGCTTGTCCAGACCAAAGAGGACTTTTACTAGGCAAGAAAGTTTCATTAGGATCAATCAATTCCTCCAATTCTGTACCCAAGGCACCGTCAATGACCCTTCTTTTACCAAAAATATCTTTAGGCATACTCTTGTATCGTTTTCTATAATTATTCTAGATACTTGGTTTATTAACTGCAACTTGTTAATATGGAAAAGGAAACTATTCTCAACAAGATACACTTATGTATTAAAGACCATTAATGGATGGAGATACACTTGTGTATTAGAAACCATTAATGGATGGGGGGAGAGAGATAGCAAGGCCCTCGACAGCTAGCCCTCGACAGCTAGCCATCGGCGGCTGGCCATCGGCGGCTGGCCCGCCCACGGTCGGTCGTAGCGCTACCTGATAAATTTTCAACGAAAAAAAAAAAAATGCTTGAAAAAAATTTAATGCACTTATAGTGGAAAGGTTACCCTAAAGGCTTTTTATTGAGCAAGAAGGGAAGATTTGTCGGTTCTTCTTTTCTTTTTGTGAGGAAAAGATGGATTTTGAGGCTTCGAATAAGAGACTGAGAGATGATTTTGAGCAAGGGCAAGCAGGGTCAAGTGGGTATGGTCAGTTGCAGGTGCAGCTGCAGGTGCACAATTATGGCGCTAAAAGGCAGCGCATCGATCCAGCACAAGAATTGATTAATAATGTTTGCAAGGATATAAGAAGACTAGGGGAGAACCCCAATGTCGGAGCGCAAATTGATGATGTTGACTACATTTCGAATCCAATTGTCGCTGAATTTGAAAAGATTGACAATTTGAGAAATGCCATTTTGACCACAATTTATGCCATTATTATTGAACAACCGCACAAGATCAATGCTATTGGTAATCTAGTGTTTATATGTAACGCCAAAAACTTTGTTGTTGCTAAATATGTGGTTGAGTATCTACATGCAAAAATCCAAATGCTATTAGATTCAGTTTGTGGAGCTGTGGTACCAGAGGCTGAGCAGCAAAATAGCAGGAAAGAAGACGCTGGTGTTTTCAATAATATAAAGAGTATCATCAAATTTTTGAGTTGTATCTCTCCAATAATTGATGAATACGCCATAATTAATATATTCACTCAATTCCTTCAATTTGCTATTGACTTGCAGGTTCAATCGGGTGACAAGAGGAACGGGATAGCCCAAGAAATATTCTACAACACATTAATTGCAGTGCCCTACTTGTTGAGCAATGATAAGTCTGAGGAGATACATGGACACCTCAATGATATAATTGAACTAGCTGACAACTTTCCTATAGTCGAGCCGGAGTCTAACAGAATATTGCAACCTTTTGATACTAGAATGGGTAATTTAGATATACCTTACCAGCCAAAAAAATTGATCAACTTGATCCTTCCCTCATTGAAAGTCTTGCAGAAGAATGACTGGCAATTGACGTTGTTTCTTGACTTTGAGCCATTTTTGGAACCAATTGTGGGGAGAGCTTTGGAAAATAATGCTATATCCAAGGAAGTCGTTAAGCACAAATTACCACTTTTCCGTTTGCCCACATTTGAGAAAATCGAGAAATACAATCCAACTTCTGAAGAAAACATTGATAAAATATGGCAGCAAAATCTGAGAATCTTGTTTCAAGTTTATAACCAAACCACTGAGTTTGAAACTGTGCCACCAATTGAATCTTATATTGGTTTATTTTTTAAAGATTTATCATTTGACATTTTAACTAATCTTTCGTTCAACAAAAACGAAGCATCAATTCAACTTTCAGCGTTGGATTTATTTTTCAGCAGTGAATTATTCGCGCCAGTGGGTACTTCGATTGATCAATTGACTATGATTAATGCCGATAATAAAAGCGGCGAAAATGATCCACCTTTATCTACATGGAAAATTGAAGATGTTGCTGTGGAAAGTATTTTGACTATGATTTTCCAGCTCCCTAAAACGTTGCACAGGGAAATTTACTATTACACAGTGTTGATTGCATGTTGTAAAGAAAACACCGAATCTATGGCGCCAGTATTTGGTAGAGCCATTAGGTATTTTTATTCAAACTTGCAAACATTAGACTATGAACTAAAGTTGCGGTTTTTGGATTGGATGACTACACAAATTTCGAATTTCGAATTTAGTTGGAAGTGGGAAGAGTGGATCGATGATTCTCAAAGATATGCGAGATTGAAATACCATCCTAAAAAGAATTTCATCAAGAATTTGATTGCAAAGGAAATCAGATTATCTAATAAGAAGAGAATAAAGGAAAGTTTTGTTGATGTTGTTGATGGTGAAGTTGTGAATTTTAAGGAATTTTACCAGTATTTGAATATTGCTATGTTCCCTGATGTTAGAGACTATATAATTGAATATGACTCCGCTTTGTATGGAGATTCGCCCGAGATTAAGGACAAACTAAGTGCATTATATGATATGAAGCAGATGTCGTTGCAGACAAAGACAAATGTCAGTGCACAAGATGAGATATTTTACAACTTTACAAATCCAGAACTACCCTTTCATGAGCTTGGTTCCAGAGCATACGAATTTATAATGTCTCATCACAAGTCGAATAAAGAGTTTAGTGGGCTATGCAATTCACTTATTAGTGATATTGTAAAGTCGAACGAAAGGAACCAATCGACGGACCAAGATATGGAGACGGAAGACAAGGGCGAAGATAAAGACAAGGGCGAAGATAAAGACATGGGCGAAGATGAAGATAAGGACGAAGATAAAGACATGGGCGAAGATAAAGACAAGGGCGAAGATAAAGACAAGGGCGAAGATAAAGAAAAAGAAGAGGAACACTCGGCAGCCTCTGCGCCTGCACCTGCACCTGCACCTGCTGCATCTGCAAAAGTTATTATACCTAATCCTGTCAAATTTGCAATCAACATAATCATGCAATCATACTGTTATATTGGCTCAAGATCCATTTATTCCGAGGTGAGCATCCTAAGCAGAGATGCAGAAAAGTTGAAATTTCTCAGTGGTCAACCCATTGAACAACCAAAGCGTGCCCCATTACCCAACATGGAAAACGATTCTGAGTTTGAAGAGTTGAAATTGGTATCCAATGAGGAGGACAAGCAAGAGAGACAGAATTGGATAATTGATTCCATATTCAGAATCTGGGTTCATCAGCCACAAGTTATATTTTTAGTATTGGAGAGTTTAATTGACTTTGGAGTCATCAATGCAGAACAATTATTGATTAAAGCTTTTAAAGCTAATCTTATTATTGACAATGTTTCATGTATGGAATCTATTAATCGAATTTTGGAAAATAGTGGATCTAAACAATTGAAATCTTTGATATTTATCTTGTTTAGAGCTATAGTAGATAAGTTGAATGAATTGGATCTAGGTGTTGGTGAAGTTGTACAAATTGATGAACTAAGTGAGGATAATGCTAGTGAAGTTGATAAGCAATGGTTATTCTACGAATACTTGGGATTATTAAAGTGTTATTTTAGAAAATTCATTAGGACTCAAGTAGAAAACGATAAGGACTCTAACCCAGAGGGAACAAACTCAGATGGAGACAATTCAGAGGCATTCTTTCAAAAAATCAAAACTGTATTTAATGACCTTCAAAATATACCAACAAGAATCAGTGTATTGTCTTGGTTTGACGAATTGATAAGCTGATGATAGAAAGGAAAAGGAAAAGGCAAAAGGAAAAGACTAAAAAAAAAAAAACTGTGTATAAGTTAGGATAGATTTTATTAGAACTCCTGTGTATTACTGACAAGACTAGCGCCAACGGCGGCAACTAAGTAGAAAGAGATTTAGCTACTCTTCTCAAGATTAGCTTCAGCAAAGTTGAAAGGAAGTCAACTTGACAGAAAATATTAACCAGGGTTTATTTTTTGTTCTAATTTTTCAATAAAGTGGAAAAAATAAAAATAAAAATACTCCTTAAGAAATACCCAAGGTCCAAGTAACAATTGAAGGGACGGCTTGCTAAAACGACATTGTACGATTTATAGTGGTAAGAAGAGATGGGTGACCACTTGAACGATAAAACGTTAGCTGTACAAGTTGATAATCTTACATACGAGTTTCCAAAGGGAAATTCTAACCGGCAGTCTTCATTGAAGATTGGATTACAAGATATTAATTTAAAAATAGCATGGGGAACAACAAACTTGATAATTGGGCCTAATGGAGCTGGGAAATCAACGTTATTGAAAATTCTAGCAGGCAAGACTTTGATCAAGCGCGGGAAATTACGTCTTGGTGGATTTGACCCTTTTGAGTTTTCGTCTAGTCGCGATGCAAGTCAGCATAATTCAGATATTAACAGTTACATAACGTACTTGGGAACTGAGTGGATTACAAACTCGGTGATTAAAAGAGACATCCCTGTAAGTTTACTATTATCGTCGATTGGAGGTGAGGCTTATGTTGATAGGAGAAACTTGTTGGTTGAATTATTAGATATTGACCCATCCTGGTCAATGATTGACCTTTCCGATGGTGAGAGGAGGAGAGTTCAAATAGCGATGGGGTTGGTTAAACCTTGGAAATTGTTGCTATTGGATGAAGTGACAATTGATTTGGATGTGGTTGTCAGGCTGAAACTTTTGAACTATTTGAAATCGGAGTGTATTAACAGGAATTGTTGTGTTATTTATGCGACTCATATATTTGACGGGTTGGGAAAGGAATGGTGTGATCGCATTTTGCATATTGATGCGGGAGTATTGTTGAATGACGTGAAAATGGAAAGTGTTGAGTTTACTGAGACAAGAGGAGCTGGAAATGAGAGTAGTAGTGTTAAAGTTGAGCACAACTTGATTCAAATTAACAAATCGGAGACGCTTCATCCACTAGCTTTGTTTTGGTTGAATCAAGATTTGGTTAGACGGGGACTGAGAGAAGAGGAAAAGATAAAGATGCGACAGAGGCATAGTGATTGGGTTAATTCCAAAGATGCGAGCTATTTCGATGCTGATGAAGACAAACTAAAACTGTACTTTAAAAGCACAAGAAGTCAAAAGTGACCTTTACAAAACCATGCCAAACAATAATGCCAAAATGATGCTGCTAAATGATGCCAAGTAATGCTGCCTTTTTTTTTTCTATGTATGTTATGGCAAAATAAGTTATATTGAAAACTTTCTCTCTAGTTCTAAAAATTCATTGAGTTCCTGGACATATCTCAATTGCTGTTCTAGTAACCAGTTTTTGTAGTTCAAATCGATCTCAGATAAAGTGTCTCCAAAAGGACACCGTATTTTTTCATCCATGCGGTTTCTAGTTTTGGTGGGCGTGAGTGTAGTGGTGGTGGTGGCTGTAGGAAAAGGAGCTGTTGCTAGCTTTCTTCTGGTATTCTGATGCAGTAGTGCGGGAGTCGGTGTTGTAGGTCCTCTCTTTTTAGAGTGTTGTTGCTGCTGTTGTTGCTGCTGCTGCTGCTGCTGTTGCTGAGCTTTCACCGGAGACGAAAGATTTTCCTTCAACTGTAGCAAATGGGACATGTGTAACGAGCTTGTATTGGTGCTTTCTTGTAATGGTAAACTTGTCTTTTTCAAAAGGGTAGTCTTTTGCGTAGCTGCGTCCGGCTTGTTTGGCAACGCCGTTGTAGCAACATAGTGATTCTCTATATCCTCCATAATGTTGAGAGTAATATTCATAGTGGAACTTACTCCAAACTGGCAATGTATAATTTAACCTAGGTTACAAATGTAAAGGAAAAATAAACAAACAAGAAATTTGTTTGTTTTTTTGATGGTTTGGAGATGTCGTGTATGTCGTGTATGTCGTAGAGGTGTTGATTCACGTGACTTCCCTTTAAAATGTCGTGTATGTCGTATAGTGATAACAGTAGAATTGTTTACTATCGAGTATCTACTATCGAGTATCTACTATCGAGTATCTACTATCGAGTATCTACTATCGAGTATCTACTATCGAGTATCTACTATCGAGTATCTACTATCGAGTATCTACTATCGAGTAACTACTATCGAGGAACGAGATAGTAGATAAGTACTTAAAAGAAAGTACTAGATAAAAGTACTAGATAAAAGTACTTTAGTAGAAAGTACTCGATAAAAGTACTCTAGTAGAAAGTGCTCTAGTAGAAAGTACTCTAGCAGAAAGTGCTCTGGAAAGTGCTCTAGTGTTCTCCTCTCTACTATCGAGGAACGAGACTCTCGATAAGTACTCCAGTAAAAGTAGAACAGTCTACCTGTGTCATTGACTATATAGAATCTATGTAATTTTCTGTTGCAAAAGATTTATTAATAATAAATAAAATATGTATATAAATATATATGATCAATCATTATTAATGTATTATTAAATCGTATCAACATAAAACCTGAAATCTTTTCATTAATTCTAATGTCGCAAAGTGCTGCTCTATCTCGCTCTGCTCAATAATGTCAGTTAGTGCTGCTCGATAGTGTCAGTTAGATCATATCTATAGGATTTTCTCTAAAGTAGAATTAATATATAGACTATTTAGTATCTTTTCCCTATAGTAATATTTACATGTCCTTTCCCTATAGTAATAATTATTATATATTATTCTCCTATAGTAATTTTTTCTCATATATCCTTTTCCTATAGTTTTATTACATATTTATCCCTATACTAATATTTATTACATCCTTTATAGTAATATTTATTACAGAATAAAAGTGCTTATAGTCAAGTGTATACGTGTATCAGACTATTTGGTGTCAAATGATGTTTACAAATACTGTCTTTTATCCTCAATAATTAAACTACAAGAGTCCTGTATTGATTTATAAATGTCTACTCTATACGCATACTCTATACGCATACTCTATACTGCATACTCTATACGCACTCTTTAGCTTTTCTATACGCATACTCTTTAGCTTTTCTATACGCATACTCTTTAGCTTTTCTATACGCATACTCTTTAGCTTTTCTATACGCATACTCTTTAGCTTTTCTATACGCATACTCTTTAGCTTTTCTATACGCATACTCTTTAGCTTTTCTATACACTATTGTTCCAAAATAGATTGAATTTTTCTTTACCATGAGATAACTTTATTGTCAATATATACATATATTACTATTCTTATAAACACCCGCACAATAAATAATTTCTATACAATAGTCTATTCCCTTCTAGTCTGTCAGATATTCTATATATATTTAAAGTATTGTTTTTCAATAAACTCTTGCCTTATCAATACAATAAGCCTCTGGACTCACTATCGAGGAACGAGATAGTGAGTAGTTTCTACCTCTATAGACTCACTATCGAGGAACGAGATAGTGAGTAGTTTCTACCTCTATAGACTCACCATCGAGGAACGAGATAGTGAGTAGTTCCTACCTCTATAGACTCACCATCGAGGAACGAGATAGTGAGTAGTTACTACCTCTATAGACTCCCTTACTTCTTCAGTCTCTCCAGTCTCAGCTAGTGTGCTCCACTATCTCGCTCTGCTCGATAGTGACGATAGTGTCTTAGATTACCTCCTCGGCAACCTCGAGCCCCCATATAATTTACACTCGCATTGCCAGAGCAACATAACTACTTCTACACCATCTACACAGCCACCACCACCTCCTCCTCCTCCTCCACCTCCTCTTCCTCCACCTCCTCCTCCACCTCCTCTTCCTCCTCCACCTCCTCCTCCATCACCTTTCTAATCAACTTCCGATTTTCCATCTAAGCCACGAACAAAGTCACATAACTGATAGCCGAAAAAAAAAAATCAGCAATATCAATTCAATCAGCCACTTGAAACCTTTTTCTATTGGATTTCAACACGCTGGATCTTATAGCTTTGCAAAGTAGAGCAATCAAGGGATCGAGAAGTAGGTTTTACCATTTTGGTCTGAGTTCAAATTGGTCAAGCATTGCCGCAACCCCCCCCCCCCCCCCCCCAAAAA